CAGTACTATCTCTCTAGCCCCTAAATTTCTAAATGTTTGACTGTTCTGATAAAGACAAGTAATTTTCCGTTGTTTTCTATGCTTGCACTATTCACAATGGACCTTCTCAGAAGGTGCTCAGAGAAGCACCTGGGCAGGCCAGTCACGTAATAATCAGGGCTTTCCAGCTAAGTGCAAAGGGAGTCTAGAAGGCTGCACTCAAGGGAGGAAAATGTCCAGGACTAAGATTCTCCAAAAGGTATTTTGGGACCGGAGAGATAGTACAAGGTTCAAGGCACTCACCTTGAACGCAGCAGACCTGAACTCAATACCACAGGAGTGACACCTGAGTGCAAGCTAGAAGTAAGCCCCTGCACATTGCCAAGTGTGTTTTTCTCTCTCCTGTTAGTATTGTTGGCTGTTGTTTTGAATGTACCTGGCAGGGCTCAGAGGGACCTTGTGTGGTATCACGGATGGAACCCTGGTCAACCATGGGTAAGGAAGTGCTTTGCTCACTGGACTGTTGCACACGTGCGTACACACACAAACACACACACACACACATTAGAAGTTCATAAAGCTGAGAAGTAGCTACTTTACTTTTAACTTTTATTTTCTCTCCTTTGCAGTATGTTTGAACTATGTCACTAAAGTAAATTTGCCTTTCAGAGTAGTCATGTCTGCAATTGTATGTTTTGTAAGAGTAGATACCACCAGCTTAATTCTGTGCAGTTGAATTAGGTAGCAGTGCTTGCGAGCCTTCTGTGGTATCCTGTCGGAAGCATCATTCCTGCTGAGGGCACAGAAGGTGAGGTCGTCTGGGCCAGGGGCTGTTGTCTCGCTTACGGTTCTGGTAACTTCAGAGCCAGTGTGCCCTGTCTGTGCCCTCTTTCCTATGACACAAACTGGTCAGTTTGGCAGTTCTATAGTAGAATCATGTTCAAAATGTCTTACCAAGTTTTCTTTTTAGTCTTTGCAGTGATGAAAAAGGTGTAGTGTTTTTGCTGGGGACCACATGCTTGGTTGGGGGCACTGGAGATCACACAGATCATGGAGGGTGGTAGGGGGGCTCAGGATTGACCTCAAGGCCCATGCCTACACGCACGGCAGGTACCACCACCGAGCTGTTGCATCTGCCATCTGATGTAGCATCCCTGAGGCTTTGCCTGTAGGATGTTGCTCTTTTTTGCTTTTTTGTTTTTTGTTTTGGGGCCACACGAGTGATGTCCAGGGGTTACTTCTGACTTTGCACTCAGGAATCACTCCTGGTGGTCCTTGGGGGACCCTATGAGATGCCAGGGATTGAACCCAAGTAGATTGCCTGCAAGGAGAGTTCCTCTGTGCTATCACTTCGGCCCCACATGTTGCTTTCTTTTCTTTCTTCTTTTTCCTTTTTTTTTTTTTTGGTGGGGGGTCCACAGCTAGATGCTCAGGTGTTGCTCCTGGCAGTACTTGGGAACCATATGGGATACTGGGGATCAAACCTGGGCTGGCCGCACGCAAGGCAAATTCCCTACCTGCTCTACTATTGGCTCCTTGGATGTTGCTGTTTCTAATTAGGGGAGGAATTCCACTTGTTCTGGAGTGTCAACCAAGTTTGACTCTCTTTAGCTTTTTCTCCCCCCCCCCCCCCCGCGTTTTGAAGCCATTGATTATATTTCCTTTGTACTAGTAATTATGAGCATAGATAGGGCTCCAAACATTGTTCTGTCTCTTCTAAAACCAATACATCCTTTTACATCTCTGAAAATTTAATTTAATGTAATTTAATACTGAATTACTAAGGAATCGTTTCCTGAAAAGTTCTTGAGTTTGTCCCCCTTGGGTTGGCCAGTTTGGGGTGTGGTGCTGTCCCTGGTCCCTGTCATTTCACACGACTTTATGGGGCCTGGCCTTGCTGAATGTGATAAAGACTGTAATAAAAATCTGAGGAATGTTTGGACTTTCTGGCAATTTTTGTTTTCTGTTTTTCCCACTGATTATTAGAGGCTTTTTCTTCCTGTCCATCTCAGGGTCATTTGTTAGTGCCTGGACTCTAATCTAACCAGCCTGAATTCACGGCCTTGTGCTGCTGCATGCTTTTCGGAACCACCATAAGCCTTGGTCTCCTTGCTTAGAAAACTGGGCTGTTCCCATGAGACTGACAGTTTGACTGTGGGCTTTAGAAATAAATACTCTGAGAGACAAGAGCCATAGCACAGGCCATCAGGTATTATCCCTCCACCACATGTGGTCCCCTAAGCCTCGCCAGGAGTGAGCCCTGACTACAGAACCAGGAGTGAATCTGGAGCTATGCTGGGTGTGACCCCTGCAACAAAAAGAGGAAAAAAGTACACCTGTGTGTTTTGAATTTTTGTACAGTGTTTTCATAGTTATCTCTGGGTTTTATTTAAAAACAAAAAACTAGGGGCTGGAGTGATAGCACAGAGCATAGGGCATTTGCCTTGCACGTGGCCGACCCGCGTTCAATTCTCAGCATCCCATGTGGCCCCCCGACCACCGCCAGAAGTAATTCCTGAATGCATGAGCCAGGAGTAACACCATGCATTCCTGGGTGTGACCCAAAAGGGGGGGGGAGCCCCTATATTTTGGGGTTTTTTTGTGTGTGGGGGGTCATACTCAGCAGTACTCAGGGATTACTTCTGGCTCTGTGCTCAGGGATCACTTGTGGTGTGGCTTGGGACAATATGGGGCACAGGGATCAAACTGGGATTAGCAGCATACAACAAGGCAAACACTCTACTCATTTTACTATGGCTCTGGTCTCTGTATTTAAATTTAATTGGAATAAAAGTAAAAGCTCTGAGCCGATAACTGGCTGAAGCGAGGTCCAACTAAGGATACCTGATCTGGTCCCTTACTGTTTCGAGACAGAGTTCTTTATTCCTAGATGCTCCTTGGGGAATGGAGAGGCCATTTTATCACACAGATTCTAACTAAATTGCTTGTAAGCATTTATGTTATAAATGTTTTATTCTTAAAGCTTGAGAAGTGAACACATAACAAACAGTTGCTTTGCTTGTGTGTTTCAAGGAAGATGATTTAGCAGGAAACACAAGTTGTTTTTTTTTTTTTTTAATGTAGGAGTACTGCTGTTTATTCAGCTACTGATTAGCTGATTGAACTGGGCATGAACTCCATAAGTCTCATAATTTTTTATCTCCAATCCAAATGACTTTCTCTTCCTACCAACGCATTTTTTCTTCCACTGTTCCCCAAAACACGAAGCCAGGAATATTTTACCCAAAAAAGCTTTTTCAGGGGCTGGAGCAATAGTACAGTGGGTAGGGCGTTTGCCTTGCACACGGCCGACCCAGGTTCAATCCCTGGCATCCCATATGGTCCCCCAGGCACTGCCAGGAGTAATTCCTCAGTGCAGAGCCAGGAGTAACCCCTGAGCATCACTGGGTATGACCCAAAAAAGAAAGAAAAAATAGCTTTTTCAGTCAGAGAGCTAGCATAAGGGGTAAGTGGTGCTCTCTCGCTTTGCACATAGCCAGCCCCAGTTTAACCCCCGGTACCACCTACAATCTCCTGAGTACCACCAGATGTGGCCCAACACCCCCACAAAAGGTTGTATTTTAAATTTTACTTTTGGGGGGGCCACATTCAGCAGTGCTCAGGGGTTACTTCTGGCTCTGCATATTCAGAGGTTACCTCTGGCTGTTCTAGTGACTGTATGGGATGCTACAGATGGAACCTAGGTTAGCCACATGCAAGGCAAACGCCCTACCCATTGTACTATAGGCCACCCAACAAAAGTCTTTGAAAAGGGAATCAGAACAGAATAGCACAGTGGGTAGGGTGCTTGCCTTGTGCAGATTCAGTTCCATGAACACAAAGCTAGGAGTCAGCCCTGAGCACTGCTGGGTGTAGCCCCCCAAAAAAGTAAGTACAAAAGCAAGTGACTTGTTTTCTTTTTTAGTACTGGGGGCCTCCCAGGTGGTGTTCAAGGGCCTTGGAGGTCACTCACGGTGATTGGCAGCCTGGTCTTTTGGTGCCAAATTCTGTTTGTTTTTTTTTTCCTTTTTGGGTCACACCCGGCGATGCTCAGGGGTTACTCCTGGCTCTGCACTCAGGAATTACCCCTGGCAGTGCTCAGGGGACCATATGGGATGCTGGGAATCGAACCCGGGTCAGCCGCGTGCAAGGCAAACGCCCTACCCGCTGTGCTATCTCTCCAGCCCCCTGGTGCCAAATTCTAAGTATGGCCGCTGCTCTAGTCCTGCTATGAAGAAGGGTGATACTCACCGTCTAGTGCTCCAAACCCACCCCATCCCAATTTCTGTGGGACCACGCAGTGCCATGTGTTACACCACTTGAGTTTTCTTCTCAGCTCTGGAGATTAGCGTTTCTCCTCTAATTTTTTTTTCCACTGCTGGGGATTCAACCTGGGGCCTCAGACATGCAAACAAAATATCGCTGAGCCACATCCCAGCCCCTTCTTATTAGGGAATTTCAAATGTACACAGAGTAGGGAAATAGTTTTAATGATTTCCACTGATGGATCATCATTCTGCTTCAGCGGGCATGCTGGTTTCAGCTCAATTGTTAGTTTCTTTGTGTGGTGGTGTGGGGAATCACGGCATCACCATGTGAGGCATGCCATGCACCACCCATTTGAAGCCCTGGCTGCTCGTCCAAGTTTGAATGGACATTTCTGGTTTGGTTTGGGGGACATACCAGCAGTACTTGGGACTCCTTCTGGGTCTGCACTTGGGAGTCGCTCCAGCAGTGCTGGGAGTTGGCCCTCCAGCCTCCCGCATGCAGAGGGAGCCTCCAGCCAGTTGCGCATCTCTCTTGCCCCAGTAAGAGACATTTCTGGGCTAGAGCAATAGCACAGCAAGGGCGGTGGCTTTGCCCACATGGACCTGGGTTTGATCCTGCTCAGGGGTGACCCCTAGCCCTGTGCCCAGGAGCCTTTCCTGGTGGTGCTCATGAGCCTTGGCCCAAGTTTCAGGGGCCCTCTGCCAAGCCTGGGCTCGTCTTCATGGCTCACTGTGCTCTGCTTTGCGTTTCAGACTCTTGCCTGGTGTCGAAGGTTGTGGGCAGGTGCCGGGCGTCTTTTCCTCGCTGGTGGTACAATGTCACCGAGCGCGCCTGCCAGCCCTTTGTCTACGGTGGCTGTGGCCGCAACGGCAATAACTATGTGACCAAGGAGGATTGTGTGAAGAGCTGTGGCGGAGTCACAGGTAAGGCGGTGCTGCTTGGGGCCACGTGACCCTTCTGAGACCATGCATGCATCCGGAGGTAACTGTCTTGTGCTCCTTGTTGCCTCATTGCAGCCGAATCTGGGAGTTCCAGAAGCAGAAGCCACATGAGGATGGTTTTGCACTTCTGCCCCTTCACAGGAAGGGAGCAAAGCCACGGGCTGGAGTCAGGAGGGCAGCTCTGCATCTTCACCCCAACTTCCCGTCTCCCACTTGCGAGTATAGGTTCCACACCATAGCCCCCTCAGGAGGAAGCGGCCCTCCTTTCTGGAGGAGAGTTCCCCAAGTCCACTTGAGACTGGCTGCCCTCTTGCTCTGGTCCCTGGGGTGTATTTTCAGCGCTGGGACAGATGACTGAGGAACTCCCTGACCCAATGGATTAGGGACCAGCTAACCAGAGTCGAACTCTTGGAACCAGAGTGATGCTGACCCCAAGCACCTCCACATGGTCATCCTGAGGTCCCACAGGGTACGAGGCCCATTGAGCACTGCGGGCAGTGAGACGGGGGGGCCTTTATCAGCAAGTCCTGAGGACAAGTTCTCATGCACATCTTCCTAAGGAGATGCGACTCCTTGAAGCCCTTCCGGCTGCGTGGCCCAGATGTGAAGGTTCTGTTGGGTATGTGGGCATCCTCCAGGCTCACTGCACCCCCCCCCCCCCCCCCCCCAGCCCGTGAGCAAGCTCCGGCTTGCTGTCTTTGTCCCCTTCCCTACCTGTAATCCTCCCACATTGAGCTATGGGGACAGGAATCAGATGGGTGTGACGAGGACCTGTGTCACCAGTGGGGACAACCCAGTCCTGGCAGCACTGGCAGTAAATGAGTGCCTGGATCAGTGGTCCCTTCAGAGGCTTGAGGCACTGCTGGTGGTTCTGGGTAAGGGAACAGCTGTGTTTATCTTAGGGCCTTGAGCATGCAAGGCTTCAGCCCCTGATGTGCCTGGGTCCAGCGGGCCTTAGCAAGGGTCAGGAGGGTTGAGGGAGCTGGGCAGGGTTGACTGATAGGTGAGCGCCTTGCCCTTTTTTAGTGGAGGGGAGGCAGCTGACAGCAGACCAGGTGGTGTCTGTGGTGTCTGCTTTTATTCTGTTTCCCCTTTGTGAGCCATGGTGTGGTGTGGTGTGTGGTGTGGTGGAAGAAATTAGAGGAAATACCATTTGTTGTCTGTCCTCGGAGTTGGCAGCTGTGTCCTGGTTGCTCCTGGTCTGGGGAGGAGAGAAGGTATCAGGGTGCACATGGCCTAGAGTCTGGCCAGCTCCTGCCTGTCTCGGGGGCATCTTTCTGTGAGTCTGGGGGAAGTAAGACAGTCTGAGCAGCTGGCACTGTCTCTTTTTTAAAAAAAAAAAATTTTTTATTTTCATAAGGTTGCTCACATTAATTGATACATTCAATATTTCAACACCAATCCCACCACCATTATTTCGAATTTTCGCACCACCGTTCAAGCCTGCCTGCCCCGGGGCAGATGCTAAATAATTTATTTTCTGTTGCTTATTATGAATATCAAGTGACCTCGTGCTTCTGGAATTCTAAAATTGTAAATGGTTGGGGTCCAGAGACCTCTCTGTAGGGAGCTAATCCATTTTGAGATTCATTTGGGAGTCTCTGGATCGCTGAGATGGCGCCGAGAGGCACATCATTGGTGTGACAGCCACGACCCCAAGCAGGAGGCGAGACAGGAAGGGACGGACCATCTCCACTGCAGCCATGTGGCCTGGAGGCTTATTCCTTGAACTCGCATACCTGGGTTTTGCTTTTGGAAGCTTGTGGTCATCGGGGTTTCATTTGGAGCGGGCAGAGCTGGTACACCGCTCCATCTGAGGGCACCGTCTCTCCCGGGCAGGCATGCTCCTTGGGAGCCCGTGGGGACCACAAGTGCAGGCCCAGGGCCCCCTTCACCTCCTGACGAGTATGCGGGCAGGTACCCAGGAGGTTGCCAAGGACAGGCAGAACGTGGGGAGCTGGTTTGCGTCTGGGGCTGTGTCCAATGGCAGCAGATTAGACCAATCCAGCCTCTCCACAGGCCTCAGGGTCCAGCAAGTATGTGTTCCATCCCCCCCAACTCTACCTGCACCCCATTTTTTGTGCTTCCTGAAACCACCTTAACTTGGTGTGTCTATGGGCATATTATAGGAGCTGGAGAGATTATACAGAGATTACACAGCTGACCTGATTTTGATCACTGTACCACATACGGTTCCCCTGGAGCACAGTCAGGAGTGGCTCCCCTGGGGTGCCACAACCCCAAATTTGGGGGACCAGAAATAGTACAGGAATTGAAAGATTTTTGCCTTGCATGCAACTGATGCGTTGGATCTCTGGCATAGCATACAGTGTCCTGAATGCTACCAACAGTGATACCTGACCACTTCCAGGTGTGACCCAACCCAAATGACCATTTTATCCATTCTCCCTCTCCTCCCCCTTGATTGTTCCGTTGGTTTGGGGCATACCTAGAGGTGCTGGGGATCAAACCAGGGAGTTGTGTACAAGGCAACTGCCTTTCCTGCTGTACTCTCCAACTCCATTTTAACCATTTTTTAGTGCACTGTTAGTGGCAGTAAGTACACTTTTGGCCTGGGGTGAGGCTCAGTGGTAGAGCATGTACCTCACATGCGAGGTCCCGGGTTCAGTTTGCACTACCCTCCCCCCGCTTAAAAAGAAAAAGACTGTAGTACATTTACACTCTGGTGTATCTCCTTGACTTTAAAGTGTACTAGAGGGGGTCAGAGGGACAGAGAACAAGTACAGCGAGCAGAGTGCTTATCTTGCGTGCAACTGACCTGGGTTGGAATCCCGGCACCCTACATGTACCTCCAGTACCCTAGAGTCCTTCCAGGAAAGAGCCCTGAGCACAGATCCAGGAGTAAGCCACATGTGGTACATGTGGCAAAAACTGATTTAAAGAAAAAATCCAGAGCTATAATACAGCAGGTAGAGCACTTACTTCCTATGCAGCCAACCTGGGTTCAATTCCCAGCACCTCATATGGTCTCCCTGAGCATTGCTGGGTATGGCCCTAAAAGACCCCAGAGAGGTGACATGTGTGGTGCATGTCCAAAGCCCCCAGATTGCCATGGGTGTGACCTGGAGGCCCCTGAGCTCTCCAGGGTTTGAGTATCTCGCCATCAGCCCTTGTTTAAAATGGGGCTGGGGAGAGAACACTGCAGGGAGGCACCCACTTACCTCCACCTCCAGCTCAGTCTCCTGACCAGCACCACATACAGTCCCCAAGCACTGCCAGGTGTGGTCCCAAAATAAGAAAAATAGAATGTACTGAGTCGGTTCTAGCATTGAGCAGGTGCCTGGACCCTGGAAGCCGTTCATTCTCTTTTCTGCGGCACTTCTCTGGCTTTTGTTGGCCTTGCAGTGGGAGTCACTGGGCTCCTGGCTTCCCAGTTGCTGTCTCAGCAGGTGGGTGTGCAACGCCCTGATGGTGCAGGCACGCTTCCTTATTGCGCTTTTGTCCCCTGCAGAGAAGACCCTGGATGGTGGCGCTGCCAGCAATAATGGAACTGATTCCTCTGTCCTAAGTGGTAGGTCCTTAGACCCAGGATGAGTGAGGACATCCAATGGGTGCAGTGCAAGGACGTCACTTGGGAGTTACAACTCCCTGAGGGCCGTACCTACCGGTTCTGTTGACTCACCCTTGCAAATGGGGGTTTTCCTGCCCGAGCTATGTGTCCTTTGCTGGCCCCAGGATCCCACGGGCTTCCCAGCTGGGGACACTGTGGCAACTTCTGCCTGCTGGGCTGTCTCTTCTGTTCCTGCCGCCACAATCTGACCAGCCTGTTTCCTCTGCTTTGTCCCTGGTGGTGGTTCTTGCTACCTGGTACCAACTCCCTGCCCTCCACCACCTCACCCTACAGGCCTTGATCCTGCGCTTTGTTCCAGCTTGCTTTGTGGTGCTCTCAGCAGCTGCACCATTCCTCCTCCTCATCTAAGGACTGTGCATCTGGAGCCTGGGCCGAGTGGTTAAATGTACCAGCAAGCACAGCCCGGCTAACCCAAGGTCACTCTGGCTCACCTGGCAAGACCCCACCCCACCGAGGACAGTCTGGGCTCTGGTCCTTTGTCTGACAGTCCCTCATTCTGTGGTTGGCTGGCTAAGACTGCCAGCACGAGCTTGGCTGGCTCAGAAGTTCCAAGCCTATGTGTGATTTCCTCCTGCCTGGCCCTGCAGGGTGACTGGTTTCCATCTTGGTCCTCCTGGAGAGTAAGTTGCCTCCTGACTGCCTTTCCAAGCACCTCTGGGGGTCCTGGGCTGAGCTGCGGTGGTGATTGACCGTCTAGCTCTCCTTCTCTGTACACCCACAGCCATGGGGCAGAGGTGACTGAGCAGTGTTCCCTCATGCGCATGTCCCCCATTGGACCCTTACAGCATCCCTTACTTGACTGACTTTCTTTGTCTTTCAGCATCCATGAGGCAGGAAACAGAAGAAAATCCCATCGATTTCAACTATGAGGGTAAGAAGTTCCCCCTTTCCAGATAGGTGTTTGTTCATTGTGGAAAGTGGGGCTATATGTGACAGTGGCCATTCAGGGGCTTGAGGAGGGGGCCAGTGCCCCAGCCAGTGTGCCTTGGGTTCCCTAAGGATGAAGAGGGTCACCTGGGACTCCATAAGAGATGCCAAGAGCAGAGCTGGCCTTGGACCTTCCAGAATGGCACCGTCTCCCCAAGAGGGAGCAGAGGGTGGGTGGCTCACCAGGGTCCAGAGCAGGGAAGCGGCTCTTGGCTGACCCTTAGGAACATTCTAGCTCCTTCCCTGTCTCTGGGCATTGCTGACTGGCGCTCATTGGGCTGTCTTGCTCCTAGAATACTGCGTCCCCAAGGCTGTCACTGGGCTGTGCCGCGCGGCTTTCACACGCTGGTACTATAACACCGAGACAAAATCCTGTGACGTCTTCATCTATGGAGGTTGCCAGGGCAACAAGAATAACTATCTCTCCAAGGAGGAATGCATGCACTACTGCTCCGGTGAGGCGGGTGACAGCTGCCGTTTGGACCCTACTTCTTTTTGGTTCCCTAGTGGAGTAGGCCCTGGCTGTTGGGCAGATGCGTCTTTTGTCCCTCTTGGGGTGTCAAGGCCTCACAGCCTCAGAACAGTGCTCCAGAGAGATGGTACAGGAGGGGAGGTGGGGCACTTGTCTTCCACTCATGTGTAGTGGCTCCAGTCCTGGTTTGGATCCCCTGGCACCACATATGGGTTCCCTGAGCAGTGCCGGGGGACATTCATGATCACAGCCAGGAGTAGCCCTGACTCTCCATGTGTGACCCCAAAACAAAAACAGCCTGGAGAGATAGTATAGTGGGCAGAGAGCTTACATTGCACACAGCTAACCTGGCTTTAATCCCAAGCACCCCATGTGTGGTTCCCCGAGCCCCAGAGCACAGAGCCAGGGTCAGCCCTGAGCACAGCTAGCTGTGAGTCCCCCACTCCCCCCAAACAAAAAAAAAAGCCTCAGAACGGCTGCGTGGAGCCCCTGGAAAGAGCTTCCCCAAAGCCAGGGCTGAAAGGATCGTTGGGGTCAGCTCCAGGGTGCAGGGGCCTCTGCTAAGGCTGTGTTTTCTCCTGCAGGCAAACAGCTGAGCCTCTCGCTGCCCCGTGACGCCAAATGTGAGTGGCCTGCACCCTCCTCCCTACCTGCTGGCCTAGGCTCGGCATAGTGTGCGTGTGTGCTTGAGCGTACGTGTGTGTGTGTGTGCGCGCGCGCACTTGTGTGCCTGCCTGCGTGTCCCTGTGTGCGTGCACACTTTGTGCCTGTGTGTGCGCTTGTGTGTGTTTGCATGTGTGTATGCGTGTGTGCATCACAGCCTCCTGTGTTCTGAGGCACTTGGACCTCTGGGAGGGTCTGTTCTGCCCCCAAGGGACTGGGCAGCTGGACCAAGTGGTGACTGGTCTCTCCCAGTGGGAGAATATGTGGCTGCAGCCCTGCGTCACGTTCCAGACTTGGGGGGACTGTGCTGCCCTGGGTGCAAGGTGTCCGGAAGAAGTTGGAGGGCCCTGCTCCTGTCCATAAGCAGTTGTGTTATTGGGAGGCTGGCAGTGCCAAGCCTGACGTCAGTGAGGGCCTGTTGGCTCCCAGGACCTGCCCCACTGGTTTGGTCTCTTTGGCCTTGTTTTCCTCTTGGAAGCCAAGCCCTGCATTCTCTGCTCCATACTGGAAGGCAGCAGAGCTGGGATCAGGCTGCCAGCTGGGGGTGGAGGGCAGGAGGGGTCACAAATGTTGCTGACCATTCGGGGCATGAGGTACACGGGATCCCCTTCCATCTCTGCCGCTGAGTCTGACCCCTTCCCTGGTGGCGGCCATGCCCGCAGCTGCCCCGCCTCTCTCAGGCTGGTTGGGGTTTGTGGAGACCAGAACCCCCAAATTTATGCTTGCGTCCCCACCAGAGGCGCACAGGGACTCCGTTGCTGGCTGCCCCTGAGAAGTGGCAGAGAGGGGGACCCTGCCTGAGCCCCAGGCGTCCCCTTCACCCGCAGTCTCACGTCTTTGCCTCTTCCACAGTGGTGGTCCTGGCCGGGATCTTCTTCTTGATCCTGGTACTCATGCTGGGCTGCTCCGTGATCTGCCTGATGAAGGTGGCGCGGAGCAACCACGAGCACCATCTGCAAACCATCTGGAGCTCCATGGACGACAAGGAGCACCTGGTGAAGAACACATACGTCCTGTGACTGCCCTGTGGCCCAGCGCCCCTGCCCCAGCCCTGCCATGAGCCAAGGAGGGAGGGCCCACTGTGCGCTTTAAATAGAGTGATTGTGCCCGGAGCTCCTGAGGGCTTAAGTCTGTGTTCTCTGGAAGGGATCGGGCTGCTGCCCGGGGTTCGGCACGAGGAGCCCAGATAATGGCGCGGGCACCCAGCCAGGCCAGAGGCGCCACCCAGTCCTCTCTGTGCTCACGTGTGTTTCCTTCGCTTGTTGAATCCTAGTGCCTCCTTTACTGTCACAGTGCTGATGCTTCACTAGTTCCCTTTGTTTGATACTTGGGTTTTGGTTTTTGTTTTTTCAGTAAGCAGAACAAAAGGTGTTTTTGTTTTTTGGGTTTTTTTTTTTTTAGATTCTCAAAGAAAAAGAGTGAAATGTACACGTTTAATAAAAAAGGGCCTTCCCTTTTAAAATGGTTATTAGCATCTGCCTCCTTTCTTTACGGACTGCCAGGTTATTTTTTTATTTGGGGGGGTGCTGTGCTCAGGGGTACACCTGGCAGTGCATAGGGGACCATGCAGTGCCAGGGATCAGAGCCAGGACTCTTTGGGCAAAGCTGGCACCCCATCCCTGAAGCCCTCTGCCTGGAGAGAGATGCCGGTTTCAGCCTGATTTTGAGCTGTCCCGTTCTAGAAATACATTCCTACCCAGCATGGAGTCTGTCACATCATCAATGAGGTCCATCGAGGTCATTCACCCCACAACCTGAACAGGCTTCACTGAGTCTGTAGTGAGTGATGATCTTTGCTCTCTCTCCAGTGCGCGAGTTATCCCTCAGCACCACCATGCCCTCTTGGCCCTTGAGCACTAGTGGGATGTCCCTTGATTTCCCTGATAGTAGCTTCTAGCCACAGAATCACATCAAACCATCCAGCTTGGTTGGCTGAGTATTGCAGGGAGTGGATCCTGAGCCCCCTGGATACTGCTTGGGAACCAACATTAAATTAATTTTTAAAAATAGATTTCTGGGCTGGAGTGATAGTACAGAAGGTAGGGTGCATGCTTTGCATGCAACTGACCCAGGTTTGATCCCATATGGCTCCCCAAACCCACCAGGTGATCCCTGAACACAGTGTCGAGCTCAAGCCCTGAACACCAGTGGGTGTGGCCCTCCCCAAATGTAGATTTCTGGCTACATCCCACGGAACTGATTTTTTTGTTTGTTTCCTTTGGGGGCCACACTGGCAGTGTTCAAGGTTTACTTCTTTCTGGCTCTATGCACAGGGATCACTCCTCATGGGACTCAGGGAACCTTATAGGGTGCAGGTGATGGAACTTGGGTTGACCACATACAAGGCAAGTACCCTAACCACTGTACTGTGTCTTCAGCCCCAAGCCCTGGCCCTCTTGATCAGGGGCCCCCCAGAGGGGTTTCAACTCATGCCTCCTCACTGAGGTGGGACCCTGCCTGCCCACACCCTGCCCTGGTCCGTGTGCAAATGCTTGTTCCTCCACATCCGACCCTTGCAAATGGCACTTCTGGGGATGAGGAGAGTGCATGATGGAGAGAGAGGGGTCAGGGGTGCGCGTTCTGATCCTGGAGAGAGCAGTACCTCATCACCTGGGCAGTGGATGCCTGCCACTTCAGGAGGGGGCGCAGGGCCCATCATTGCTCTCCCTCCGAGATCCTTCACCAGCTGTTCAACAGTTGGCAGCCTCTTGGTGGCTTCAGTACCCACTGGAGGGACTGGAGTCATAGAACAGCAGCCGAGGTATCTGCACACAGCTGACCCACGTTACATCCCTGGCCACTCATACGATCCTCCACGCACCTCTGAGAGTAACTTCTGAGCACAGAGCCAGGAGTAAGCGCTGAGCTCCATCTGGTGTGTCCTGAAAAATAAAATCCCCACTGGAACTTCCACCCCCTACCTGGTAGATGGGGGACCCCACCCTCAGGTGTTACTTCACGTAGGCATGGCGTGGCCTGGTTATAGTCTGGTTGGCATACTCACAACTGACGCCCGCGCTACCCCGAGCTATGCCAGTGTGGCAACGGAGGCTGCAGTTTGTCCATGGCACAGCCCACTGACCCACAAACCAATGCAGTGGCCACCTCCCGAGCTGTTGTCCTGTGCCACACTATGGTGGATGGTGGGAGAGAACAAGCCGTCATCTGTCTCCCTCCTTAATTTGGATGGATTCTGGCAGAGGCACCTGAAGGCAGCTGGCAGGATGACCTTCAACCTGTGCTGGCCAGCTGCGGTCAGCCTGGTGTGTGTGTCCCGCTGCATCAGGTCCCAGGCCGCTGACCAGGCTGTCTCATAGCTGGATTCCTCCTGGTAGTGAAATGCCGGAACCCTGGTTCCATCCCCAGCACTGCCTGGTCTCCCGCACACTGTGGGGAAAACCCCGAACACTGACAAGTTTGAAGAAATTAATGCATGAGGCAAGTGGGAATGAAGTGGACCAGCCTGTTAGATTATTAGTTCAGTGTGATTGAATGTTGTCACGTGAAAATTCACCAGCAGTCAAGTGGGCTGGATTGCTGGGGCAGAACGCCCCCGGTCTCCTGCTGCATGAGGAATGCCATGAGAGAGCAGTGCGGCAGCACATCAGCCTCTGCCCGGCAGGATGGCCCCCATAAGGAGTTTGCAGAGGAATTTGTTACTCTGTCAGGTCCTTCCCCAGTGTTGGGACCGATCACAGGCCGATCTTGGGGCATGAGTGCACTGCTCCCCTAGGGCGAAGAGCAGGCTTTCCTGCTGCTATCGAAGTGGCAGCTACCCCGCTCCCTGCAGCCCTGGGGTACAGTGTCCATCTGGCCCCACACAGGAAAGCCAATCCCTGCTGGGAGGAGTGATTTTTGCCTCCCACCTGGAGTGAGTATAAAAGCCTGTGTGCGTGTGCATGCGCGCCTGTGCAGTGCCAGGGAGCAAACTCAGGACCTCACCCGAGCATGGCAAGCTCTAACTACACCAGAGACCCCACCACCGCCTCTATCTACCCCCTGGAGTTAAGGGTCTGCCAACCTATTGAGAAGAGGCGAATTTATTAGCTTCTAAAGAGTGAAAGGTCATCTGGGTAGAGGCTGAGTTCAGGTCACCCCAGCCGGTTTGTCAGTCCCGGGGCACTTCCCAGTGTGTCCAGGGCAGCGCTTTTGTCTGGGAAAGGGAAACTCAGTCTGATGCTCTGACCTCCCTTCTCCTGCTGTGTGGTTGAGATCAAAGAAAGCGTTCCAGAACAGGGACTTTGGTATCATAAGCCCGGGGCTCTTGATAAGAAGCTGCATGGGAGAAAGGGCACCAGGGCTGCAGTGCCGCAGTGGCTGCTTTTGCAGTGGGCATGGCCATCCTGGTTCCAGCCCCCTCCCTCCCCAACAATCCCCACCTCCCAGCCCCACCATCTTGATTTCCCAGACTACCAGGTCAGCTCCGAAAGCTGCTGAGTTGCAGTGTTGGACCCCAACTGTGCCTGAAGTCCACCTTCTGGGGGACTGTAGGTGAAAGGCCAGAAAGGGCAAGTGGATTGGGGGCAATGGGCAGCATGGACAGTACTGGGAGCGGTTGGGAACACAGTTGTTCAGGAGTGACCATTGCTTGTACCTGAGAGTCACACAGCTGAACTGAGGAGGACTGCAGGGGAGGCCGATCTTCCTGTGCCAGCCAGGCACCAAGGCAGCTCAGTCCCACCTGTACCCACTCTGAGTGGGGCACGGCTGGGGCGGACAGACCACTACCCCTGCTCCTGGTGGCCAGGGTATTGGCCAGGGGCAAATGTCCAGAGAACAGTGAGGATGGCCGCGTGCTCGGTCTTGCACCTGCATTTGCACCTGCTGGACGCCTCGCCTCCCTGCTCTCATCTGCTTCCTGTAAACCTGGACGGGGCAGGGGCTAAGCCAGGTCCTTGAGCCGACAGGCCCAAATGCCCCTCATCCAATTGTCCCCTTTCCACTCCCCCCTCCCCCTTTTGGGCCAAACCCAGCAATGCTCAGGGCTTACTCCTGGCTCTAGGCTCTGTGAGCTCCAGCTCCTTCTTCCTTCAGTGCCAGAGCTCCAGGTTTCGGTGGGAACGTGGGTTCCCAGGTTCCTCGCAGCCACTCTGGGCCTTATGCCTGAATCCTGGCTCAAGGGACTGAACCGCTAACGATCCTTAGAAGGAAGTGTGTGGGAGCTGGAGCCATAGTATAACGGGTCTAGGGTGTTTGCCTTGCAACAACCTAACCTGGGTTGGATCCCTGGCACCCCATATGGACCTGAATACTGCCAGGAGTAATCCCTTGAGCACCACCACATGTGACCCCAAAACAAAAAAGGAAGTGTATGGCCAGAGGTAGCTCTGCAGGCAGGACCCCTGACATACGACACCCAACAGGCATAGCCAAGTGTGTCCAAACAGGAAGAAAGGAAGCCATGTGCCTGGGAGGGCCACAGCCAGCTCCCCAGGACAGTACCCTGGAGGGACAGTGGAGCAAGGAGGTGGAAACAGGACCATGGGCCTCGAGGCTACCCTCCTCCACCTCCCTCCCATCCCTTCCCTCCCTCCCAAGGCTCGCCCCCTCCTCACCACCCTTTCACCCTCTTACTCTCTCCACCTCTGCTTCCATATTGGAAAATGTGTTGGTCTGGAAAAGATACTGCCTCCCTTACAAGGAACTGAGGGGAGCCAGGCTGTGTCCCCATACCCCTCCACAGAGGTAGCTGCCTGACTGCCGCCACCCCCCAGCCCTGCCCCTGCCCCTCGAAACCACATGGCTTTTACCAAGGACATCCCGTGCGGTTTCAGGAGGAACCGTGCTGTTCAGGAGGAAATCAGAACTGACTTCTTCCCCCTTCCCGTTCTGGGTCTAAGGGCCAAGGTGCATGCACCCACTTCCACGTGGCTGCAGTGCCAGTCGCACACCAGTGAGGCCCATTGGACTCTTGACCTCACTGTTGCCACATCCAGCCTCCCCTCCCAGCTGTCATCTGCTTCCTCTAAGCCCAGGCAGGGCAGGGGCTAAGCGAGGTCCCCGCGTTGACAGATGCCAATGCGATCCTTCCCCCCCACCCCCTCGCTGCAATTTCCCCTTCTTAAGCACCAGAGTCACAGGTTTCAGCAGGAATACAGTTCCCAGACCCCTGTACATCAGTGAACCTGAGCTACTGAAGGTCCTTAAGAGAAAGCATGTGGTGCCGGAGTGATAGTACACTGGGTAGGGCATTTGCCTTGCACACGGCCGACCCGGGTTTGATCCCCGGTATCCCATATAATCTAAGCAACACCAGGAGTAATTCCTGAACATCACCGGACATGATCCAAAAAGCAAAAAAACAGGAAGCATGTGACCAGAGGTAGTCCGACAGCAGACTGCACACACCCCCGGGTACCCCACGGGTGCTTGTGCTCAGCTCATTAAGCTCTGCCCCACCAAAATATATTTGGGGAGGTGCACAGCCTGTGGTGCTCAGAGTTTAATCCTGGCTCTTATCAGGGATCACTTCTGGCAGGACGCATATCCAGGTGCTGGGGATTGAACCTGGGTTGGCACTGTGCATGGAAAGTATTATCTCTCCGACCCATCAAACCTAACACTTCAGAACATGTACTTGCCTCATGCTAGGCAGGCTCTCCTGATGAGGTAAGTTTTCAATTTCACAGAGGAGGAAAGGGGGCTGCACTGGGCCCACTTACTTGTCCAGAGCTGGGGAGGTGGAGGGAGGTGTGTTTTGTAAGTGGACAGAGCCAGTATGGTCACTCTCTTTAACCTACACTCTTGTCCAGCACTGGGTCAGGGGCCCTCAATGAGGGAGCTCCAGCTCAATCACCCCGCCCTGGGAAACTCACCCTGTGAATGATTGATTGGGAGGTGGGGGAACAAACCTGGGTGCAGGCTCGCTCTGGGCAGGCGTCCCTATGGCTCCCCGCACCCCCAGCCCCTCACCTCCTGCCTTTCTGCTGCCCTACAGGCTCACTCCAGCTGGGCTCTGCTCTGCTGCCACTCTGCCAACAACATTCTTGTGTGTGTGGTTTTTGTTTTGGGGCCACACCTGATTGCTCAGGACTGAACACGGGTTGCCCAGTGCTTTACTCACTACAGTAAGGCAAGTGCTTTCCTTACTATTCTCTTCCCACCAACGCCCCGCCCCCGTGCCTTTTTGAGTCTCCCCCAGAAGGTTTGGCCTTGGATTGGAGCTCACAGCCAGGCATGCCAGTGAGTTCTGGCCTGTGTCACATGGGCTCCTCAATTTTTACGACTATTGGTCCCTGGGTTTTGATTTTTTCATTTGCGAAACAGTAATTTGCAGTGTCTATTGGAGGTAATGCAGGAGCGCTGACGTTGCACGCTGCGTACCACAGTTCATCCAGGGCACCACCAGAGGTCACGCTTGAGCACCACTGGGTGTGAGATTCCGCCCTTCACCCTTGGAAACGACAAAAATCCAGTCACAGCCATCCCATTCTAGAATGGTCTGCATCCCAACCAGAGTATTTCATTCCTTTCTTTCGCTTTATGGAGTCCCCTCTTCTGTCCTATCCTAAATAAAACTTTTACTTTCCGCCCAGAGAGATTGCTCAACATGCAAAGTTCCACTTCAACCCCCAACCCTGCAGCTCCCCAAGGACAGACCTCCCAGTTCACCCCTGAGAACCACAGGGTGTGACCCCAAAAGGGAATGAAAAGACAAAGGTCTTCTGCGTTTTAAAAAGTAACGATGTTAACAATGTAACAGGAATGGTGACAATATTAACTATGTAATAGGAACAGTGACTATATTAACAAGAGAGTAGGAATAGTAACAATGCCTACTTTTCCTTTGAACAACTCCGTTTCACAAACGCTCATTCTGAGCCAGCCAATCCTAGGAAACAAATTCCTATAGCCTGTCCCTTCACCCCACGCGAAGCTGTCATAGGTGAAAAACGGAGGCGGTTACAGGTGGACCAGCCGCGTCCACCAAGTCAGCAGCACTAAGAGTTACATCTGAGCTTGGGTCCTCGGCCCCGCGGCCCCGGACGCTGCCCCTGACCCAGCCTGCAATGCGAGTTAACACTGCGAAGCTGGACTGGGGGACCGCAGGGCACAAGGGCACCGCCTAATTTCTTTAAAGGTGGGCGCCTGGCGGGCTGGAGCGATACAGCGGGTAGGGCGTTTGCCTAGCACGAGGCCGACTCGGGTTCAATCCCCAGCATCCCATATGGTCCCCTGAGCACCGCCAGGAGTGATCCCTGAGTACAGAGCCAGGAGGAACCCCTGTGCATCTCCAGGTGTGACCCAAAAAAGCAAAAAAAAAAAAAAAAAGTGGGAGCCTGGCCCTTTGAGGTGCGGGCGGGAGGGCTAACGACAGCCCTCGCCCCTCCCCAGAAGTCTGCAGCGGCCGGGAACCCCCACGCCCAGCCCCTCACTTCCCAGGGAGCAGCCGGGCGCGGCGGTGACTCACAGCCCAAGACTCTGGGCTGGGGCAGGTGCGCCCGGCGCCAGGTGCAGCTCCGCCCCGCTCCCTGCGACCTGCGACCCGCGACCCTCGGACTGCACTCACGCCTGCTCCCACTGCCATGGAGTTTGACCTGGCGGCAGGTAAGCTCCGAGGACGGGAGGGTTGAGGTGCGCGGTCAGACGCGAGATCGGGCAGCTCTCCGTGGGCACTGCTGCGCAGGTACCCACCCGACCTCTCTCCGCAGCCCTGGAGCCCCATCCCAAGAAGCCCCAGGGGGCCGGAGGCCCGGGCGCCCCCAAGCATGGGCCCCCCAAAGCTCAGGTTAGTCACGGGAAAGTGGAGGGCGGAGGGGTGGGGTTGCGTTTCGTGGGGGCCACGAAGGGCCGGGCCTCACTGTCTCCGTCCACCCAGCACGGCCACGGCCACGGCCACGGCCACGGCAGCTCCGACTCCAGCAGCAGCAGCAGCAGCTCCAGCGACTCGGAGAAGGAGACGAAGGTACGCGTCCCCGCGCCGACCCCCGCCGTGCGGCCCGGGCGGTGCCCCCGGAACCCGGGCGCACACTCACTGGGCTCCTCCCCCTCTCCCCCGCCCCAGGCTGCCGACGGCTCGCAGCACGCCCAGAAGCCCAAAGTGAAAAAGAAGAAGGAGAAGAAGGGAAAGGACAAGCGGGCCCCCCACTGACCGGGCTCAGGCGGGGCTCATTAAATAAACCCTCGCCTTCGCCCTCCCTCGGGCCCGACCGTTCCGAGCTCCTGCGGTGGGGAGGCCCTTCCCGGTCCCCGGCCGCCCCCTGCTGGCCGCCCCGCGCCGCCGCCGTCGCCAAGGAAAGACCCCGCCTGGGCCGAGCGCTTCAACGTTTATTGTGTTTCTGAAGCTGGGGCCGCGCGGCGGGGGCGGGACCGGGGCCGGCGGGGGCGGAGCCTGGTCCGCTGGGGGCGGGGCCGCGAGGTGGGGGCGGGCCCGGGCGGGCCCTCAGCGAACCAGGTGGAAGGTGAGCCAGTACATGAGCAGAGGCTGCGCCGCGGCCACCGCCATGGTCAGGTACATGCGCAGTTGGTTTCGTGCGCCCCGCACCGGGACGCCTTCGGCCGCAGCTTCCGCCAGGATCTTTAGGCGCAGTGTCCGGATCTGCGGCGCGAAGGGGTGGGGGTCAGCCAGCGGGGCGCTTGGAGAGCTCCCTCCTTCCCAATCCCTGCCCCTTGGCCTTGGTGCTGCCTCCTGTCCCCAGGGGTCCCTGCCCCTCTGTCACCTCCAGTTCCTCTCCCCCACCGCAGGTGGGCTCCTGCTGGGCCCTGGTAACCCAGTCTCCCAACAGGCCTAGGGCTTGCCCCTCCAAGAGTCGTGGGAAAGTGCCAGGGGTGGCCCCTCAGCGGTGTGTGGGGACCTTCCTTCTTGTCGCTGACTACGATCCTGCTGGGGTGTATGTATGTGACTATGGTGGCCAAGGAGACGTGATTTTGAGGGTGTGGTGGTGAGGCACGGCACTCTACCTCTGCACAGCAGGGACCACTGGGATGGAGCCAGAAAGGCTTTTAAAGAAGCCCTAAACGATGACATCGAAAGTCAAAGCCTGTCTTGAGGGTCAGCTCTGGCCATTTATGTTCTGAGCAACTCAGTCCTGCTCCCACTGAGCCCTCCAGGACCCAGAGGTGCAGCGATCACCCCCATTTTACAGAAGGAAATCGGTTTCATAAGAGCAAGGGATTTGCCCAGGAGCCACTCAACCCAAATGCTCTGGACCAGCAGCTCCTTTTGGAGTGGGGGGTGGGGAAGGACTGCTGAACCTTTTGTCATCTGACCAGAAATCCTGGCAGGAACAGGGTTTCCCACTGTGTAAAAGCGAGTGGGATGTCCCTGAGGGCCCTCCCATCCCACCCCATGGCCTGCTGGCCTTTTTCCTTCAGACCCCAGCTTTTTTTGTTTCTTGGGCCACACCTGGCAATGCTCAGGGGTTACTCCTGGCAGTGCTCAGTGGACCATATGGGACAGTGGGATCAAGCTAGGTTGGCCACATGCAAGACCAGCTCCCCACCCACTGTACTGTAACTCCAGCACCCAGATCCAGCTTTGACACCCCTCTCTCCTGTTTCCAGTAAGCCCTCCTCACCCTTACTCAGACTGGGTTAGCCACCAGGGTTCCTTCAGCAATGGGGCTCAGACCTGAGCTCAGACATTTCTGGGGCCCCTCAAGTCCGCCCGGGTCCCCTCTTTCCGAGTGCCAGCTCACCATGAACACGAAGATCGACACACAGCACCAGCCCAGCACCAAGTAGTAGCCTATCTTCCCAAAGAGCAGGCCCATGAGGACCCCGCCGATCATCCTGTGGGCAGTTGGGGCGGGTCAGAGGGAGAGGCGGCTGGAGGGGGGCTTGTGGGGGCAGTGGGAGGGGGCACGGGAGTACTCACCCAACATACTTGTAGCCCAAGAAAGCCACCAGGTCGATGGTGGTGAGGTCGGTGTTGGCTGTGACCAGGTAGAGGCTGAGCAGGATGGCCAGCACCTCCAGGGTGAGCCAGGCCAAGGCCGAGCTCGCCTGAAGCCCCAAGATATCTGGGGAGAACCTGCCGGCCCCCAAGATGCATCACAGGTCACCGAGGTCAGGGCCTCCCTGAGCCGCTCTGGCCCTGGGAAAGCCCTGTGTGGATGTGGGGGAGTAGTGCTGGGACCAAGGTGGGTCTGGGACTTGTCCCCAGGAGGGCCCCTCCTGAGAAGGAAAGAAGGGTGACCTAGCCCCCAGAAGGCCAGGGTGGGGAGCGCATGGGGGGGCTCTGGGAAAGCTGGGAGGTACCTGGGTCAGTTGGGAAGGGGGATCAAGTGAGCTAAGGCTGGTGGCTGGGAGGGGAGCAGGCCAGGGAACCTTGACAGCTCATCACTGAGCCCCAGTGGCACCTGCTTTCCAGGCCACCAAGGAAATGGACAGGATGAGGAAGAAGAGTGGAGGGGTAGAGAGTAAGGTGCGATTGCAGACACTGGGAGCAGCTGGTTAGAAATGCCATGTACACCCGGCCTGAGAGGTGCATGTGCAAAGGCCCAGGGGCAGCGAGGAAAGAGGACAGAGCGGGGAGCAGAGGGGTGGCTGGAGCGCAAGTTGGGTTAAGGAGACTTAGTGCACTAGGGGCCGTGGGGGCTGGGGCAGTTTCTGAGCAGCTGGACCAGGGCCAGACCCCCTTCTAAATGAGACTCTCCATGCTGCTCTGAAGGGGGCAGGGCAGTTAGGAGACATCAAAGATGAGGATGGAACTGCGGATGAGGTGAGTCAGACACGCAGGGCCTGGGGTTGGGGCCCAAGGTGGGAGACAGGGAAGAGGTGAGGGGACCCCAGGGCCCAACTCTCCCAGATGCCCTCCTCTGCCCACTCCAGGCCTCTCTTACCTGTCTTGGGTCCCCAGCGCAAGACCAGCCACCAGGATGTAGGTGATGAAGGCCATAGCTGTGGGGTGGAAGGATGGGTCAGGGGAGGGCAGTGTGGCACCTGAGTACCAGACAGGCCCATGATTGGGGGTCAGAGGGTGGGAGGGGGGCTGCTGAAAACCTGGAATGTAGAGGTCGGGAGCGTTGACGTCAAAGCGGGGGGCAACGGGTGTGTCCTGCTGGTACTGCACCTCCCAGTCCTGTGGGGACAGTTGGGGAACAGGCCGGAGTCTCAGAGCCGGGCTCCTCCCGCCCTTGCTGACCCTGTCCAGGGCTGTCACTCTCACTCACTGCACACCCTCAGGGGCCAGTGCTGACCTGGTGCAGGTAGGGAAAGACGAGCAGGCCCAGCTTCCGGCCCACGTACATGGTGTCCACGGCAAAGTAATACTTGAGCTTGGTGACGGGGATGAAGCGGTCAATCTGGAGAGACAGAGCTCAAGCCTGGAGCCCCCCACCTCCTGTCGCCCACCAGGGTTCTCCTCCCCACCTCCCATACCCCCCACCTCCCATACCCCCTGCACAGTGCTCCCCCTGCCCTGACCCACTCACGTTCTTGTCCATGAGCTCCTTGCCCTGCGCAGCCAGGGTGCTCCCATAGGCCATCGCCATGTTGGACATCGGGTCCGTCAGGAAGGCGGCCTGGGGTGACGTGGAGGCCGCCGGGTAGCCCATGCCACCGGCCACCCGCTGCGCCCCATAGCCCCGGCTCTGGGCTGCACTCGTGTCATCAAACAGCTGGTGGGGGTCCGTCATGCCCGGCTGAGACACAGGGGTCCTCCGCTTGGAGGCTGCAGAGGAAAAGAGGGGTGGTGACTCGCTGCTCAGGCAGTGGAGAGGGGCCTGTCCCCAGGGCACTGACTCGAAGGCCTCAGGGCTGTCTAGCGGGGCTCAGTAGCCACCCACCCGGAGGACAAAGGGGCATTCCCTCTGCGTGCTAAAGACCCACGGTCTCGGTCCCCCCCAGCAGCAGGCCCCACTGTGGGGAACCTTTGCCTTGTTCCCAGCCAAACCCCTACATCCTAGACTACGATCAGAGTAGGCGCTTGATGGGGCTGGAGTAATAGCACAGCGGGTAGGGCGTTTGCCTTGCTCGCGGTTGACCCGGGTTCGATTCCCAGCATCCCATATGGTCCCCTGAGCATCGCCAGGAGTAACTCCTGAGTGCAGAGCCAGGAGTAACCCCTATGCATCACCGGGTGTGACCCCAAAAAGCAAAAAAATAAAAAAAGGTAGGCGCTTGATAAAATCCTTAGCCATTCTACAGATATGGAAACTGAGGCCCAGAGAAGCTAAGGGAGGGCCAAAGGAGTGTGGGACAGAGCAAGAGTCCAACCAGGTCAGCCTGATAAATACTGCCATAACAAACCCCTCACTGTGCTCTATTTGGTGGGGGCTCCACAACTGGAAGTGCTCAGGGCTTACTCCTGGCTCTGTGCTCAGGGATCTCTCTGGCAATCAAAGTGACTAAGGCCCATGTCCAAAGTATTGCACAGGTATAAGGCAGGTCTCAAAGGTTTTCAAAAGTTCCCTCTGGGAACAAATGAGGGGCAGGGGTTGGGATGTGACCAAGCGGGGACAGGGAGACATGGGGGAGGCTGTTAAGCTGGTTCAGGTGGGAGACCAAGATGAAGGGGGCCGGGGAGGGACTCTGCCCTAGGCCACTGCTCAGGACCAAGAAGTCTTTTTTGTTTTTTGGGTGTGACCCCACCCCCCACAATGCTCAGAATATTCAGGAGTTACTCCTGGCTCTGTGGTAAGGGATCACTCCATGCTGTGCTCAGGGGACCATATGGAATTCCGGGGATCAGACCCAGGTCAGCTGCGTGCACGTAAGGCAAATGTCTTACCCACTGTGCTGTCACCCCAGTCCCTGACCGAGAAGTCTTGCAGCTCCTGAACTCTGCTGAGCTCGTCCCATGCCAGGCTCTGCCAAGCACAGGCAACAGGATGGTAGGATTACGAAGGGCGGGGGATGGAGGAATCAATCAGAGATAAATTTTCTTTATCTCTTGTTTCAGGGGAGCACACCCGGCAGTGCTTGGGGGTCGCTCCCGGTGGTGCTTGGGGGGCCATCTGTTGCTGGGAATCAAACCCACAGCTCCCACATGCCAAGCATGGAGGGGGTTGGAGAGACAGTGCAGCTGGCAGGGCGCTTGCCTTGTCCACAGCCAGGCCGGGTTCAATCCCTGTTGCCTGATACAATCCCCTGAGCCCTGCCAGGAGTGACCCCTGAGCGCAGAGCCCAGGAACGAGCCCTGAGCATCACCCAGTGTGACCAAAAACTAAAAATAATGATGTAACACGCAAAGCATGTGTTCCAGCCCTTTTGAGTCATGTCCCCAGCCCATGTGGCAAGGCCAATGAGACCTGATTTTGTGTGTGTGCAGGGGTGGGGGGTTGAGGACCGCACCCGGTGGTGCTCAAGGCTTATTGTTGCTCTGTGCTCAGGGATCATTTCTGGTGGGGCTTAAGAGATCCTATGGGGTGCTAAGGATTGAACTTGAGCTGGCCACATGCAAAGCAAACGCCCTCCTTCCCAGCTATACTATCTCCCTAGCCCCAGTCACCTCAGTTTTCTCTGGAGAAAGTCGGTCAACAGCCCCTCTCCAGAGGACGTGTTAACAGTCATCAATCTTTGTTTCCTATTCTCACCACTAGCCCCTCCCCCCATTCTTGCTGCCAACCAGTTGTGATCTAGACGCACACTCAGGAGGCCCAGCCTTCTAAAAGCTCTGGGGTGGGTCAGAGAGACAAAAAGTACAGTGGGGGTGGGGGGGGTGGAGGGTTAGGAGGTTGTCTTCAATCTCCTGGACCCCATAGGGCCCTGAAGCCCTGCCAGGAGGAACCCTGGGTACCACCAGTTGTGGCCCCAAAATAAACTAAAAGCCCTTTGGAGGGAGCCTCCCTTCCCTGCCACCCTCAGTCCTTGGTACTCGGGGTTCAGCTCAGCAGTTTCCCCAATGTCTTTCGGCTCTCACCAAGAGCAGCCCCTGAGGCTGCCGCCTTCCGCATCCCCACCAGCAACTGCCATCTCCCAGGTCCTGGCTGCCACTAGACCCATTTTCTCTTTCCTGCTGGAGCTCCGCAGTGGGGGTGCTGAGGATTGCAAAGACCCAGACCAACCCTCCGTCTTCGCTGAGCTGCTGATCAGGCTTCGAGCCTGGTTTCCAGCTCCCTGAACCGTGGGACCCAGACTTCTACCCCTGCCCAGGCTTCTCTCCCCTCAGGCTCTCTCACCCCACCACGTGGAGAGGGGTGCCCGGGGCCCCATCGCCAGCCACCACTTCCCTCCAGGCTGCAGACCAGTTCCAGACACTTGCTCAGGTGGCCCCGGGGCCCTTCCTCAGTGTCGGAACCTGCTTCTGTCCATACCCAACCAACCTGTCCCGCCGCCTCTCAGCGTTCTCTGCCTCCCTCTGGCACTGTCCTGGATGTCCCAGCGCACGGACCGGGTCCCTCCGTCCAGTCTCGGCCCAGCCTCCCCTCCAGCTGGCAGCCAGGCTGTCTTGATAATTTTGTGATTTTGCGGGTATTCCCCGGGGCCCCATCCTGGAGTTGCCTTTCTAAATGCAAAAGAGAATGTGCCATCTCCTTGGCCTAAAAATCAGTACCCAAGGGCTGGAGTGATAGCACAGCGGGTAGGGCATTTGCCTTGCACATGGCTGACCCGGGTTCGATTCCCAGCATCCCACATGGTCCCCCGAGCACCACCAGGAGTAATTCCTGAGTGCATGAGCCAGGAGTAATCCCTGTGTATCGCTGGGTGTGACCCAAAAAGCAAAAAAGTAAAAATCAGTACCCACTGGGCTGAGAATGAAATATAAATTCTTCCTAAGCCCTCACCACCCCCTTCGGGCTCCGGGTACCCCAGCCACAGTAGCCAGCCTCCTCCTTTCCCCTGCCCACGCTGCACCCATGCAGGCCTTTGAACATGCAGCCTCACTGCCTGGGCACACCTCCCCTTGTGGCCCCCAGTGGGCACTCACCGGGCCCACACCTGGGTCAGACCCACGATCCGAATCCTCCACCTCACTGCTAACCCTCTCCAGGCCCCGTCCCCTCCGAGCACACAGCGCCATGTCTAAGTATATCTCCACTCACCTACTAATTTACAAGGCCCCAGCTTCTGAGGTTTTTCCTCCCTCTCACCACAAATCTTCTGGAGAAAATCCTTCACTGACACATGTACCTCTACTAGGGCACCAGGACTGACTCGCACACACCTCCATCCCAGCCCAAACTGCTCACACAATTTTCTTTTCCTTCTTTTTTAAAAATTTTTGGGCCACACCCAACTGCTCAAGGCTTTACTCCAGGCTGTGCTCAGGGATCACTCCTGAGGGGGGCTCAGGGACCATGTGTGATGAAAGGGATCAAGGCAAATGTCGACCCTCTGTGCTATGGCTCAGCCCAGCACTCCCAGGATGTTCACCTGTGCCCACTCCCCCAATACCCTGGCTCCCCTGGGTGAGGAAAGTCAAACTGTGTCCTGGGAGCTCCATCAAGAGAGAAGCCAGGTGCCGGAGCTACAGGACAGTGGGGAAGGCATCTGTCTTGCCTGCAGTTGATCTGGGTTTTATCCCCAAGCCTGCCTGAGTGATCCGAGTAAGAGCCAGGAGTAAGCCCTGAACACAACAGGGTGTGGCTTGAAAAGACAGAAACCAGGGTGGTCTTCCCTGCATCGTCCACTGGTATGGTCTTCCCTGCATCGTCCACTGGTATGATGTATGATGGGTAGGGAACTTTTTAATTTTTTTTTTTTTTTTTTTTGCTTTTTGGGTCACACCCAGCGGTGCTCAGGGGTTACTCCTGGCTCTGCATTCAGGAATTAATCCTGGTGGTGCACAGGGGACCATATGGGATGCCGGGGGTTGAAGCTAGGCCGGCCTTACCCACTGTACCATTGCTCTGGCCCCATCAAAAATTTTTAAGAGGGGACAGAGAGACAGTACAGTGGGGAAGGCACTTGCCTTGCATGCGATCGACCCAGGCTCAACCCACAGGCAGGAGTAGGCCCTGAGCATCACCAGGTGTGACCCCATCCCCCAAATTTTTTTTAAGGGGATGGAGAAATACTACAGTGAACTAGGTGCTTCCTCTGGGTTCCTGAGTTCAACCCTCAGCACCTCCCTTTAGTCTCCCTAGCACTACTAGTAATAATCCCTGAGCACAGAACCAGGAATACGAACTGAGTACCATCGAAGGTGACCCCAAAATAAATTAAATTTTTTTTTAATTTGGTCTTTTAGACTACCACTGGCGATACTCTGGGGATACTTCTGGCTGTGCAACTCAGGAATTATTCCTGGCAGTGCTTGGGAACCATATGGGATGCCGGGGATCAAACCTAGGTTGGCCATGTGCAGGGCAAGTGCCCCACCCACTGTACTATCTCTCCAGCCCTACAAATTAAAATTTTTATTATTATTTTTTCGCTGTTGAGACACAGTCGGTGGTGTTCAAGGGTTTACTCCGGGCTCTGAAATTGGGGACATGTGGTGATGAGAACCCATTCCAAATGTTCTCCGGCCCTCAGTAGGACACCTTTTTAAGGCAGAGAAGGGAGGTGTGTCCACTGTGCTCTCCTTCCACTGGGAGGCTTCTCAAGCCCCAGCTACATCCCAGATTATTCTCTTTCCAGCTTCTGATTATGCCCCAAATTATCATGCTGCCTCATTGGCCACCTACCTGAGTGTCTGGCCAAACAATCCAGTGCTCTGAGTTAACAGGAACCAAGGCTATGCTGCTGGTTGGACTACCCAAGTGTTTTATTTGACCCATTAATGGGACAGTCCCACACTCCCGAGATGAGAAGGAAACTTAAGGAGAGGCAAAGTCATAGAAACAGGAACATGAGATCAGGTTCCAAGTTTTAGTGGGGTGGAATGGGGGAGGGAAGGGGTGGCGTCTCTCCCCCCATCGGAGCAGGGCCGCTAACTCTGGAACTGAGTGTGGCCGACAGCTGGTAAGCAAAGGGCTGAGAGTAGGCTGCAGAAAGTCTTTTTTTTTTCCCTGCATATCACACTATATTCTGCCAAAGTTGTTGGGGGGGGAGGGTGTTTGGTTAAAAATTCCCCCCAAAAAAGGAAGAATCGTGCACCCTGGGATGCAGCTCACTGGCAGAGCACATACTTCGTATGTAGGAGTTCCCGGGTTCGATCATCAGCATCTCCCATCCCGACCCCCTCCCCAAAAAGTCAAAATAAGACAATGAACGGACCCCAGCGCGCCACCTACCCGGCCCCGGCATCCTAGCGCACACCTCAAAAGTCTCCAGATACCTGACCTCCTGACCTCCGACCTGCGACGACCACGCCAACCGCCGCGGCAGGTCCCGCCACGCCCCCACCCGCCCGCTCTCCGGGGTCGGCCACGTACGCCACTTACGCTGCCGGGGAGTCCCCGCCGCCGCCGCGCCCGCCGAATGCATCGTTCCCTGCTACCCCGGCCGCCGCCGCCGCCGCCGCCGCCCAGCCGCGGTTCGAAATGTGCCCGCCCGGCTCCCGTAGCCACGCCCCTCCGGTGATACTCCAGCCAATGGGCGCCGCGATCGCGCTGAGGCCACGCCTTCCGCGGGGGCCTAGACCAGTCGGCGGGGCCTAAGAGCGGGGGCGGGAGGAGGTCGGTGATTGCCGGAGTCCCGAGCCGAGGGCCGGGAGGGCGGCGCCGGGAGCTACTCTCGGAATCAGCGCTGTCATGCCTGGTGGGAAACGTAGGTGGCGAGCGAAGGGGTCGATGGGAAATGAAGTCCTAGGTCGGCAGCTGTTCAGTTCGATCGGGAGTCCTCGGTAGCCACGGGAAGGCGTGGCTTCCTTCCCTAAGGAGAGGTCCCGCTGCTTTCCTGAGGGGCTAAATAGCGCCAGTTAGGGGGGCTGGAGAGAGAGTACAGCGGGGAGGGTGCTGGCCTTGCATGCGGCCGCCCCGGTTTAATCCCTGCTATTCTTTATGATTTCCCCGGTGCACCGTCGGGAGTAATTCCTGAGTGCAGAGCCAGGAGTTAACTCCGGAACAGCGCCGGGTGTGGTCCTTTCCCCCAAAAAATTAACATTAAAAAAATAGCACTTGGGGGCTGGAGCAATAGCACAGCGGGTAGGGCGTTTGCCTTGCACGCGGCCGACCCAGGTTGGATTCCCAGCATCCCAATATGGTCGGTCCCCTGAGTACTGCCAGGAGTGATTCCTGAGTGCAAAGCCAGGAGTAAGCCCTGCACATCGCGGGGTGTGACTCAAAAAGAAAAAAAAAAATAGCACTTGGATGAAGTCCAACACGTATACAATTTTTGAAGACCTTAGGTATGAAAGTGAATATTAGCATGAGAAAAAAAAAAGCACCCAAAAGAGGTGGAAAAAACACAGGTGTCTGAGAAAAACCCTTTTTCAGACATTTCCCCAGAAATTCATAGAAATCCCCTGACCTTGTGGTTTGGCTTCACCTGTGCGAAAAAACCCACCCGCCAGCGTGCCTGCCAGGGAGGTCCAGCAAATGAAACTTGATTAGGTTCTGCTCTCTGTCCCTCAGTTTCCCCTTTTCTCTCCCCCCTTTTAGCCTCCTCTTTGCTGTCCCTCCCTCCCCTCTAGTTATCTCTGGCCAAGATATGGTGGAAGTGACTCCCAGGCAGCGATATCACTCCGGAAGGGTGTCCACAGAGCCCCCGCTACTGTGGCTTTTCTTTCCTCCTCTGAGGACTTGGTTTTCTCCGGGCTCAGTGCTGAGTCCTGCTCACTGGCAGCCCTGTTCTGTGACAAAGGAAAATGCAGAGGAAAGATGCACATCTGCTTTAAGCTGTCCCTGGGGTTCGCCCCTGTTCCTTGTGACTTTTCACTGTTGTTAATTAATAAAGCGAGTATTCTGACATCCTGCTGACCTCATGTTCATTTCTGGTCATATATGCTGCTGTCTGTGCCTTATGTGTTTCTATGGAGGCCACACCCAGTGATGCTGGCTTGGTGCTCTGGGGGTTACGCCCATCGGTGTCTGAGGACCTAGAAGCTCCAGGGATGGAACCTGGAGCCTGGAGCTCTCTCTTCAACCCTTTGAGACATCTCCACATCCCATTGCTTTTTTTTTTTTTTTTTTGCTTTTTGGGTGACACCCGGCGATGCATAGGGGTTACTTCTGGCTCTGACTCAGGAATAACTCCTGGTGACTCAGAAACAAATCTCGGAACCCAGTGGCTTTTGGCAGAAATGCATCTGGACCCCGCAGTAGGTTACTGTTGCCGGGCCATTCCAGGGGGGAAAGGGTGCTGTCCCTCTGCCTGCTCCCTCTAGGAGGCTCGGTGGACACCATCCTCCAGAGGCCATTTAACAGTCAGGATTGGGCCCTCAGTGATGAGACACGCGGGGCCTCATGGGGCGGGGGTGGAGCTGGCCCTTTCCTCCCCATCCCAACAAGACCCCAAAACGCTGCCCACTAACAACCTTTCTGGCTCCTGATCAAGCAGCTTAACAACCATGATCCCAGAGACTCAGGAACAAACATCGGAACCCAGCAGGTTTGGGCAGAAATCTCTCCAGATTTAATTGTTAAAATTTCAGAATTTCAAAATCGCGTGGCCACTGCTGCAACCACACGACATTATGTGTTATTTATAACCAGCAATAGAAAATAACTTGTCTACTGTTGCCTTTTCAGCAGACCTGAGTGTTGGGGTAAAATCCCAAATAACAATGGTGGGTCTGGTGTCAAAATATTGAATGTAATCAAGTAGAGAGAGAATAATGTGGAAATGATCTGCCCCACAGGTAGGGGGAAGGTGTGAGATGGGGGCATACTGGGTTTTTGGTGGTGGAAAATGGGCACTGGTGAAGATACAGGTGTTTCATTGTATGACCGAGACTTAAACCCAAAAACTTGTAACTGCTCTCACAGTGATTCAATAAATAAAATTATTTTTTTTAAAAAGGAATTATTCCTGGCAGTGCTCAGGGAACCATATGGGATTCTGGGAATCAAACCCGGGTCAGCCGCGTGCAAGGAAAACACCCTACTCGCTGTGCTATCACTCCAGCCCCGTCACTGCTTTTTTTTTTTTTTTGAGCCTCAACTCTCTTCTCTGCTTAATGGGAATAATCTAGGAAGGATTAAGCATTTACTACAAGCCATTGGTGGGCATAAAACCTTTGGAGACTGTAAATCTTTGGTCTCCAGGAGCTACATTTACTATCTGTATTATCTTCTTGCGGGGTGTCAAATGGAGAACTGCAGTATTTCAAATAGAAGCACCTGGGGTTGGGGTCAGGATCATGCTTCTGCTAGTCAGATTTGGGCTGCTGGTGGGAAGTAGGGATGAAGGTAGAGGAATGTACAGGGACAGGAAGGAACCGCCCCTCTTAAATAAAGGACTCATGGTTCTTTATTCTTTATTTTTTGGGGGGACCACATCCAGTGATGCTACGGGGTCACTTGACACTGCACTAAGAGGTTATTCCTGGCAGTGTTCAGGAGGCCATATGGGATGTCAGATATTATACCCAGTTCTGCATGCAAGGTAAGTGCCCCACCCACTGAATTAATATTATTAGTTTTTTTCTTTTTGGGTCATACCCAGCGATGCACAGGGTTTACCTCTGGCTTTGCACTTGGAATTACTCCTGGCGGTGCTCAGGGGACCATACGGGATGCTGGGAATTGAACCCTGGTCAGCTGCATGCAAGACAAACGCCCTATCCTCTCCAGCCCCATTATTATTATTATTACTTAATTATTGATTATTATTATTATTTTGCATTTTGGGTCACTCCCAGCGATGCTTAGGGGTTACTTCTGGCTCTGCACTCAGGAATTACTCCTGGCGGTGCCTGGGGGACCATATGGCATGCTGAGAATCAAACCTGGGTTAGCCGCGTGCAAGGCAAAAGCCCTACCCGCTGTGCTATGGCTCCAACCCCTATTATTATTTTTAGTCACATCCGGAAATGCTCAGGACATGGGGATTACTCCTGGCCGGGTTCAGGGGACCTATATGAGGTGCTGGGATCAAACCCAGGGGCTATATGCTATGCAAGACATGCACCCCTGTTTGCTGCACTCTTTGGCTCTGGCCCCCTTTCTGTGGTTCTTTTAAGAGAAACCCGGACTCGTCTTTGATGGGTCAGCGCAGATATCCCTTCCTTGGAAGCTTCTGGAAACCCCTCCTCCCTCCAGCTGCATCAGTTTCCTGCTTGAGACTCCCTCGAATTCCCTGGGGTGCCACTGTCCTCCCGGCTTCCCTGTTCCTGCCCTGAGCGGTCTGACAACAGCTGTCTTGGTCACTTGCAGTGTCTCCAGCAGGGCAGAAAGTGGGTGCTCGAGAGCGGAGTGGCGCTGCCTGAGAATGTCCAGGGGGGACACGCGGCCCCGGGGGAGGGGTCCCCGGCTGTGACTGAGACGCCCCCTCCCGTGGACACACCCCCACTCCGGCGCGCGGCTCGGCTCAGGCCTCGGGAACTGGTTTGCCGGCTCGGTCCCCCGCCCCCGCGGCGGGATGCGGTTCAGCTGCCGGGCCGGGAAGTGGGGAGCGTGGGTCCGGCGATGGGCAAGAGGCGGACGGGTACCTAACTCCGGGGAGGCCGAGAGCACAGCCACAGAAAAGGGGGGAAGGACCCCCCAGACTTTGCCTCCAACTTGGCCTCCTGGACAGCGCGGGGCTCCACCCTCGGAGTCCGAACACCTGGCGTTGGGGCGTGCCTCAGTTTCCCGGGGGCGGGGCGTCCCGCCACCGCCGCCCCCCCCCCCCCCCCGCCCTCCCCTTTTTCCTTTCCTTCCTCTTCGGGGCGCTGGTGGCCGCAACCGGGTCCCTTCCGGAACTGAAACTCGGCTCGGGACCGTCGGGGGCGGGGGCCACGTCAGCGGGGCGGCGGGGCTCGGGGGCGCCATGCGGCGGGGCGCGCTGCTGGCGGGGGCGCTGGTCGCCTACGCCGCGTACCTGGTGCTGGGCGCGCTGGCCTTGGCGTGGCTGGAGCGGCCGCACGAAGCGCGACTCCGCGCCGAGCTGGGCGCGCTGCGGGAGCAGCTGCTGCGGCACAGCCCGTGCGTGACGGCCCCGGCGCTGGACGCCTTCGTGGAGCGGGTGCTGGCGGCCGGACGGCTGGGGCGCCTCGTGGTCGCCAACGCGTCGGGGGTCGCCAACGCGTCGGACCCCGCCTGGGACTTCGTCTCGGCGCTCTTCTTCGCCAGCACACTGGTCACCACCGTCGGTACGTGCGCACCCCCGCCCCGACTCGGGAGCCAGCGGGCACCGGGGACCCCCAGCCCGCCCGCAACCCTCCCAGCGGCTTGTCCCCGCGGTCACAACTCCCTGCCTTCCCCCCTCCCCCGGAGTCCCTCCAGAGCCCCGTAGAGGCTCGCGGAGTTCAAGATTTTTAACTGCAGCCGGAACCCGCCCAGTTCACTCCCCGACTAGGTCATCCCAATCTTTGCCGGCGAGATCCGGGACCGCATCCCTCGCATCCCCGCGTCTTGACCTTCTTGGGGACCCGCTGGGTCCAGCCGCTCTGGGTCCGGGACCCACCTCAGAAGCAGTAAGCGGGACCCGACCCGGGCTCAGACCGCAGCCAGGCGCCACCACCCACTCCAGCCCGACTCCTGCTGTTTCTGGGCCACGTCTGGGGCGCCCTGCCTCCCCGCCCCCCTACACACACACACACACACACACACACACACACACACACACACACACACACAGGGGCCCATTGAGGATACTGCATGTCAGAATCCGGATCAGCTTCCAGCACCATCCTGGATGCCCAGCAGAGGGGTCCTCTGGGGATTTCCACTCAGGGGCCGTGCCTTCCCCGAGACTTTGTCCCAGCTCCACCTTCAGACCCCTGTTTGGAGCGGAGCGTTCCTAAGTGACTGTTCAGGGGACCCCGCCCCTCCTGGCGGTTCTTGGTCAACCGGGTGTGTGAGATGCCTCTCTGTTTCCATCTTAACACCTGACATGGGGTGATTGGGTTGGGGGAGCCCACTGCGGGGATGCGTCCATTCCTGGACCACCCCACTGTGGATGTGAGAGGGGCCAGGACTCCAGCCAAATCCCTGCAGTGCCTCTCATGGGACCATGGTAACCCCTTAAGAAGAGTGCTAGGGGCACTAAGCAACCCATCATGGGCCCCACACCCTCAACACTGTCAAAAGCAAATCCCCCCAGTCGTGGGTTCCAGAACTCAGCATCCTGCCCAGGGTCTTTTCCTGTCCGCCCTGGGTTGCCCAGGATAAGAATTTCTTGGGGGCCTGGGATCTCTCCAGCCCCTCAGCCAGGACCCCATTTCCCTCCTTCATCACTGTTCTGATTTGCTTTGGACTTGAAACCTGACATCCTCCCCTCCCCCGTTCCCCATCAACGCCCATCATTGCAAGACCTGAGTCCCTACCCCACATGCCCCCTTGCCAATGGCCCTCTATCCCGTTTCTTCAGGCCTTCTTTTCTCTTTGCTTTGTTTATTGGGTTTGGGGGCCACAGCCTGAGGGTCTCTGGGCCCACTCCTTGCTCTGTGCTCAGGAGTGACCCCTGGTGGTGGTCAGGGATCATTCCTGTGGGGCTCAGGAGACGGCACCCTAAGGCAAAGTGCCTTAACCCCTGTACTATCTCTCCCCCCCCCTTTTTCTTTTCCTTTCTTTCTTTTTTGTTTTTGGCTTTGGGGAATCATGTCTGACAGTGCCCAGGGGCTTCTCCTGGCGCTGTGCTGGGGAGCCATGTGGTACCAGGGAATCCAGCCTGAGGTCCTGAACACACACAGCCTGCTCTCAGTCCTCTGCCTGAGGACAGGCCTACCCAGTTCCATTTGTGAGTCTGCAAAGGCCTCCAGTGGGGCCTGTCCCCTCCTTCCTCCAGACCCAGGGCACTGACCCCTGACTTACCGACCTACCCCCCACATTTCCCACTCTGGTAGAGCACCCCCACATCCACTGGCTCATCCCATCCTCCAGGCCTGCCCCTTCTGCCTTTGTGCCAGACTGGGGTACTTAGCACCAGCCCCCCCTCCCTCCCTGTTGACCCTCTGTAGCCCTTTGGGAGCTCCTCTCCTCTTTGTCTCTTTGCTGGGGACAGGGTGGCTGAAAAAGGGGCTCGTCTAGACTCTGTGCTCCCCCTTCCAACCAGGAAGAGGCAGTCTTTGGGACTAGAGAGAAAGTTCAGTAGGGGGGCTGAGCGATAGCACAGCGGATAGGGCATTTGCCTTGCATGTGGCCAACCCGGCAACCTGGGATCAATTCCCAGCATCCCATATGGTCCCCTGAGCACTGCCAGGAGTAATTCCTGAGTGCAGAGCCAGGAGTAACCCCTGAACATTGCTGGGTGTGACCCAAAAAGAAAAAAAAAGGAAAAGAAAAAAAGTTCAGTAGGGAAGGAGGCACTTGCCCTGCACACAGCTAACTTGGGTTCTAATCCTCAATATCCCTTAGGGACCTCTGAGCCCTGAGCCAGGAGTAAATCCTGAGCCTTTCCAGGTTTATCTCTTCGCTCACCCCAGACCCCACATAAAAGAGAAGGGGGCTCAGGCCAGCCCGGGCTGTGGCCAGGGAACTCCTCAGAGATGCCAGTGCAAGGCCTCATCTCCTGCCTGCCTGCCCCATGCCAGCCTGGCCTGGGCCTGTCTGCCAGCTCCTGGGCCACATCAGAGCCTCCTCCCAGCTCCTGGCTTCTGAGAAGGCATCCGGGCGGGCTGTGGGACAGGCCGGGTCCCCCCCTCCCAGACTTCCCACTGCTGTAAAATGGGATCAGAGCGCTCGCCGCTTCTCTGCCCGAGCAGTTCCTGGTGGGAACTGACCGCAGACAGGCTCTGACAGGCCGGTTCAGCTCAGCAGTGCTGGCAGGCAGCCACCTGGAGGAGCCCCATTCTTCCCCAGCACCCCAAGGAAACAGGAGACGAGGGAGCTTGCCTCAGTGAGGCCTCATGGGTCCCTACTGTTAGCCAGCCCCTGACGTCTGTGAAGAATGGTGAACCAGTGAGGATGTTGGAAAGAGAAGCTGTTCTGATGCTGCTGGACACGGCCAGGCATGGTCCAGGGGCAGGCCCAGGGGCAGAATATATTCAGGGCCCTGAGTTCAATCCCAGATACCACATGCTGTTGCCAACCCATGTTCAGATGTCCCCATCACCCTCACCCAGCACCTCTGTGTGGGGCATATAAAATTTTTTTGATTGATTTTTTTAAAATTTGGTTTTGAGGCTACACCTAGTAGTGCTGAGGGCTTACTTCTGGCTTTACACTCAGGGATCACTCCTGGTGGATTCAGGGAATCATATGGGGTGCCGGGGATAGAGCCCGGCTTGGCCACATGTAAGACAAGCATCAACCCGCTCTGCTATCACTCTGGCCCCCACAAAAGAATTTAAAGTTTTGTTTTGTGTTGTGTGTAGGGGAGTTTTGGTGTCACACCCGGTGGTGGTCATAGCTTACTCCCAGCTCTGTGCTCAGAGATGACTCCTTTTTTTGGGGGGGGGGCGTTAGGCTCTGTGATGCTTAGGGGTTACTCCTGGTTCTGCACTCAGGAATGGCTCCTGGCAGTGCTTGGGGGACCATATGGGATGGCAGGGATCGAAGCCAGGTTGGCCACGTGCAAGGCAAATGCCCTCCCCTTTGTACTATGACTCCGGCTCCAGGGATCACTCCTGAAGGGGGTTGGGGGACTCTATTGGGTGCCAGATTGGCCTTACTCAAGGCAAACAAGCACCTTAACCCCTGTACAATCTCTTTGACTTACTCAAACAATTTGGAGGGAGGTGGGGACCCAAATAAGAAGTTCAGAAGTTAAGGCACTTGCCTTAAATAAGCTCCTTCTGCAAAGATATTTTGTTGTGGTGGTTGTTGTTGTTGAATATTCTTTTTGTTGTTTTTTTTGCAATAGTAGTTTGACACTGAATATGGTCCCTCAAGCACTGCCAGGTGTGGCCCCTGAGCTTAGAGCCAGGAATGGAGCCAGCACCTTAATATATCTATTTATATAGTTAATATCAGTGGGTTTACTGAGCCTCCGTTGATCATATATGTGTATGTGTATGTGCATATTAAGAGATTGGGATATAGCTCAGTGGCAGAGCACATGCCTTATGTGTGTGAGGCCCTGGTTTCAGGACTCTGGCACCATAAAAAAGAAAAGAATTGGGGGCTGGAGAGATAGTACAGTGGATAGGGCGTTTGCCTTGCACGTGGCTGACCCTGATTCAATTCCCAGCATCCCATATGGTCCCCTGAGCACCACCAGAAGTAATTCCTGAGTGCAGAGCCAGGAGTAACCCCTGTGCATAGCTGGGTGTGACCCAAAAAGACCCAAAAAAAAGAAGAAAAGAAAAAGAGAGAAAAGAGAAAGAAGGAAAGAAAGAAAGAAAGAAAGAAAGAAAGAAAACAAGCAAGCATAAAAATGTAAATGATGGCAGGGCCAGAGAGACAGTACTATGAGTAAGGATGCTGCCTTGCACAGGGCTGACCCGGGTTTGACCCCAGGCACCCTCTATAGGCACCCAACCCCCTCCAGGAGTGAGTACAGAGCCGGGAATAAACCCTCAGCGCAGTTGGGTATGACACAAAACCACAAAAGCAGAAGAAAACAAGACAAATTATGGGTTGGCAAGAGAGCTCAATGGGCTGGAGCTCAGGCTTGGCAGGGAGGAAGTTCAGGTTTGATCCTAGATATGACATGTTCCTTTGAACACTGCTGGGAGCACTGAGTTAGGAGTAGTAGCCCCTGAGTGTAAAATCTTATCACGCCGAAGGTTTATGTTCACGGGCTCACTGGACGGCACTGTTTCACCGCCTGCGTTCGGTGCTCTTGAGCCATTGTGTGTGGCCTGGATCGGAACGGCTGTTGGCCAAGGGTAGATGGAAGAAAAAACGGGGGCCAGGCCGGTCTATATCAATAGTAGTTTATTCCAATCCTCTTCACTCCTGTCTTTCTCTGCCTCCTTCTCTCCTGGGCCCCAGTCTTGGAAGCTCTCTCCTTCTGGCTTTGACTCTGGATCTCTGGAGCCCGAGCTCTCTCACTTCTGACCCCTTTTCCGAGCTTACATCTTAGTTTATATAGCAGTCACATAAGGCGGTGACATAAAGGTGGGTTGAATACTGACGAATCAACAAAGAGAGGTAAGACCACTCCTCCAGGAGATTAACTCAAGGATAAAATCTCATCTACAGAGATTACTTCAGATTACTAGGAGATCCACCCAAGGGTGGGATCCCAACAAGGGTGTGTTCTTCCTTCAGTTAGTAATCTACTTAAATAGTTGTAATAAATCTACTTCTAATATTTCTAGCAATGTCATTCTGTATGAGCACAGTAAGAGATATAAATTTAGTTTGGTTCTTCCTGAGAACATCTCACTATACGTTTCGCAGTCCTCAGGTCAGGTTAATCTTCCTAGCTCCAGCAGGGTCCTAGTCTTGTCGTTACTTTTGGATCATGACAGCATTTGTCCATGATCATGCCCTCAACTTATAGTTGAGTATCGTGGCTCTTTGGCCTGGCCCATTTCGATGCCAGGGTAGCTCACTGCTTGCCCTGGGTCCATTCAGTCCCTCGTCAGGACCCTGCTTTTGGGGTGCTAGGAACTAAGGGCAACTGAGTCAAGAAATCAGATGCCCAGGAGTAAATATTATTCGGAGTCAATCAACTCCCAAGTTACAAAGCATAATATTAACTGTCTTCCTGTGTCCACACAGAAAGGACATTGCTTACAAGTTCAGTGTCCTTAGATGGGTGTGACCTGACAAACCTAAGCTATCTGAGGAAGGACAAAAGAGTGTTATCCTACACCTGAGCACTGTTGGGTGTTGTAGAAAGAAAATTTTTGTTAAGTCCTTGTGATAGGGAGAAGAATTGAGTTCAACTATGAGTATAGCAAAGACAGTTGGAGAATTCAGAGCATTTTCTCCCTGGCCTTCCCCCATTTCTGACATCTGATCCGACACTTGGTTGCCCCTTTCTCTTTACCTAAGTCCTTGGACTGTCAATGGTCAGGATCCTCGTAAGCCAGTTTGGAGAGATTCCCCTCCCCTCCCGATTTTCCATCTTTGATTTTCCATTTTTGACAGCCCCTCTTTGCTACCGGCTCTGAATCTCCAACTGTCTTTGCTATACTCAAAGTAGAATTCAGTTTCTTCTCCAGATATTCAAGACCTGGTTTGGGCCCAGGAGTCCTTACTGCAGGGCAGGTGGGCTGGCAGAGAGGTCGCTTGGGACCCTGTTCCCACCTGCTGAGATTCTTACTCTGGCACTGGAGGAAGGAATGGCCCCTGAGCCCATTCTGTAGCACTTTGAGAATACTGAGGTTCAAGCAGCAGATGTTGTTCATCATCAAACTCCTGTTAGTAATGAGAGTTGGACTCAGAGCTGATCATTCTCCAAGCGCAGTAGCTTCAATCAGAGGGACATGTACTAGTTTACTAAGTCACTTTAACCCAAGGCCCAGTCAGAGGCTCTCCTGTTTCCTCTATGACAAGGTGACCTCATGGTCCAAGGTGGCTGCACAGCACCAACCCTCAAGTGTGTGTTCCAGCAAGCAGCAGGAGAGAGGAAAGCAAGGAAGCAGGCAGCCCCCTCTTGAGTGAAGCTTAGTGGAAGTTGCTTTTTTCTTCCATGAGTGTAGCTCATTGCTCAGAGTCAGACTAAGCTGCAACAAAGAAGGGAATGTATCTTCTAGGCAGCCATCTGGCCAAGGAAAATGGAAGAATCCTTCTTGTGCCCTATTTTTTGTTTGTTTTTGGGTCATATGCAGAGGAGTTCAGGGCTTACTCCTGGCTCTGCACTCAGGAATCACTCCTGGTGGTGCTTGGGGACCAAATGGGATATCAGTGATCTAACCTGGTCGGCACATACAAGGCAAACTGTACTATGTCACCTGCTGTACTATGGCTCCATTCCTCCTTAGCCCTATTTTAGAATATTTTAGGGGCGGGCCCACACCTGACCGCAGTGGTTTGCAGTGCCAGGAATGAAACTCAGTGCCTTGCACATGCTAAGCATCTGTTACGTGCTTGAGTCACATCTCTGGTCCTACCGCAACCATTTTCTTTATCTTATTTTTATTTTGGGGAAGTGCTTGGGGGTACACCCAGAGAGCCTCAGGATTTACTTCTGGCTCTGTGCTCAAGGGTCACTCCCGGTAGTTGTGTGGGGGGGCCCTCTGTGGTGCCAGGTACTGAACCTGGCCTGGCCCCAGACAATGCAGGCACTTTCCGCCTCTGCTATCATCTCTCTGGCCCGAGTCTTAGCCAATTTATTTATTTATTTATTTGCTTTTTGGGTCACACCCGGCAATGCACAGGGGTTACTCCTGGCTCTGTGCTCAGGAATTACCCCTGGAGGTGCTCAGGACCATATGGGATGCTGGGATTCAAACCCGGGTCGGCCGCGTGCAAGGCAAACGCCCTACCCACACGCTGTGCTATTGCTCCAGCCCCAGTCTTAGCCAATTTAAAACACAAGAGTTTGGTGGCTTGGAACTGGAGCTATAGCACAGCAGGTAGGGCGTTTGCGTTGCAAGCGGCTGACCTGAGTTCGATCCCCAGCATCCCATATGGTCCCCTGAGCACCGCCAGGAGTAATTCCTGAGTGCATGAGCCAGGAGTAACCCCTGTGCAATGCTAGGTGTGACCCAAAAAGCAAAAAAAAAGTTTGGTGGCTTAAGTATATTCACACATTGGGGCTGGAGAGATAGTATAGCGCATAGGAGAATTTGCTTTGCCTGGGTTTGATCCCACCCTATATTGTCCCCTGAGCCCCACCAAGAGTGATCCCTGAGCACAGAGCCAGGAGTAAGCCCTGAGCATAGCTGAGTTTGGCCTTAAAGCCATAATAATAAAATTTGAAAAATTAAAAAATATGTATTTAAAAGGCCATAGAGAAAATAAAATAGAGAAGTTAATGCACTTGCCTCGCATGTGGCCAACCTAGAGAAATTCTGTTACCATATAAGGTCTCCTGAGCACCGCCAGGAGGTCACTCCTGACCACAGAGGCAGGAGTAGCCCCTGAGCACTGATGGGTGTGGTCCCAAACCCCAAAATTAATTTAAATAAAAAGGCCTCATTGAGAAGGTGACATTTAAGTCATGTCCTAGCAGTGGGAAGAGAGAGGGCCCTGGAAAACCAGCAGAAGAGGGTTCCAGGAGAAACAGCCTGTGCAGAGGCCCTGAGGTGAGACTCTGGGAAAATGTGAGGGGCTGCACTTCTCTCTTGCACTTTGGAACTGGGGTGGCCTCTAAACTCGGGTTGTTTGTGGCTTCCCAATGGCTACAGCAGGGGAACAGCCTGTGGGGGATGGTGGAGACAAGGAAGCATCTGGTGGACGGGATCAGGAAAGGCCATGGGTGGGCTTGGAAATCTATCTCCAGATGACACCCAAAGAAAGCGGGTGTGGGGACAGAGCAATAGTCCAGCAGGGAGGGCATTTGCCTTGCACGCCGCTGACCCAGGTTCAATCCCTGGCATCCCATATGGTCCCCTGAGCACTACCAGGAGTAATTCCTGAGTGCAGAGCCAGGAGTAACCCCCGAGCATCACTGGGTGTGACCCAAAAAGCAAAATATAAAATAAAAAAGAAAGCAGGGGTGAGTGAAGAGGGGCAGAGCAAGAGACAGGAAACACCAGGCCAGGTGTTGGAATGATATAGTAAAGCAAGTAGGACATTTGCCTAACATGCGGCCAACCCGGGTTCGATTCCCAGCATCCCATCTGGTCCCCCGAGCACCACCAGGAGTGATTCCTGAGTGCAGAGCCAGAAGTAATCCCTGAGCATCGCTGGGTATGGCCGCAAACAAAAACAAACAAGCAAAAAAGAAACCACCAAGCCAGTGGCTGTCGGATTTGCTGGAAAGCCTCAAATGCAGAAGCTGTCTGGAGGTCAGCGGTGCTGACCTTGGCCTGAGCCACGGGCAGGAGCGCACAGCAGCGGGTCCTGGGGTGGGGCGGGAGCCTGGGCTTCGGGGGTGTGAAATGTGGGTGTACCCAGACACAAAGCTTTCTCGCCCGACTCTCCCAGGCTACGGCTACACGACGCCGCTGACAGACGGGGGCAAAGCCTTCACCATTGCCTTCGCGCTGCTGGGCGTGCCGCTGACCATGCTGCTGCTGACCGCCTCGGCCCAGCGCCTGGCCCTGCTGCTCACCCGCACGCCACTCGCCTGGCTCAGCCTGCGCTGGGGCTGGCACCCCCGGCGGGCTGCGCGCTGGCACCTGGTGGCGTTGCTGGCTGTCATCGTGACCACATGCTTCCTGCTGCCCGCTGCCATCTTCGCCTCCCTGGAGACGAACTGGAGCTTCCTGGACGCCGTCTACTTCTGCTTCATCTCCCTGTCCACCATCGGCCTGGGGGACTACGTGCCCGGGGAGGCCCCAGGGCAGCCCTACCGCGCCCTGTACAAAGTACTGGTCACCGGTGAGTGCCGGGAGGGCGGTTGCCCTGAAGGATCTGAGGGTGATGGGCACTGACCAGCACCCCCAGGCCCCTGCCCCATGTCTGAGCCCCGTCTTCTGTCTGCCCTCCCTGCAGTCTACCTCTTCCTGGGCCTTGTGGTCATGATGCTGGGGCTGCACACTTTCCGTCGCGTGGCTGACCTGCACGGCCTCACTGAGATCTTCCTGCTGCCTCCTGAGACATACCCCGACGGCGTGGGCACTGTGGAGGACGAGGACGACCAGTCGGACATTCTGGGCCCCCCAATGGAATCACAGCAGCAGCTGGCCACCAGCTCCCACCCAGACTATGCCTCCATCCCCAGGTAGCCGCAGCAGGCCAGGGCTCCCCCAAGACTGAGCCAACAGCCGCAAAACAGCCAAGAGCACACACCCAGGCAGTGAGACGCAGCCCCCCTGGTTCTTCATCCTGTGTTTTTCATGTCGGGGCTCTGCTGGGTACCCCATTACCCAGCACCCTCTCCCCTCTTGTCTCCCTGGACTCTGGGCCTCTCTTCCCACCTCTCATCCTTTCTTTGTTTTCTTGTCCTTTTGTTTCTTTGTAAGCCACACCCCGGGATGCACAGGGCTTACTCCTGGCTCTGTGCTCAGGGGTCACTCCTGGCAGGGCTTGGGGGACCCTGTGAGGTTCCAGGATCGAACCCGGTAGGTGGGTTTACCCCTGTGCTATCTCTCCAGTCTCATTCTTTTTTTTTAAATTAAAAAAATTTTTTTTTGCTTTTTGGGTCACACCTGACGATTCACAGGGGTTACTCCTGGCTCTGCACTCAAAAGTTACTCCTGGCGGTGCTCAGGGGACCATATGGGATGCTGGGAATCGAACCCGGGTTGGCCACGTGCAAGGCAAACACCCTACCCGCTGTGCTATCTCTCCGGCCCCTCCAGTCTCATTCTTTTGTTTTTTAATTTTTGGGCACTGCTCAGGAATCTTTCTCCTGGCTCTGTACTCAGGGACTATGCCTGAGTGATTGGGGACCATATGGGATAGCAGGGATCAATCTGGGTTGGCCATGTGTGAGCCCCTTTCTCATTCTTTTTTTGGGGGACCTCCGAAGCGGTGATCAGGGGAATCTGTTATCACTCCCAGTGACACTTGGCCAACTGGTCAGAAGGTTCAGTGCTGGAGCCTGCAATGTGGGGTTGTTTGGACCTTCTGGGGGACCCTCTGGACCCCACCCATCTGTGCTCTGGGGCCCTGTAGTTGGAGAGCAGACCCTGGGATCAGCCCTTTGCACGGTCTCCCTAGCCCCTGCTTCTCTCTCACTTCTTCCATCTCTCGTCTCCCAGACTCTCAGTTCAGACATGGGGTGGGTCACCCCCACTTGGGGTAAGCACTGGGTCCTCTCAGAGCCCTAATTGCCTCTTCTTTTGATGAATGGAAAGAATGTGTCAGTCACCCCAAACTGCCTTCCCCACCCCCAAACACATACACTTGGTGCCAGTCATGCTAGAAGGTGCTGTCGACACAGCAGTGGTTGCAGTGTCCTGGACACTGCTCTCAGCGGGAGTTGGGGGGCTGCAGCCCATTTCTCCCCCCAATAGTGACAACCCAGGCTGGATACAACCTCAGTGCGGGAAGCAGAGTGATGGGGAGACATGGCCTGTCCAGCCTTGAAAGTCAGGGAAGACTTCCTAGAGGAAGGGATACCTAAACTCAGTGCTGACACAGGAGGAGTTGTGGGGAGAGAAGGTGGCTCTTCCTTGTTTCCTCAGGTGTCTCCCTGGGTAACCCTGGGCTCCATTGGAGGTAGAATCTTCCTGGCTGGCAGGAGTCTGAACCAGGATAGCAGCTCAGGGACAGGTGTCACAGAAGGTGCTGCCCTGGTGAAGACAGCCCTGAAGATTTGCTGAGAACATTTGCAGGAGGCACACTGGGTGCCTGTCCTGCTCAACCCATCCTGCCTGGGCCCCTGGCATTCGTGTCATCTCAGTGACATTCAGCCTCCTTGTCTGCAAAACAGCAGTCCTGGTCCCCACCTTGAGGTCCTGGCTTCCAAGAGCAACCTCCCAAGCCTAACCTGTTAATCGCCATTGTGTGGACTGGCCGGCCCAGGCCTGCGGACTTATATATGAGACCCTAACACTACCGCCTGCCACTTATGAGGAAACTGAGTCACTGCATGGGAGGGAAGGTATTAAACGAAGTTAGACTGGAACCTGGTGTGTGTGTGGAGGGCTAGAGCGACACCTAGTGGTGGTATTAGGTAGTCACATGACTCAGGGCTGGGGCCCGCAGGTGGGAATGAGGGGAGACCAGGCTAGAGAAATCAAACTTTGAGTATGCTCAAAGTTTTCGCGGGGGAAAATTTGGGTTGCATATAAGGAAGGTCTGAACGGACCTTGTTGAAACCACACTGCGATTGTATATTGCGCTTGATCAGAGCTGGGTAGAGCTCTGGGAGTAAAGGCACAACTCTGGGAGCGACATACTCCCTCTGTCTCTGTAGAATGCGCTCAACTGGAGAGTTGGTTCCATGTGGACGCCCCTTTGTGGCCCCAAAGTGGCTGCCACTGATCCAGACATCACAACCTGACACGACCTTTTTTTTCCCCTTTTTTTTCTTTTTTGGTTTTGGGCCACACTTGGTGCTCAGGGGGTTACTCCTGGCTCTGCACTCAGGAACCACTCCTGAAAGGTTCAGGGAACCATATGGGATGCTGGGCATCAATTCTCGGTCAGCTGCATGCAAGGTGGTACAACCTCACCCGTTGTACTCCAGCCCAACAATTATCTTTTTGATTTGTGGTGTAGGGGATCAAACCCAGGGGCTCACAGACTCACATCACATCCCTTTTCTTTCCCATCTTCTTGAAAGCAAGGAGACTTTCTCCCAAAGCTTTCCAGCAGACTACTCTTTCATGTATTTTTTTCTTTTTGAATCGATCACACCCGGAGATGTTCAGGCATATCGAATACACCACGGGGAGCTTGTCAGGCCTTGCCGTGCAGGCAGGATACTCTTGGTAGCTTGCCGGGCTCTCCAAGAGGGATGGAGGAATTGAACTCCAGGTCGGACCCGTGCAAGGCAAATGCCCTACCTGCTGTGCTATCGCTGGATGAAATAGTCCCATGTTCATCCTGAGCTACGCACTGGATTAGCTTGGGGAGTGTGGCCACCCCCCTTGACCAAGGCCAGGGCTGTAGGTTCCATTCAGAGACCAGGAAATTCTTGAACAAGACTGGGCTTGGTTCACCACGTGACTCTATTCAACTGTCAAGGAGTAGGAGGGTGGATGGGACACAGGGTCAGGGCCATGATGCCTGCTGGGACCTACATGGAAGATGCCTGACTGCCAGGAGCCCAGATGACAATCTATGAGCTCATCTCAGATCAGCAGGGCATGCAAAGGCAACATGGAATTACTGAGAGATACAGGGAAACAGAGGGACAAGTCAACACAGTTTGTCATGCTAAAGTCCCTCATGACTCTTCACTCAGTTATTTTGATTCTTTTATTTTGCGTAGTAGGACCACTTGGCACAGGACAGATAGTTCAGTGGGTAGGGTGTTTGCCTTGCATGCAGCTGGCCCATGTTTGGTCCCAGTACTGTAGAGGATTCCCTGAGGATGAGGAGTGATCCCTGAGTGCAGAGTCCCTCTCTGAGCACTGCCAAGTGTGACCCCTAAACTCCAGCCCCCAAGTAAATAGTTTGATCACTGTCAATGGTGATCAAGGGATCATAGTCCTGGGAACCAATCACAGTGTGGTTCCCACACACAACCAGCTGTTTGAGCCATATCCTTTCAAGAGTGTTCAAATAAGTAGTGCAGGGGCTCAGAGGCCTGCCTCAAAAGCCTGTGGTCATGAGTACAAATCCCCAGTGCCCCACATGCACCAGTGGGGTCGCTCTGCTGCCTGGGTCCTGGCACTGCAGGTGATTTTGTGCTCCCTAGCTGACAGGTATTTGTGGGAGCCACAAATAAGAAGTGTGACCTCAGCAAGCACCTGTCAGAAAATGTGACCTCTGGTGAGCACATGTGAGCCTCACAGCCATCACATATGTGTGTCCCCCAACTAAAACTGCATCTCCTGCAGAGCATATTTTCTGGCACTGCCCCTCAAAGGGGTCAAATACCGGTGAGCCCTGCAGTTGATTGTGAGCCCCCCAACCCCCCTAGCCTGGCGTGTCTGCAACCCCTGGCGTGTCTGCAACCAACAACAAACGGAAGTGGGGAGAGGGGAAGGAGAGAAAATAAATGAATTAATCAAAAAAAATTCTTTCTTCCATTTTGGTTTCTGGTCCACCGCTGGTGGTGCTCAGGACTTACCCCTGGCGATGCTCAGGGATCACTCCTGGCAGGGCTTGTGGAGACCATACAGGGTGATGGGGATTGAAAAGCATTGACTATTACAAAGCAATGCCTTACTCCCATCCTATCACTTCGGTCCCAAAGATGAATTCTTAAAACACACCAATTATGATACTGTGAGTTACCAAGTTTCTCATGATACAGTTGTTTCAGGCATTCAATGTTTCAATCCCCACCACCAGTGGGACCTCCCCTCCACCAATGTCCCTGGTTTCCCTCCCACCACCCCAGTCTGCCCCCTTGTAGGCACAAATTTACTTCATATTGTTTGTTACAGCACAAAGTTAAATGGAATTATCGAAACATAGATCAGTAAGAGTAGATTTATGGTACTGTTGTATCTCACAATGATGTTACTAAAGTTATTGTCTCAGGATCTTCTGTGCTACTTAGTGCTAGTGCAGCCTTCTATGTTATCATTTAGGCTCCTTGAACTTGGTGGGCTTCTATGCAACTTTCTCATCAAATTTGCTGTGGCCCTACTAGGCTGACAGTACTGTGAAATTCTGAGGTGTAATGCAGCTGCATATGTGGCCACATGGTCTGGGATTTATGTATCTGGGACGATTTGGTGGCTTGGCAGTTTGATGAGGTTCACTTGTGGAGCTGGGCTTGTTCTGTCTCAGAGGGTGTCAGGTGTGGCTGCGTTGCTAGGCTTTCAGGCAGAAAGAGGAATCTATCCACTTTCCCAGAAGGCCACAGGTTGGTTGACCTGGGAATCATGCTCTTTTGGAGATGTAGCACTGGGCAGTTTCTCTGTTGGCAAGATGGTGAGTGTTGTTCCAAACTCCTGATACAGAACAATTCAGTGACGTTGATACAAAGCAATTCGGTGAAGTTTCTCAGCAGCTCGGGTAGGCCCGTTTCCCATGTTTTACAGTTGAGAAAGGAAGGCCCAGAGAGGTAAGTAACTTGTGTAAGATTACACAGGAGGGGCCAGGGTGATAGTACAGTCAGGTAGGGCACTTGCCTTGCACACAGCTGACCTAGGTTTGATTTCTGGAATCGAATCAAATACAGTCTGAGTCCTGTGAGCCCCACCAGGAGCGATCCCTGAGCAGAGCCAAAGTTAAGCCCTGAGGACAACAGATGTGGCCCCCAAACAAATAAGTAAGCATCAAAATAGTGCACGATGCAATCAGCTAAATGTGGGCCAGGGATGTGGCGCAAATGCTAGAGCAAGTACCTTCCTGTGTGAAGCTCTGGGTTCTGTTCCCAGCACCACATCCTCTGCCCCCTGGTCCCACAGGGCCTGAGAACAACAGAATATGCAGCACCAAGATTGCTTTCCTGCTCCCCCAAAGAAAACTGAAAAAAGAGGTTCTGGAGAGAGAGTCCTGCAGGTAAGGTGGGCCGTCCTGGGTTCAATGTCTGGCACCCCATATGGTCCCCTGAGCCCTCCCAGGAGAGACTCCTGAGTGCGGAGCCAGGAACAAGCCCTGAGCACCACCAGATGTGACCCCAAAACTGAGTAAACAACAAAAAAGAAACTTGAGGCTGGAGAGATAGCACAGCAGGTAGGCACTTCCCTTGTACACAGCTGACCTGGGTTCGATCCCCAGCATCCCATGAGCCCTGCCAGGAATGATTTCTGAGTATAGACTCAGGAGTAATACCTGAGCTCTGCAGGATGTAGCCTTACCCCTCTCCACCTCCCAAATGGCAGAAGTCACCAGAGAAGTGTCCAGTGCTGATTAGTCTTTCTCGCAGGTGGGCTCCAGGTCCACAGCTTCCCATGTTTTTTCTGAGCAGGTTCTAGCAATACCATTTGTGTGTGTGTTTGGGGTGCACTGAACTTCCCTTTTACTCAATTTATCGTGGGGAGGAGTCAACCTTGTACTATCTTAACCCCTGTACTATCTTCTCAGGCGCCTAAATTCAACCTATCATTCCCAAGCTTTGTGGCTTTGTGGTGAAGTGATTCGCTTCCTACATCTGAGTTTGCTAATCTGGGGGCTGAGAGCAATACCTACCTCAATGACTTGTAAGAGAATCCGACATCTTCCACCTGCAGAATGCCACCACAATGTCTGACAGTCACAGAGAAGGTGGCGAATTACTGCTATCATCATCGCTTTAAATTTTTTTTTTTTTTTTGCTGGGTGATGATACAGTGGTTAGGGTGCCTGTGTGGTGCTGAAGTTCAAACATGGGTGGGCCATGTGCAAGGCTGTACCTCACCATTTCTCCTGCCCTGTGATAAACACTTATGCAGTTTTTTATTTATGTTATGTGTGCATGCATATGTTTATATACATATACAAATACATCACTTTATTTTTCCTAATTTTTTCATTTCTGCTCCTTTTATCACCCATCCAAAGGAGCTGGGAGACCCCTGGAGAGACCCATCATTCTCCCACAGCCCTTTTAAAACCTGAAGCACCTCCTTGGGATAGTCAGCCCTTATTTCTTTTCTCTCTCTCTTTTTGTGTGCTTGTGTTTGGGTCACACCCAGCAATGCTCAGGAGTTATTCCAGGCTCTGCACTCAGGAATTACTTCAGGTGGTGCTCAGGGGACCATCTAGAATGCCAAGGATTGAATCTGAGTAGGCTGCTTGCAAAGCTAACGCCCTACTCCCTGTCCTGTCACCCCAGACCCAGAAATAAAAACTCTTGACCCCCAACTCAGCCTACTGCATCAACAACCGTGGGGGTGGGGCTCAAGATCTTGTTTTAACAAGCTCTTCTGATGAGTGTGAAACCAGTAAAGTCAGCTTTACAGTTCTTTAAGAAATCCTGGTCCAAGTCTTTATTAGGCAAAAGAATGCAAATGGAAACTATCAACTTACTGAATACTTACTTGCCCCAGACACCCTTTAGATCTGTAAGAGCCTGTTGTCTTTTTTGGGCTGGGTGGGTGTTTGGGACACAGCTCCACCGCTTGGGGCCTACTCCAGTGCTCAGAAGTGAGCTGCAGAGGTGCTTTGAGGGATCATATGCGATACTAGGGCTCAAACCGCAGTCAACCGCGTGCAAGGCAAGTGCCTTACCCCCTGCACTAGCTCTCTGGCTCCAAGTTGGTTATCTCATCAGTTTTGTAGAGGGGTGTTAAAGTTTTGTAAAAGGATTCATTCCCACAAGGAGACCAATTTTATTTATTTATTTTTTTTGCTATCCAAGCCGGACCGTTAGAAAGACGTGGGGGTGGGTTTCCTCCTCATCACAAATTCTCTCCAGCGCCCTCGCCCGAGGGCGGAGCCGCGCTACCATGGAGACCGGCGGGCGGTGGGCGGGGCTCGGCAGAACGGAAGTCGGTTGCGGAAGCGCGGGCGGCCATTTTGAGAACGGGCAAGAAGGGGCGGGACCGGAGCGACCAAGTGACGGTTGACCGGTTTTAATTAAGTGACTGGTACCTCGGGGCCGGGGAGAAGAGGGGAGGGATGTGGGGGGCGGGGGCGGGGGCGGGGCCACGAAGGGGCGGGCAGAGGCAGTGAGCGGTGGGGTAAAGAAGAGTCGTGAGACCCCCGCAGAAGGGAGAGCCGGGGAGAAGAGGGCAGGGCCAAAGAGGCAGAGGGACCATGCGTAGGGGCGGGGCGGAGCGAGGCGGCGCCTAGAGCCGTGGGGGTCCGGGGCATGGAAAGAAGCGCCAGCAAGAGCGGCAGGGGCGCCCGGCGGTCGCGGCGGAAGCTGCGGCTCCCGGGGGCATCGAGAGCGAGCAGCGGCGAGCAGGCCGCCAAGGGCGAGGGCACGGCGGCGGGCAGCGTGAAGGGCGTCGAGCGGGCCAAGAGCGACCAGCCGGGGAAGGGCGAGGAGCGCGCCAAAGGCGGGAAGAAAGCCAAGAAGCGCGACGACGCGTCGGAGGCATCCAAGAGCGAGGGCACGGCGGCCCCGAGCGAGGGCGAGAAGAGAGCGAAAGGCGGGAAGCGAGCGACGGGCGCCTCGGAAAAGGCCGACGCGGCGCTGCGAGTCAAAGGCCCGGGCGGCGCCGCCAAGAGGCGGGGCGAGCGGCGGGGGCGGGGCCGGCGGCGGGGGCGGGGCGAGGGGCCGGCGCCGCCCGAGGCGCCCGCGGCCGCCGCCGCTGGGGCCGGGGGGCAGCTGGACCCGGAGCGCCCCCCGCTGAAGGGGGAGCCGGCGCCGAGCGAGAAGCAGGGCCCGAGCCAGGGCAAGAGGCGGCGAAGGGGGAGATCCCTCCGCACGCTGCGAGGGATCACGTGCAGGGGCCGCTACCAAGTCTGCATCTCCATCCGGAAGAAGGGGCGCGGCCGGGAGAGGCTTGGGGGCGGGAGAAGAAGCCGCGGCGCCCTGCGGTGCAAGATCTTCACCACTCCGACCCGGAGCAGGGCCGGAGATAGCAGCCGGGGCTCCAGCCGAACGAGCCGGCGGCGAGAGCGCAGGATGACGAAGGGCGCGAGGGCCTGGGAACGCCCCAGCGTGCAGTGTGAGACGTGGAAGCTGATCGATTCGCAGGGCAGGTGCTTGACCACCTGCCCCAGTGGAGGCTGGGCCTGGAGCAGAGTGAACAACTGGCGGCCGAGCCGGTGCAGGATGCGGTGTCGGCCCAAGACCCGCAGCAAAAGCAGGGGGAGCGCCAGGAGCAGGTGCCGAACTAGGAATAAGAGTAGGGGCCGAGGCAGCAGTCGGGGCGGGTCCAGGAGCAAACGTAGGGACTCGGCCAGGAGCAAGAGCGGGGCTGGGGTTAGGTACAGGGATCAGAGGAAGCGCAGGATGCATCTGTGAAGGCAGCTACCAAGCGCCGTCTTGTGGGCTGGTGTTGATCCCCGCATTATCCAGGTTGGAGTCACCTATGTACTGCCCAGCGGCGATGACCCCTGCTGCCCCAGCGTGGGCGACCCTGCAGATCACACGGGTGCTGTGTGCACTGCTGGTGGTGCTTTCCATCCCGTGGAGACTGCGGGGGATGGAGGGCCCAGACGACTGCTCCTGGGAGGTCGTCCTGAACAGTTTTGAAAATGTCGGTGAGAAAAGTGCCAGCGATCACTTCTCAGATCAAGAGCCTCTGAACCAAGTGGACAAAGAGTTCAGGCGCTTGGTGGACCTGCCCATGGATGATCAGGAGGTGAGGGGAGCGGGCAGAGGGAGAGCCAGAGGGCGTTAGATTCGTCCCCCAATCCCCACCCCTACCCCCACCACCGTGTTCTGCACCTTGGAACAATTTCTCCTTGCAGAAGTACCTGGGGTTCCCCTATTACTTGAAGATCAACTACTCCTGTGATGGACAGGTGAGTGGGTGCCTCCTGGAAGGCCCTGTCTGCGTGGATCTCAGGGCAGCATCACTAACACTTGAAGAGTTTAGTAACACTTCAGTCCACCAGGCCCGGAAGGATTCAAGATTGCGCCAGAAAGAGTAGGGGTTAAAGGTACACAGGAAATTGACCCTCGTTCAATTCCTGGCACCTCATGGTCTTCCAAGCGGTGGGATTAACCACTGAGCACAGAGCCTGGAATAACCCCAGTGCACTGCTGGATGTGGTGCCAAGTTCTTATCCTTGAAGATGGGAGATGGGGGACTTCAAATCAGGCCCATAGTAGGTGCTCAAATAAGCTTGCTTTTCCTGCCGTTACAATTTTTTGAGATAGAATTCACATGTTTTATCTCTCACATGAGAGATAAAGGAGTGGGCAGGGTGTTTGCCTTGCACATGCCTACCCTAGATTCGATCCCTTGAACCCCATATGGTTCCCCAAGCCCTGCCAGAACTGATCATTGACACAGAGCCAGAAGAAAGCCTTGAGCACCGCTGGGTGTGATCCAACATCACCTCCCCCCCAGAAAAAAAACCCTTAGAAAAAAAACAATGCACCGTGCATCATTTTACATTCCCATCTGCCATGGATGAGAGTTCTCTACATCTTCACCAGGAATTACTGTCAGTCTTTTCCACTGTACTCATCCTAGTGTGTGTGAGTCATCCATCATCCGTATATAATAATATGTGTGAGAGGCCGCAATGCTAGTACAGTCAGAAGGGCGCTCGCCTTACATGCGGCTGACCTGAGTTTGATTCCAGCACCACATATTGCCCCCCTGAGCCCTTCCAGGATTGATCTCTGAGTGCAGAGCCAGGAGTAAGCCTGTAAGTAGAAATGTGTTGTGGGGGAGGCAGACCAATGATGCAGCGAGTAGCGCCTCGTCTTGCACGCAACTGTCCTGGGTTTGATCCCTGGCATCCCATATAGTCCCCAGAACACAGCCAAAAGTAATTTATGAGTGCAGACCCAGGAGTGACCCCTGAGTACCTTCAGGTGTGGTCCCAAAAAGCAAACAAAAACGTGTTGTGTTTTTTTATTTGTACTTTCTTCACAAATAATTGGTAAACATTTTCCAAATGCTCATTTATCTATGTTCTCTGAAAAAATATGTTAAGAGCCTTTGTCCATTTAAAGATTGATTTATTGGGGCTGGAGAGAGAATAGAGGGATTAAGGCACTTGCCTTGCACAGTGATCCCCAGTTTGATTCCTGGCACTGCATGTGGCCTCTGAGCACAAAGCTAGGAGTAAACCCTGAGCACTTCCAGGTGTGGCCCTAAACCCCACCTCGAAAAGTTTGGGTTGATTTTTCTGAGAACTGGAGGTGCTGTCAGGGCACCCTAAGTCCCTAGCGAGGCCACCTCCCCAACTTTTACGGGAGGCTCACATCCATGGTGCTCAGGGCTTACTCCTGCAGTCCTAGTGGGGTCTGTGAGACCAAATGTGGTGCCATTAACTGACCCTGGGTCACACATGTGCTCGGCAAGTGCCTTACTGCCCTTCTGACTCTCTAGCCACAAACTTATCCTATTTGGTTTTGGGGCTACACCTGGTGGTGCTCAGAGCATACCTCTGGTTCTTTATTCAGAGGACTTATTCCTGGTGGGGTTCTGGTAACCATGTGGTGCCGGAGAGTGAACCCAGGTTGACCAAGTGCAAAGCAAGCGCCCTACCCAATATACTATTTCTCCATCCCCCCAGCTTTTTTTTGGGTGGTGGCCATACCCAGCAATGCTCAGGGATTATTCCTGGCTCTACACTCAGGACTCATTCCTGGTGGTGTTTGGGGGACCATTAGGGATGCCAGGGATTGAACCTGGGTCAACCAGCACAAGGCAGATGCCCTACCTGCTGTACTCTATCTCCAGCCCCTTTAAAAATTTTTTTTGTTATAAATTTCTTTGTATATTCTGGATACATCAGACATTAGTGGCACCTGCTCGAGCAAATTGATGACCAACGGAATGACAAGTGATACAAGTGGTTTTGGATAAGGACTGGAGCGATGATGGTGTTTGCCTTGCACACAGCCTACCCAGGTTCGATTCCTCCGTCCCTCTTGGAGAGCACGGCAGAGCCTGGCAAGCTCCCTGACAAAAACAGAAACAAGTTTCACAATGGAGACATTACTGGTGTCCGCTCGAGCCAATCGATAAACAACGGGAGGACAATGCTACAGTGCTATTTTTTTGTTTGTTTGGAGGGCATACCTGGTGGTACTCACTCCTAGCTCTGTGCTCAGGGATCACTTCTGGCAGGCTCAAGGGACCACATGCAATGCTGGAGATTGAACCTGGGTCGGCTGCTTGCCAAGCAAGTACCCTCCCCACTGTTCTATTGTTCCAACAACAGATAATATTTTTTTCTGTCTTTTTGGGTCACACCCGGAGATGCTCAGGGGTTGCTCCTGGCTCTGTACTCAGGATTTACTTCTGGCTATGTTTGGGGGATCATATGGGATGCCGGGGGATCAGACCCTGGTCGGCCGCATGCAAGGCAAATAAATGCCCTACCTGCTGTACTATTGCTCCGGCCCCCACATATATAATATTTTGAACTGTTCCTTCAACACCTCCGCAAATGGAAGCCATTCTCTTTGCTAAGGTGGGGGGTGAGAGAGGCACAAGCAACATGGCCAGATTTTCTTTATGGATTCAGCCAACCAGAAAACCAGTCACGGGGCAAAGACATAGGATGATTTCTGAGTGTGATCAGTATTGAGAAGTAAAGGGAGGGGAGACACGAGGAAGGGGGAAGTGGGGGCATGCAGGTGAGATGCTGTGGATGACTTGGGAGAATTTGAGCCCTTGAAGGGGAAACGGGGCTACTAGGAGGGGCACCAGGAGAGCATTAGGGGTCATACGGAAGGCTGTCAGCCCATGAAACCCCTCCCTCTGGACTCCAGCGCTGCCCCCCAGACTTTACCTGCAAAGACTTGAGAGTAGCTGCCTCCCTGCAGGCTCTGGGCCCAGGTTAGTGCAGGCCTCACTCCTGGGCCCTTTTCTCTCTTGTCCTACCTGTCCCTCCTCTTGGCTATGCTTAATCTCCCTCAGCCCCTTTCTGTCTGACGGCCCCATGTCACCCTCACATAGGCCTCACACCAGACTGACGGTTCAGTTTCTGCCCCGAGTGAAGCACCAAGTTTTTTTGCCTTGATTACCTCATAGCTCTGCCCTGGCACTCTACCAGACTGAGCACCTTAACTCCTGAGTTGCCTTCAGCAGGAAGCCCTCCTGCCTACCCCACCCAGCCCCAGCCCCCAGAGCAGGATTTCTTCACCCAGGAAAACTCCCTATGAGAAGGAGGTCCAGGAAGAGGCTCCTGGAGACTTTTTTTGAAATTGAATCACTCTGTGAGATACAGTTACAAAGCTTTCATGATTGAGTTTCAGTCATACAATGTTCCAACACCTGTCCTTCCACCAGTGTACATTTCGCACCACCAGTATCTCTCATATCCCTCCTGCCACCCCCTCTACTTTTGGGCATGATGGTTTGCAATATGGACACTGAGAGGCTATCATGTTTGGTCTTTGCAAAGACTTGTTTTGTAGGGGCCACAGCTGGCAGTGCTGGGGCACCCTGGGCTCTGTGCAGCAAAGCTGGGCCCCATGTAGGCCAGTTGGGGGAGCAGGTCTGGCGTCCAGATGTGTGTGTGTGTGTGTGTGTGTGTTGTGGAGGGGAGACATGTGGTGCCATGGATGAACTCAGGGCCTTTCACAGGCCTTTCACAGTGCTCATCTCCCCTCTCTGTGAACCCTCTCATCCCAGTCCTCTGAGGCCCTGTTGCGCAGTGGCCACCTGATGGGGCTGAAGCCTTTGGTGCTCGTCATCTTCCAGTCTCCCATCAACTTCTACCACTGGAAGATTGAGCACCTGGAGATCCAGATGGAGGCCATCCCCTCCAAGAGTGAAGGTGGGGCCGGGGGACTGCCGGCTGTTGGGAGGCTTCAGTGGGGCTATGACCTGGAGGAGGGTGCCGGGACGACTTGGCAGATCCTTGGCTTTGGAGCCTGAGAGGAGGCTCCAGGAAGGCATCTCTCTTGCAAACCTTAGACCTGGGTTTCCCCTACACACTGACACCCTTAAAAGCCAAACAGAGCAACCAGATTCGAGCTGAGAGGCCTCAGCGCCCACTGCTTTGCAGAGTACTGCCACGCAGAGCTAGTGTGTGGCATGAACTGGTACGTGCCCATGCCCATCAAGAATGGCAGCGTGATCATGAATGTGGACATCAGCAGCAATGGCCTGGGGCCCATCATTCCCACTCAAAGGTGCCGGCCCCCAAGCCCTTATCCCTCAACCCCCAGAGTAGCCAGGAGGAGCTCAAAGGGGAGGGATTAGTGTGTGTGAGGGGCTTGGGGAGGCTACTGAAGCTTTCGTGGGGGTCCTGTCTCTAGGTTCCAGGTGAACATCAACGGCTTCTTGAGGAGAAAGAAAAGCACTTGGAAATTCATACTGGGGAATGAGGTGAGGGGGTACTGCCAGAATCAGAGGTGGGGGGCAAACCCAAGCACCTTTCCAAGTGCAGGCCAGGTCCAGGTGCCATAAATCACGGCCACAGCATGTCTTTATGAGGGCCCTTGGGATGGGGAGATTTCCAAGTAGTGCTGGACAGCCTGGGCACTTACTCTGGGGGTGCTCAGCCCAGCTGTGCAGAACACATACTTCAGTTATTGCACAGTCACTCCAGCTACCTCTGGAGGAGTTTGAGAACCATGTAGTGCTGGGCATCAAACTTGCAGTTTTGTGCATGCAAAGCATGTACTTCCACCCTTGAGCTATATATCTGGCCTCATGTACTCATTTTATTTTGTTTTGGGTCCATCCTAGGCAGTGCTTAGACTTATTCCTGACTCTGCACTCAGATCACTCCTGGCAGGTTCTGGGGACCATATGGGGTGTGAGGGACTGAACCCTGGTAGGCTATGTCAAAGCAAACATCCTACCCACTACACTGTCTCTCCGGCCCTCATCGTTTATTTATTTATTTATTTGGCTGGAGTGATAGCACAGCAGGTAGGGCATTTGCCTTGCACGCAGCCATCATGGCCGACCCGAGTTCGATTCCTCTGCCCCTCTCGGAGAGCCCAGCAAGCTACCGAGAGTATCTCGCCCACACGGCAAAGCCTGGCAAGCAACCCGTGGCGTATTCTATATGCCAAACACAGTAACAGGTCTCACAATGTTACTGGGCCCGCTCGAGCAAATCAATGAACAATGGGAGGACAGTGATAGTGATTTATTTATTTATGGTTCAGGGCCACACCTGGCTCAGGGTATTTTTCCTGTCTTTGCGCTCAGGAATCACTCTTGGCAGGGCTTGGGGGACCACATGGGATGCTGGAATTGTTGGTTGCACCCTACCCGCTGTACTATTGTTCCAGCCCCTTTGTCAATGCACACACCAGTCCAAATTCATGAACTGGTGAGCTGACATTCTAGGGGAGAGATAAACCCCACGTTTGTAAAACTGAGTTTAAGCCAGCTCCCTCAGTGGTTCAAATGTGGCAAATGGGAGATGGATTAATAGCACAGTGGCAGGGTGCTAGCCTTGCATGCAGCTGACCCGGATTCAATCCCCAGTACCCCAACATCCTGTCAGAAGTGATCCTGAGCACAGAGCCAGGAGTAAACCCTGAGCTCTGTCATGTGTGGCCACCCCCTACCAGGAAAAAAAAAAAAGAGAGAGCCAAGTGCTGGGGAGAGCAGGCTGTCCGTGAGGGAACAGACTGTGTGCAGTTAGTGGAGTAGATGCAGAGGGACGAAGTGTTGGTCGAGGCTGACTGCCATTGAAGTACAGGCAAGAAGGAAATTGGAAGAGCGAGACTGGGGCTCCTGGCGGGGAGGGCATGAGCTTCTGGGGCAGGATACACCTGCTACATCTGAGCCGTGGTAAGGAGTTCTGAAGGTCAGGGGAGAAGGGGGCATGCAGGGGTGAAGACAGAGAAGTGACAGAGGCACATGGAGTGGTGTATCGTGCGGGGAGGTGGTGGAGTCCTGGGAGGGGGCACAGTGATGAGCAGCCCCTGACACCTTGCACCCCTGCCACAGCTCTTCAACATGATGCCCAAGCAGTTTTCAGGCGTGCCATCGAGGCCGCTGTGGTATACGGTGGACCACACGCCAGTGCTCATCCTCGGCGACATTCCCGATGAGAAGAGTGTCTTGCTTACAGACTCCAGCTTCAGGGACTTCTTTCTGGTGGAGGTGAGGGTGTGGGATGAGGCCTGAGGTCATGGGAGGCATCCTAAGACATGCTCCTGGGAAGGGCAGAGAGCAAGAAGCTGAGGCTGGGACTGAGGCCAGGTCTCGTCTCCCTCTGGGGTCTGCAGCCTTCGTCCTTTCTGACCACGGGCACCATTTCATCTACCTGGGCTCAGACTGTCCATCTGTAAAATGGGAATAATAGAAGACTCCCAGGAATTATGGTGAGGTGTTACTATCAGCCAGATAAGGACTGGATGAGCCGTAACTGTCATGATTTATAGCCACCCTAAGGAATTTTGAAATCCAAAATGCTTTTCTTTTGGAGGGAGGGGGCCCTTAGCATTTGGGGCCAAACCTGACTATGCTCAGAGATTATTCCTGGCACTGTGCTCAGTAGGGGCCCATCGTGGTGCTCAAGGGACCATATTCTGTGCTAGGGATCCAGCAGGGGTTGGCCATATGCACGGCAAGCACTTTAGCTACCCTATGTTTTCTCTCAGACCCAAGTAACTACTTGATTCATTTGTTCTAGGTTTGGCACCACACAACAACACTCAGGGCTTACTCCTGCCTCTGTGCTCAGGAACTCTTGGCAGGGTTCAGGAAATCATATAGGGTTTTGGGGGATCAGCCACATGCAAAACAAGTGCCCTACCCTCTGTACTGTTTCTCTGGCCCCCAATGACCACTTTCAAGTGCCATTTAAGCCATAACATGGTGCAGCTACCACCTCTAAGATGGTTCCCAGTTTCCTTTGCTCCAAAATAAAAGCCCCCTGATTCTTCCCTTTTCCTCAGGGGGAGTTCTCTCTGGGGCCCGTCTTTTGCCTCCTGATCCATTACTCTGAGGCCTCCTGGGCACTCCCCTCCATTCAGCTTCCCTCAAAGCTGGGTTGGTCGAGTTAGAAGCTATAGTCAGGGGTGCCCTAAAAGGGAATCACTTCCCATTCCCTTAGCAGAATCCGAGTTCCTTCTGTGTTCCTGTCCCACATCCCCATCTCCCTGGGTGTCACTGTCATGTGGATGGTCATACCCTCTTCATAGTCAGAGAAGGGGCCCAGTGAGGCTTTTTGTTGTTTGTTTTGACTTTTTGGTGTACACTTAGCTGTGCTAAGGGCTTATTCCTGGTTGGCACTCAGGGATCATTCCTGGAGGGACTCGGGGACATATGTGGTACCAGGAATAAAATGGGGGTCAGTTGCATACAAGGCCAGTGGCTTACTTGCTATGCTATCACTGTGGCCCCATAATCCCACATCTATTTCCTTTTGGCAAGTTCCTGTTTCATTCCTGAGCTGGACCTTTGGCTCCACCCAGCTGCAAGGGAGTCTGGGAAATATTTCTTCGTGGGCTGCACATGCTCCGCTGAGTCTCCTTTGCCAAAGGGCCAGAGAGAGGACATGGGTTAAGAGAGACAACATGGTTTTGCATGTGTCTGATGCTGGTTCAATCCTGGACACAGCTTGACTGTGGGTTGCAAACAGTGCCCCAAGATAATCTCTCGCACTTCATCTCTTAGATGAACTGGCTCCTGGGCATGTTTTCTGTTCAGAGCAGCTGTCCTCCAGCACTGCCCAGGCAGCCGCTTCTTGGGTGGCCCACCGTAAGAAAGCCTTTCCCAAGATCCCAGACCTTCAAACTTAAGGATTCTTTCTACTGGGGTAGCTGGGCTGTGGGCTACCCTCGACTCGCTCAGAACAGTGAATCATGCCCAGCTTGGTCCCGGCAGCAGTGCAGCTGACTCCCAGCTTCTGCCTCCCAGCGAGTGAGCAGGGAGGGTACTGTGAAGATCTGCTCTGAACGCCACAATGGATGGGCATTTAAAAAATTTAAAAAATTTGTCACACCCGGTGATGCTCAGGGATTACTCCTGGCTTTGCACTCAGGAATTACTCCTGGCAGTGCTCGGGGGACCATATGGGATGCTGGGAATCAAACCCAGGCCAGCCACGTGCAAGGCAAATGCCCTACTCACTGTACTATCACTCCAGACCCCTGGATGGGTATTTCTTATGGACAGCAGAAGCATCGGTTCAGATAGGAGCAGTTCATATGCCACATGAGATACCCCAAAGTCAGACCCCTTGAGGGACTCCAGGTTAGTTAGGCTGGGCATAGAGCAGCGCTGTCGTAGGTGGATGCCGAGCCATTTTTGTCAAAAGGACACTTGCCCCTGGGTACTTTTTTTTTTTTTTGGCCACATCCAGAAATGCTTAGGGGTTACTCCTGCTCTGCGCTCAGAAATCATTCCTGATAGTGCTTGGGGGACCATATGGGATGTCCAGGACCAAACCTAGGTCTGTAGTATGCAAGGCAAGCAACCCTCTGGCTCCTGCCAGGGCACTTTGATGCTGGGTAGGGCAGGAGCAGGGGCAGGGGGGCTTCTGTTCATGTTTTCTATGAAACCTGTTCATGTTCTCCTCTATGAAACCTCTCCCCATTTTGCTTTGGTTCATAGTTTTGATTTGAGGCCATTTCCAACAGGGCTCAGGGATCATTCCTGGCAGGCCTTAGGGGATCACATGGGGTGCCTCGGTCAGGCATGTGCCACACAAGCGTGTCACCCACTACACTATTGCACTGGCCTATAATTCTCTGAGAAATTAGCAATAATTGTTACTGATTACTAGGCTACAGTCAGTTTTCTCTGATTATCTGAAAACATCTATTGTGTGTGTGGTGCTGGAGATCAAACCCAGGTCTCATCCATGCAAGGCATGCACTTGTTTTGATGGGGCTGGAAAGATAATGCAGGGGATAAGTTTCTTGCCTTGCACCTGGATGACCCTGATTTGATCCCCAGAAATACATATTGTCCCCTAAGCCCCACCAGAGGCCACTTCTGAGCACAGAGCCAGGAGTAAGGCCTGAGCACTGCAAGTTATGGACCAAACCTCCCTGTTTCCTCCACCTCGTATCTTTGAAGGCCAGAGAGATAGCTCACTGGCTGAAACACATGCAGGAAGTTGGGGTTTGATCTTTAGTACCACATTGTCCCTGAACCCAAATTATCCCATACTGCCCCCCCCCCCCCAGTCTTTGACAGCTGTTTCTTTGAATCAGGATCATCACATTTTATTTGGTTGAGTCTCTTAAAAACTGCTCTGCTCTCCCCTCTCCCTTGACTCAGCTGCCTGAAAACACCTGCATTCAGGCCATTTGAGAGTATATGGAACATTTTGCCCCTGAGAATGTGATCCTTGTTGTTGTTCCTTGCTATCTTTTTTTTTTTTTTTTGCTTTTTGGGTCACACCCGGAGATGCACAGGGGTTATTCCTGGCTCATGCACTCAGGAATTATTCCTGGAAGTGGTCAGGGGACCATATGGGATACTGGGAATTGAACCCAGGTTGGCCGCTTACAAGGCAAATGCCCTACCCACTGTGCTATCACTCCAGCCCCCTTGCTGTCTTTTCTCTCGTCCCTTTATTCCTGGGCTGTGTGTCACCAATTGTAAGCACAGAACAATGGCCAGCTGGGGCCGAACCCAGCACTTAGCTTTCTCATGGTCTAAGCTTGGTGGATCTCTGTGATCAAGGGGTGGGGACCACGAATAGTGGGGTGATTGGTTTCTGGAGTCCCGCCTCCCACTGTGAACTTTCTTGCCAGGGACAGGGGAGGAGAGAGAGAGAGAGCAGGAGGGAAGATTCAGAGTGATAGTACAGGGGGTATGACATTTGTCTTGCACTTGGCCGACCCAGATTCAACCCCCAGAACCCACAGGATCCTCTGAGCACCACCAGGATTAATTCCTGAGTGCAAAGCCATGAGTCAGCCCAGAGCACCACCAAGTGCAGCCAAAAATTAAAAAACAAAACAGTGTCCCCTGAGAGTTTGTGTCCCAGGTAGAACAGGGTCATGACACATCTGATGTGTCCACATGGGAAGTCTTGCCTGGGGTCAGGGGGACCAGGGACCACACACAGCCCTCTGCCTCAGGGCCCTGCTGCCCTGCTCCATATTTGGGAAGTTTGGCCCCATGATGTAGGGGGAACCACAGGATCACCCGGGGGGCAGCTGCCTACAAGTGGTCAGAGGAGGGGCCTCTCCTCTCCCCCAGCAGGTGTATGTAGGAGCAGGGCCACAGCCACCCCTCACTCATGGTTCTGTTCCCTGCAGCTGAGCATTGACAGTTGCTGGGTGAGCTCCCACTACTGCCCCGAAATGAACTTCACAGCCACCATCCATGACACCATCTCCACTGAGAGCACCGTGTTCATCCGGCAGAACCAGCTCGTCTACTATTTCACGGGCAGATACATCGTCCTCCATGAGCAAGACCTCAGCAGCAGTGAGGGTCCTGGGCAAGGGCATGCGGGGGGGGGGGGGGGCTGGGGCGGGAGGGTGCTCTGATGAACACGTTCCTAGGGCACCTGGAACCCAGAAGGCAATGGAGGCTTTGCTCTCCAAGGTCCTGAATCATCTCAGTCAACCCAAATGGACTTGTCCTCTCTTCTCCCATCCCTGCTTCCCTTGATGCTGTTGCAATGTCTGTATATACTTAGTGTCAATATGCACTTTTGGGGTTATTTTTTGGGGAGGACACACCTGACAGTGCACAGGGCTCACTCCTGTCTCTTCATTCGGGGATCACTCTTAGTGGAACTCCTGGACTATATGTGATGCCGGGGATCGAACCTGGGTCAGCCGCAGTCAGCTCTACCTGCTGTACTATCACTCCAGCTCCCCAATCTGCATCCTGTGCTCACTTCCTTTTCGGGGGTGGTGTGTCACGCAGGCCACACAGTTTAGTGCTGGTACTTGCATGCACTTGGTGGGCAGTATGCTGGTGCTCGTGTCCTTCGGGTGAGCTGCCAGGATTGTAATTTGTATGTAGGGCAGTGCTGGGGATCCAACTCTGAGGCCTTATGCCTCCAGGGCAGGTGCTGTACCAGTGAGCTAACCCAAGGCCCCCTCTTCCCGGTTATATTCTGGGGGTGAGGCTTGCATCAGCATCTTCCTGGGAATCATGAGCCAGCAGAGGAAGGAGGCAGGCAAACAAGGTGAGGGAGAGAACAGGAATGGTAGAGCTAAGGGCACACACAGCCTACAAGACAAAGACCTAGCAAAAGAGATGCATGCGTACTGATCCAGAAATCAGCACATTGGGTGAAAAGCAGACAGGATCAAAGAAAAGGACAGTGAGGAGAGAGAGCAATCAAAATGGACTGTTGGAAGGCCAGGTCAATAGCACAGCGGGGAGGGCCCTTGTCTTACATGCATCTGACCTGGGTTCAATCCCTGGCATCCCATATGAACCCCCCCAAGGACAGCCAGGAGTCAGGAGTAACTCCTGAGCATCAGTGGGTGTGACCCAAAATCTTTAAAAAAATTTTTTTAAAATGAAGTGGGCTGGGGCTGGAGCGATAGGATAGCGGGTAGGGCGTTTGCCTTGCATGCAGCCAACATGGCCGACACAGGTTCGAGTCCCAGCATCCCATATGGTCCCCCGAGCAAAACCAGGAGCAATTCCTGAGTGCATGAGCCAGGAGTGACCCCTAAGTATCGCCGTGTGTGACCCAAAAAGCAAAAAGAAAAAAAAAAAGAAAGAAAAAAGAAGTGGGCTACTGAAGGGACAAAACTATGAAACTAGTTAGTAAAGAAAAATAAAAGTTTGGGGTTCAGCTTCATTTTGGGAGGTATACCCAGTGATGCTCAAGGATCACTCCAGGCTCTGCACTTAGGAATTACTCCTGGCAGGCTCTGGAGACCCTATAGGGTGCCAGGGATTGAGCCCAGGTCAGCCACGTGCAAGACAAGCACCCTACCTGCTGTACTATCTCTCCAGCCTCTTAGCTTCATTTTTTAATTAATATTTTGTTGTTGGGAGCCACACCAGCAGAGCTCAGGGATTATTCCTGGTTCTGTGCTCAGGGATAACTCGTGGCAGAGCTCGGGAGACCATATCTGATGCTGGGGATTGAACCTAGGTCAGTTTCATACAGAGCACGTGCCTTACTTGCTCCCCTGTATTTTGTTGTTGTTTTGAGATGACATCTGGTAGTGCTCGGCTCTGGGGACCATGTTGTGGGTGCTGGGATCAAACTCAGGTTTCCTGCATGCAAAACATGTACACAGCCCATTGGGCTAGCTCTCTGGCCCTCGGCTTCATTTCTTCTTTTCGGGTCACACCTGGCGATGCTCAGTGGTTACTCATGGCTTTGCACTCAGGAATCACTCCTGGCAGTGCTCAGGGGACCATATGGGATGCTGGGAATTGAACCCAGGTCGGCCGTGTGCAAGGCAAATGCCCTACCCACTGTGCTATCGCTCCAGCTCCTTGGCTTCATTTTTAAACAATCCTAAAGCCTCTGGAGCATTCCTGCTTTCTCCTCTAGGTGACAGATGCTTGCTTGCAGGGTCCTGTGCCCTGGTCCCAGGGCCTGAGTGGCACTCATTGTGCCCACTCCCAGCAGCTTCCATGCCTTTCCCTATTAGGTCACCTTACAGGAGGAGGACATTCAAAGGGGTCAAGACAGAGAGAAAAGGGCTACTTGTTCCTGGTTGGTCTGGACAGCTGAGACACGCAGGAACATGTTGCTATCATGGCCACTGTTGGATCTGGGTTGTTGTTTTTTTTTTTGGAGTCACACCCAAACCCCAGCAATGCTCAGGGGTTACTCCTAGCTCTGCGTTCAGGAATTACCCTTGGCGGTGCTTGGGGGACCATATGGGATGCTGGCGATTAAACCCAGGTCAGCCGTGTGAAAGGCAAATGTTCTACCCGCTGTACTATCACTCTGGCCCAGGATCTGGGGGTTTGATGAAGCCATTAGACCCCTGCGTTGTGCTCATGATAATGCCCCCACCCTGCATCCCCATCTAGCCACTGCAGACTCTGCTCCTGGGGCCGTGCGATTGAGTTGCTCATTTGTGGCTGTGGGATGAGCCTGCGGGATGAGCCTGTTTTGGATTTGCCTGGCTATATCCCCTGCCTGCTCAGATCCAATTTCTTTGTGTTTGCTTTGTTTCGGGGCCATACCCAGCAGGGCTTACTCTGACACCAGGCTCTGTGGTCATTCCTGCTGGGGCCCAGGGAACCCTTTGCAATGCCAGGGATTAAACCTGGGTCAGCAGCATGCAAGGCAAGCACCTTCCCTGCTGTGCTACCTCTTTGGCCCAGGAGATGCAGCAATGGAGTCAGCCCTCCCAGAACCTCTTGGAGAGGGTGGGTGGTGGGGAGCTTTCTTCCAAGGCAGCAAGAGCCCTGTGGTAAGGGTCCCTGGACAGTCTGCTGGACACTGAGGAGAGGACGTGGCCAGGAAGAGGGGTGGGGTTGGAGTTCATCTGGATCCAAATAGCTGGTCAGGAGAGCCCATGCTGGTCCCCACAGACACCTGGGTTCGTGTCCTGCGCAATGAGTGCATCAAGAAGCTATTGCCCGTGCTCTTTCCCAGCAATGGCTCCGAGTACATCCTAGCCCTCTCCTCTGGCAAGAGAGAAGGCTACGTCCACCTTGGAACCATCAGAGGTGAGTCAGTGGGTGTTCGGAGTCCAGAAGACCCTCCAGGCCTGCAGACACTCTTCCTTCACCTTTGGGGTCAGACCAGTCGCACAGCGGGGAGGGCGCTTGCCTTGCACACGGTCAACCGATCCCACATGGTCTCCAAGCCCACCAGGAGGGATCCTTTAGTTCAGAGCCAGAAGTAAGCCCTGAGCACCACTGGGTGTGACTGCAAAACAAAATGAACCACATCGCCATGTGCCTTTGGAAGGGTCCCAGGCTGGCAGGCAGCCCTGTGAGCGAGGTGATATATATGTATGGAGCAGGGGAATGGAGGGGGTCATGGATTTGCTTTGAAAGGACAGAGGCTCAATTGGAAGGTCACTTATGGGACTGGAGCAAGAGTACAGGGGGTAGTACTTGTCTTGTATGCAGCTGACTGAAGTTTGATTCTGGCATTCCATATTGTCCCCCAAACCCACCAGAAGTGATTCCTGAGCACAGAGCCAGGAGTAAGTCCTGAGTACTGCCAAGTGTGACCCCAAGATAAAAACAAAATGGACAAAAAAGTCATTTAAGGTGTGATAGTTTGCACATGGCTGACCCCATTCAATCGATGATACTATATATGGCCCCGAGGCGCTGCCAGGAGTGGTCCTTGGGCATAGAGACAGGAGTGAGCCCTGGGGACTGCCAGGTACAGCCCCCACACCAAAAGGAACAGAAGTCATTTAAGTGTAGAGGGTTTGTAGACTGCCTGTTGTGTAGTTTCAGGCATTGCTAGGTCCAGGACTGTCTGTCCTCGAAAGAAGGGATAGCACAGTGGTCCTTCTTGAAAGACTGTTGTAGCACACCCAGCCCAAGCCCCTTATGGCTTCAGACAAGAAGCTGAACCTCTTCTGTCTCACTCCCTCACCTGCATAGTGGGGCTAATGAAAATCCTAGTCCCTGCTTCCCTGAGCTGGTAAAAAGATTGAAATAGCACTATCCAGGGCTGGAGCGATAGGACAGCGGGTAGGGCATTTGCCTTGCACAAGGTTGACTTGGGTTCAAATCCCAGCATCTCATATGGTCCCCTGAGCACCGCCAGGAGTAATTCCTGAGTGCAGACCCAGGAGTAACCCCTGAGCATCGCCGGGATTGACCCCAAAACAAAAAACAAAACAAAAAAAATAGCACTGTCCTCTCCCGTTGTTCATCAATTTGCTCGAGCTGGCGCCAGTAACATCTCCATTGTGAGACTTGTTACTGTTTTTGTCATATCAGATATGCCACGGGGAGCTTGCCAGGCTCTGCTGTGTGGGAGGGATACTCTTAGTAGTTTGCCAGGCTCTCCGAGAGGGACAGAGGAATCGAACCCGGGTCGACCTTGTGCAAGGCAAATGCCCTACCTGCTGTGCTGTCGCTCCAGCCCAAAAAGGAAAAAAAAAGATTAAAATAACAACATATATGAAAATCTCAGATTGGGCTAAGGCAGATGGGGAGAGCCATAGGAGTTTGTCATCAATTAACACTGGGATTTGGTTTCATTTTGATTTGGGGGGGGGGTAGGGGCACATCCAACAGTGCTCAGAGTTTATTCTTGGCTTTGTGCTCATGGATCACTCGTGGGAACCACATGGGGTGCTGGGGATCAAATCCAAGTTGGCCATGTGCAAGGTAAGTGTCCTGCCTGGAGTACTTTTGCTCTGGTCCCAGACTTGGCTTCATTTTAGGATAGATACACATCTCTTGAAGGTTAATATTTGGCCCTGGAGCTGAGGGCTTATATCTCCCACTCGTTTGCATCCCCAAGAGAATGAGAGTAGTCTCTTTCTGATGGGCCTTAGCACAGATCTCAGGGAACACTGATTAGCCCATTCTGGATACACCCCCAGACCTGAGCCAATCTCTTTTTCCATTTGTTGTTTTGTTTTGGGGCCACATTTGGAGGCATTCAAAAAATCACTCCTGGTGGGTCCGGAGGACCATATGGGATGCTGGGGATGGAGCATGGGTCAGCCATGTGCAAAGCAAGCGTCCTACCCACTGTATTGTTGCTCAGGCCCCTGAGCTAATTCCTGAGCAGTGTGTGTGTGTATGTGTGTGTGTGTGTGTGTGTGTGTGTGTTTGTGTGTGTGTAAGAGGGAGAGAGAGAGAGAAAGCTAGAGAGAGAGAGTGAGAGAGAGGAGAGAGAGAAAGAGCTCAGTCCTGGGAATCCCAAAGACTAAGAGCATGGGGACACTCGGAGAGCTGGTGTGAGGTGGTGCCTGCTGGGCTGGGAAGGGCCTGAGTGTGGACCCGGCCTGCTCGACAGATGGCCACGTCACCTTCGAGCTGATCCCCAGGCAGAATTCCGTGTGTGAGATCATACAAGGTACCTGGGTGTTGGGGAATAGCGATCGGCGGGGAGAGTTAGTGGGGAGGCAGCAGTCACAGAGAGAGGAAATGGGTGATGGAGCAGGGTTGGCACCCTGGTGCTGCACCAAGCTCCCACTTCCTGCCCAGCCTTCGGCTGCTCCATCACCTGGGCCGTCTACAGCTCAGATGACTACATCATGCTCCTGCTGGTTGAGATTCCAAACCGCAATTCCAGAAATTCTTTCCAGGTGGTCAGCTACAATCTAGGTAACTGGGGGACCATGGCGGGTAGAGATGGGGCTGGACTTGGGGAGAGGGGTGGGGGCAGGAGCCCTGGTTGTGTACAGCAAGCAGACAGGATGCTCCTGAGTGGGAGGGGGGCGGGCTGTGAGGATGAAGGGGGGGTGGGTAGCGCAGAGGTTTGGTGAGCAGAATTGTGAGGTAGGCTACACCTGAGCTCAGCAGGCTCAGGGCTGTGGCACTCAGTAGACCAGGGCTTCTAGGACAGAGGCACCTGCTGACCTGAGTTCGATCCCGGGCACCCCATATGGTCCCCTGAGCACCACCAGCTGTGATAGCTGAGAGCCAGGAATAAGCCCTGAGCACTGCTGAGGGGGGGGCGTGAAACAACACGTAGAACAGGGGCTGGGCTGGGGCTGCAGAAGACAGCTGCACAGGCGTACACTGCTCTCTGCTGCCAAAGTGGAAGAGGTACATCCTACACTACCCGGGTGGTAGCCTTTAGGAGGCCCCGGGAAGAACTCTGGCCTAACTGGAGAGACTGGGGAGACTGGGAGATCGGGGAGGCTTGGGATGGGCACCGGGTAGGGCTTGAGGGCTGACTCTCAAGAGCTTTGGCTTTGCCCTGCCACTGCAGTCAACAATGACCTGACCGTCATCTGCAACATCCCAGAGTTCATCCCTGATGGTAAGGAAGAAAGGCAGAGGGGGCCCCTGCAGGGAACGGGGTCAGGAGGGCCTCCCTGCCAGAACCTCCCAGCCGGCTTTGCCTCTGTCCATGGCCAGCGGGGCACCAGGAGTTCTTGGTGATCTTTGGGGACATATCTTACACCACCGTCCCGATGATTCCCACGGGCATGTTCTACAACCCCTACAACAACCTTCTCTTCATCTGGGGCAACTTCCTGATGCAGAGGTGGGTGCCTCTCCCTGTGGCCTTTCTGGGCCCCCTAGGTGGGTGTCCTCTCTGAAGGCACCCATTTTCAGGGGATGCCCATCTCCAGAGGTTACCCCGGAGTATGATGGGGGGAAACTGGCCTGGAGGGGACAAACAGGAGCAGCTGGGAAGTCTGGTGTGTTGAAGTAGCATGAGCCGCCTTTTCAGTGAGGAAGTCACCACCTATGGGGGGAGAGGCAGGTGCCATGGGGGTTGTGGAGGACCCCTGAGCCAAATCCAGAGGCTGGGGGTGAACGTCCAGGTGCATTGGGTGTGCTTGTCAAGGTGGGTAAGTTCCCAGGGGGTCTGGAACTGAAACCAGGGGACCAGGCTTCCTCTGCATGAGGTCCCAAGGCTAGAGAAGAAGTGAGCCCAAGGTCAGGGATGGCAGACCCCTGGTCAGGGCGCCCAGCACCCCCTCCCCATCTCTGTCCATTCAGCTTTAACAGTGAGAGCTTCATCTACTTGACCGACTTCCCCAAGGAGCTGTCCATCAAATACGTGCTGAACTCCTTCCACGGGGACATGGTTCTTGTCACAGAGAACGAGGAGGTAGGCTTCCCTGCCCCCCTCAGCCTGCCCCCAGCCCCCTGGGGCCTCCTTTCCCTCCCAGCCATGCCCCTGGGGGTAGAGGTGCCTCCCCAGGGATCCTGGGGGAAGGCAGCAGCAGCAACTTCATCTTGAGATGAACCCCAGAACTCAAAGGAGTTTTCCAAAGGCCTGCAAGCGGGGTGCATGCTGAGCATTTGTAAAGGAGGGGCTCACTGAGGGCTGGGCTTCATTTCCTCCTGGGGACACTTCTTGCTCCCTGTGTCCCAGGCTTCGAAGAGGAAAGCACCCCTCCCAGTCCAGTCTCTCCCAGACACCAGAGGAAGGTGTCCCCCAGTGTCTGGGGAGGGGGCATCCCGGAAGCTGGCAGCAACTCGGGAGAGTTGTGTGTGAGAGTTGTGTGCCTCGAGCATTTAACTTCAATGCAGAGGTGGGAGCTGAGTGCAAGGCAAAGCTGGGACACTGAGAGATGCCAAGAAAGGGGGATTGGCCTTAGGACACGCCCCTCCCCCCAGCCTTGGGGAGTGGCTGTGTCCTTAAGGCTCATACCTTACAGCTGATAGAAATTCCCCCAGACTGGAATGAGTCGTTGATGAGGCTCAGCTGGTTATACTGAGCAGGGGAGAGGCAGGCTCAGTGTCCCTATGACCCTCATACACAGCCCTGGCTGTCGCATCCCCAGATCTGGTTCCACAAGGAGGAAAGCTACCGGATATACAGGCTGTTCCCATCCAGGGGTTGGGAGGTGTTTGTGAGCCTGCAAATGATGCAGCATTCCACTTCCTACGGCCATAAAGAGACCATGCTCACCCTCTTCTATGAAGACAGGAATCTGTACCAGGTGCTGGCTGGAGGGCCATAGGGAGGCCTGGGAAGCCCGGGGTTGTGAGCTGACACCAAGCCTTCACCTGGCCCTCTCGGGCAGCTAGTGTATTTGGAGAGTCATCAGGAGAGCCGACTGGTCAAGAGGTTGTTGCCTGTGGAGGAGCTCCTTGCATACCAGCAATCCAGCAACTACTACGACCTGCATGATAAAAGGTAAGGTGGGGTGAGGGGCCACTGAGTCCCAAGCACTGCCTGGGAGGCTGCTGCTAGGCTGGGAGAACTTAGGGCCTCTGGAAGCTCAAAAGGAGAGGCCTTCCCTAGCTCAGGAGAGTGCAACAGGGAGGGCTGCCAGGAGGAAGAGGTGTTGGTGGCTGAGAAGGGAACAAAAGAAAAGGGCAGGTGAAAAGACAAGGAGGGATTCCAGAGCGGGAATCCCCACATACAAAGTCATCCCCCAAAGGAAAAGAAACTGGATGTTTAAGAGCGGAAAGCCAGCCTCTGCAGATATGGGTACTGGTGGTCGACAAGGTCTGCCTGGGAGGGAAAAGGGTTTCCTCTTGAGGGTCCTGGGGAACCACGAAGGGGATAAGGGGCAGGCCAGGCATCACTGTGTTTCAGTGTGCTCCTCCTGCAGAGGGGGCTTCCAGGTGGGCCCCGGTGGGGCAAGAGCAAGGGTGGTGGAAGGTTGCTTAGGAGGTTGGAGTAGGGGAGAGGGAAGGTTGGACCAAGGCCGGGGTTCTGGTCCAGGCCACAAAGGCTCCGAGGCTGAGACTGGGAGGAAGGCTGGTGTCGGTCCAGGTGTCAGGGTAGGATGCAGGTTGCTCCAGGTAGGGCTGCTGGAAGAAAGCAAGGAGGAGTCAGCTGCACCACCGACCCCACCCCTCTCCCCTTCCAGGAACCGCCTGGTGCTCACCGTCACCAGCCGCTGCTCATTCACGGAAATGAATCTGCGTAACCTGCCCACCCCGCAGATCTATTCACGCCAGGAGCACTACCGGGCACTGCCGCCCATCTCCCCGGACCTGTCAGGTTTCCATCTCCAGGACTCGCTGACCGTTTACCAAGGCCTTATCTATTACCTCCTCTGGCTGCATTCCAAGTACAACAAGGTGGGTGTACATGGACCGGTGGCTGGGGCTGGCAGTGGGGGGGCCTCTCTGAGTGGGGGCTGGGCAGGTCCAAAGACCAGGCTTCATAGTGGGGACCGGAAGGACAATGGTGGAGGGTAGAAGAGAATGGGCTTGGGACTGGAGCTATAGAACAGCAGGTAGGGCATTTGCTTTGCACACAGCCAACCTGGGTTCAATCCCCACCATCCTTCATATGGTCCCCCGAGCACCACCAGTAGTAATTCCTGAGTGAAGAGCCAGAAGTAATCCTGTGCATTGCTGGGTGTGACCCAAAACCAAACAAACAAAAGAATAGAATAGAGTCATCTTTAGATGCTGAGGCCAAAGCGGGGCTAGTGGAGGGGGCAAGGCTGGAGACAGGACTTGGCCATCTCTTAGAGACGACTTTGGGTTACAGCTGTTTCTGAAGGGTCTGTATCTTTTACTTTAGGGAAGGGGCCAGATGGAGGTTAGGAAGGGGTCGGGGGGCTCCTGGGGTGGCCCTCCACTTCTCACGGTGCTGGCATTTGGGTGATCCCTACAGCCCTACGCAGACCCAGTGCATGACCCTACCTGGCGCTGGTGGAAGAAGAGACAACAGGACCAGGTGTGTGTGGAAGCTTGGGAATGTGTGTGAGTGTGTGCTGTGTGCGTATGCACATGTGCATGTGTGTGCGCGTGGGGGAGGGTGGTACGTACTCACAGTCCCTCTGGCTGACTTTGCCTGGCACATCTTTGCCTGGCGCATCTCAACCCCCAGGATTATTACTTCTACTTATCGAGCAACAGGAAGAATATGGAAAAGATTCACCTGGACCCATGGACCTATGAGAAGATCTACAACCTCGAAGCCAACCACAACCTGCCTGGGCACATCTTCTTGGACAGGGGCAACAAATACACCTTCACCATCTACCTGACCCTGCATACATACTTCAACTTTAAGAACGAGGTGTGCTACCCGAGACACAAGAACAACCTCAGGAACCTGGAGCTGACAGTGAAGCTCCCTGACTATGGCTGCACTGATGTGCAGGTGACCAAGACTATTGTTTTAAGACACAGAGCAGTGCTTTTCTCGGTGAGACCTGGCAGGGAGCTGTCGGGGTGGATCTGAACGGTCACTGCACCCTCGGGCAGGACTGTTGACCATGTCCTTCCTGCCGTACCTCCAGATCACGATCAGTGACCTGGGCATGTGCTCTGACCAGGGCATTAGCGGACACCATCTCATGATGTCCTCTATGATGCTGAAGGTACACTCCAAGGGGCCAGTAGGGGAGCACAGGGGGCCTGGAGGGAGGCAGGCCCCAGGGGAGTCCTCTCATCCTGTGCTCCTCCCGCCAGGTGTTGAGCTTCAACCAAGATTGCATCCAGAGCAAGGTCCTCAGTCCACACTTACAAGCAAGTCTTGGCCCTTCATTTGTGGGCATCTGTGCAGGGTGGGAAGGACTGGTCCCCACTTGTGCCATCTTCTCTTGCCTTCTCCTTCCCAGCTGCTCAGCCACTTGAGTCTTGCTTCCCTTTCAGGTAGTGTAGCTTGCACAGCAGCACGTAGCTCCTGTCTGATAGTTCTCTGCAGGGAGAAGGAAAGGGTGGGCAGGCCTTGTTTGTCTAGTGGGCACCGAGGGCGTCCTGGGGCTCAGGCTGGCTCTTCTCCCCCATGTTGTTCTTCGATTGCTGACTTTTCTGGATCTTTGAGGCCACCCTCGCTTGCACATACAATCTCCCCTTTGCACAGAGGCAGGCATCCAGGCTCAGAAAGGTGCAAAGATCTGTTCAGGAATGCAGGGAGTTAGGAACTGGGAGAGCAAGGCCCACCCCCATTGGCTGGCTCGTACCCACTATTTTTTTTTCTTTAAAAATTTTTGAGGGGCTGGAGTGATAGCACAGCAGGTAGGGCATTTGCCTTGCATGCAGCCGACCCGGGTTTAATTCCCAGCATCCCATATGGTCCCCACTAGGGGTAATTCTTGAGTGCATGAGCCAGGAGTAACTCCTGAGCATCACTGGTTGTGACCCAAAAAGCAAAAAAAAGGAAAGAAAATATTTTAAATTTGGGGCAGGAGCAATCGCACAGTGGGAGGTGTTTGCCTTGCATATGACTGACCCGAGTTCAGTCTCCGGCATTCCATATGGTCCCCCAAGCACCTCCAGGAGTAATTCCTGAGTGCAGAGCCAGGAATTAGAATCAATTAGAATTAGCCCCTCTCAGAATCGATCTCAAGATAGGCTTCTGGGTGAGGAGAGTGAGGATCAAGGAGACAGAATGGAAATAGTGTCACTTCCTGCATTCTTAATTCATTCATTAATTAATTGATTTGGTTTTGGGGCCACACCTGATGATGCTCAGGGGTTATTCCTGATTCTACACTCAGGAATCATTTCTGTTGGTGCGTGGGGAACCATATGGGATGTGGGAAATTGAAACTAGGTTGGCTGAGTGCAAGGCAAGCACCCTCCCTGCTATACTGTCGGTCCAGCCCCTTATCCCATTTTTATGAAATGCCTCTTACATGGTAGCCAGACACTTGATACTAGAGTTACAGCCATGACGGCAACCCACAGACCCGTCCAGGGAGGTGACTGTTCCCAGGGGAGGAGGCAGCCATGGCATGGAAATGACCCCAAAGATGGAAATTTCTTCACCCCGTCTCCAGAGGTTAGAGGTCCGAGTCTAGGCTTGGTTGCCACTGGCTGCTGTGATGGGGAGTCTGTCCCTTGCCTCATGCCTCTCTCCTGGCTTTTGCAGGCTGCTGATAGCTCTTGGCTTGTTGCCACCCCACTCTTCTCTTTGTGTCTCTCCAAGCGCTTCTCTTACATGCTTGTCCAGATTCCTCTCCGAGGTCGGGACATAGGTGATTCCCTCACCCTAGTTTCGACTTGCTCATATATCAACGAAGAACCCCGTTTATTCACACTGACTGATTCCATGCAGTTAGAACTAGGCCTTCAGCATAGATGTTTGGGGAAGCATAACTCAACCGCCAGGAAAGAATCACAGTGTGCCAAGTAAATAGACATGATAATGTGTGTTAAGAACTGATGAGTGCTAAAGAAAAAATAAGCAAAACCAGGGGCACTAGGGATGTTTGTGTTTTTCATAGTGTGGTCCAGGGAAGACATGGCCAAGAGGAAAACTCTCCCCCACCCACCCATCTACCCACCCAGGATGGGAGTGGGGAGGAGTGTTGGAGATTGAACCTAGGGTCTCACATACATGCTTTGCACCAAGCCATATCCCTGGCCTCCAAGTGGGAAATATTTGAGCAAAGACTTGAGTGAAGGGAAGGAGTGAGCCCCTGTGCTTATGTGCAAAAAGGCATGGCAGCAGGAGGGACAGGGGGCAGGCAGTTCTAGAGGTAGAAGTAAGTTTCACATGTCAGGCTGAAGGGAAGTGAGCGTATGTGGCCAAGCTAGGCTGAGTGGGAGGGAGGGGGAGAGAGATGAGGTCAAAACCAGGTTGGGCAGATGCAATGTGGGCAAGTTGGCACCAGAGGAGGCATGAGTTTCTTTTTTTTTTTTTAATAATTTATTTCTTTATTGAATCACTGTGGGAAAAGTTACAGAGCTTTCGGGTTTAGGTCTCAGTCATGTAAGTATCAAACACATTTCCCTTTACCAATACTTATTTTTAACCGTGAACCCCAATAGAACCCCACATCCCACCCCTCCCAATTCCTGTGTGGCAGATGAGTTCTAGTTAATACTCTATCTACTTTGACTAGATACATTGTTTCGATAGAAGATGCACAATTATTGTTTAGAGTTTATGACCCCCCCCCCAATCAGATATGCTGAAACAGCGTTGTGAAATGATTTGGGCATGAGTTTCTTCAGGGGTGTAGCTAAGACCCCTCCATCCAGAAGTTAGTGTGGGTGAGGTCACAGGGGAGAAAAGGTGTGTTGAGTCCAGTACAGTCTTAGGGTACCAGGAGGAGCACTGTTTGTGGGGAAGTTTTGGGGATGCGTGGGTGGTCTGGGGCTGTGACTTGACCCCAACTTCTGGGATGGGACACAAATTCCATCCCCACTGCATGGATCCTAGAATGGGGTTAGCCATGTGACCCCAGATTTGCACCAGGCTGGGCATCACCACAGCACCGTTGAGGGTCCGTCTTTATAATCAGGGTGGTAGGCAAAATAGCGCTTGGCCCAGGGCAGACTATACACTCAAATCTGGAATTAGCCTCTGAATATAAAGGGAGGTGGGTACTTGGGGTTTCACAGTCTCTCTCAAACTGTGAGGGACAGACCGCACATGGAGGGGTGGCAGGAAGGAAGCAAGGTCAGGCATGACAAGGGAAGCAGAAGAGTTGAGAGACATAGGAGAGAGTGGCCTGTGACAAAAGGGTGAGAATGAGAGTTCCAGGATGAAGACAACCCCTCTAGCCAGAATGTGAAGGAATGAGTCACTGTGAATCGAGAGAAGAGTGGAGAAGGGATTGGACTGGATACGCCCATTAGCTGCCCTCCCTGCATTTAGGGGCTGCTGGATTTTTTTTTTTTTTGGCCATTTGGGTCACACAGCAGGAATTACCCCTGGTGGTGCTCAGGGGACCATATGGGATGCCAGGAATTGAACCCAGGTCAGCCATGTGCCAGGCAAATTCCTTCCCCGCCATACTATCACTCCAGCCCTGGGTGCCAGATCTTTGATCTGAGCTGAAATAGGGGGTGGGGCATGGGGTGCCTGGTCTGACCACTGAGCCCTCTCCACAGTCACCATCAGGCCTAAATCATGTGACTGACCATGGAGATAAACTTCAGGCACTTCTCCCTAAAATGAACCAGGTGTTTCATTCTCTAGATCATGTCATGGGGGTGAGGGATAGGATCTTTCCAAACCCTGTTTTGGGGAGTAGGGGATTTGGACCACACCCAGCAGTGCTCAGGGCCTGCTTCTGGCTCTAAACTCATGGCAGTGAGGGGATTGAACCCATGTGGTTTAACCCTTGTACTGTTCCTCCAGCCCCTATCATTTCCTATTTTTTTGGAGGTGGCCACACCCAGTGTGCTCAGGCCTTACTTCTGGCTCTGCACTTAGGAATCACTCCAGGCGGGGCTCAGGGGACTGTACGGGGTGCCAGGGATCGAACCCAGGCCAGCTGCTTGCAAAGCAAATCCCCTTCCTGTTTTACTCATTATAGCCCATGAACCCCCAGGTAATGTTATTTGAGAATTCAGGCCTGACTGCAGCCCTCTGGCCTCTCCAGAACATGGGTGCCAGTGGGTTTTCACATGTTACTCTGGAGGCAGCTGAAGGGCCAATTCCATTCTGACTCCTATCTACCACTGACTCCCTGTGTGACTATAGAGAGACTTTATTTATGTATTTATGTATTTATTTATTTTGCTTTTGGGGTCACACTGGGATATGCTCAGGGGTTACTCCTGGCTCTGTATTTAGGAATCGCTCCTGGTGTTGCTCGGAGGACCATATGGGATGCTGGGAATTGAACCCGGATTGGCCGTGTGCAAGGAAAACGCCCTACCCACTGTGCTATGGCTCCAGCCCCCCCCCCCATTTTTTTTTGCTTATATAGCACAGCGGTAGGGCGTTTGCCTTGCACGCAGCCAACATGGCCGACCTGAGTTCGATTCCTCCGCCCCTCTCGGAGAGCCCGGCAAGCTACCGAGAGTATCTCGCCCGCACGGCAGAGCCTGGCAAGCTCCCCGTGACGTATTCGATATGCCAAACACAGTAACAACAAAGTCTCCAATGGAGACGTTACTGGGCCCGCTCGAGCAAATCGACGAACAACGGGAGGGCCTTTACCTTTACCTTTTATAGAGAGACTTTAGAAGTGGGCCTCACTTTGGCCATCTCTAAAATGGAGACTGGGAGGGGCCAGAGCCATAGTGCAGCGGGGAGGGTGCTTACCTTGCACGTGGCTGACCCAGGTTCAATTCCCTGCATCCCATATGGTCCCCTGAGCACTGCTAGGAGTGATTCTCGAGTGCAGAGCCAGGAGTAACCCCTGTGCATCGCCGAGTGTGACCTAGAAAAAAGCCTCTTCTGAACACAGCTCCACTTTCCACCTCGTCTCTTCCTATGCTCCCTTCACCCAGCAGTTGTGACCCCCCCCCACTTTTTGGGGGAAGGGCACACCCAGAAGTACTCTGGGTTTACTTCTGGTTCTGAACTCAGGGATCACTCCTAATGGGACAGGGAGACCTTACGTGATGCTGGGGATCAAACCCAATCAGCCGTGTGCCAGGCAAGCGCCCTACCAGCTGTCCTGTCTTTCCAGCCCCGGTCCCTAAGCCTTGTGCCATGGCCACCCCCTCCAATTGATGTGATTTTCACCTGTGGTTCCTTTGGGAGTACCCAAAGGGCCATCTGAGCCCAGACTGAGAAATGCTGCTGTAGAGACTAATGGGTTTGAACATGGAAAGCCCTGAGAAGCCCTTCCCAGGGCCTTTATACAGCAGAGGTTGCTTAAGTGTTGGCAGTTTTCCAAATACTTTTGTTGATATTTTAGGTTGCACCCACCAGTGCTCAGGGCTCATTCCTGGTTCCTGGGCTCAGGGCTCTTTCCTGCAGGGACTCAGGTGCCAGGGATTAAACCGGGGTCAGCCACAGGCAAGGCAGGTACCTAAAGTGTGCTGCCTCTCTGCACCCCTCCCCCCAGCCCTGTCTCCAGTGGACTTGAGACCCTCCAGTCCCCAGTGACAAGGGTGAGCAAGCAGGGCAGAATCAGGGAGGAGCGTGAGAAAGCAGGTGTCCTCCTTGCTTGAGGCTTGCCTCCTTCTCCACAGAGAAACCTGATGATGCTAGTGTACCTGGGCTGCCCACCCGGCAAGCGCCTAGCCTTTGACATCACCTACACGCTGCAGTACAACATGAAGAAGAACAGGCACTACTTCGACTGTGTGAACGAAGACCCCGAGATGCCCTGTTTCCTCTTCCGGGACAGTGCGTGCCCCTGTGGCCCCCAGCAGCAGGACCCTCTCCCCTCCCCTCCACACCTTCCGCTCTCCTTCCTTTTGTGGGCTTTTTTTTTTTTTTTGCTTTTTGGGTCACACCTGGCAATGCACAGGGGTTACTCCTGGCTCTGCACTCAGGAGTTACTCCTGGTGGTGCTCAGGGGAGCATATGGGATGCTGGGAATTGAACCCGGGTCGACCGCGTGCAAGGCAAATGCCCTGCCCACTGTACTATCTCTCCAGCCCCTTTGTGGGCTGTTCTAATACCTCTGTACCCCCACCCCACCCTGCCGCAGCCTTCTACCCCTTCTTCTTAATCCAAGACTTGGTGACAGGAGAGTCTGGCAAGTTTAAAGGCAGGTAAGGATGTGGCAAGCAGGGCGGTAAGGAGCAGGTTGCAGAGCAGGAGAGGAGATGGCTGAGAACGGGCTTCCTCAGCGCCTCTGACCCCCCACAGCTACATCCTGAAGGTGGTGGGCGGTGGGCCCACCATGGACACCATCCGGGAATACAGCGAGGTGGAAATCATCCGCTATAACAGCCCTCTGGACAAGTAATCTTTGAGGGGCGGGATGCAGCCTCCATCCTCCTGGGTTTACCTGCCTCGGGCCTCCCCTGCTGCCCTCCTCCCCCCCCCCAGGTCCCCCCCCAGCTCCCCCGCCCGATCTCCCACATCTGCCCTTGCTTGCTTGGTTCTACAGATCCAGAAGCCTCATCTGGATCGCTGTTAAGAAGAGCAGTGAGCCCTTGTTCTTTACAATCATGTCTGATGAGAACCCTGGCATAGAGTGAGTAAGGGGTCAGGCTGCCAGCCTCCTATGTTCCTTCTGTTGATCTCCAGGTGATATGCTGCCTGTCACAAGCTGACTGTTGACTGATGGGCAGTGCTGGTCTTTTTTTTTTTTTTGCTTTTTGGGTCAAACCCGGCAATGCACAGGGGTTACTCTTGGCTCTGCACTCAGGAATTACCCCCGGTGGTGCTCAGAGGACCATATGGGATGCTGGGAATCGAACCTGGGTCAGCCGCGTGCAAGGCAAACATCCCACCTGCTGTGCTATCACTCCAGCCCAGTGCTGGTCTTTTACTGTCCCTTCCTCCTCTTCCTCCTCTTTCTTCCCCTCTTCTCCCCTCTTTCTCCTTCCCTACCCTCCCTCCTCTCCCCTCTCCCCCTCTTCCCTTTCCTCTTCCCCTCCTCTTCCCCTCTTTCCCCTCCTTCCCCCCTCCCCCCTCTCTCCCTTCTCTTTCTCCTCTTTTTTTGTGGTGCCAGAACCTCACCAGCAAGTCAAGTGCTCTCCCCTGGAGCTCTACCCTGAGTTTATTTATTGGCTTTTTGGGGTCATACTGGTGATGCACAGGGGTTACTCCACTCCTGGCTTTGCACTCAGGAATTACTCCTGGCAGTGCTGGGGGACTATATGGGATTCGGGGATCAAACCTGGATTGGTTGTGTGCAAGGCAAATGCCCTACCCACTGTACTGTAGCTCCAGCCCTTTCCCACGTTCTTTAGATGCCCCTTCATCCAGAAACACTCTCTAGAGGGGGCCTTTGGTTACCCTCCCTTGGCTCCCTTCCCTAATCTCACCCAGATTTCTCTCCCTGACCTTCCTGTCCCCAAATTTGACCCCTCAGGGCTTTCACTCTGTAGTGGGTTCTGTTACCCTCACAGGTCGGGTTCTGGACACACTCAGCATACTGTCGGTTGGCTGAGACCATGAATAGATGGTACTAATTCATGGCAGACACTGACTGATGTTTGAAGGGAGGTCCTGATGGGAAAGTAAAACAGTGGAGGAACAAGGGAGGATTTCTAAGGGTTCGAAAGCTAGGTTGCATTCAGCGGAAGGAAAAAAAATTGATGCCAGTAACACACGACTCACCGTGTCTCTCCTGCCTGCTCACTGAATGAATGGGTTAAGGGGAAGAGGGTTGGGCAGGTGGCACCAAGGGCTGGGGCACATGCAGAGCAGGTGGGGTCCTGAGGCTCAATCCCAGCACCAAGCTCGGAATAGCCCATGAGAGTTGTCACCCTCCCAAACCGAAAGCTATCTTGGAATGAGTTAAAAGGGAAGAATTGCTGGCAACAAAACTGGACCCCACCTTTCCTCAAGCTGCATTTGTAGAAGGAAGAAGCAAAGGCCAGGGTCAGAGAGGGCATACAGAGATGGGCACTCTACATTGTGGCTGTAGGCTCAGGGGTGGGCGGGTTCCTTGCTGAGGCAGGAGAAAATTGAATTGACAGCTTACGTGGGAAGGGATGACAAAGTGCTGGAAGAAGGTATGATGAACTTGCACCCCCAGAATCTGGGTTGGAGGGGGGGCTTAGGGACCAGCCCTCCTTTTGTTTGTTTGTTTGTTTTTTTTTTTGGTAGCACCCAGCGATGCACAGGGGTTACTCCTGGCTCTGCACTCAGGATTTACCCCTTGTGGTGCTCAGGGGACCATGGGATGCTGGGAATCGAACCGAGGTCTGCCGCTTGCAAGGCAAACGCCCTATCCGCTGTGCTATTGCTCCATCCCTGGCCTCCTGTTGAGTGATTGACCTTTGACCTCCCAGGTGGCTGTGTTTAGAGAACTCTCCCTGCTATGACATCACTCCCCAAGGTTTCTTCGCTCCCGATTTCTTTTTCAAGGTGTTGGTGAGCAATCGGTGAGCTAGGCTTGTAGTCCTGGTGGGGAGAGGGACTTGTGTGTGTGTGTGGGGGGGTGGTATAACCCTGAGTCCCCCTTTTCCACCAGAGGAGTAGACAACAGCACCTACTGTGATTACCAGCTCACCTTCTTGCTACACATCCATGGCTTCCCCATCAGTGCCAAGCGGACCCTCTCCATCTTCATGGAAAGTGTTTGACCAGGAGTGGCCCTGCCAACAGGGTGGGGTTCGAAACAGGAAGCCCCCCCACCCTGCTCCACTGAGGTCTGTCCCCAGCCTCCCTGACTGCTGGGTGCCTTCCACAGGTGTCAGCCATCATCTTTATCAGCCTGGTATTCCTCTACGTCATCTCCTACCTCATGGTGCCCTTGTTAATGAAGGGCTGCAACATGATTCGCTGGAAGATGAACACCCTCATGGTGTCTGAGTCCTACTATACCAACCCATCTTCATCCAGGATCCTCACTGTGTCTTCCAAATCTGTGTTCCCCACCCCTGCCAACTCCAGGGTCACCCCCCAGGTAACAGAGGAGAGTGAGGGCTAGCCCCTAAAGAAGTAGCTGAGTTGACCTCTGGCCTGTCCCAACCAAATGCCAGGTGCCCACCGCCTGCCTCATTTCTTGGGCCATCTTAGAAATGCAACTAGGCACCCCTTCCACGTCTCCCCCTCTCTCCCATTTTGCTTGAATTTTCACTTCTTTAGACCCAAATCAAAAGCTGAGGACTGGCTGGGGTTCCTTGTTAGGGGATGCATTAATTAGTTTGTACCACACAGCTACACATGCCTTTGAGCCAGCCATGTTCTTCTGTGCTACCTGGGAACTATGGAAACTTCTCTCTGTGTGTTTGACCAAGTGAGCCTTTCCCAAGGGTGCTCTCAGCCTCTCTACATGCGACTCACAATCCAGACCATTGCTGTGGCCTGCCGTTTAGATTGTTCAGTGCCCAGGTTTTGTACCAGTCATTAAATATTTTGAACGTCTATCTCTTTCAAGTTGTCTGCCTTCTGGAGGAAACTGGAGAAATTGAAGATTTCTTTTCCTTTATTGGTTGTTATTGCCAAGTAGCCAACATTACACTCTTTCCACTTGGGAAGAGTTCAGTTATGAGCTTTGTTAATCTAGACTTGGGGTGCAGTTTGATCTAGCAGTCTAACCGCCTAAAAACCAGTATGGAGGGTACTTGCCTTGCTTGTGGTTGACCTGGTTTTGATCCCTGGCACTGTGTATGGTCCCCTGAGCCCTAGCAGGAGTGATACCTGAGTACAGGTGTAAGTCCTGAGCATAGCCGGATGTGTCCTCCAACTCCAACAACAACAACAACAACAAAAGTTTCGTCTCTCTTGGGTTTTACTGTTGTTTTGGGTTTGGGCCAACCCAGGGGCAATGGTGTTCAGGGTTTACTCCTGACTCTGTGCTCATGGGTCACTCTTGACAGTGTGTCGGGTGCCGGGGATTAATCCAGCAAGCTCCCTAACTCAGCATATTTCATTTTAGAAGCTAGATATATTAAAATTGGGGACAAGAAACTCGAGTTCCTGCACATAACAATGGATACACACACTCTACAACAACCATTTTCAAGAGTCACGATTGGATGGACTCATCTGTGAAGCAGAAGTTAGCAGTCACTGGGGACTGGAGAGGTAGCTTGATGGGATGGGTATGTGATATGCATGAAAGAGACCAGGGTTTGAGTCCCACACTGCAAGGTCCCCTGGGCACCAAGTTAGATGTAGCTGTTGAGTGTCACTGGGTATGGCCGAAAATCAGAGCAAAAGAAAAAACAGTCTCTGAAAAGTGTGGGCATATTATACTCAATGTCTAATTGGCAACAACAAAATTATAAAACATAAAAGCAACAGAAAATTATGGCCTTTTTCTCATTCCCAGATGAGAGAAATGATTTGGTAGATACCATCCCTGAAAAAAACTAAACACTAGAATTAACATCTTTTTCTCTCTCTTTTTTTTCTTTTCCTTTTTGGGTCACACCTGGCAATGCACAAGGCTTACTCCTGGCTCTGCACTCAGGAATTACCCCTGGTGGTGCTCAGGGGACCATATGGAATGCTGGGACTCAAACCAGATGTACCAAGGTCAGCTGCGTACAAGGCAAATGCCTTACCCACTGTGCTATTGCTCTAGCCCCAACATCATCTTCTCTTTTGTTGGGAGGTCACACCTGTCTGTACGCAGGGCTCGCTCCTGGCTCTTTCTATACTCATGAATCACTCCTGGTGGTGCTTGGGGGAACTACAGGTGGTGACAGAGATTGAACTCTGGTGGGCAGTGTGCAAGGACAACACCCTACCTGCTTTCACATCTCTCTGGCCTCTGAGATACTTTCATTGTGGTGGAACTGTGACGTTGCAACTTTTTTGTTGGGTTGTTTCTCCTGACTCTGCCACACTCTGAAAACTGTTTCAGTCTAGTTGAAGTAGGTCACCAATTAACTGGTAAAATCTTATGATGGATCTTCACCATTTAACCGACATGGAGCCCCAGATCTCAGAATATGGGTTTCATATCAGCAGAATCCAAGGTAGCAACATCTGGATAGAGGTTTATAAAGAGCTAAAGGGGGTAATCCCAGTTCTTGGGATAACTCTTCTCATGCCTCAGAAAACTCATGAATAATCCTCTTCCTGCTTAACATACAGTCAGAACTCTAAAGAAGACTCAGTGTGACACTCCACAGAGAATTCATTGGGTCCTGTTCCTTTGCCTCCTTTTATTTGTTTTTAAAGTTTGGGCCACACCTGGCTGTTCTGGTCGGGCTTGCTTCTGGCTCTGAACTCAGGGATACTCTTGGGGGGATTAGAATGATCCTACATGGTACTGTGGGGTCAAACTTCAGTGGGCCATGGGTAAGGCAGGCACTCTACCTACTTTAGTATTATTAACAGTGGCACATACATGAAATCCATATATCAGCATGAGAGCCCTTACTGCTCTATCCATACTAAGGAGTATTATCCAACTAGGCTTTTCTGTTTGTGTATGTGTCAGATATATGCCAATTTATCTAGAGATATATATATATTTAGATATTTATTTTTTTGCTTTTTGGGTCACACCTGGCGATGCTCAGGGGTTATTACTGGCTCTGCACTCAGAAATTACTCCTGGCCGTACTTGGGGGACCATATGGGATGCCAGGCATAGAACTCAGGTCGGCTGCATGCAAGGCAAATACACTGCACTATCATTCAGGTCCTAGAGATATCTTTATTTATTTATTGCTTTTTTGGGTCACACCCAGCAATGCACAGGGGTTACTCCTGGCTTTGCGCTCAGGAATTACCCCTGGCGGTGCTCAGGGAACCATACGGGATGCTGGGAATCGAACCCGGGTCGGCTGCGTGCAAGGCAAACGCCCTACCCGCTGTGCTATTGCTCCAGCCCCTAGAGATATTTTTAATATATCTCTAAAAAGCATGTTGCTTTGGGAGCTGGAGAGAGAGCACAGCAGTTAAGGCCCTTACCTGGCACACTGGTTTATACTGGTTTAATTCCTGGCACCCCATATTGTCCCCCAAGCATCTCCAGGGCTGGCAGAGCCATGAATAAGCCCTGAGAACTGCTTGGTATGATCAAAACCACCCCCACTTAAAAAAAAATTCAGGGGCTGGAGGGATAGTACAGCAGGTAAGGTGCTTGCCTTGTAGGCAGCTGACCAGAGTTTGATCCCGGGCACCCCATATGGTTCCGTGAGACCACCAGAAGTGATTCCTGAATATAGAGACAGGAGTAACCCTGAGTGTTGCTGGGTGTGACCCAAACCCTTCCCTGCCCCCCCCCCAAGTTTTTAAGAAAATAAATATAGGGGCTGGAGAGATAATATAGCTGATAGGGAGTTGACCTTGCACACACTCAAACCAGGTTCCATCCGCGCATCCCATATGGTCCTCCAGCACTTCCAGAGAGCCAAGAGTAACCCCTGAGAATGAATGGGTGTGCCCCCGGCCCCCCTACCCCTGTCCCAGCGAATATGTACAGCATGAATCAGTTTTGGTGTTTTACACATCCAGTCATTGACTCATTCAATAAATTGAGTATCACGAGCTGGTGACATTCAAGTAAAGGAAACTAATAAAACTGCTCTGATAGAATTGAAATAGTTGAAAGTTAAGGAAAACTGAACTAGGCACACGTGTCTATATTGTGAACTAGGGAATCTTCCGCAGATATGTTGTATTCAAAGACACATCAGACGACTTTTGTAAAATGCGTGCTTATTAGCATAAGCAGGGGGAAAATGTGGAAGGATGCATCACAGACCAGCTACCAGTCCCCTGAAAGTTTACCCAGCCTCTCCAAGTCCTCTAAAAACGGAAAAGACGACACAGCTGTCCCAAAATCCCCACCACCGCCAACTCTACGCTTAAAACAAAAATTCCAACAGCCTTTATTGAATATGGAACCTCCAAAACACAGAAGCATAGCATCCGAACGCCCAGGTTGAAGTTAAAGCAGCCATATTAGCTAGGGGAAGCGCGGGAGGCGTCGCGAGTCCGACCATTTCCGATTGGGGCGGAAAAGAACTTCCTGTCGTCATTTGAGTGACAGCAGAGGCGGGGCTCGGGCGCCCGAGTTCTCTAACGGCCAAGTCCCGAGAGCACCGCCCCAAAGGGAGGGACCGCTCCCGGCGGTGGGCGGAGACAGGCAGGGCGCGGTCCCGCCCCCGGAGAGGCCCCGCCCCCCGGGGCCCCACTTCCGCCGCGGCCGCGTCCGGCGGCGTTGCTGCCGTAAGTGGGGCCGGCGGTTTGCCGCATCACGGAAGATGGCGGCGGCGGCGGTGAACGGGGCCACGGGCCTCTCGGGGTCCGGGCCCGCGGCGGCGGCCTCGGGCGCCGTTTTGCAGGCAGCGGCCGGCATGTACGAGCAGCTCAAGGGCGAGTGGAACCGTAAAAGCCCCAATCTTAGCAAATGCGGCGAAGAGCTGGGCCGTCTCAAGGTACCGGGCGCTGCGAGGGAGCCCGTGCGGCCGCGGCGGGCTGGGGGTCCCCGAGGGGCGAGGGTGCGGCAGCGCCTAAGCGCGGCCGTGGAGCGGGGCCGGGAGAGGCCAGGAGGGGACCCGGGCGGCCCCGCGCGGGAGGAGGTGCCCGAGAGCGTTTCTGGGCCCCTCCGAGCGAGAGATGAAAAGCTGGAGGCCTGGGGTGGGGGAGCAGAGTGGAGGTGTCGGAGCTTCATGGAAACCAAATGGGGAACGAGGACCGGGCGGGGTGGTGCAAGGAGGAGGCTGGTATGGTGGGAGATGAGGGGCCGGCCGGGCCCGGGGAGGGTCTGAGAGGGTCTGGGGAGGGGACAGCCTCCTGAAGGCGAGGCTGAACCCAGAAAAAAGTAGGATTCGCAAGAGATCCAGAATGGGGCTTCTGGTGCTTCCGACTGGGCTTGGAAAGGAATGGGGGGAGCCCAGATCCCCTAGGCCCGACTAAGATGTTGAGAAAGTGTGGGGGATCAGGAGTGTGCGAGCTGGAGTGGGGGAGTCGGGACTAGGGACCCTTCCTTCCGCCTCTAGATATGGGGGTGGGTTGGGGTTCTAACACAGGAAAGTCGGCCCAGAAGTAAGGGGCCAGTGGCCCTCTCCTACCCCCTTTGGGCCCATTGCATCTGGTATGGGGTGTTTCCTGTTTTCCCAGAGGGGCTATTAATACTTGTCACATGAGGAAACCCTAAATAAATAAGCACCACTGGGTGTCCCCAGGCCCTGTGCCAAATGATGAATGACTCTGAACACAACAACTGGTATGAGTCAGGGAGCATCATTAGCTCCATTTTCTAGAGGGGACGACTGAGGCCAAAAGAAGATACTGATTTCCCCTTGAAGTAGCTTCCTTTCTTCCTTCCCACCTTCCCTCCCTCGCAGCTGGTTCTCCTGGAACTCAATTTCCTGCCAACCACTGGGACCAAACTGACCAGACAGCAGCTCATTCTGGCTCGTGAGTGTCTCTGATGTTGGTTGGGGGTGCTGGGCTAAGGGGGTGTGGTAGTTAGCTGGGGAGGGACTCGGGCACCCCCTGAAGGCCTTCCCTGTTCTTCTCAGGTGACATCCTGGAGATCGGAGCCCAGTGGAGCATCCTCCGCAAAGATATCCCGTCCTTCGAGCGCTACATGGCTCAGCTCAAGTGCTACTACTTTGACTACAAGTGAGGATTCACAGTTAATACTTGGGGTGTGGCTGCTCTGTCCTTCCTGCTGCTTTGGCCCCTTGTCATCATCTTCCTTCACCGGCCTCCCCCTGCCTTAAAGGCCACAGGGTTGGCCTGTACTAGCTGGACCCGCCTCTCACCTCTTCAGATTCATCCCCTGATGGCTCCAGTAGGGTCTTTTTTTTTTTTTTTTGCTTTTTGGGTCACATCTGGCGATGCACAGGGCTTACTCCTGGCTCTGCACTCAGGAATTACTCCTGGCAGTGCTCAGGGGACCATATGGGATGCTGGAAATCGAACCTGGGTCAGCCGCGTGCAAGGCAAATGCCCTACCCGCTATACTATTGCTCCAGCCCCGCTAATAAGTCTTGATATTTCTCATAGTAATATAGGAGATAGTCTGCTTGTTTTGATTTTATTTGGGGCCCAGACTAAGGGCTTACTCCTGGCTCTGTGCTCAGGAAACTCCTGGAGGAGTTTGGGAGACCATATGGGGTGCCAGGATCAAACCCAGGTCAAGGGCAGAGCAAGCTCCTGCCTGTGCTGTCACTCTGGCCCCATATTTGGCTGTTTGGAAGAAAGATTTTCATGTGAAGCTTTCACATGAAACCTGGTTTCATGTGAAACTAGGTGTTTTGAGTTTTTTCCCCCCTCATTCTAATAGTTCCTAATATTTTCTAGTTTTTATTTTGCTCCTCACCCTTCACATTTTCCATTCTTGTTTTTCTCTGCTTCTAAGAACATTTCTTTTGACTTTCCTGAAGTCCTTTTAGTATTTCTTGAAAGGCAGGGCTTATGGAAATCAAGTCCTTTTCTTTAAAAAAAAAAAAAACTGTAAAGCTCTTCACTGCTTTTTGGTTTTGATTTTGCAGCACACCTGGTGATGCTCTTGTCTTACTTCTGGCTCTGTGCTCGGGAGGCCCTAAAGATCAAACCCAGGTCGGCCGGGTGCAGTTAATTGCCCTGCCTCTTGCAGTGTCTCCTGCGCCCCTTTTCTATTTTTATTCTGAGTGATAGCCTGGCTGTATAAAAGTACTATTGGTTGAGGTATTTCTGCTTCCCGCACTTGGAAAACTTGTTTCTTTCTTAGCTGTAAGTTTTCTGCTAAGAAATCCACTGATAGTCCTGTAGGTTTCCTTGTATGTCACTCTTTGCTTTCTTCTATGTCTCTAGTCCTCCTCCTTTATGTTTGATTTTTGCCATTTTATTTTATTTTATATATATGTGTATATATATATATTTTTTTTTTTTTTGCTTTTTGCTTTTTGGGTTACACCTGGCGATGCACAGGGGTTACTCCTGGCTCTGCACTCAGGAGTTACTCCTGGCGGTACTCAGGGGACCATATGGGATGCTGGGAATCGAACCCGGGTCGGCTGTGTGCAAGGCAAATGCCCTACCCGCTGTGCTAGCTCTCCAGCCCGGCACTGTGCTGGCTCTCCAGCCCCGATTTTTGCCATTTTGATTATTTGCCATTTTGATTATTATACATCTCGTATATGTTAGTCTCTTGTTTGTTTTGTTTAAAATGCTTTGAACTGGATCCAGAGGTGTCTGTTCTTCCTGAGCCTGGGGAACTTCATGGCTATTGTTTTTCAAGTAAGGTTTCTGCCCCCAGGGCTGGGGTAATAGTACAGCGAGTAGGGCATTTGCCTTACCCAAACTGACCCCACTTCGATCTCCAGCATCCCTTATAGTTCTTTCCCCATCCCCCACTCCACCCAGCCTGCAGGAGCGATTCCTGAGTACAGAGGCCAGGAGTAAGCCCTGAGCATGGACCCACCCCCACCACATCCCCCATCTCAGTATAAAAGATTTCTGCCTCCCTTTCTTCTCTGTATTTTCTCTCTTTCAAACCCCAGGATGTGAACATTCCTCTTGATGATGTCCCAAAAGTATGTTATGTTTTTATCTTTGTGGATGTTTTTCTTTGCTAATCTCTTTGTATTGTTGTAGTTTGTTGTTTTGTTTCTTGGGCCACACCTGCCAGTGCTCAGGGCTTACTCCAGGCTCTGCACTCAGGAGTTACTACGGGTAGGCTTGGGGAACCATTTGTACTGGGGATCAAACCCAGTCAGCCACGTGCAAGGCAAGCGCCCTCCCCGCTGTGCTCTCTCTCCAGCCCATTTGCTGGTCTTTTTGGATGCTTTCCTTTACCCTGTTTTCCACATCATTGATTCAGTCCTCTGCTTTATTTGGTTTACTCTGAAATCCTTCATTTGGGATTTTTAAATTTCAACTCCTTGATTTTTTTTAGCTCTCTGATTTCTTATTCTCCCTCAGCAGGGAGCCCCAGAGCGCAGGGTAGGCAGAATTGTGTCTGCACATGTACACCCAGATTTAGACTCCTGCCTTCATGCTTGCCCTTCACTCTCTACGTACAGGGTAGTCTCAGCACTGAGCGTCCCTGATGGCAGGGAGTCACCCTGGGACTTGTGATACAAACTTGCAGCCTTTCCCTGGCCAGGTGAACAACTGTAAACCATCAAGCCATCTTTGGGATTACTGGCCTCTGGTTTTTGTTTGAAATGTCTCTTATTTTCATTGTCTTTGTTCTCCTTTTGTACATCCATTGTTCTGATTTCCATGAGCATCAATAAGACTGTTGCTTTATAGTCTTTAGACGGTAGTTTGCTTAGTTGTGTTGCAGTAGGATCATTCCTTAGATTTCTTTTTGGAGCTCTGCTTTTTTTTTTCTTAAGCATATTGAATCGCTGTGAATTACAGAACTACAAAGATAGTTATGATTAAGTTTTCAGACGCACAGTTTTCTAACACTAGTCCCTTAACTGGTATTCCACCAATGCCCCCAGTTTTCCTCCCGCCCGCCCGGCAAACACTTTTCCCCTCCACCATTGTCCTATTGTTCCCTTCCTTAACCCTTCCCACCAGTGGCACATTTCCTTCTCAAGATCGGATAGGAATTCTTTTTTCTTTTCTTTTTTTTTTTTGCGTCACACCCGGCAATGCTTAGGGGTTATTCCTGGCTCTGCACTCAGGAATTACTCCTGGCGGTGCTCGGGGGACCATATGGAATGCTGGGAATCGAACCGGGGTTGGCTGCAAGCAAGGCCAACACCCTACCCACTGTGCTATCGCTCCAGCCCCCATCAGTTAGGAATTCTTAATATCATAATCATTGCTAACACTTAATATTTATTTGGACATGTGATAGTGCAATAACTTTATTCAGGTTAAATCATGTAATTCTCATAATCCCTCTAGTGATTTAACCTGCCTCTACAAAGTGGCTGTTGTGCCTGTTTTGAAGTTGGAGCTGAGACCGAGTCACTTTATGGCAGTGAGGTCACTTGCTTGGATTTATGTGATTCATGGCTCCTTAATGTCCCTGGGCCTGTTTTGTCTGGAAGCCCAGAACTAGCCCTGCCTCTGGGGAGATGGCAGGGGGCAGCCATTAGGGTGGCTGGAATCGAGTGAGGGGATGGAGGAGTGAGCTTGGGAGACCCTCAGCCCTGTTCACCTTGGTTCCTCCCTCTTGGCCTCCAGGGATCAGCTTCCTGAGTCGGCCTACATGCACCAGCTCTTGGGCCTCAACCTCCTCTTCCTGCTGTCCCAGAACCGGGTGGCTGAATTCCACACGGAGCTGGAGCGGCTGCCTGCCAAGGACATCCAGACCAATGTGTACATCAAGCATCCCGTGTCCCTTGAGCAGGTGAGTCTGTGTGTGGGTGGCACGGGGATGGGCACTGGTGTGGCTTCCTGGATGGGAGTCAGGTTCGCCCTAATGACAGCCTGAGACCCAGGCCACATGCCCCGTGTTGCTTAGGGCCAATGGCAAGCAGTACAGCAAAGTGCCTTGGTCACAGCAGGATGGCATGCAGGAGAGGGGGCAGGCAGGAGGCACCACGGTGAAATGGCCAGAGGTTAGGGACAGGGGACGTGTTTGCTGAAGGTGGTCAGGGAAATCTTGCTAAAGGTGGCGTTGGAAGGGGAAAGACCCAGGCACATGGACATCTGGGGAGGAAGCATTCCAGAGGCACAGGCAGCCTGACCACGAGGCCCAAAGCCGAAATGGGCGCCTGGGTGCTTGTGTCCACAGAGCCCCCAGCCACAGCCAGGTGTGACCCTCATACCTGTAAAGGGGACAAACGGAAGAGCCACTTGGGGAGGACCCAGCTGGCTAGGAATATGTGAGCTGATTTGCCCAGTAGGCGACAGCTGGCAGCGGGCCTGGAGGGGTGTTTGTGAAGGGGGGCGTGCCTGAGTCTGCATGGGAAACGGGGGACTGTGGCAGAGGGGTTCTGCAGGTGGGGATCAGGGAGACTTTGGGTGCTCTGTGAGGCCCCTCAGGGGGTCAGCCCCTGGTCTTCCTCTTCCTCACCCTCCTCCCCGCTGGCCTCCGCAGTACCTGATGGAGGGGAGCTACAACAAGGTGTTCCTGGCCAAAGGCAACATCCCAGCTGAGAGCTATACCTTCTTCATCGACATCCTGCTTGACACCATCAGGTCCGTGGGGATGGGGGTGGGGGGGCAGGTCCAAAAAGAGTGGGTGCTTGAGTCACAGCTGAGGCTGAGTCCTGTCTGGTCGCAGTGAGCAGGGGCTGGGCATGCCTCTCCTGGTGTGTGATCGGGAACTGGTCCTGTGCTGGCGGGCACCGGCCTCACCTCGCTCTGGACTTGTTGCTTGTGCTGAGAGTGGCGTGAGCCCGGGGCCGCCTTTCCCAGGAGTGCTCCAGCTCACCGGTTTAGGTTATTTTATTTTTGGTTTTGGGGTCTACCTGCCTGGGTCCAGGACCAAGTGATGGGATGCCAGGGGTTGAGCCCCGGTCGACCACATGCAAGGCAGGCAGGCGCCTTACCCACTGTACTGTCTTCCTGGCCCTGTGTTTTTGTTTTTCTAGGGTAATGGGGGCACACCCAGCAATGCTCAGGGTTTACTCCTGGTTCTCAGGGGACCATATGGGGTGCCTGGGATCAAACCTGGGTTGCTTGGTTGCGTGTAGAGCAAGTGCCCTGCTTGCTGTGCTGTCTCTCTGGGCTCCCAATTTAGATTATTTTAATTTAAGTATTTCAGCTTTCCTGGGGCCAGAGCGATTCCACAGCAGGTAGGGCATTTGTCTTGCATTCTGCTGACCCAAGTTTGATCTCCGCCTTCCCATATGGTACCGTGAGCACTGCTTGGAGTGATTCCTGAGCACAGAGCCAGGAGTATAATCCAAGAATCACCAGGTGTGCTCCCCTTCCAAACAAAACAATAGTATTTCATCATTCCAAAGTGATGAGGTACTTCAGAAGTGGGTCCTTCCCCCACTCAGGGCTCACCCCTCCTCCTGTGACTCCATGCTGCTTCTAGTATCACAGAGTAACTCCTGGTAGGGGGTTAGGATGCAGAAAAGGGGTGCAGCACCCTGTTGGGAGAGCTCTCATCTCCTGACTCCAAGGCTGGGCACGGGATTGAGTGCTGGTTGGCAGCAGACGTCTCCATGCAGGTGCCGCTGGCTCTGGCATTCTTCCTGTCAGGCCATTCCCGTTCCTGGGCTTGTGTTTGTTAAATGGGGCAGGGGACACGGTGCAGCCCTTTGGGGTTGCCAGGGAGGGCAGAGACCAGAAAGTTGCCTCTTCGTTACAGGGATGAGATTGCGGGGTGCATCGAGAAAGCCTACGAGAAAATCCTCTTCACTGAAGCCACCCGCATCCTCTTCTTCAGTACCCCTAAAAAGATGACAGACTACGCCAAGAAGGTGATTAGGGTGCAGGGCACGGGGCCAGAGGCTATACTCGCTGAGAGCAGCATGGGATGGCTTGGTGGGATACTGAACCAAACTGCTGAGGTTTAAATCCTGCTGTGACTTAATGCGAATTGCCAGACTCCTTTGGGTTTCCATTTCCCTATTTGTAGAACAGGGGTTGAAGGCGCCTGAGAACTGAACTCCAGATCTGGCACTGAGGTGTTGTGGGGGAACCCTGTAGGCTACTGTCCAAGTCCCCCAGACTTGGTGGGGTGTTTGAGCAGGAGTCAGATACCCAGTTTTGCTGAGGCCCGGGACTGCAGTGGTCCATGTCCATGGAGGGTTGAGAATGGACGAGAGAGGCAGGAGCATTAGCACAGCGAGGAGGGTGTTTGCCTTGCACATGGCCAACCTGGGTTTGATCCCTGGCATCCCATATGGTCCCCCAGCACCGGCGGGAGTAAGCCCTGAGCACTGCCAGGTGTGACCCAAACCCTCCCCCCCCAAAAAAAAAAAGAAAAACGGATTGGAGGAGGGCTGGCGAGAGTGCAGTGGGTCAGGCGCTTGTCTTGAATGCTTACCAACTGGTTCAGCCCGTGGCACCCCTTATGGTCGTTCCCGCAAGCCCACTATAAGTGATCCCTGAATGTAGAGCCAGGAGTAAGTTTTGAGCACTGTCTGATGTGGCTCCCTCCCTCCCCCAATTCTTTAAAACCCAAGAAGTCTGGAAAAGGTGAGATAGTGATCTACTTAGGAGCTAACACCAGAGGGATGCAACTAGGGTTCCCAACTCAAACTTGGAGAAACTAAGGCATGGAGACAGGAGGCAAAAATCATTCGCCTAGAGTTCTACTGGTAGAGTCTGGCTGTGAGGAAAGTGAGCCAGGTTACCCCCCACCACCCCCAGGCTCCATGGGTGGGTGGGCGGGAGCCTTTATCGTCACCCCACCATCTCCCTCCCTCCTTGCAGCGCGGGTGGGTCCTGGGCCTCAACAACTACTACAGTTTTGCCAGCCAGCAGCAGAAGCCGGAAGACACGACCATCCCCTCCACAGAACTGGCCAAGCAGGTGATCGAGTACGCGCGGCAGCTGGAGATGATCGTCTGAGCCTGCTGGCCCGGGGGCCGGGCCTAGGCCAGCGCTGAAGTTCCAGGCAAAGCTTCTTCCAATAAATGGATTGACATCCTTTCTCAGGCCCTTGTCTCCCCAGGAACACGAGGAGACAGGTTCCTAACTGAAATGGGAGTTTGGGGGCTATGGGTGGGGGTGTCAGCCTCTGTTCAGTGGTCTTTCTGAAGTCCTCAGACACGCCTGCCCTCTGCCTAGGGCCTGTTGGCACTGTGACCCGTGGGGGTGCCCGGTGGGAGGAGGGACTTGCAGGGCCACCACTGCAGACTTGCGGGAAGGTCAGCCTGAGGCACCTTTTTTTTTAAGCCAAGGGGTGGTGTTGCCTTCCCCAAAAATGTTTGCAATGAATGAAACAAATGATTAAAACTTGTGAAACAGAACCCGACTGTGGACTACCAGTTCAAAGCCTGCATGAGCAAAAGATGGGGGCCCTGCTTGGCTCTGTTGGGTCCTGTCCTTCCCCAAGCCCCCTTAAGCGTGCAGAACCCCGCCTGGCTGAGCTGGGAAAGTCTTCATTTCCCTGGCATAAGTGGTGAAGAGTTTTCCATTGCAAAGGGGTTGCAGAGATTCCCAGAGATTGGCACCAAGTCCATTCATAAATGGCATCAGGAAATGAGACCATCTCACCCCGGACCCCATCAGTCCAGATAATACATGGATTGCCGCTTTGGGCTGGGCCTCCCTGCTCCACCAGGGGGTGCTCTGGATACAACCCTGCCCACCCTCATCCCTTCAGCCCTCTGGACACTTGGCAGGCAGCTGCATGTCAGGCTGGTTATTTTATTGTCAAGGAGGGGAAGGCAGAGCGCACGGACTCCACTGTGCTCAGTTGGAATGAGTGGCCTGTAAGTCATAATGCTCCAGCCCGGCTACCAGAGAGCCAGCCAGCTTGATGGTGGCGACCCAGGGCGGCTCGCTCAGGTGGTTGGTGGGTGTGCTCAGCCTAGGGGGAGGGAGCAATCAGCAGGGCCAGGAAGGTGGCCAGGCCTGGACCCCTGCAAAGCTTCACTTCCCCATCTGCTCAAAGGACATGCCTGCATCTCTCAGGCATCCAAAGGCAGGGGTGTGGCAACTTAAACTTCCCTGAAAGGGGACTAAGGGAGAGAGTGCCCCCCCCACCTCCAGCTGAGTCCCAAGGGGTCTAGAATAGTCTCCCAGTGACTGGATCCTGGAATTCAGTATGTGTGTGGGGAGGGTGGAGGGGGTGTCATTGAAGAAGCTGTCTCCCCTGCATTTGAAGACTGGCCTGACCTGAGAGCATTAGCGCCCTCTGGTGGTCAGTGCTCAAGGCGTTGAGAAGTTGCCAGAAATTGAAAGGAAGGGCAGAGGCCAGGGATGTTTCCCACCATGGGAGGTCTGGTTTACAAAGGGTTGTGCCAGAAATCATCTCCCCAGATGCCCAGGAAAGCTGGGGATGTGGTCCCTCTTGGTGCCCTCAGGGACTGGGTCAAGGCTCAGTCCAGCTTCCGTCCCTGGTGGCCCCAGACAACAGGGACCAGGGGCAGCCCTGAGGTCTGGATATGAGGCTAGATGTGCCCTTGGCCCCGACAGGGCTCAGGGATCGGTGCTCTGCTGGGTCAGATGCTGAAGGGGACCATCCAGGAAAGTGGGGTGAAGATTTAGGAATGTGCCCCCCGCCCTGCTCCCCGACGTCCCCTCACCAGGCAGACACGTTCCGAGGTAGACGGCGATGGCGCGGCTGGTGACGACAGTAACACTTGCAGGGACAAGAGTTAAGCACCTGGAAGGGTGGCCAGTGGCGGGTGGTGCCCGCTTTCGCGGTCCCGGCCGGAGCAGCCCCGCCGCTGCCACTTCCTCCACCGCCGTCCTCTGTGGCTGCAGTCCGTCCCCGAGGACCATCGCCAGGAGCGCCTTCCTCACGGGCCGCGGCCCGGGCCGCGCGGGAACCTTTGCTCCTGCGCGTGCGGGTCTTGGCCGGCGCGGGTGCAGGCGCCGAGGGCTCAGCTACGTTGGGATCTGGTTCTGGAGCTGGCTCTGGAGCTGCCGCTGGTGCTGGCGCTGGCGCTGGGGATGGATCCGGAGCCGGGGCCGGAGCCAGGGCCAGAGCTGGGGCCGGAGCCGGGGCCGGAGCCGGGGCCGGGGCCAGAGCCGGGGCCGGGGTCGAAGTCGAGGTCAGAGCCGGGGTCGGAGCCCTGCTCTGGGACTGGGCCTGCGCCTGGACCTGGGCCTGGTCTGCGGCCAAGGCGAGGGGCAGAGCGGGCGCCGGCGCAGGAGCGAGGCCCGACTCCAAGTGGCCGGGACCCGGGGTGGGCGCGGGCGCCACCGGCAGCGGCGTGGGCAGCAGCTCGGGCGGCTGCGGCGCGGGTGGCGGTGCGGGCGGCGGCGCGGGCGGCGGCGTGGGCGGCGGCGGCGGCAATTCCTGCGGGCCGGGGGCCCCGGGATTCACGGGCTCGCCGTTGGTGGGCGCCGGGAAGATGAACATGGGCGGCGCCAGCAGGGCGGGCGCGGGCCGCCGGGGCGCGGGGGCCGGCAGCGTGCGCCCCGGCAGCGGCGGCGGCGAGCCCCAGGGCCCGGAGAGCGCGGCCGCGCGCCGTCGGGGCACCCCGGAGCCCCGGCCCGCGCCGTTGAAGCGGAAGTGGCGTTCGGGCCCATCGGGAGCGCTCACCCACTCGAATTTGGGCTTCGAGCCTGGGAAGGTGGTGTAGGGAGGCGGCGGGAGGGTGCGGGTGTGGGATGCAGGCGCCGCGGGGGCTCCGGAACACCCCTCGCCGTCTCCGTCGCCGCCCTCGGCTTCCTGAGCCCCCCGCGGGGCCTCTCCCGACGGACGGGCGGCCCCGGGTGGCAGGGGCCCCTGCTTGAGGACCTCAGCGTAGGAGATGGCCCCCGAGGTGGCGGAGAAGTGGCCTCCGGCGCCCGCGCCCCCGAGCGAGGCTTTGGCCGGCAAGGAGCTGGACGGCGCGGGGGGAGCCAGCGGGGGCCCCGACTTGAAGGTGACTTTGCACAGCAGGCTCAGGCCGGACTCGGAGGCCGCGGCCCGGGCCATCTCGCCCTCGCCCGCCTGCGGGAGCGTCCCTCGGCGGGGCCCGCCGGCCGTCGGGGTCTCGGCGCCCGGCCCGGGCTGGCCCTCCGGAGGGGCTTTGGCAGGTGTGGCCAGAGCGGGCGCGATTCTGCGGTCCGGGGTCTGACGGTCGGAAGAAGGCGGCGGCTGCGGCGGCGGCTTCCGCGGCTCCAGGGGCGGCGGAGTCGGGGATGAAACCCTCGGGACAAAGTTGGGGTCCTCTAGGGTGAGTGGCCGCGGCGTCGGCGGCCGTGGGCGGAGGCTCGGAGGGTCGCCCTGGCCGCGATGGCTCGCCTCCAGCAGCCCGCGGATCCGGGTTACCGGGGTGCCCGTGGGTTTTCGCCACTTAGACGGCGCGGGCAGCAGGGTCCCCACAGGGGCCGGGGGTGGTGTGGACACCGCGGCTGCTGCCGCCGCCTCTGAAGGGGGCGTCACTGGTGAGGGCAGTTCTATGGTCAGGGGCAGGGGCGCGGGTGAGGCCTGCGGCTCCGGGGGTACCAGGAGGCCCGGGGGCGCGGAGCTGCCAGGGAACCAGACGCCCAGCCCCCGAGCCAGGCGCATGGCCGGGGACGGGGGGGTCCCCTCGGGCTCTACCAGGGACGTCCGGCGGGAGTCCGAGGCGCGGTCCGAGGCCTGCTCTTTTCGGGAGCCCCCACCTGTGGACGGCTCCGACTGCACGTTCCCCATTTCTGACGGAGATCAGGGACTGTGGTCAGAAGAGCTTCTGCCAGTCAGTCGGCCAGGACTGCGGGGGCCGGGGGACCCCCAAAAGGCTGGCCCAACTTGGGCCCTTTAGTCCCGCTTCCGCCCTCCAACTGTCCCTCCAGACCCAAGGGGCTCTAAGCGGCTAGCAGCACCCGGGTTCCCTGGCCCTCCCGGCTCCTCACTCAAATCACACCCCGAATTCTTTGGGGTCTCCAGGCTTCAAGACAGCAGTGGTCCGCCTGTCAGCCACGCGGGCACATCACTCACGAAGGTGGTGTTCAGAGAAGCCTTTAAAAGGCCTAAAAGGAGTTCAGGCTCCTCGCCCCCCACTCTCGCCGGGCTCCCGAGGCCCAGGCCCCACCCCCGATTGTCCGGGGCTCCGACCTCATCACCCCCCACCCCCGCCCTTCCCGCCCCTAGTCCCACCCCCGGCCCCGCCTAACAAGTAAGCGCCAGGTGTTCATGTGCTAGCCGCTCGGTCCTCACCGGTAACCCTCTGGTCCCCTTCCCTCTCTGTCCGTCGTTTGGGTGCCCCCCCACCCCCTTCCGGGGCCGCGACGCGGTCTCCGGCCCCGGCGGACTCGCTGGCCGCCCCATGCAGGCCACACCCCTCTCCGCAGGCCCCGCCCCAGCTCCGCCCTCGCCCGGGGAGCCGCACTCACCGACTCCTCCCGCAGACCCGAGCGCACACCGCGGCCCCCTGGGCCCAGGGCAGGGCGGGGAACGGCCGTAGCAGAAAATAACCGAAAAGAACGGGGGGTGCGGGGGGAAGGCAAGTGGGCGAGACAGCGCGGACGGACCCCGAGATCTAGGCCCCGCCCCCGGGCTCGAGGCCCCGCCCCCTCGCCCGCTCGCCACGAACCTGGATCTCGCCTAGGCGACTACGCGGGTGTCTTCCTGCTCGCCCCCGCCCACCTCCCCACCCCACCCCGCGACCCCGAGCCTGGCTTGTCATCTAAAAGCCCACCCCTTGAATTCGCTCTCATTAGCTCCGCCCTCTTCTGAAGCCCCCTCCCATTACGAACCCCGCTACGTAGCTCCTCCCTTTCGGAGCTCCAAGCACCCCGCCCCCTAAAGCAATTTACTCCGAAACTCCGCCCTTTCAGGACCCGGCCACTTCGCATCCACCGCGGCCCTAGTCTTCCTCCGGTCCGCGCAGAAGGTCCACCTGCCGTGCCCGCTCCGGGACTCACGCCCCGGTTCGCGCCTCCAAATGCTTCCTCGGCCGCTCGGGTCCCGGGACACCCCCCCCACCCTCCGCACCCGCCCGTCCCCGCCCCCCCCCCGCGACCTCCCTTCTGGCCCCGCCCTCTTCGAACCCTGCGGCCACCAGCCCCTCCCATTCAGAACCCAAAGCGTGGTCCCCCGCCTCCTTAGAACCCGGAAACCCGGCCCGGATCCCCTTCTCCAACATCCTCGGGGACCAGTGACTCGAATGGGTGGGAGAGGAGGGGATTCTCTCTGGATCCTGAGAAAATGGGGGCTGGGGGGCTCTTCGCGGCAGCCCGAGCCGGGCTCTAGGACCCAGCGGGCAAGTCCGCCCGCCCGGCGCTCACCCCTCCCCCAGGCCGCCCCCTCCCCCCCACCCATCCTCCAGGTTCCCCCTCCCTCCCCCCTCGCCCCGGCTCCCGGTGCCCGTCTCTAGCGCCGCCGGAGCCAGCGAGGGAGCCGGAGCGAACAGGAGGAGGAGGAGGAGGAGGCCACTTCGCCGCCGCTCGGAGCCCGGCCGGAGCCTCCCAGGCAGGTGCCGAGGGGGGCGCGGGGACCGGGGCTGTCACGCCGCCTGTCCCGGTGAGGGGGCGGCCGGCACGGCGCTTCTGCCCACCCGGGCGCCCCCACACCCCGGCTGGAAGGGCCAGGGGGTGGGGGGCCCTAAGCGCGCGGCAGCCATTTGGGGGACCAGTCTCCATCTGGGGGTCCCGGACTCGCTCCGAGGACGCCCCATTCATAAAATTCCGCACCGGACCCTCACCATTGAAGAACTCTGGGGACCACTCCCCCCAGCCCCGGCAAACATTGGTGGGGAGCCGAGGGCACCTCTAAGTCTTGGCGTCCCATCCCGGCTAGGCCCTCCGGGAGACCCCTGCCCGCTTTCTCGGCTTCACCTGTTGTCGGGGGAGGCGGGCGGACAAAGGAAGCAGAGTCACGTGACTGCTCATTCACAAAATCCCATCCCATTGAGAAAAGGGGGTTGGGGGCGCTGCAGCCGCCCCTTCCCCTCCCGAAGGACGGGGAAACCCGGCAGCCGGCTGGTGGGGGAAGGGACGAGAGCTCGTGGCCTGGGTCCCTAAGGTGAGGACGCCGGGGTTCTTGTGCTGGGTGGTAGTTGAGGGGCTGGCCACCGGTCGCGGTTCCTGGGCGGAGGGCTCCGTCCCCCGAGCTGGGGGGCGGGGTAAAACGGTTCTGAAGGATGCTGGGGCGGGGAGGGGGAGGAGGAGGGATCAATTCCCGCCCCCCCTCCCCATCTCCCCGCCGCTGCCTTCGCTCGGCAGGGGCCTGAGGGAGCAGCCTTGGTTTTTGTGAATGAAACGCTCGCTGGATGTGTCTCGGTCGCCCCGGTTTTTTTTTTTTTTGGCTGTTTCTGCTTGCAGCTCCCTTTCGGCCTCTCTCTGGCCATCTCTGGTGCTCTCCCTGCCCATCTCCCGTTGCTGGGTGACTCAGTGAGCTTTGCATCCGGCCTCATTCATAAATCCGGGAAGGGTTGGGGGGGTGTGGGGGGGAAAGAGAGCCTGGGTTTCTCACCCAGCGGGTGGCCAGGGCCGCGGGCTGCGGAGGCAGAGTAGGGGCCACCGGAGCCGAGTTCCTGGGCTCTAAGAAAATACATATGCGCAGGCCCCCAGCTGTGAGGGGGAGCGCTGGGTGGGGCTGTGGGTTTGTGCTGAGGTAGGAGGAGACCGGTTGACAGGGGATGAGCTGAAGGGGGAAGGGAAGTGGAAGACGGAGCCTGGGGGGGCGGGTGGGGATGGCAAAGATGGGGGAAAGGGAGGCCAGGTGGGGCCCCGGAGGAGAGGTGCAGGGGGAGAAGGTAGGCATGGGAGAGGAGAGAAGGCAGGAGGAAGAAAGAAACCCTGCTGGAAGAAGGTGGGCGAGGGGGCGAAGGGGCCGGGGGAGAGGGTGGGTGGAGGGATGGAGGGTGAGGGTGTCGGTGTCGCTGGCTGGGGATGCTGGAGGTGAAGCGGGAGGGAACCTTGTGGGCGCAGGAGGGGGGCTCCTGACCATGTTGTCTGTATACCCCCCTCCAGGTACATGGTTCGGGTCCGAGCTGTGGTGATGGCCCGAGATGACTCCAGTGGGGGCTGGCTGCCCGTGGGGGGCGGGGGCCTCAGCCAGGTGAGCGTATGTCGGGTCCGAGGGGCCAGGCCCGAGGGGGGGGCCCGCCAGGGGCACTACGTCATCCACGGGGAGCGCCTCCGGGACCAGAAAGTGAGCCACCCTGGGGCGTAAGGGCAAGGGGGGTCTGGGGGTGCAGGGGAAGGGGGCTGGGATGCAGAGGTGAGGTGAGGCCAGACCATCTCCTAGCCCAGAAACAAAGTGGGGGGGTGTGGGAGGGAGGGGGGACTCTCCATCTTATGGGTTCAGAGTGAGGGGTCCTGGGGGGGTATGTGGCAGGTGCTGCCCACCCCCATCGCCTGCTGGACCGTCCTGCACCCTCCCCAGCCCCATCTGCTTCCCTGGGGCCCTGCTCCCGCAGAGCAGACCCCACCTACCCCTTCTCTGCTCCCAGCCCTCCTGGGGCTCCATCTTGCTAGGAGATTTGCAGTCTGCCCTTCTACGTATACAGAGGCAGTTGGTCTGGAGGTGTCCAATGGGGTTCACAATCCTGTATGCGGTGCCGCAGGAAGAATCTGGGCTCTGGGGTAGGATGTGGAAGGACCCTAGTTGAAATTTCTGCTGGGAATGTGGTGGGGTGATGTGGGGTGTGTTGCCAGAGGCTGGGGCAGGGCTGCATCTCAGAGAAGGGGAAGGATGGGGGTGGGGGCGTAGGGAGGGGGGACCCGAGGTGGTGTGAAGAGAGAAGTGCTGGGCTGGGAGGTGAGGGAGCCTCTGGGGGGTGGGCCAGCTGCTGGAGGGAGATCGGGGTGAGTTTGATGGTTTGGGGAGTAGGATTTTGTGACATCATTGGGATACCCCGGAAGGGGCTTAACAGTAAGATTTTGAGATATTCCAAAAGTTCAGGGAGGACTGTTGAGTCTGGGGAGGGGGATATTGGGTTAGCAGTAGGGGAGGGGCATTGCTAATTGGGGGAGGCACTGAATAGGATTTGGAGTTCTGTTTAGGATTTGGAGTTCTGTTGGGAGAGCAGAGGGGAAGTGTCAGATGTGTGCTCAGTAAGGGGAGGAGGGGGTTGACGTGTTGCTCAGGGTTCAGGGGTACAGCTAAGACTCAGGAAGTGTGTGGGATGCAGGGGAAAGCAGAGGGACTGGGGTCAAAGGGAAGTCAGAAGGATAACTGAATGGGGGGGTATCTCAGCTGCCCCCCCCTCCTGCCTTCCTCAGATCACCTTGGAGTGTACCCTGAGGCCAGGCTTGGTTTACAACAAAGTGAACCCCATCTTTCATCACTGGAGCCTGGGTGATTGCAAGTTCGGGCTGACGTTTCAGAGTCCGGGGGAAGCAGATGAGTTCCAGAAAAGCCTGCTGGCTGCCCTGGCCGCGCTGGGCCGCGGTGAGCGGGTGGTGCGGGTGGGGGGGCCCAGGGGCTGGGCAAGAGGGGTGGAGGAGCTGGGCCCTGGGAACTCACTCACTCGCTGCCTCTCTCCCTGCCTCAGGCTCGCTCACCCCTTCCTCCTCCTCCTCCTCCTCCTCTTCCTCCTCCCCTTCCCAGGACACAGCAGAGACACCTTGTCCTCTGACGGTAAGTGTGCAGGATGTCCCAACGTGTGGGGGCTGGGGGCTAGGGGCTGGGTTGATCCTCATCCATACCATCTCTAGGACTAGCTTTGTCGTAGGCACCAGGTCATAAGCTTAGGGGCACAGAATCAGGACCATGCTATTGCTTTACCCCCCCCCCCCCCCGTTACTGAGGTTTTTCCTCACCATCATGCTTCAAGACCTTTATTCAAGGTTATTTACTGAGCATCCAAGCCCCCCTTCCTCACGGATCTTCACTCCTAGTGAAGTGGAAGGCAGAACCATCTGGCACTTAGAACCTTCCTACGACCCCTCTCACTGTGCCAAGAGCCTTTACAGTGACCCCGAAGAGCCCACCCCCCAGCGGATGGGGACCCAGTTATACCCCTTCTTGCTCTGCTCTTGCTCCTCTATCCTTCTCCCTATTACCCCAAGGAACCAGGCCCACTCCTACCTCAGGGCCTTTGCATTGCTCTTATTCCTTACTTGAAACATTTGTCCACAACCTCTTACATGCCTCATTTCCTTCTAAAGGAAATCACTGTTTCCTTTCCTTTTCTCTCTTTTTTCCCCTCTATTTCTGTGTGTGTGTGGGGGGGGGGTGGCACACCTGGGGCACACCTGGCAGTGGTCCTTACTCCAGGAAGGACTCAGAGGACCCCCCATATGGGATGTCAGGGAGCGAACCCAGATTGTCTGCATGCAAGGCAAGCATCCAGCCCACTTTACTATGTCTCTGGCCCCTTTTCCTTTTCTTCTCTTCACTAGAGAAGGAAAGAGCTCCAGGGCCCCCTCCATCAAACCTCTTTTCACCTTTTCCCACTTTTTAAGGCGTGTTTCTTCCTTTCCAAGTTGACAGCTTTCTGACCTATTCTTTTATTGCCCTTTTCCCAATGCGCTCTGGGAAGAGAGGGCACTTCAGTGGTTCTCCCGCTGCCCCTCTGACCCTGGTGTGCAGTAAATAGTGTTGAACAAATGTATCACACAAATAAGATACATGGCTGCTCCAACTCAGCATTTGCTGGGAGCAAGTGGGGAAGAAATGGGGTACAGAAGTGGGGTGGGCGGGGTAGTGGAAAGGCAGGTGGGTCTCAGTCATGCACACAATCCCCACTTTCTGGGTACTGCATTAGAAGGGAGGCTGTGCCCCATCTCCCCTCCTCACAGTGACCTTTGTGAACCCAGCTCTTCCTGCCCGCATCTCAGGGGATGTTCATTGTAGTCAGGTGAGGTAGGAGTGAACCTGCCTAGCAAGAGGAAATCCAGAGCCTGAGGGGTGCTGTGCCCGTCCAGGGCATGGTTTGCCTCAGAAGCAACACCTTCCAGACGAGTGGAACCAGCTCCATTAAAAAGGTGATGGCAACAGCAGGGACGGACAGGGCCAAAGGATGGGGCTTCTGAGAAGGGCAGTGGAGAATGAGATGTTCTGTGGGTGAGCCGAGCAGACCAGAAATGGGGCTCAATGAGCAAGAACAGGCAACGTGTAGAGACCGCTTCTCAGCTGCCCACCCTCCCACCCCTGCCCCCGCCGCCCCTAGCCCCCATTTCCTTGTGAAGATATTATGACAATCCCCATTTTGCAGAGGAAGAAACAGATCCAAGGAGATGAGGTCAGACAGTCAGTAGCAGAGCTGGGGCTTGAACCCAGGAGGATGGACCTTTGGGAGCCTTCGCTGCCAGGGGGAAGGGGTCTAGGTGGGGACCCGAGAGGGCGGGTCTCTGACTGCTGATCTCCCCCCAGTCCCACGTGGACAGCGACTCCTCCTCCAGTCACAGTCGCCAGGAGACACCTCCCACCGCAGGGGCAGCGACCCCCATCCTCACCGTGGAGTCCGCAGGCTTCGGGTCCGCCTCGTCGCCGCAGCGCCGGCGCTCCTCCGCGCAGGTGCGAGCACTCCCGGGCCCGCAGGGTCCCTAAGTGGGCGGTAGCTGAGGCTGCAGAGGGCGAAGACTCCCATCTACGGGCCAGAGTGGGTGGGGCTGATTGGTGAACCCAGGGGAAGCGGTGGGCTCTGAGAGAATGTCACATCTCCAGGCTCTGGGAAATTTAGGAATTGGGGCGAGGCAGGGGTCCCTGGTGGAGCCTAGAGAGTGAATTTCTTCCCTGTCCCCCAAGTTCATCAGGGGCATGGGAAGACGTTGAGGCTGTTCCATTCATACTTGGGGCCTCGGTATTCAGGGGAGTAAGGGGGACTCGGGGTCGGAGCCGAGAGCAGAGGGGGCTGGGTCTTGGGCACCTTGGAGAGGACAGGTGTGGGCCTCGGGCTGTGGAGAAGAGCGGGTGGGAGCGCCCCCAGGCCCCGCTAACCTGTTCTCTCCTCCCTCCATCCCCGCAGAGCTTCCCGCCGCTTCTGCCGTTCACGGGGATCCTGGAAGCCTCAGAGGCCCTGGCCGGGGCCGGGGGCCCGGGCTGGGGTGGCCGCGGCTATGAGGATTATCGGCGCACCGGGCCGCCCGCGCCCCTCGCCCTGTCCACCTGCGTCGTGCGCTTCGCCAAGACGGGCACCTTGCGGGGCGCGGCGCTGGGGCCCCCGGCGGCCCTCCCTGCCCCTCTGGCCGCAGAGGCCGTGCCCCCGGCGCCCCCCACGCGGCCGCCCCCGGGCCCGGGCCCCGCCCCCGTCCCCGCCAAGGCCTCCCCGGAGGCGGAGGAGGCGGCGCGCTGCGTGCACTGCCGCGCGCTCTTTCGCCGCCGCGCCGACGGCCGGGGTGGCCGCTGCGCCGAGGCCCCGGACCCGGGCCAGCTGCTGGTGCGCCGCCTCAGCTGCCTGTGGTGCGCCGAGAGTTTGCTCTACCACTGCCTGTCGGACGCCGAGGGCGACTTCTCGGACCCTTGCGCCTGCGAGCCGGGCCACCCGCGGCCGGCGGCGCGCTGGGCCGCGCTGGCCGCGCTCTCGCTGGCCGTGCCCTGCCTGTGCTGCTACGCGCCCCTGCGTGCCTGCCACTGGGTCGCGGCGCGCTGCGGCTGCGCGGGCTGTGGGGGCCGCCACGAGGAGGCCGCGCGGTGAGGACAGCCGCTGGGCCCGGGAGCCGTCCCGAGGCCCCACGATGCAGGGTCCAGGACCCCGGACTCCCTTCGGACCCCAAACCCCAATCTAGGCACACCGGAACTTGGAGCTTGAGTTTGGACGGAGAAATCCCAAACCTGGACCCCCTGGACCCCCTTCCCCCATCTAGGACTGAAACACCCCCCACCCCCACGACCCACTTAAGTGGAGTGTCAGCCCAGAAGGACCCAGGCACCCTGAGTTCTGGCATCCTTTTCCCTTGAACACTCCCCCTCCCACTTCTGCACCCCACGGCCTATACTAAGGAGACTCCAGGCAGCCCCCCAGACTCCACAGCTCTAGGCCGGCCAGGGGAGCACTTGAATCCCTGAGGAATGCTGGGTCCTGCACCCCGGCTCCCTGTTTAAATTACCACCCCATGCCTGCCGGTATTGATGGGTTCCATACCTGATCCTTCAGGTCAAGAATTTCATGGGGCCCAGCACATTCCCCCAAAGGCCCCTGAATACTCATTTAAATATTCATCTAAAACCTGCGGCACCCATATCTGAGCTGTTTCTGTGAGTCCAAGAGCCCCAAATGCCAAACACTCTTCCAAGAATTCCCCTGTCCCCGCAGTCTGTTCAGACACGTGTTTGGGAGATGCCCTCAGAGCCCTGCTCCTCCAGTCCAGATGTCAGGCTTCTTGAGACTTGGGGATCTAGGGTTCAGGAGTTCTGGACTCCAAATAGGACTCCGAAAGGCCTAGGTCCCCAGATATAGTATGAAGGCTACCGACACCTCAGGGCCCAAGATACTGGTCCTAAGATCTCAGACCCCTCTCTTCCAGTCTCTTTAGATTTTGTCCACAGAATGTTCTGGAATCTTGGCTTCTTCATAGTCACAGATCTCCAACCCCAGTTCCCAGTTATTCATGGCAGTCTCAACCTCTGTCTCCTCTGGCTACAGCCCTTACGTGACACCAGGGTCCTTTTGGAGCATTGCCTCCAAGATCCCAAGGTGCCATGGGCCATCCAGATTCAGGAGCTCATGCCAACACAGTATTGGATCTGTCCCCACTCTGAGGCTTTGCTCCCTCCGTCCTCCATCTGAGAACACTCTCAGAGAGAGATGGGATACCAGGAGCAGCCCAGATTTCTTTAATTGCCACCTCCTCCTAGCCTAATCTTCCTCATGCCCAGCTTATGCCTCCCCTAAGCTGTGCAGCCCTCAAGATTTGGGAATTCTGTTCCCCAAAGGCACCAGCCCCAGGCTCCCCTTTCCACTAGAGGGGGCTGGGGATACCCCCCTTTGAGCTTCTGTTTGTGAAGTCTCTCCCACTCCCAGCTCCAGAGTCCAGCATTGCTTAGATGTTTGTAGAGGCTGTTGGTGGAGCAGAGGTTGGGGAGTGGGGTTGGAATTCACACCCCATTCTGCAGCCCAGGATGGACACCCCAGACTTCTTTGGGGCTAGCTCTGATTCTGTTAGTGCACGCACACACATGCACACACATCCACACACACTGCACACAGTCACATGCACTCATCATTCCCAACTCTGCAGTCTTCACTAACTCCTTCCCTTCCACTTCAGACGGGTTACTTTGGGAAGATTCCAGGCCTGTCTCATGACCCTTTCAAACCCCTGTACTAGGCAAGGGGATGCCTTGAATAGAATGAAACTGACTGGATACCTCAGGTGGGAAGGCCTGTGTGGGAAGGCATTGGGGTTCAAGGTCTCGGAGCTAGAGGATCTTCATGTCACATGGTCTTGAGACCCACATCTGGACCACTGCACCTCCTTTTATTCATTGTCCAGGCTCGGGTAGCCCCGTGGGGGTCCTGGGGTCGAGGGGCCCAGGGATATAACTTTCTGTCACTTCTTTTCAATGAACTATTTATTACATCCGGAACCTGTGAGATTCAGCTCTCCCCACCAGACCCCGGGATGGGGGTGTCCCTCCCTGCTCCTACTTTGCCCAGCTCTCATCTGTCGGACACAGCAGAGCTGAGGGTGGAGAGATTGGGGTGGGGTGGGGTGGGGCGGGAGCTGGGAAGCCTGGGCCCCCACACCCCGCTCTGTGCCTCGGTCTCCTCCCTCCTGTGGTTGGCAGGAGCAGCTCCATTCTTAACCTACCTCGTTTTGGGGAGGGGGTATGGGGACCCGAGTGCTCTCAGGTGCTGTGGACCCCACCTCTCCTGAGGTCCCCCAGGTCTGTTCCCTGCTGTTACCCACCTCAGATCCATGATTACTCTCCAACACCCCCAAGTCAGGGGTGCATGGAGGGCCAACTCGGGGGGAGCCAGGAAGACCTCGAGTCCCCTGGAGCCCCAAAGCCCAATTTCCCAGTGGCTTGCCCCTCGGATCGGATGCTTGACCCCCAGACTTAGGGGGAGGCACCCTGACATTTATCTTCCTGATCTTGATTCCGTCAGTCTGTGACCTCAGTCTGGTGGTTTGTGCAGGTGGAAGTGAGGGGGAGGGTCAGAGGCCTGGCTGTGTCCTGTCATTGGGGGCGCGGGAGGGGGCCTGAGAGATCCGCTCCAAGAAATGTCTGTGACCAAGTCTCAGCCTGTGTTTGTTCTTTCTTTGCTTGCGCCCCATCCCCTTCCCTTCTCAAACCCAGAGTCTTTGTCTGAAGCTGACCAAGTGTTTTGTATATTCAGCCACTCAGCAAGCCTGTTGTTCCCTGCTCTATGGCAAGTCTGGATCCAGGTGCCTCGGATAAAAGGGCAGAACAGACAATCCTTTCCCACAAGGAGCTTATGAACTTCCCAGTGATGGAGATAAAGAGGTTAGAAATGATGCATACTACAGAGGGAAAAAGCTGTGGTGTGGGGGTTGGGCTGCCCGCCCCCCCTCCCCCCCCAGTAGCCTCCATCCTAGATGTCTGTCTGCAGGGAGAGGGAACCCCAAGCGCTAGGGCCTGAGATACCTGTAGGGGAAGTCTACAGACCATGAAGAAAGCAGAGGAGGGAAGTGCCGAGTGAGGGCAGAAGTGATGGTGCATTCCCCGGGCTTTGAGGTTTACAAAGTATGAGGGAAATTCCAAGATAGTTGGGGAAAACTGACACTGGTTCTTGGGGGTCCCTCAAGATGGGACTAGAGGGGGGACAGATAGGAGACTGCTGGTGAGGGGGATGAGAAGGTGGTGTGTGGGCTACAGGCCACAGCAATAGAGTTGGCAGCAACTGGGCCGTACTGGGTTCATCCTGGTTAGGTCTTGTTTTTTGGGTGTTGCCTCTTACCATTGGTGCTCAGGATTTACTCTTGGCTCTGTGCTCAGGGATCACTTCTAATGGGGCGCAGGGAACCATATGGGATGCTAGGGATTGAACCTGGGTTGGCCCTGTGCAAGGCAAGCGCCCTACCGGTTGTACTATTGCTCTGACCCCTGGTTTTGTTAATGAAGGATAAAAGGAGAAAGAGGAAAGGTAGACCTTCAAGAGAGAATGCAAACTTCTCCAGAGGAGAGAGCTCCATAAAATGAAGTAAAAGGAATTACACAGCGTATTCTGAATCCATGTTGAAGGTGGAGTCCACAAATTTAGATATGGGGCTTGATAAGAGCCAAGGCTGTGTCTTAAAGGTTTTAGTTTTGGGGCTACATCCGCCAGTGCCTAGGGCTTACTCCTGGCTCTGTGCTTAGGGATTTCTTCTGGCAGGGGCTTTGGGAGCTTATGCAGTGTCAGGGCTTGAACCTAGGTTGGCCACATGCAAGGCAAGCACCCTTCGGCTGTACTCACTCTCTGGCCCCTGTGTCAGAAAGGTTTAGACTTGAGCAACAATTTTGGGAGTGGGCTGAGGTTTGGCTCACATCCAGAGGCGCGCAGGCTAGTCCTGGCTCTCTGCTCAGGAGTGACCCCTGGTGGTTCTCAGGGGACATATGCTCAACGACTTTTAAATTTTTCTAAGGAATGCTTCTGATCTGGGGAGGCATAGGGAGCAGGTTTTTGTTTGTGCTTGATCTGATGGGGCATAGGGTCCAAGAAATGATGGGATTGAGACTAGGGCCTCATACTTACAAGGCAGGTGCTCTAGCACTTGAGTCATCAACCTCGCTCTGAAATTTTGATGTGTGTGTGTGTGTGTGTGTGTAGTGGTGGAGGGCGGGATACCTGGAGGTGCTCAGGGCCTACTACTGGGGGATAATGCAGTGTCAAAGATTAAATGGGGCCTCTGCATCGCAAAGCATACACACTAGGCCTTTCAATTATTTCCCCAACCCAACCTTGCAAAGGATAATGTTTTAGTAAGGTTCAAGGTCCACAGTGGCACCTGGAATACTCTGCCTTAGGCTAGGCAGGAAGAAGGAACAAGATTCAAGTCAGAGTAGTAAATTGTCATCCTTGTTCTTTCGCAAGGAAGCATCGGATCTAGAAACAGAGCAGGACAGAGCTGAAAAGAGATTTGGTTTGGAACAAGTTTAACAGCAACAGAGCCAGTAATAGGAATACATTTAGTGATTAAAATTCATGGGCTAAATTTGGATCCCAATATCCCCATGAAGTTGACCGTAGCTTCCTGGAATCTGTTTTCCCTAAAGGGGGGGATAAGATTAGCTTCGTCGAACACATTTCTTTTGCCATGCCTGGCAGTGCTCAGGGCTTATGCCCAAACCTTACAGGATGCCAAGTTTCGATGCCAGGTCAGCCTCCTGCAAGGCAACTGCCTTACCAGCTGTATTATCTCTCCATCCTTGTTTACTTATCTTTATTTGGGGGGGGGGAAGGGCTCAGGGCTTACTCCTGGCTCTGGACTCAAGGATCACTCCTGAAGGTGCTTGGGGGACCATACAGGATGCCAAGGATAGAACCTGGGTCTGAGTGCAGAGCAAGTGCCCTGCCCACTGTGCTATTTCTCCGCCACCAGTCCTGTTTTTCTTAATTGAGACCCATATCCTATGCCTGCTAAGCTCTAGATATGGGCATTTAATAAACATAAACAACTCTGAAAGATCGTTACAATAATCAGCCCCAAATTAGTTAAGGACAGGGACACAGACGTCTGTTGTGGAGTCAAACCCTAATCCTTGAAGGCCTGACTCCCAAGGGGGCAGTTCTTTAGCCAAGATGGGCTCGCAGCCCAGAGGGGAAGGAAGGGGTGAAGCGCTAGCGTCAGGGCTGGGTCGGGGTTGGGGTGCTGGATCCTCGGAAGTAATTTTGACTCCAAGTCGGAGAGAAGAAAACTAGTTTCTGGATTTGAGACGGAGGAGGGAGAACACTTGGTCTACGAGAGTGCCTTAAGAACTAAAGGCAGGGGCTGGAGCAATAGCACAGCGGGTAGGACGTTTGCCTTGCACGCGGCAAACCCGGGTTCGATTCCCAGCATCCCATATGGTCCCCCGAGTACCGCCAGGAATAATTCCTGAGTGCATGAGCCAGCCAGGAGTAATCCCCAGGTGTGACCCAAAAGGAAAAAAAAAAAAGGAACTAAAGGCAGCTGAGGGAAGCTGAGAAACAAGAAAGCGAAGGTGGCCTGGAGGTTCCGTAGTCCACTCGCGGTCTCTAACCAAGGAGTGGCAGCGATCACCACCCAAGGGCGGTGTCCTCCTCCGAGGCGGGGCCCGCCTCCTCCTGCACCAATGGGAAGTCGAGGGCCCGTCGCAGCCAGCGGCTGATTGGCCAGTGGAAGGGACGGGGTGCGCGCGGCGGCCCTGGGGCGGAGCCTCCCGTGGGCCGGCAGTGGGCGCTGTCCCCGAGCACAGGCGGGCCTGGATGGAGGGGGTGGAGGCGGCGGTGGCCGGGGACCTGCAGAGTCTGGGGTAAGGGGACCGGGGTGTCCGGGGCGGAGGACGCAGGCTGGGGCGGATTCGCTCGCAGAGAGCCTTACTGATCTTCCCCACGCCTTCCCGCGGCCTCGGCGTCGCCGCAGCTATGGGACTTTGCCGGGGGCGGCGTCGCTGGGCACCTGGTGCCCGGACTTCAGGGCACTGTGCGCGCGGCTGGCGGCGGAGCTGGACACTCTGGGCGGCCTGGAGCGGGAGCGAGAGGCGGGCGCGGAGGCGCTGAGCGCCGGCGAGGGTAGGTCTGGAGCGGGGAAGGATCCGGGGAGAAGGAGGGGTGCGGGTGGCGGGTGGGGAGCGGCGCGAGCCTGACGCCCGCCGTGCCCGCAGGCCCGGACGCCGAGGACCAGTTCCTGCGACAGTTGGCCCGTCTGCTGCGGGAGTGGCACTGCCCGGACCGCGTGCTCTGCGGCGGGGACGGCGCGGCCGCGCTACGGGAGCCCGGCGCGGGCCTGCGCTTGCTGCGTGCGTGAGCTGCGGGCGGGCGGCGCGGCGCCCGCGGGGACGGGGGCGGGGGCAAGGCCACTCACGCCCCGGGCGGCGGACGCGGAGAGGCCGGGTTCCTAAGGGGGCGTGTCGGGGGGGGTGGTCCGAGGTGCGTGGGGGTGAGCTCTGAGTTGGGCGGAGTTAGAATTTTGATGCAGGGGCGGTGGTCTTGAAACCTGGGTGGGCTGGCTTAGATGGGGCGGGGCAGGTGCTTTCCGAGGCTCTAAGTTAAAGGAGTTTATTCTGCACCCGCAGGTAGAGCCAGGACAGGGGACACGAGAATGCTGGGGTTTTTTTCAAGTCATTTGGAGTTTTTAGACGACCTCTTCCCCCCTGTGCGGGTTGCAAGCCTTTCCTTTTTTTTTTTTTTTTTTTTTTAATCTCTCTCGCCTTTTAGGCTTTCTCTGCTCGGAGCTCCAGGCTGCCCGGCTCCTCCGCCTGCGCCCGCGGCTGGAGCCCAGCTCTGCGCCGCCTAGTGGAGAACGAGCCGAGGACGACGATGGCATGGTCCAGGAACTGGTCCTTACGCTGCAAGCGCTGGGGCTGTCCAGGCCTCCGCCGAGGACCCCAGCTAGTCAGCTGCTGCAGGAGTTGCATGCTAAGGTCGAGAGGGCCGAATGTCCTCTGGTTGGGGCTAGCGTTAGGGAGAGAGCCGCCCAGCCACTGCATTTGCAAGTGCTGTGACCACCATCCTCACATTCGATAATCTGAGTCTTCCCGACCTTGGGGAACTGAGGTCCACAGGACAGCCATCCATTCCCGCCCGTTCCACCTCAGGTTCTTTCTTCCCCCATCAGATCTCGGAGCTTCTGCCTTCCCTGCCTCCAGAGTCCTTGATGCCTCTCCTCAGCCACCCATTGGATGCTTCCCAGTGGGTAAGACTGTTGGAACCGGGCTGGAACAATAATACAGTGGGGAGGGCATTTGCCTTTCCTGCGGCTGACCTGGGTTCAATCTCCGGCATCCCATATGGTTCCCCAAGCACTGCCAGGAGTAATTCCTGAGTGCAGAACCAGGAGGAACCTCTGAGCACTGCTGAGTGTGACCCAAAAAGAAAAAAAAAGGGCAATTGGAACAATGACTTCTTTCAGAGGTGGGAGGTAGGGGAACCCCTGGCATGACATATTTACTATTTTTGCCTAGGAGGCCCTGGAGTCTCTGTCCCAAAGCCTGCGGAATCAGTACTACTGTCGCCGCTGTCTCCTCCTAAAGCGCCTGGACCTCACAACAGCCGCCTTCCACTGGAGTGATCGTGCCCAGGTATGGGCCAGAGCAGGGAGTCCCAGTTAGGGGGCTGCTGCCGTGGGGAGGAGGATAAGAACAGGAGATCACCCTTGATATTTGGCACATCATTTTTTGGGGAGTGGGGCATACCCATCAATGCTCAAGGGTTTCTCCTGGCTCCATATTTAGGGATTGATCCTAATGGGGTTCAGGGGTTCATATGGGGTACTGGGGATCGAACCTGGTCCACACATGCAAGGCAAGTGCCCTGCCTATTGTACTATTGCTCCTCAGCAGATCTTTTTTTTTTTTGCTTTTTGGGTCACACCCGGCAATGCACAGGGGTTACTCCTGGCTCTGCGCTCAGGAATTACCCCTAGTGGTGCTCAGGGGACCATTTGGGATGTTGGGAATCGAACCCAGGTTGGCCGCATGCAAGGCAAACGCCCTACCCGCTGTACTATTGCTCCAGCCCAGCACATCTTTTTAAATTGATGTATTTATGTATGTATTTATTTAGGGTCTCCCAAGCTGTGCTTCGGAGGCCTGGCACTCCCACTGGAAACTCTTAGCTAACTGGGCCTAGAGGTTCAGTGCAAGGACCTGAGGATATAGCATTGCTTGGGCCCCGTGGTGTGAGTGTGAGAGGCATACTGGGGCCACCCTGGTAGTGCTGGGAGCATCCAGGGCTGCACCTGACAATGCTCAGGGGCCACGACAATGCCAGAAATTGAACCTGGTCAAGTTGGCTCCATGCTAGGCATTTGAGTATATATATATAGGGCTGGAGCGATAGCACAGTGGGTAGGGCGTTCGCCTTACAAGCGGCCAACATGGCCGACCCGAGTTCGATTCCTCTGCCCCTCTCGGAGAGCCCGGCAAGCTCCCGAGAGTATTCGATATGCCAGACACAGTAACAACAAAGTCTCCAATGGAGACGTTACTGGGCCCGCTCGAGCAAATCGACGATCAACGGGAGGGCCTTTACCTTTACCTTTATATATATATATATATATATATATATATCCCTGAGCACCACTATATATAGTGATGCTCAGGGCTTCCTCGTGGCTCTCTGCTCAGGGATCACTCCTGGTGGTGCTCTGGGATGGAACCTGGGTTTGCCACGTGCAAGGCAAGCACCTTAATCCTTGAACTATCTCTCTGGTCCTGGCATTTGAGAATCTTGTGAGGTCTGGGGTGGTGGGATCTCAGGGGTCGCAGGACATTCTGGAGCCCAGGGGTGTCTGGAATCGCCAGTTTGGAGCTGGACATGCTGCGGAAGGCTCTCAGACCATCTCTGTGATCCCCACATAGGCCCAGGGGGAAGCCATGAGGGCGGTGCTGAGCCCAATCCGAGAGACTCTGACCCCGGAAACAGATGTCTCCGTAGCCCACATTCTAGCAGCTCGAGCTGACCTGTCTCGTCTGATCCCTGCCACCAGCAAGGCTGCCCGCCAATGGACCTGCTGTGCCATCAACAAGGTGGGCTGCTGGGCAGGGAAGGGACCCTGCATCTTGTTCTTCACGTTGGTCTTACCTCCTTCACCCTGTACTTGTCTGCCTGCTTTCCTGCTCCAGCCTTTGCTCAGGGATCACACCTGGTAGTGCTTGGGGGACCATATGTGGTGCTGGGATCGTATCGGCATTGGCTGTGTCAAGACAAACACCCTTCCTGGTTTACTATGGCTCCAGCCCCAAGAAGGATGTTTTTTTGTTCGTTTGTTTTATTTTGGGTCCACATCTGGTTTGCTTAGGGGTTACTCCTGGCTCTGTATTCAGGTATTGCTCCTGGCAGTTCTTGGGTCGACCAATAGGATGCCCTGGACCAAACCTTAGTCAGCTGCAAGCAAGGCAAGCACCCTACCTGCTATACTATCACTTCAGTCCCACAAAAGGGATATTTCTTTTTTTTTCTCTTCCTTTTTAGGTCACACCCAGCGATGCTCAGGGGTTACTCCTGGCTCTGCAGTCAGGAATTACTCCTGGTGGTGCTCAGGGGACCATATGGGATGCTGGAATCAAACTCGGTTCGGCCACATGCAAGGCAAACGCCCTACCTGCTGTTATGTTGCTCCAGCCCCAGAAGAGGGATATTTCTAACAGAGCAATTAGACTGTGTCCCTCGCTCCCTCTTCCCTTCCTTGCTTCCCCAGTGACCCCAATAACCTAAATGCTCTCCTACTCCACTTGGCCTGAAAATCTTCCCCACTGAGTCAGCTGCTCCCTTTTGTGGATTTAGACTCTTTAGAGCAGAAATATGCAGGGCCGGATATTTCTGCTTTAAAGAGCATGCATCCAACTTGGGTTCAATCCCTGGCATTCCACGTGGTCCCCGAGTCTGCCAGGAGTGATTCCTGAGTGCAGAGCCAGGAGTAATCCCTGAGTGGCCCCCCCATACCAATACATAAATAAAGCAGAAATATCCCATTTAAGTAATTCCAGTTAGTGTTATACATATCTGTTTCCAGAGGCTTATCCGTAACTGGAGTGGGCCTTTAAGGAAGAAGTCTAGCATAATGAAGAGGAGGCAAGATTCAACTTCAGAAACCAGTTGTTTACTTTAAGGAAATACAAGGAAAGAGTCTTACAGGGGCTGCCGAAAGGCGTGATATTTAGAATAGAAACTCTGCTTGGCTGAAATGTTACACAAAGCCCAAAACAGACAAGAGGTGTCCTTATTAATATCAGCGAGGATATGGACCTCTGCCCTGGCCCTACCCACTCCTGCTGTGGCCCCTGGTCTTCAGTTCAGAATCTTCAGGCCTAAAGTTAGAGTGACAGTACAGTGGGTAGGGTGGGTAGGAGAACATAAGTTCAACCCCCTGGCACCACACATGGTTGCCTGGGCTCACCAGGAGCGATCCCTGAGCACAGAGCCAGGAGTAAGCCTTGAGCACCGCTGGGTGCCACTGCAAAATAAAACAAACAAATACCCCAACAAAACAAACAAATTGCAGGCCTGTGTCTTTAGCCATCCTGGCCCCTCCCAGTCCTGCCTCATACCCGGAGATAAGACTCTGTTTCTCAGCCTCCTGCTGCCCTCTTAACCAAGAAAATGTTCTTCCTGGAAACTCAAGTCTACTCCTGCACTCACAGGTGCTGATGGGCAGCGTGCCAGATCGGGGGGGCCGCCCTGGTGAACTGGAGGCTCCCATGCCCACCTGGAAGAATCGAAGAGAAGACGGTGGTGGTGGTGGGTGGAAGGCCGGCTGCAGGAAGAAAAAGAAATAAAGGGACCGGGGGACATGACTGGGGGGTCCTCTGAGAGGCTACACCATGGTCTCAGGGGAGTCAGCTGGGCCGTTTCCCTGGTCCTCTGCTCCAGAGACCCCAGATGCCCTTTCTTCTATCACTCAACACTGTGGACCATATTCTCTGGAAAATAAGTCCAATTGCCCCGTTTTTTTTTTTTTTTGACATAGGGTCCACACTTAGCAGTGACTAAGGGGGCTGTGTGGTTCTGGGGATCAAACTCAGGGCCTTGTTCTTGTTAGGCACGAGATTTGCTGCTTTCAGTGGTATTCCAAGCCCCAGTGAATTTGATTTATGCCAGCCAGCGGGTCCTGTCTCTGTGGGGGGTCAGATCAGGGGAACTGGGGTAGGAGGTGAATATGGGGGCTCAATACTTTCCAAGGCCTTTTCTTGTTTGGTTTAACTCCCTCCCACCACTCTTTCCCTTCATTGCTGTTGTGGTGGTGGGAATCACAGGTGCCTGGCTGGGGTGCTCACAGGGCGGGTGCTCATCATGTTGGGGTGCTTGCACGCTTGCCATGGTGCTTCCTGAGGTTTGCGCTCCTGTAACTGCGGTGCTTGCTGGGGTCACATGCTTAGCTGAGGTGCACAGTTATGGTTCTGCATCTCTGGACCGGGGGGTCTCTCTGGTGCTCGCGCACATGCTCGCAGGAGTGGCCCGTCCTGAAGGTGGCACTGGCACATCTTTTTAGTTGTGGGGGGCTTGTCCAGGCATCCCACCTCCTTTCGTGAGGTTGCAATTGGCTGTGCCCAGAAATCACTTGCAACATTGGGATCTTGGTAGGACTTCTGGGATTGCATTTGGCACGTGTAGACATCAGGGATTCGAACTCAGGACCATATGCTCGCCAGGAAGATGATTATACCCAGCTCCTGTGCTAGTCCTCTGGGTCTCGATGTTCTTTGCTTCTCAGGGGTACATCTTTTCCTTCCTGTGGGTAGTGGGCATGGTGGGGATGGGGGGAGACCCACAGGCACTTACATGGACCACTGTGGCCCAGCCCGGGGGTGTTTGTGGTTGTGGGAGATGCAGGGAATAAAAACTTCAGTCCTCCAGAGCTGACATTTCCACGAGGAGGGCCAGACATGAAGTGAGATGCGTGGGTCAGCATGGAGTGTCCAGTGTCCAGTTGGGCAAGGCCTTGGGGGCAGAATGAAGCAGGAAGGGCAAAGGCAGAGCTGCGATGGATTATGAATTGAGTGTGGTCAGGGGTGACCCTTGAACTGAGTCCCCAAGAAGGAACCAGGGGAAATCTAGGGAAAGGCTTTGCAGCAGAGTGTGATCAGTGCAAAGGCCTTGAGGTAGGGTTTGAGTCTGTTCAAGAACCATGGAAGCCAGAGACACACTTGGCCAGAGTCAGGGGGTGAGTGAGGAGAGGGAATGGGACAGATGGGGTGAGGTGGGGCAAGCCTTGGCCACGACTCTGGCTTTGCCTCCCTGGAGCTCTGAGCGGAGAGAGACAGACTCCCACTGCCCCTTCTCTGTCTGGCCTTCTTGATCCTGGGGCCCGGTGTTGGGACTCCAAAGCCCTCTCCCCTCCTGCTCCTGACACGCCCCCCTGTAGTTCCTCTGAGAAGCGGACTAGGGCCTGGGGCCTCCCACCCGTGGGAGCTCCCCGCGGAGCCTCCCCAAATGGAGGGTTGGAAGTGTTCTGGACCAGAGGAAGGAAAGAACATTGACCTCCACGGAGGCAGGGGGATGGGAAGATGGCCGTGCCTTTAGGGATTCCACAGGTGCCAAAAAACAGGACTCAAAGTTGGTTGTGGGAGAGGAAGTCTGGCGCAGACTAGGAGCTGGGCTCGGAGGGCTGGACAGATGACTGGGCTGGTGCTGGCAGGGGTCCCTGGGAGGAGAAAGAGAGGGGGACGGGGGATACGTCATTTCATTGCCAGGGCCAATTTTGGGGGCCTTCCAGTTGGTACTTTGGGGCCTAGGGGTTCCTCCTGGTGATTTTTTTTTTTTTTTTGCTTTTTGGGTCACACCTGGCAATGCACAGGGGTTACTCCTGGCTCTGTCCTCAGGAATTACCCCTGGAGGTGCTCAGGGGACCATATGGGATGCTGGGAATCGAACCCAGGTTGGCCGCGTGCAAGGCAAACGCCCTATCCGCTGTGCTATTGCTCCAGCCCCCCTCCTGGTGATTTTTTAAAACTTTTTGTTGTTGTCGTTGGGTCACACCCGGCGATGTACAGGGGTACTCGTGGCTGTGCACTCAGGAATTACTCCTGGCAGTGCTCAGGGGACTATATGGGATGCTGGGAATTGAACCTGGGTTGGCCACGTGCAAGGCAAACGCCCTACTCATTATGCTATCGCTTCAGCCCCTCTCCAGGTGATTTTTAGCCAACTGTACCAACAGTGTATGAGGGTCCGTGAAACTCGGGTGGTCCCTGGACCCTCCTGTCCAGTCTGCTGTGCGCCTGCGTGCCTTCCCGCTGTGCTATCTTCCTGGGCCCCACACTCAGTCCTCATTAAGAGAGAAAGAAGAAAGGACAGCAGAGACGGGGTCATAATGCCCCTGAAGGGCCCAACCTCCCCATCCGAGAGTGTCTGCTTGCGCAGGTGGGATTTGCTCCACTGACCCTGGACTCCTCCAATTTGCTGTCCTTCCTCCTTCTCTCCCTAAGCCTCTTTTCTCTCCTCTCTCTCTCTAATAGTTAACTCTCCTTTCTTCTCTTTCTGTTTGGTTTCTGGGCTACACTCAGTGGTGCTCAGGGCTGACTCCTGGCTCTGCACTCAGGGATCACTCCTGGAGGGGGTCGGGGGGAACTCATGGGGTGCCAGGGATCAAAGCTGGGGCAGCCACCTGCTAAGCGAACACCGTGCCTGCTGCCCTACCTCTCCACGACTGCCCAGCACCCCCACCCCACAGCCCCAGCTCTGGTGCCCTGGGCTCTTTTTCCTTTCACTGCACCTTTATGCATTGGCCAAGGCCCCCCTGGTGAAATAGTCTTCCTGTGACTATTAGTTCGGGGGAGAGCACAGTCCCTTCTCACCGACTCGGGTTCCCAGGAAGAAGGTGGGGGCTCTGTCTGGGTCCAGGTATGGCACAGCGAGCTGTCTGTCTCTGGTTCCAGGGAAAGCGTGTAGGAGGGATTGTCCTCAGAGGCTGTTTTTTTTGGGGGGAGAGGGGGGCGGGGCGTGATGAGAAGAACCCGGTAGCTTGGGAGAGAATACCCAGGCCCCCTCCCCTGGATTGCTCCCTTGAGGGTCTTACCACAGCTGACAGGAGGAGCGGGTGTTGGGGGGCTGGCCGCGGCCAAGGGGCCCCCATCTCCCTTGGTCCCCGGCCTCTTACACTCAGCCTTCACCTGGTCCCGGCAGTGCTTGTGACAGCACAGTCCACAGTCTGGGGGAGGTCAGGGGTGAGGGACATGGAGCCCAGGCTGTGTCCCCCTGATTCCAGCCTGCAGGATCCACCCCCGGCCCCACTCACCCCGGCAGCGGTAGCCTTGCTTGGTGACTCCCCAGAGCTGGAACAGAAAGCAGAGTAGGGTGGCAGGCCTGGGGAATGCGGGGGAGGGGGGCAGAGGATGGGGACAGGGGAGCAAGGGGTGCCGTGAGGTCTAAGATTTAAGTGGGGTCTGAGGCCTACAGGGGCCTTCACCTAGAATGTGAGAGTTCAGTAAACGCTGGGATTACCAGAGAACAATGGATATCAGCATCGCGCCAATAGGTACCATGGTTGCATGGGACACTGCCCCCCCAGAGGCAGCAGGAAGTGGTTGGGGAAGGGGACTGGGGTGTGCTAACTGGGCTTGGCTCAGGGACAAAGTGAGCTGGCCGGGGCTGGGGTCTGCGGGACCCGTGAGTCCAGGGATGAAACAGGCTTTGAAAGATCCAGAGGCTGGAGGCTGGTTCTGTGTGGAGATGCCTGCCAGGATTGGGGTTCTGTGGGGCTTGAGGGATCCTCTCGGCTCCTCTACACAAGCTGGAGACAGCCTGGTATCTGGACACCACCCAGCCCTCGACCCCCTGCAGGTCCCCAGAAGGTGGCAAATCTCGGGGTGGAGGGTGTTTGGTTTTGAGCAATACCTGGGGTGCTCAGGACTTACTTCTGACTGGGCTTCGGTTCACTCCTGGCGGGGCTGATTTGGGGTACCATATGGGGTGCCAGGGATCAAAGCTGGGTTGGCCATGTGCAAGTCAAGTGTCCTGCCCACTGTCCTATCGCTCTAGCCCCATGGAAGGTTTGGAGATGACTGGATGAAAGGGTGAATTTTCTGTCCGTTGGGGACAATGAGTGCTGGCCTTGAGGTGTCAGGGGTCCCAGGGAGGCCCCCAGCGGTGGGCAGAGACTCACGAAGCCACTGCAGCTGTCGCAGAAGGTGGGCTTGCGGAAGGTGACCCCGTGGAAGCAGTGCAGGGAGGCCAGGCCCAGCTTGGAGCAGATGGCACTGGCCCGCAGCAGGTACTCCGTCAGCTCCTCGCGGCTGAACGAGCCGCTCCTGGGACAGAGCCAGTGCTTAGTGGGGCTGGCCCTGCCCCCAGACCTGGGGATAGGGGCCTGGAGGGCATCTTACCCCTGGCGGGGGGGTGGATGCAGCCCGTGGCAGGCGAAGGGGAAGCTGCCCGAGAGCCGGTGAAAGTCGTCCTGAGTGATGGTCCCTCGGCCTTCAGGGTCGTAATTCTTGAACACGGACTTGGATGAGGGTGGGGAGAGACGGGTCAGGCCTCTGGAGCTTCCCCCTTGGGCACCCCCAGGCCAGGCCCTGCCCCCCCAACGCCCCCTGCCTCACCTCCACCAGTTGCTCCACATGGCGCCGCAGCCTGATCCTGTCAGGCTTGGGGGTCACGCCAGGGGCCCACTCTACCACCAGGGGTGCTTTGAAGGGGGATGGTGGCTAGGGCAGGGGCAGAGGGGCCCAGTTAGTCTGGGTGTGGCTGTAGCTATCGAAGGTCAGAGGTCAGGGGTTGTTGGGGCTCAGAGGTCAGGGGTCAAGTCTCACCAGGCTCTTAGGACAGCGGGGCTCCCGGGCGTAAGAAAGTTCGTAGATCTCATCCTCGGTGTAGAAGAGATCCAGGGAGAGCTGGGGGTACACAGAGCATTACGCCTCCCTCTAGCCTCTACCCCTGCCATGTGCCCACTCTTACCTCTGCCCAGAGCCCTTGTTCTCTGGGGTCCCCCAGGGTCCTCGTGACATCACAGCCCCCCAGTCACAAATCCAGAAGCACCTTTTCTCACACTGACCTTTTTCTAGGCCCTATTGGAGACGGGAACTTGGTCCCTTAAGGGCCCCTCTGCTGGGCTCTTTTCCTTGATGGCCCTGCAATCCTGCCACTAGTATTTTAGCTGCAAAAACTGCACTTTGCTTTTTTGGGGGGAAGGTTGGGAGGAAGAGGTGGGGCAGGGCATACCTGGTGGTGCTCAGGGGTTACTCCTGGCTCCACACTCAGGAATTATTCCTGGAGGTACTATGGGGACCATATGGGACCCTGGGGATTGAACCCAGGTGGGCTGTGTGCAAGACAAACGCCCTCCCTGTTGTACTATGGCTCCGGCCTAAACTGCACTTGGCCTCTGAGTTCCTGCTGCCGGCCTGGTGCTCAGTGTGGCCTGAATGATTTTTTTGTTTGGGGCTAGTGTTTGGGGATTGAACCCACACTCATGCAGGGCAAGTGCTCCCCCCACCGAGCAGCGTCCCTGGCCTCTGGCACCTCTTAGGGCCCTTTGAACCAGAGCCCCTACTTCCACTTGCATGCTCCCTGCTAAGGACAGAGACGCCCCTGTCTCAGGGTCTGAGCCTCAGCCTGGCCATCTCACACGCTCCGTCTCAGAGCACTGATCTTTCTCCCGCCACCGCTCCTTAGCATCCATCTGTTTCTATGGGAAAGAGGTAACAAGTCAGACTCCCTCCCCCCACATACACAAGCCTAATGTGATGACCATGCCAACCCTTGGGGCTGAAGTTGACCTGCCTGGGTTCTGCTTTGGGCTTGAACTGCTGTGGAGCAGCTGGTAAGTGATTGCACTGCTGTGTGCCTCGGTCTCCCAATCTTTTGTATGGGCACCATAAGATCCCCACCTGGGAGGGTTGTGAGGATGGGATGCCGCCCGTGGAGGGAATTGCCTGGCTTTTAGCAAGTGATTGGTTGCTTTTGGCTGAGATGGCCGAGTCCGTTCAAACTAGAGTCAGAAGTGTGAATGCCCAGGAGATTCTGGGACCCAGATCAATGTGTGCTATATTGTTGGGGTCAGAGATATCCCTTATGCAGAGTTTCCCTGTTCCAGACACTCTTCTAGGGCTTTTTGTGAATTATAGCATTAGTTAATTCTTCTCAACCATTCTGAAATGGGTCTTATTATTGTTTCGTTTATGAAGGGCACTTTCAGTGGTATGGGGAGGGGGTCACCCCGGCTCTGTGCACAGGGTTGCCTCAGCAGTGCATGGGGGACCCTGCAGCTCCTACTTTACAAGTTGCTTAGGCCATTGAGTTACCTCCCTGGCCCCTGAGACAGTGGGTCCTATTATCGTTCCCATTTTGCAGATACAGAAACTGAGGCCCAGGAATTTAGTGGCTTGCCTAAAGAGCCTCAAAAGAGCCTCAGACACTCTGGTTACCCCCCTCACCCCGTGGCTCTCTCCTGCTCTCTCCTGCAGACCCTTCCCTAGCCAAGACCTTAAATGCCAGCACCGTGCCAGCTCTGTCTCTGGGCCCTGGGTTGCCAGGCAGCTCACCGTGAGCAGATGCAGTAGGTCCTGGTTGGCACTGCCTGGGGGGTGCTGCCTCTGCAGGGCCGCCAGCTCCTGCAGCCGCAGGTAGAGGCTGTTGAGTTTGGGGAGGTGCAGGCGACCGTCTGGCAGCCGGTCAGGCTGGGCCTCGTGTAGGGACACCAGGTCCTTCAGGTGTACTCCCAGAACAGGCACCCGGAAGCCTGTGCAGCCGGCCCAGGCACGGCGGTAGCGGGCGTAGTTGTGCTGGGAGGCGAGAAGCTCCGTCAGCTCCAGCAAGGCCTGTGTTTGGGGGGTGCACATTTGGGAGGTGGTGGGGAGGAGGTTCCTTCTCCTTCCACAGCCCCTGACGGGGCACAGCCTACCAGCCTCCTGGGTGAGCTCAGAACCCCAAACCCCTCCAGACTCCCACACTGGCCACTGCCTGTTCTCAGACTGTTCTACCTTGAGCCCGCATCCCAGAAACTCCGGTCCACACTGTCTTCCTATCGCCCAAGTGATATGTCAAAGATACAAATCTGATCCCAGCCCCAAAAAACCCCAGATTTGGGTTTTTCACAACCTTGCTCTTGTCCTATGGCTGACACTCAGACACTGTGTTCAGCAGGCAGGGGGCCTCTGCACCCCCATTTCCTGCCACCTCCGGGCCTTGGCCACCCACCAATGACTCATCTCCCCAAGTGCATCTCAGGACACCCCAAGCCATGCTCCTCCCATGGGCGGCCCAGATGAGGGCGTCTGTGGGGGTGTGACTTCATCCCCAGCCGGACTGAACACTCCCTAAAGCTCTGCTCTTCCCGTGTGCCTCTCCAGCTCAGGGGCCAGCTGCAGAGGCATCCGGAAGAGACCAACATCAAGGAAGGGAGTGAGGACAGAGGACAAAGTCCGGAAGTCCCAGGGTCTGTGGGAGTTGGAGAAGCAAAGTCTGTGGTGTGGGGAAGGGCTGAAGGGGGCTGGAGGAAGTGGAGCTTGATGGCTGGGGAGAGCCAGGGAGGGTTACCTTGGTGCTGTCAGGGCTCAGGTGGACGTGGGAGTCCTTGAGTCGGGAGATGGCGCTGTGACACAGGCCTCCTGTCACGGCCATCAGCGTGTTGAAATTGTGCAGTTGGTGGAGCCTCTGGAAAGGATGGGCAATGCAGACTGGTAGGTGTCAGGGGGGTGGGTCTGACAAAACCAGGGTTCAGATGAGCGCCCCCGAGGGGAGGTGTGGTGCCAGGCATACATGAGTGTGGACAGGTGAAGGTGCTCAGCAGGAGTGGGCCCCACACTGGTGCCAGGCAGGGGACAGTGAGGTGAAGTTTGAAAAAAGTGGGGAGTCTGGCAAGCATGGGGAGTAGGACACGTTTGGGGCCCCAATAGGAATAGGGGATTCAAATCAATGGCAGATGCTTGGGATCAGACTGTGCTGAGAATGGGAGAGGGGAGTAAGGGTCCTGACACTTGGCAGAGGTAAGAATTGGGATGGGGCTGGAGAGAAAGGACAGCGGGGAGGGCGCTTGCCTTACATGCAGCTGGCCCAGGGCTGCTCTCTGGCACTCCATGCGATGTCCCGCTCCCCAGCAGGAGTGATCCCTGAGTGCATAGCCAGGCTTACTCCTGGCTATTAATTAATCAATTCTTAATTTTTGTTTTGTTTTGGGGAATTTGGGCCATACCCAGCCCCAATTCCCCAAAACAAAACAAAAATTAAGAATTGGACACAGGTGACAGTGCGTCAGTGGGTGTGGGGGGAGGGCACCCTGACACCAGGCAAATCGTCTCATCCTCCTGCAATTTTTTTGGGGGGGTTGCTACACCCAGCAGTGCTGGAGGATCAAACCCAAGCCTGCATTCTAGCCCTACTATTGAGCTTCCTCTGGTCCCTCTAGCAAGTTTTGCTGTGACTTGCGTTGTGTCGCTGTGAAGGTGGGACCAGGGAGGAGACCCCTTTCCAAAGACGTGGGAACCCGGGGGGTCAAGATGGTGGGGGCAGGAGGAAGCAGGGTACTGGAAGGAGGCAGAGGAAGGGCGTGGTCTGCGAGGAAGTGCACAGAGGGCGTGGCGAGGGCGGAGTTCCCTTTTCTACGGAAGGGAGGAGGAGTTTCTGGGAAGGAGTGGGGGTGCGGGGGGAAAAAGGACACCTGATAGGGTGGGAAGGGAAGCTTCGTTGTCCTGAAGCTGAGATCACGGCACTGGGGAGGATGATGATTGATGATGCAAAAGTGCGTGCGTGTGTGTGTGTGTGTGTGTGTGTGTGTGTGTGTGCGCCCGCGCGCGCAGCATGAGAGTTTGCTTTCATTTGGGGATGAAATGTTCAGGTATAGTTAGGAGACGCTGCCGCATGGGAAAACCAACTACTGTGAGATCTAGACCAGGGAAGAATGCAAGATCAGCGGGCTTTAGAACCCGGACTCGCGGCCCAGCTGCATGACCAGTCCCGAGGGGCGTGGTCAAAGGGGGGCGTGGTCAAGGGGGCGGGGCCACGGAGGCGGTCCCCGTTCCGGAGGGTCCCGGGAGCCTCGGTCCCCGCGCGTGGCGGTGCTCTCGGCCCAGAGGAGCAGCAGAAGGGCGGGCCTCACCTGCGCCACGTGGATAAACTTGTCCAGCACCTGTGCTCGCTGGGCTGGTCCCGGCCGGCTCAGCACCATGACCTGTACCCAGCGGGACACGCTGTTGCTGAGACCCACGGATCCCTCCAGGGCTGGACAGCCCCGCACCGAGCCCTGCAAAACGTAGTCCCGCAGGTCCTGGGGCTGGGGAGAAAGTGGGCGTCAGGGGTGCGGGGGAGGGGAGCCCGCTGCTCTAGGCGGCAGGTCGCCTCTGCTGTCCTAGCGCCCTCTGACTTGGATGACATTTGTCATCTGCTCATCCCAGGCGGTCACATGCTCCTGACATCACCGGCATTCTCTCCAGGAGGAGACCTTTAAAATGCAGTGAGGCAGCATCCCGGAGCCTTGTCATACCCTGCTAGACTGCAAATGCTGTGGCTCTCCTGTCCCAGAGACCAGAGTGTGGAGGCAGAGGTCGAGAGGAGAATTCCTCCTGGGCCACACAGGCTGCACCGGGATTGGTCTGCAGCCAGTGAAGGGAAACTTGGCCAAGAGGATATGAAACCAGGTTCTACTCCTTCCGTTCAAAGGGGTCAACAACTTGCCCCTGCAGCACTGTGTGGACAGCCAGGAAATAAAGCATCCAGCCCCCCACCTTGCCTTTAGAAGATGAAAGCCAGAGCTCACACAGAGGTGGGAAGGCATGAACTGACCCTTAGAAGAGGTCAACTGTGGCCTTCCTTTTCTTTCTTTGTCCTTATTTTGGTTTGGGGGCCACACCCAGTGGTGCTCAGTTCTTATTCCTGGCTCTGCACTTGGGACACCATGTGTGGTGCTGGGAATGGAACCCATTTGGCTGCATGCATAGCAGGCACCTTACCCACTGTGCTATCGCTCCCGCCTCTTAACTGTGGCCATTTCAAATAGTTGCACCCTACCACCTGGACCCTGGCCCAGGCCCTGATCCCGCAAGACAGGAGCTATGAAGTTCCTCTCACACAGAGAACAGAACTGAGTGTTCCCTGAACAGGTAGATAGGAGTTGTGGCTCTTACTGGGTGCCAGGTGCTGGGGTAAGCAGTTTTCTGGGGTTACCAGGGATTGAACCCAGACCTCATGTTAGCATGTCACCGCTGAGCTCTTTGCCAGCCCTTTCCACTACAGTAAATGATCATATAGCTAAATGGCCACCTGTCCCAAGGAATATTATAACCCTTATTGACAGATGAGAAAATTGAGTCCCAGAAAGAGAGAGGGGAACTGGCTCAGTTACCAAGCACAGGCACCCATGGTTCAGCTGGCTTAGCTCATTCTCCTGGACCCCATTGTGCCCAAGGCTGGGAGTTTGAAGTCTCTGTCTCATGCCCACATAGGGGTCCTTTCAGCCCTGCTCCATCCCACCCCACATTCTCCCTGTCTGGGGTCAGGGGCTTCTCACCGTGATCGCCTGGAAGGAGCGGAATTCCAGGTAAGTGAGGTGCTGCGCCAGCTCCCCCGCCTCCAGGTGGTCGAAAAGCAAGGACACTTTGCGCTTTTTGCCCAGGCCGGGGCTGCTCATGGGTGCTGGGGGCCCAGGGCCACCTGGGCTGAGGCTGCAGGCAGAGCAGGGCAAGGGGATTGGAGGAGTCACAGGTAGGGGGTGTGGGGAAGGAGCAAGAAGGCGGGATGGGGTGGTGAGGGAGGGGAGGGTTTGACTCACAGGTTGGAGGGGTCACCCAGGTTCCTCTGGGCTGAATTGCCCTCCTCACCCACGGTGGCCCAGAAGCGACCTATCACTTCTTCCAACTGGGGCTCCTGGTGCATTTCAGGGTGCTGAGTCAGCCAGTACCTAAGGGGTTGTGGTGGGAGATGAGAGGCAGAATAGGATGGGAGGTGAGGGGGAAGGTCTCAGAGGGAATTGGGGGGCTAAGGAATCTCTGCAGGGCTGGGGAGTCTCTGAAAAGTCGGGGTTCATAGGAGCAGTGGCCTGGGAGTAGCTTAGGGGTCTCTCATCATAGGCCAGGGGGTTTGTGGAGCACAGACTGAGGGGATCCCTTACAAGTGGGATTACTAGTAAGCAGGATGGGGGTACCCTGGGAGGAGATTGGGGGCCAACAGATGGTGGTCTCGGGGATCAGGATTGGTGGTAGCTGCACACCCATGGGGAGGATCTATAGGAGATGGTCAGGGGTCTCTGAGTAGAGCGGGGTCTGGAGCAGGATGCTAGGGTCTTAACCACTGAGTCAGGATGTCTCCCAAGCAGGCGTTTCTTTAGTGTGGGTTGTGGCATGCTGGGAATCAAGCCTGGCTCTTCTGCATGCACCACGTGCATTTCCCCACCAAGTCCTGCTTCTGGTCCCTCAGAAGTGGAATTTGGGGGAACGGGGTGGGTCTGTGGGGGAAAGAGCCAGAGATGCTCTGGGAAGTGTCTTGTGGGGGGCACGGGCAGAAGGTGGGGGTCTCGGGCCCTGGGAACGCTTTCTGGGCCCCCTACCTGACCAGGTGGCAGATCTGCAGCCGCCTCGGCTCCTGTGCGGTTCCTGAGGCCTCCTCGTACTTGAGTGAGGGTCAAGGCTCCAACCCAGACCAGCTGTGTCCTTGCCCCAACCCTTGCCTGGCCAGCCCTGGCCCACCCTGCCCGCCCTCGTCCAGGAGGATATAAGGTCAGCAGGCGGGTGGCGAGGTGGGCGGAGGGCAGCACCCAGCTGTGCATGGCCAGGACCATGTTGAGCAGATGATCCCCACGGCGCAGGTTGCCAGCTGAATCTTGGGAGAGGACATGGGTCTCAGATGGCCACTCAGGGCAAAGAACAGCTGACTACCTGTACGAACTTGGGCGAGTCACTGGACCTCCTGGCCTGGGTCTTCTTATCTGTGCATGGAGCCCAGAACAGCTTGGCAGCCCGAGCCCCAGGCCTATCCCCCCCATCTCAGGAGGAAGAAACTCAACCGTCTTTTACCCCAAATAGAATTGAGACTCATGTCAGTCACCCCCCCCCCCCACCCAAATAAAAGGAGGCCCAGAGACCCGTGGTGGGGCGCCTGGCCTGGCCATGGGAGGGGAGGTGGGGTGCGGGCGCTCACCGAAGGACTGGATGCATCTCTCCAGCAGCTCATCTTCGCTGTAGCTGCCTTCACCCAGCCTGCCCAGGGCCATGGACGCCATGACCTTGCTGATTTCCCGGGGGCTGGGACATGTCTTGTGGCGGCGAGCCTGGCGGGGCCGGCCCCGACCCACGGACTTCCCTGGGCATTCCTGGTGGGATTTCCTGTGGGCACAGCCCCCAGGGGCAGAGTCCTGAGATGCTGCATCGTAAAGGCAAAACTGGACAATGTCCATCCTGACCTCAGAGGCAGAAGCCCTAAGAGCATAGTTTGTGCCTGTTTCCACAGTGGACACCAAGTTCTCTTCCAGAGGCTCCAGGACAGAGACCCTCAGCTCAATTCTAAAGTTTCCCAGGGAATCATAGGAGAGGGACCCCCCCCCAATCCTGGGATGACTAAGGAACCTCCAAAGAATCATCAAAACTCACTTCTCCAGTCATTTCCCCCTCCCCCCTTGAATGAACAGTGCCAAGGCATCCTGGGAGAGACAAACTTGGGAGACCTCTAGAATTACTTCTGAGCTCCCCAAGAATCAGAGCAGAAGACCCCAGAATCATCTCTGAAGGCCAGAATGATAGGACAGCAGGTAGAGTGTTGTCTTGCTCACAGTTGACCTGGATTTGATCCACGGCATTGGGGTCCCCCAAGTGCCACTAGGAGTAATTTCTGAGTGCAGAGCCAGGAGTAACCCCTAAGCTTTGCTAGTGTGGCCCCCCAAAACCGAAATAAAACCCCCAAACAATTGTTTCTGCTTGCCTCAGAGGAGACGCATAAAAGCTTTTGCCCTGGCCAGAGAGATAGCAGGGCGGGTAAGCCACTTGCCTTTTGTCCTGGTACCCTGGTTTGAATCCCTGGCACTGGCTCTGGTCCCCTGAGCACCACCAGGGGTCATCCTTGAGTACAGAGTCAGGAATAACCTTTGAGCATTACTGGGCAAGATACAACACCCACTCCCCCCGCCACCCCAACTTCTTGCCACCCTAAACAGAGCTCCTGCTTGGAATCTCCAAAGCCTAACCTCAACCTCCTCCAGTCTGGCTTCTAAGACCCACCTCACCATGTTTTCCCCTAATATCCCTTTACTCTTCTCCCCACCCTCACGGAGCAGTGGCCCTCAAAATTAGACTTCTTCCCTCACCCCCATCTCCTCCTCGGTGACAGACCCCTGGATGTCCCTGGACTTGGAACCTGGAGAGGAGCGAGGTGTGCAGAGGCTGACCAGAAAGTCACAGGGGCTGAGCATCTTCAAGTAAAGTTTCAAAATAACCTGGTGCCTCCCCAGGCCTCAGCAGTTGGGGAAAGAGGGCCATGGAGAAATGAGGATGGGAAGGAAGGGGAGTGTGGCCTCAGGCCCCGCAGAGGCAGACTAAAGGAGGTGAGGGGCGGGGACTTAGTGCCTCCTGCATGACTTTGCGTTGGTGACTTAGTCTCTCTGGGTCTCAGTTTCCTTCTATGAAAAGTGATGGCCAGACTAGCAAGATAGTGCACAGGACACTTGCATTGCATGAGGCCGACCCTGATTTCATCCCTGGTACCACATATGGTTCCCAGAGCACTGCCAGGAGTGATCCCTGAGCACAGAGTCAGAGATAATGCCTGAGTACTACCAGGTGTGACCCAAAATTTAAAAAAAAAAAAAGGGAAATTAAAGCAAAAAAAGGAAAAAAGGAAAGGAAAAAAGAGAGAGAGAAAGTACATTACATTTAAGGGCCAGAAAGATCAGAAAGATAGTACAGTGGGTAGGGCGTTTGCCTTACACACGGCTGACCCAGGTTCAATCCCCGGCATCCCATATGGTCCCCCAAGCACTGCCAGGAGTAATTTCTGATTGCAGAGCCAGGATAACCCCTGAGCATTCCTTGGTGTGACTCAAGAAGCAAAAAAAAAAAAAAAAACAAAAAAAAAAACCAAAAAAAGAAAGTACATCCTTGTACTTTCCCTAGAAACTGATCACAATTAAGAGAAAGCGAAGGCTCAGAGCGAAAGGTCCACAGATGAGGCACAGATGAGGCCATGCACGGGTGAGGCATGTCCTAGAGCTCAGTAAGTCCAACCAGGCGACCTGCTGAATGACAGCGCAGACCCGTACCAGGCAGGGGCCTGGGCTCCCGTCCTCAAAATTCAGTCTCCAGCAAACACCAACAGCACCACCTGAAAACTTGATCCACCTTCCCCATCCCAGAACAACAAAACTGCAAACTTGGGAGGGGAGTCCAGCACCCCTTGTTAGCTCATCCCCGAGGCTTGAAGCTCACTCAGGCTTGAGAACTGCTCCCCGCTATCTCACTGTAGATGTACATACATCTCTGAGCGAGGGACTCTGATGATTCAATGGACAGGGAAAGAAATGGAGGCACAGAGTAGTTAAGAGACTTACCTCAGGTCGCACAGCTAGAAAATGAGGCTGCTGAGTCGCCAACACTAGCCAGCAGGATATTGCCAGGAGGGGAACCCTGTGCTCATGAGGAGTGTGCTGGGTGAGGCCATAGGAGCTGGCCAGGGTGGAGGGCTGGCCATTACCACACGCAGGAGGCTTGCCCAGGTGAGAGGATGCCCATTCCAGAACCGTAGACAGGCAGCCGCTGCTCCCAATGTTTACCTGCCTGCGGCCTTGCGTCACAGTCCCCTCCCAGGGCCCTGCAGGAGCCCACAATTTCCAGTGCAGGGGGCAGTGATTGGGAAGAGGAGGCAGGTGGGGAAGAGCACGCCAGCTCAGGGGGTTCAGGCGGGACTGGGAAGGCACCAGAGCGGATGCAGAGCGGTCCAGACTGTGGGTTACGGAGGGCAGGCCTGCCTGGCTCTGGGTTCCTTCCACCTGGCACCCCCACTCCCGCTCTGAGAGGAGGTCCCCCAGCACCGCCCCCCCTCCCCCCGCTGCCTTAATGCCTCTTCCACCTTCTCCTGAAACCCAGGGCTCTCCCTGTCCATCTCCTGGTCGGGTTCTCTTATCTCACCTCTTGCTGTCTTTCCTGTTCATGCTTCCGGAGGGGGCACTGGGGTATTGCACAGGGTTGAACCCCTCCCCCAGTGCTCCAGCTGCTGAGCCCCTTGAGAGCTGGGGCCACCACCGGGGTGTTGGGAAGGAAAGAGGAACTGCTCCTCCCCACCCACCCCAGGCCAGGGGGAAGGAAGAGGCTGGCGAGAGACTAAAGATCCCCCCTTCCCCCCCCCATGGGGATCCCTTCAAGTTGAGGTTTCCGGGTGCTGCTAACACCCAGCAGGCTCTTGCTCTATCTCCCCATCTCTGTCTCGAGACCCGCGACTCTGCCAGTTCGGTTTCAGTAGCAGCAGGTTTTGTTTTTACAATGTATGACCCATTTAGGTAAAGACACACAGACTCATATACCCGGATGTCTGCAGGACCCTGGTGAGGTCCGCACACAGGTTTCAAAGTGTTTCTTCTCCTCCATCATCCACTCCAACTTGGTTCCAGAGAAATCATATTTTAGAAAGCTCTATTACTTTTATTTTATGTGTGTGTGTTTCCAGGAGTGGGGGGAACGACACTCAGCATTACTCAGGACTTATTCCTGGTTCTTGGCTCACCTAGCAGGCCTTGGGCGACCCTCTGGAGTGCTGGGGATTGAACACATGCAACATGCAAGGCAAGTGCCACCATACTACTGTTCTGGCCCCTAATACTTTTATTTATTTACTTATTTATGTTAGGCTTTTTGGGTCACACCCAGCAATGCTCAGGGGTTACTCCTGGCTCTGCACTCAGGAATCAGTCCTGATGGTGCCCAGGGGATCATATGGGATGCCAGGGATTGAACCTGGGTCGGCTATGTGTAAGGTAAACGCCCTACCTGCTGCACTGTCATTCGATCTCCCCTTCCATTATTTTTATTGTAACAGGCCCTTATGTAGACCCTTATGTAGAACTTACTGTACACCTCCTACACAATGTTTCTCCAGTTTTTAAGATATGAACTTATTTAATTTTCACACAAGCCTACCAACTGTTTTTTTGGGTATGTGTGGGCGCACACCCCTGGGTGCTCACAGCTAGTCCTGACTCTGCTCAGGGTGACCTCTGGTGATTCTGGGAGATCAAGTGTGTTGCCAGGAATTGATCCACTTTGCCTGTATGCTAAAAGCAGTTTCAGTCAGCTAAAATCTTTGCTCGGTGAAGAGTTCATTCTCTTTCTCTTTCCTTTTTCCTGAGACACTAGGTCCCTTCTCTCCATCTCTTCCCCTTCTCCTCTCTCCTCTTCTCTCGCTGTCCCTGAGCATTTCCATCTGTCTTCACTCCAACTGCCCTGGCACCTCTTCCCTTCAAAGTGATGTAACACTCCCACCTGTGTCATGTGTCTCCAAGCTCTTTGGAACCCAGGAGCTTCAGAGAGCAAGGTCGGAAAGGGCTGTGGCCCTGGTATATACACAAGGCACCCTCCAGACCTTCAGGGATTTGATACCAACAATAACACTGATGGCCCACTTAGGAATCAAACCCTAGGGCCGTGCAGAGAGCAGAAGGAAGACGTGCTTGATAACATGCAAATGAGGATTTCTTGGAAACCAGAACACCAGGGGACAAATATCGGAGAGCAGAAGGGAATAAAGATAGTTATAGTGCCTAACTCAATAAGTGATAAATATCTAGGATGCAAAAATCAGCCAGAGACCAAGATAATGACTTCTAAGAAAAGGGGTGCAGGGGAGGAAAAAAGTCCCAATTTCCAATGGGTACCTGGGAAGGGGCTATAAATGACCAGTAATTAATCAGGGAAACTCAAATTAAGGCAACAGTGCATCATCCTATTGGGTCTGTCAAAAATTCTAAATTAAAAAATGTTAAGTGGGGTTTGGGGCCATGAGGACTTCGATGGCTGGGGTGGCTATCCAAAAGGGCACTTGGCTTTAATCAGAAGAGCTTGAACTTGGAGCTTTCAGCCAGGATTGGACGCCAGGGATTCTTCTTCTCAGACTTTCTCATATACTGGACACTGTCGGCTCCGCAAGGGCTGAGGAAGAGGATGTTCATGGCAACGATAATTTTGGGGAGCTGAGAGTCTGCTCCTGAGAGTGGGTGGAGGAACAGCAGAAGGGGCTTGCTGGAGTTCTGAGTAGCCCCCACAGCTCCAGGAATATGGGTGATCTGAAAACACAGAAAGATGACTGACTTCCAAAGGAAACTCTGTTAATATCTTATGTTACAATGCTCAATAACAGAATGATCTGACGGCATGTGTACTGTTCTAGGGGAAAACTTTACATTTTATATGCAAATGTACTATATAACATATAGTTGATAACATCTGATGGGATTGTATTATATAATTACACAAGTCTTGGACTGGAAAGATAGTTGCATGCATAGGGCACTTGCCTTACATGGGCTGACCCCATTTTTTTTTCTTTTTTTTTGTGCAATGCACAGAAAAATACACATCCAGCAATGCACAGGGGTTAGTCCTGGCTCTGCACTCAGGAGTTACTCCTGGCGGTGCTCAGGGGACCATATGGGATGCTGGTAATTGAACCCAGGTCGGCTGCGTGCAAGGCAAATGCCCTACCTGCTGTGCTATCTCTCCAGCCCCCGGGATGACCCCAGTTTGAATTCCTGCAACTGCATATGGTTCCCCAAGCCCTGCCAGGAATGATCTTTGAACATAGCCTGGTGAGGTAAAAAATAAAAAATTATATAAGCCTAAATATATAACTATCTGATAATGCATTTCACAATCTAATAAATAATACAATAAAACTCACCTGCTATTTGTTAAAATTATATCAATATGTCAGTATTGAATTATAGGACATGCATGTATTCATTTATATTGAATTTTAGGACATGCATGCAATTATTCATCTAATAAGTTTTTTGTTTTGGTGCCACACTTGGCAGTGCTCAGGGAATATAATCTGGAGTGCTGGGGATTGAACCCAGGTCTGCCGGGTGGGCCGTGTATGAGGGGCAAGCACTCTACCAACTGTACTATTACACTGGCCTCCATTTGATAACCATTTTTTGGAGCCACTGAAGCAGTTCTCAGGAAGTCCAGGGGTCCCACAGGCGGTTCTCAACCAACTGGGCCGTTGGTTCAACACAAATGCCCAGGGATGCGATACTGCTCATCCTGTGGCATCGGGAGTACTCAGGCAACCCTGCTGTGACTGGGGGCTTCCAGGATCGCAGCTGGCAGTGCTCGGGGCTTACTCCTGGCTCTGCATTCAGGGCTCACTTTTGGCAGGCTTGAGGGACTAAATGGGGTGCTGGGAATTGAACCCCAGTTGATTACATGCAAGGCAAATGCCCTTTCACTTAAGTTCTACCATAGCATTTCATAATGATCACTGTCACCTATCCCTGTACTAGTCACTGACCACATAGATATCGCAAATTGTTTTTCTCATGGAATTTTCTTTAGCCACAGAGCTTGGCAGATAAAAATGCTGAGACCTAGGCTGAGAACTCACTCACTGGTCCTGCTCTACCAACTCTGGACCAAATCTCCCAGGAGATGCACGCCAAGCAACTAAAATACGTGGAAATAACAGTCCCTGAAGCAGAAAAACTCCAGGTTGCCTTTGGAAGGTGGCTGGGCTGAGTACCTGCCCTTCCAGAGACCCAGCAACTTCTGCCACAGACCACCGCTGTAGCATGCCAAGGGCTCAACTTCACCCCTCACGAAATATTCTCTGCAGAGACTCCAAACTGTGAGTAATTTTACATACCCAGGTGCCAGGCTGAGAACTCTGGTATTTCTCAGAGTTGGTGTGGGCAGCTTCCCCTTGCCCCACCCTACTTCTAGAATCCTTAGGCCCCCCTCTGCCCACCTCCCATATTCCACCATGCCAACTCATTGGCTCAGACCATAGATCTTGAAGTCTCTGGACACCTCCTAATTCCTCAGTACTGAAATTCCAGTAGGTACACATCAAATTAGAATGGGAAAGTAACATAGAAACCTAGGACACTCAGCAAACAAAAACTGTAACACCGAAGTCTCCACTAGCTACAGCTTAGTACATTCTTAGAGGACTTAGCAACCCCAGTGGTCAGACATAACAATTTTCACATACAAAATTGATTCTTTTATTCTTACTGATTTTAATATTGGAGCTTTGTTAGCTAATCTGTTTTTTGCATCTCAGATTTTTTTTATTTCTTTGAATTTGTTATTTATCAGGAGAGACTGAAATAAAATTCCATCATCATTGTGGAAATGGCTTTGAGAGAGAACTGGTCAGATGAATATTATTTATTTGTTTATTTTGCTTTTTTTGGTCACACCTGGCAATGCACAGTAGTTATTCCTGGCTCTGCACTCAGGAATTACTCCTGGAAGTGCTCAGGGGACCATATGGGATTCTGGGAATTGAACCCGGGTCGGCTGCATGCAAGACAAATGCCCTACCCACTGTACCGTCACTCCAGCCCCGGATGAATATTAATTGCTTCCCATTTTCAATCAGTCTTAAGTTGCCACTGATAAATAGACAGGAGATGAAAATGATCAAGTTATGTTACATCATACAACATGCTTGTTCTGAGGAGAAACCTAGGAAGTAATTTATGTGTTCTTCTTGATTTCATCACACAAAACAAACACAAAAGCACCCCTCATGCCTCAGTACTTTGGACCAGACACCCTTGAAAAGAGCTTTGGTTCCTTCATCACAAGCAATCTTTCTCCAGCAGTCAATTGTGTCAGTGTCCATGATATCTGTTCCTTTGCATCCTGACTGCATCATCATGCGGCGACAAACAGTGTCAAATCGGTAGCACTGTCCACTGTAGCACTGTCCTCTCGCTGTTCATCAATTTGCTCGAGCAGGCACCAGTAACGTCTCCATTGTGAGACTTGTTACTGTTTTTGGCATATCAAATATGCCACAAGGAGCTTGCCAGGCTCTGCCGTGCGGGCGGGATACCCTCGGTAGCTTGCTGGGCTCTCTGAGAGGGACTGAAGAATCGAACCCGGGTTGGCGGTGTGCAAGGCAAATGCCCTACCCGCTGTGCTATCGCTCCAGCCCGTGTTATCGTCAAATGGGTAAGAAATCAATCCAGCCACGGCCGTGACCAACTGTGCGATCATCCAGCTGACAAAGATGTGAGTACTCTTGGGATCTGGAAGCATTCCCTTTGCAGTGCCATAGATTCCAAAGTGGGCAGCTCGACAGATGATAATACTTTGTACAGAGACACTGAAGCCTTGATATAGGCCCTTGATACTGTCAGATTTAGAAATCTTATTATTATTATCTTTTTTTGTTTTTTGGGTCACACCCGGCAATGCACAGGGGTTACTCCTGGCTCTGCACTCAGGAATAACTCCTGGAGGTGCTCAGGGGACCATATGGGATGCTGGGAATCAAACCCGGTCAGCCACGTGCAAGGCAAACACTCTATCCTCTGTGTTATCGCTCCAGCCCAGATTTAGAAATCTTTTTTTTTTCTTTTTGGGTCACACCCGGTGATGCACAGGGGTTACTCCTGGCGGTGCTCAGAGGACCATATGGGATGCTGGGAATCGAACCCAGGTCGGCCTCATGCAAGGCAAGCACCCTACCCGCTGTGCTATCTCTCCAGCCCCAGATTTAGAAATCTTTTTTTTTTTTGCTTTTTGGGTCACACCCAGCGATGCTCAGGGGTTACTCCTGGCTCATGCACTCAGGAATTGCTCCTGGTGGTGCTCAGGTGACCATATGGGGTGCTGGGAATCGAACCTGTGTCGACCATGTTGGCTGCATGCAAGGCAAACGCCCTACCTGCTGTGCTATTGCTCCAGCCCCCAGATTTAGAAATCTTAACGAGACAATTGCTGAGCCCTTTGAATTCTCTCTTGGCTCCGGCTTTGCCCACATCAGCAGCTAAAGGGGTATGGGGAAAATCAAGGGGATAGACAAAGCACAAGGAAGTGGCCCCAGTGGCACCTCCCCGATGCCAGATTGCAGGCAAAGTAGCACCAAAACCGGCTTCTCTTGTCTACACTGCCCAGGAACATCTGCTTGTATTTATCTTTGAAGGCGAAGTTGGGAGCCTGCGTGGGGAAGTGTCTGATGACATTGGCCAGGTTGCCATGCTAGAAGGACAGGACTTCCTGCTCCTTCAGGATACGAACCACGCAGTCCATAATGCCCTTGTATTTCTTATCAGTGGTGATTTGCTTACTGGCATGCTGTACCTGCAGCAGCAGCTTGACCTGCTTGATGGGTGCTACTGCCATCTTCAAGATGGCTGCAGCCACTCCACTGGCCAAGAAGTCTTTGGCAAAGGACACAACAGCATCTGTCATGGTGAATAGAGAAGAGGGGGACAGGTGGCTATAGGACCAAAGTAGGAACCAACCAGAACTCCAAGGCTCTGGGCTTGGCTAATCAGTGGTAACACTAGAATTGTATAAAAAATTGTGCCTTTTGGAGCCAGAATGAAAGTACAGCAGGTAGGGTGTTTGCCTTGCATGCGGTAGGTTTAATCGCCAGCATCCCATATGGTCCCCTGAGCACTGCCGGGAGTAATTCCTGAGTGCAGAGCCAGAAGTAACTCCTGAGCATCACCTGGTATGACCCAAAAAAGCCAAAAAAACCAAAAAATTGTGACTTATGTCTACATAAAAGTAATAAAATTTTTTTTTAAAAAAGAAACGAACTGAGGCCCAGAGGAGTTCCTGCCTGGCAGGAGGTGCAGGTGTGTCGCCTGGTGCCTTGGCCCAGCAGGTCTCACAACTGGCTGAATGAGCTGCAGAATCCTTCGCCCAGGGCCAGTGAGAAGCCAGAAGGGAGTATCAAAAGAAGCTAGTCACCCATTTCCTGCTTCCTAATTTGCAAAGCCTAGGGTGCTCATCTGCATGAAGGGGAGGTCCAACTAGTTGCCCAGGGTGACTCAGGCAGCCAGTGGCCAGTGTGAGGAGTAAGGGTTAGAGCACTGGGGACAGAGCTGATCCAAGGAAGTTAAGTTACTTTTTTTTTTGTAACTAGGAACTTTTTTTTTTTATAACTGGGAACTTTTTAAATTTTTGAGCCATACCCAATGGTGCTCAATTTTTGAGACTGTGCTTAGGGATCACTCTCTATGGTGCTCAGGGGACCAAATGTTATGCCGGATATCAATCTGGAATTGGCCGCTTGCAAGACAAGTGCCTTACTCACTGTGCTGTCTCTCTGACCTGTTAATTAAGAGCTTTTATGCAAATATCCAAACACAATGCAATGCCTAAGTGCTTGGGTCTTGTTTAGTTCTGGGGTTCAGTGCCCTGGTCCTGTGACTTCAATCTAGTCACAGACAGTGCTCAGCTTTTCTCACCTGTAAAATGGACACCCTGGGGTCAGCATGACTCAAGGGCAGAGGATATGCCTTGTAGAGAGGAGACCCTGAGTGTGATTCCTTGCCCCGCATGGCTCCCTGAGCCCCTAGTTTTAATGTTCCCCAAGCAGCTATGACCCCTAATGAAAGTAAATAACTAAATTGGACCCCCCATTAGGGACCTGTTTTCACAAGTTGGCAGAGAGGACCACATCCTGTATTCTGGTTGTGTTCTGAAAACTGCACAGTAAGTATCACACATTCTCATTCACTCCTCTAAGCAACGTGAATCATAGCGGGATTATGGTGAACACTAAATTAGACATGAAGAAAAGACCTTAGAAATGCAGCAGGCCCACAGAAGACATCTGCTGTGGAAATTATGTCTCACACCCCCCCCTCACACAAGGGGTCACACCCAGCCTGAGGGGGCCTGGTAGGAGTGGTGCTGGGGATGGGTCTCACCCATGCAGAGTATGGGCACTGTTATGTGAGTCATATCTCAGACCTCCTGCCCCATCAGTTCCCCCTTCATTCTTCTTCTTCTTTTTTTAATTGGCCACACCCAGCGATTTTCAGGGCTTACTTCTGGCTCTACACTCAGAAATCACTCCTGGTGGGCCTCAGGGGATTATATTGGGTGCCAGGGATCGAACCTGGGTCAGCAGCATGCAAGGTAAGATCCCTACCCATTGTACTATCTCTCCAGCTCAGGCCCCTCATTATTCTTTAATAATAAATCCCTCTCCATACCCTGTGAAGCAGGTGCTAGTAACATTCTCTTATAAAAGGGGGGAACTGAGGCACACAGAGAGGCTAAGTGACTTTTCTAAGGTTGTTCAGGAGAGTGGCAATAGGGAGATTCAGATCCAAACTGTCTGGCATAGTCCTTGCTTTTCTCCTTTTTCTGCGCGGGGGTGGGGGGTGGGGAGGTGGGAGAGAGGTGCCCAGGGTCGATGCGACGCTAGTGCAGTGATTGGGAATCACTCCCAGAGGTGCTCACTGGACCATGGTACCTCTGGCGGGCAAAACATGCGTTCAGCCGTTTGAACCCAGAGTTCTTGTCTTTGGGATCAAAGACAAGATCAGCCTGGTGCTTTTTAAAGCCGAGACCTGGAGCACATCCCAGCTTTGCGGTGTGACATCGAGCAAGGGCTTGGTGTCTTGTCACTTTCCAGCGGAGGTGTAGGGCTGCTGCCTTCAAGACCGGCTTCTGGGAGATGCCGCGGCAAGCAGCCCCGACTCAGGCTGTGTGGGCGGGGCTCCGGCGAGGGGGCGTGGCCAGGTCCTCCCTGGGCCAATAGGGGCAGGGGGCGGGGCCCCCTACCAGCCCTGTCCAGCGCGCGCGTGCTCTTCGCAGTTCCATCTACCTCGCGGGAGCCTCCACCGAGGTCTCCGACCCCAGCCCGACCCCAGCCCAACCCCAGCCCGCACGCCCAGCCTGCAGCCCTCTTCCGCCATTCCCAGATCTCAGCCCCAGCCCTCGGGGCCTCGGCATCATGGGGGACGGGGGAGAGGGCGAGGATGAGGTCCAGTTTCTACGGACGGTACGTGTCTCAGCGCTGGTGGGCTCTGGGGCTGTTTCTTGGGTGGGGGTCGGGGGGCCCCTGAGTGTGTCTCTGCCCTCTGTTTTGCTTTGCAGGGGCTCTTTGAGACGCGGGGTCTCTTCCGCTGTCCTTTTGGGTGACTGTCACTCTGATTTTCTCTTCGATTTTGTCTCTCAGTCTCCCGGACCTCTCTTCCCCATAGAAAATGAGCAGGGTTTGGGGGGGCTCTGCCGAGTGCGGAGGCAGGATCTTGAGCGTCTCTCCTCTGACATGATCCAGCCTGGAGAAGGGGCTTGCTGAGCGAGCACCCCGCCCCCCCACCCCCACACCCTGGAAGCAGGCACTTGGGGAAGCGGTTCTAATTCCTGGGCTTAATTTAGCTGCCCCCTCCCCCCTCCGCCTAGCCCTCATTTCCTTCTTGCTCCAGACTCTGACCCAGTTAAACTATTGGGAAGGGGGCTGGAGTGGGCTTGTGGGCCCAACTCCTTTAACCGCCCAGTCCTTAAGATTCTCTAGGCCACAGGGGTGTGTGTGGGGGTCCTCTCTGGGCTCCAAGTTTTTCTCCTTTGCCCCTGGCTTCTGGAGAGGAGAGGCTGGTGGTCTGTGGTAGTCTTCTCTGTGTCTCTTCACCTCTGTCTTCCCAGTCTCCGTCTTTGTTCTCTGGATTGCAGGTCCTCGTAGTTTGCTGTTTCTCTATTCTGTTCTGCATCTCTGATCCCTGGTGAGGGGTGGGGTAGGGTGGGTGGGGGGCACAAGGACGGGAACTGTGACAACAGGTGCGCCTCTCAGAATAGCCCGCTTTTCTTGGACCTGGCTGGGGCCAGGAGCAGAGCGGGGGAGGGCCAGCCCCACTCCAGTCCTGCCCACATTTCCCACTGGGGACTTGGGGTGTGTGTGTTTGGGGGGGATGGTGTCTATGTCAGGGGACGTTCTCTATTCCAGGCCAGGTCGGCTGACCTGGGCACTAGGCCTCTTGCCCCATCCTGGGCCCTGGGCAAGTGCTGACACAGCATTCCAGCCCAGAATAGGGGCCGATGAGGCGGCTCGGGTTTCCTGGGGTGGAGGAAGGAGCAGCTGGTGTTGGCGGTGAAGGATGGGGACAGCTGGGTCCTAGACTTCACCCAGAAGCCTGTCCCAGTCCCAGTCCTTTCGCTGACACCACGGGTCAGGCTCTGGTCTCATCCAGACGGTGACCGTGGTGATCTGCCCCTGATGGGCAGGTCCCTCCCCCAGGCCCTGTGACCAGGGCTTCTGGCTCCTGGGGCCTGCAGGGGTCACAGTGCATCAAGGCCGGGGAGAGTTCTCTTGGTGCCCCAGGGACCCCAGTCCTTCTGGGCTCACGCTGGTCTCTCTTGCCAGGGTGGGTTTCTACAAGTTTAGTTCTGACCTCAGAGTGGACCTATTTATCAGAATTTTATTTTGGTGGACCATATCTAGTGGTGTTTAGAGCCTGCTCCTGATTCTGTGCTCAGAGATCATTCCTGGCAGTTCTTGGATAAAACTATTTGGGTGCTAGGGTTCAAATCTGGATTGTCTGCATGCAAGGCAGAAGCATGAACTTGAATGAAATTTCCCCCCCAGAAAGAAAGCTGTTTTATCTGGCAGGTCAGTCTATGCATGTGTACAAATAAAATTATTTAAAAAATCTACTTTATTGGGGCTGTAGGGTATTTGCCTTGCATGTGGACAACCCAGATTCAATTCCTGGCATCTCCTATGGTTCCCTGAGCCCACCAGGAGTGATCCCTGAGTACAAAGCCAGGAGTCAGCCCTGAGTGCTGCTAAGTGTGCCCCCCGTTCCAAACAAGACAAAGGAACAAAATCAACTTGATTGGGCCAGACATATAGTACAGGGGTTAAGGATCTCCCTTTCCGTGTGGCTGACCCCACACAGGGTCCCGTGAACCCCACCAGGAGTCATTTCTGAGCACCAACAGGTATTGCTCCAAACAGAAAAAAGAAAAATCAACTTTATTGAAGTCCCAGTGACCTGCAACCTACTGCACCCATTTTGGGGTTACACTTCAATGTATTTGAGCAAGCTGTGCACCCTGAAACCACCACAGTCAAAACATAGGACATTTCCTTTACCTCAGAAAGCAGCCTTGTGTCCTCCCCTGCCTGCCAGAAGCTTTAGGGCGCTGGAAATTCTACTGGTACTGTCAGTGTGTGCTCAGCATCTTGCTCCTTTCTATTTATTTATTTCTGGGGGGCCTGGGGGGGTCGTATCCTTTGGTGCTCAGGGACTACTCTCAGCTCTGTACTCAGGAATGACCCTTAGTGGTGCTCAGGGGAGCATATGTGCTAACTGCGGTTTGAACCAGGATCAGAGGGATGCCAGGGATGCTTTAACTCTGTTGTGCTTCTTTTGCTGTTGGTTCTGACTGGGGTCCAAATGAGCAAGAGTTGTGTGTGTCTTTTGGGGGGCCAAGTGGCCTTCCATTGTGTGAAGAAGCTGTCACATCCCTGCGGAGTTGGCATAACCTCCAATTCTAGTGATTCACGTGATGACGACAAACAAGGTGTGTTTGCACATGTGCCTATTTTTAACCAAATAGAGTCACACGGTCAATGTCGGTGGACCTTGGAGCCCAGGGACAGGCCACTGTTTTCTGTTCTTGTGCTGCTTACTTCAGTTAAATATATATATATATATAAAATATATAACAATATAATATATAAATATACAAATTTGTAAACAAATATAAATAGATAAAATGTAAATATCTATGAATTTAAGTCAATGGAAATGTATAGTATAATATATAAATAATATATAAACAATAATGTATAATATTTATTTATTTATTACTTTGGGCCTTCCCCTGTAGTGCTCAGGGTTTACTCCTGGCTCTGGAATCACTCCTGATAGAGTTCGGGGATCAGATGCATGCAAGGCAAACGCCCTGCCTGCTGTTCTATGGCCCTGGCCCCTGCTTACTTCACTTTTTTTTTTGCTTTTTGGGTCACACCCGGCGATGCTCCGGGGTTACTCCTGACTCATGCACTCAGGAATTACTCCTGGCGGTACTCGGGGGACCATATGGGATGCTGGGAATCGAACCTGGGTCGGCCATGTTGGCTGCGTGCAAGGCAAACGCCCTACCTGCTGTGCTATCGCTCCAGCCCCTTACTTCACTTTTCAAACCTGGTGGCCAACACCTCCCAAGCTGGTTTCATGGAAGGTGACCTCTAGCTTGCCCAGACTAGGATTTCTCCAAAGCAGAACAGCATTTGGGGCTGGCTTATGGGACAGACTCCTTGCTCCTCTCATGCCCACCCAATTGTATTCTTGGTTTTGGGGCCAAAGAATGAGGCAGTGAGGAAGCTATGTGTTGAATTCATTTAAAAACTGACTTCTCTAGCCCTTCCCTTTTTGGTCGCCACTGTCATTGTTTTGGTGTGCTGGGGCACGCACTTGTGGTGGTGGGGTTCGCAGAAGCTGCAGGTTTCACCAGAGCCCTCCCCTACTCCATTTAGAGGGAGGTGACAGCCTGGTTGGATAATTTCTTTTTCTTTGTTGTTTTTTTTTTTTTGTTTGGAGAATTTCTTTTTCTTTTTCTTTTTTTTTGGTGGGGGGGGCATGACCAGAATTGCTCAGGGGTTACTCCTGGCTCCATGCTCAGGGAACCATATGAAATGCTGGGGATCGAACCCAGGTCAGCTATGTGCAAGGAAAGTGCCCTACTTACCCATTGTACTGTCTCTCCGGCCCCTTGGTTGGAGAATTTCTGGTGATGTCATTACAGTTCCTGTCTCTGGCTTCCACCCTGGCCTGGCCATAGACTTGCAGACTGGTTTTGGGTGAGCGATTTTCACTCTTCTCTGTGTGTCTCAAAACTCAGTCTCGAAAATGGGGACCAACATATACATCATTAGCATTCTGGGGGCCTGTGCATGTATCCATGCAGGCTCAGCCCTTCCCTCCTGTCCCCTATTCCTGAAATTCCCTGTCCGCACCTTGTTCAGCACCCTCCAAACCCTGCCCACCCAAGAGCCTTTTTTCAGGCAGCTCCGTTTCCCGAACTTTCTTTCATCCTGCTTCCTTCTTGTCCTCTGGACAAGGCTCAGCTCAAATGTCACCTCCTTGGAGAGGCTATGCCAACACCCCCCCCCCCCCCCCCATGTTCTTCCTACCCCAGAGCCGCTCTCTTATACCAATCCAGCTCCATCTTTCTGTAATGCAGAACCCATTAACACTAGGAATGGATTTATCTGTTGATGCTCCCTGAGGACAGGGATCTTGTCCCTTAGATTGCCCGGTGGCTGATCCAGGGCTCAGGCCCAGGACAGGGCATGCCTGGGCTCACTATTCATGCCTGGAGAACCCCGAGCAGAAGGCAAAGCCGTCATCAGCCCTGAGCAGAGAGCACTAGCCTTGTGGCTTCTGAAAAAAAAAAAAAAAAACAAACACAGCTCCAGGTCAGGGCCAGAAAAGGACTCTGCAGTTCTGGGACTGTTCCATAACAGACAGACAGACAGACAGACAGACAGACAAATAGGGCTGCCTGAAGGTCAGAGACAAACCTGGTAGTGTCTGAGTGATCCCTCATGCCTGGAGACGGTTTCCTTTATTTTATTCATTTTGGGGTCACACTAGTGATACTTGATTTCTTCTCTTTTAAGCTGATATACCCACTGCTCAGAGCTGGGTTCTTCATCGTGTGTGTGTGTGTGTGTGTGTGTGTGTGTGTGTGTGTGTGTGTGAGCTCTAGAAATTGAATCCAGGGCCTCACATCTGTGAATAATTACCGAGCCACATCCCTGACTCTCATAACTTAAAAAAAAGTGTTTGTTGGGGATGGAGTGATAGTGCAGAGAGGAAGGCACTTGGGTTGTACACAGCTGATCCGGGGTCGATCCCTGGCACCCCATATGGTCCTCCAAGCCCTGCCAGAATTGCTACCTGAGCCAAGAGCCAGGAATAGGCTCTGAGTATAGCTGGGTGTGGCCCCAAAACCAAGTACTTTTTTTGGGAGGAGGAACCCAGTAATGCTTGACTGGGACCATGTGGTGCCAGGGATCAAGTCCAGGGTTCACACAGATGGAGTTTATACTCCAGCCCTTTGAGCTTCTTGGCTCTGGCCCCCTCCTTATTTTCCATAGATTGCTCTCTGTAAGAAGGCTGAACACTCCCCAGGACCTTTACATTACCTATAAATGTTCAAGATGAGCCATATATCACTAAGTGACGACACAGTCTGAGAAACGTGTTATCAGGAGATTTTTCAGGGCAAACATCAGAGGTGTCCTTACATAAATCTCACCTGAACAGTTAACTGCATGCCTTGGTTGGATTCAGGGACGAAGGTCACACACGCGACCCGCTCATTGCCCCAAATGTCAAGAGCACATGGTTGTACAAATGTAATGAAGGGAGATCTAGTGTTCTAAGGTGTGATTTACAGAGCCAGGTCACTGCGATCAAATCCCAGCTCCATTAACTCTTCCGTGTAACCTTGACTCACCATCTTGACCTTGACCTCTCTACGTCTCTCTTTCCTTGGCTTCCCATAAAAGGGTTAAAACCTCTGAGGGCTAAATGAGTTAGTACTAGTGATATTCTCACCATGGAAGCTAGTGCTATTTCATTTTATTAAATTTTTTATAGAAAGTTTTTCATTTTATTAACATTTTTATTGATTTTATTTTGGGGGCCATATGTGGCAGTGATCAGAACTTAATCCTGGCTCTGCGCTCAAAGATCACTCCAGGCAGCATCTGGGGGATCATAAAGGCTGCCTGGGATTGAACCCTAATTGACTGTATGCAAGGCAAGCACCCTACCCACTGTAGTATCCTTCTGGCCCCAATTTTATTTAAACTTTTTTTAAAATTTATTTTTAAATGTTTTATTTTTATTTTTAAATTGTAGTTTTTGGGAAACAGCTTTAGTGCCCAGGGCTGACTCTTTTTTTTTTTCTTTTTGGGTCACACCCGGCGATGCTCAGGGGTTACTCCTGGCTCATGCACTCAGGAATTACTCCTGGCGGTGCTCGGGGGACCATATGGGATGCTGGGAATCGAACCTGGGTCGGCCATGTTGGCTGCGTGCAAGGCAAACGCCCTACCCGCTGTGCTATCGCTCCAGCCCCTATTTAAACTTTTAATAGATGATCTGAAAATCACTTGGAGGTTAGAGGAAAGTTGCAGGGTTAGCTGAGAGGACTCAGCTTTGGGTGTTGGCGCCACAGGCTGAGATCTGGCTACATCAGCTTCATCTGCCTGCCCCACTCCTTCCTCCATATTTTCCCCTGACTTGTTTGATGGTGAGTGGTGGACACGGGGTCTTTGGCCCCTCAGTTCTTCAGTTTCTGCTTCTTGAAAGCAAAGTGGGCTCTTAAAAACCACAGCACTGTCCCTTATCAGAGGCAGGAAACTGAGTTCAGTCACACATTGCTTAACAATAAGCTTCGTATACGATGGTGTGGAGTCTGGTCAGGTCATATGGCCCTGTCAGTATTGTTAAGTCCTACATGATCCCTTACTGTCCTGTAAGGCTCTTCATAGTTCTAGATGATCCCACATGATCCTATATGCTTCTCCGTGGTCTTATATGGTTCCATGTGGTCCTGTGTGGTGACCACATCAATTGACCGCCTGTGATGATATTCAGTGACATTTGCATGAAGACACACCTGCATGACAACTTAGGCTTTCTCCCGGGCCTGCATCAGCTGAGTTATCTTTCATGGCATTTGCCTCTCCTCTGCAGTGCCCAGTTCAGGCTTGGGCTAGAATTCAGGGGTCTTAGAAACCCCTTCACTGCTAGTTTGGAAGGTGTGATAGATGGAACCCAGGGATTCATATACTGAGCTCCATTCTGGGCCCAGAATTTCCTCTCTAAAAGAAAGTGAGGGGCTGGCACATAGTACAGTGGGAACCTGCCTTGCATGTGGCTGACCTGGATTTGATCACCAGCACCCCATATGGTCCCCGAGCCCTGCCAAGAGTGATTCATGAGCGCAGAGCCAGGAGAAAGCCTTGAGCATCACTGGTTGTGGCTCCAAAACAAAGAGCTAGGGACCTGCTCACGGGAGAGCATGTGTCCTGAACATGGGGGTATCTGTTGTATTCAAGTCCCAGAACTGCGAGAAAAATAAAAGCTTTGATTAAAACAACAAAACACACCACACACACAATAAAACAAAAATAAAATAAAAATAATATAAAACAACACAATAAAGAGCGCTGAGGTGCTTAGTTTCTACCCTCTGGAGCTGACCTTGTCCACACCTGCAGGAAGCTTCAGACTCATTCAAATCCCAGCTCCTCTTATCCCTATTGCTGCCTCAAACAAGCCCTGTCCTGTCTTTGAGCCTCAGTCCCCCCAATTTTTTGGGGGGCACAACAGTGGTGCTCAGGGCTTACTTCTGGCTCTGTGCTTAGGGATCACACCTAGCAGGGCTCAGAGGATGATATGGGATGTTGAGGATCAAACCTGGGTTGACTGCATGCAAGGCAGGCACCCTCCCTGCTGTACTTTCGCTCTCACCCCAAATGGGGACAATGTGACTCTTGTGGCCGAGGCCTTCGGGATGGTGCTCAGGCTGCAGTGGCTGAAAGAACGGACATAGTGGGGCGGGAGCTGCGTGTGTTCATGGGAAGAGGTGGCGGGGCACCCATGGGAGGTGGGTGAGCCTGACACCCCTTTGTCACCCCAGGATGATGAGGTGGTTCTGCAGTGCAGCGCGACAGTACTCAAGGAGCAGCTGAAGCTATGTCTGGCCGCTGAGGGCTTCGGCAACCGCCTCTGCTTCCTGGAGCCCACCAGCAATGCCCAGGTCTGTGCAGGGGCCCGGAAGCGGGACAGGGCAGGGGGCACAAAGGGAACGAGCTGGGGGTTCTGGGGGAGAGGGGAGAGGCCAGGGGGCCAGGGAGCTGAGCAGGCTGGTATCTGGGGCAGGCAAAGACAGCCTGAGATTGGATTTCTGTGTAGGGAGGCACAGTGCGTGTGTGTGTGCATGTGTGCATGTGTGCTTGTGTTTTTTGTGTGTGTGTGAGTGTATGCAGATGTGTATGTGTGTGTATGAGTGTGTGCGGATGTGTGTATGTATGTGTGTAAATGTGTGTGCATGTGCGTGTTTATGTTTGAGAGTGTGTTTTATGTGTGAATGTGTGTGCGTTTACGTGTTTGTTCTGTGTGTGTATGAATGTGTGCAGATGTGTGTATGTATGTGTGTGTATGAGTGTGTGCGGATGTGTGTATGTATGTGTGTTAATGTGTGTGCATGTGCATGTTTATGCTTGAGAGTGTTTGCCTTTGTGTGAATGTGTGTGTGTGTGTGTGCGCGTGTGCGTGTTTATGTTTGAAAGTGTGTGTGTGTGTATGTGTGTGTGCATGCCCATGTTGCTCTGGAGGACCAGGGGTAGCTCCAGGTGCTGGCTGGAGGCTGATAGGAGGAGGTCTGAGAGAGGAGGTGATAGGGAGTGGGGATGGGGTGGAGACAGGGAGGGAAGGAGACCAGGTTCTGAGGTGGGTGCAAGGGGGAACCAAAGGGATGGGTGGGGACCGGGGAGGGAGGGAGAAGTCTGGCCCCACCAGTGATCTCCTGTGGATGCATAGGTCTGAGGGAGGAGGTGGGAATGAGGACTGATGGTGAGGCAGGAAAGGCGCTTCCCTGGGGTTGGAGGTTCTCTTCAGGGGGTGGCCAGGGGGTGCTCTGTGGTGCTGCAGTGTGCATCTGGGAGGGCAGTGATGGCTGAGGCTGCCTAGGAGGTGCTGTGCGGGAGGCACCTAAGCAGGGAAGGTGGCATGGAAGCTTCTAGCATAGTAGGAGGTGGAGAAGGGGGTTTAATTACGTGACGTGGGCATGACTTCAGGACATCTGAAGGGGGTTAGCAGGGTCAGGGTTTCTAAAGGGGGGATATTCAGGTTCCAAAGCTAGTGCTTCATCCCTTCTTTCATATCACCCCCACCCCCCCAGAATGTGCCCCCCGATCTGGCCATCTGCTGCTTCGTGCTGGAGCAGTCCCTGTCCGTCCGTGCCCTGCAGGAGATGCTGGCTAACTCCGTGGAGGCCGGCGTGGAGGTGAGGCTCGGGTGGTGGGGGTCGGGGCTGGGCAGGCGGGGGCCCCTTCACAGTGTCTCTTCTTCCTTTCTCCACCCCGACCCACACAGGCCCTCAATTTGGATAAGTGGGTAGGTCTGGCCTCGGTTCACCCATGCTGACCACACCTCTCCTGCTCTCAGGCCCGATCTTGGGTCCACATCCTGCACACAGGGGCTGGGGGTCTCCCCCACACCTCAGTTGTCAGGGGCTGTGGAGCCCAGAACAGGCCAGGCAGGAAGGAAAGAAGGAAGGGGTGGGGGCTGCGAGCCCTGGTTCTTGCCTCCTGCTCCCTCCTTCTCTCACCTTTCCCCCTCCTCCCCCCACCTCTTCTCAGCATGGAGCCCGTCCCTTCTCCCCCAGCGTGAGTTTCCTGGGTCCAGCAGTGGGTCAGCCATGTGATCACGTGACCCATCACATGACTCCTTTAGAGCTTGGCATCTGGGGGGCAGGTATGATGGCAGGAGCCCTGGGGAACCCCCACTCTGTGCAACAGGACCTGAATCTCCCTGTGCTGGGTGGGGGTCCCAAAGCCGTGTGCAAACATTGCAGTGATACACACGGGTGACAGCCTTAAGCAGAGGGGCTCCCCAGAGTGTCCCCAGGCACTCAGAGGAGGGGACCCGCCTCCCTGGGTGACTCTGGGACCTGGTTCCCAAGATGAAGGAACCAGGGAGGTCAAGAGTGGGCTTCGGCAATATTGGAACCTGGACCACAAGAATTTTTCTTAGGGGCTTGTTTTTTCGGTCACACCCAGTGGTGCTCAGGGCTTACTCCGGGCTCTGTGCTCAGGGCTCAGGGGTCACTCCTGGCATTGCTTTGGGAACCATATGTGGCGCCAGGGATCCAAGAAGGCCGCGTGCAAGACAAGAGCCTTATCCCCTGCGTTCTCCTGCTCTGTGCAAGGGTTCTTGCGCGCACGCCTGAGCATGGCGTTTTATGGGGCGTACAACCCCACCTGGGAGGCATCTTAGCGTTCAGAGGTTCTGTGCTGACTCTGTGCTCCCCACCCCTCCAACCCCACAGTCGTCCCAGGGCGGAGGCCACCGGACCCTCCTGTACGGCCACGCCATCCTGCTCCGGCACGCGCACAGCCGGATGGTGAGTACCGCAGCGCGGGGCGGGGCGGGGCGACCCTGCGGCCTCCAGGGCTCACAACCCTCTCCCCGCAGTACCTCAGCTGTCTCACCACCTCCCGCTCCATGACCGACAAGCTGGCCTTCGACGTGGGGCTGCAGGAGGACGCAACAGGTGCTGGGGCTGCAGGGGGCGGGGTTGCCAGGGATGCAGAAGGTCGGCAGCACTGGAGGGGGCGAGGGAGTGTCGAGGACCACGTTTGGACAGGGAGGCTTGGGCGAGTCAGGGGGAGACCTTGGCAAGGTATAAGGGCCGAATGAGGGGTTGGGGAGCAGGGCTGATGGAGGGTCTGGGGGCGCAGGAGGCTCAGGGACCGCGAATGCCCGGGAGAAGAGCATCTTGGGAAGCTCCCCGGCGGCGCAGAGCATTCTGGGAACTCCCCGGCGCGTAGCAATTTGGGATGATCCCCAGGCTGAGCATTCTGGAGGATTCCCGGGGCAGAGCATTCTAGAAGATCCCCCGGGGCAGAGTATTCTGGGAAGTGAAGTCCTGGCCCCTGCTATGCCTCCCCTCTCCCCCCATAGGAGAAGCATGTTGGTGGACCATGCACCCAGCCTCTAAGCAAAGGTCAGAAGGAGAAAAGGTCCGAGTCGGGGATGACCTCATCCTGGTCAGCGTCTCCTCCGAGCGCTACCTGGTGAGAATCCCGCCCACCCCCGGCTGGCCCCAGGGCCGGGGCTAGTAGAGTTCCTTCACCTTTGCCTGGACTTTGCCTGATTCCCCATTTCTAGCTTCCTGACCTCTGACCTTCAACTTCTAGTCTCTGCCACCACATTTCCTAACTTGATTTCTGGCACCCGAGTCCTGTAAATTTGTTTCCCATATGCCCGTTTCCGGCTCTCGGCCTCTCATCACCCCCTCCCTCCCCCTACGCTGCGCTTTCTGTGGCTGAAATTGTTGCCCTCTCCCCACCATCTCTCGTGACCCAGCACCTGTCCACCGCCAGTGGGGAGCTCCAGGCCGATGCCTCCTTCATGCAGACCCTGTGGAATGTGAATCCCATCTGTTCCTGCAGTGAAGAGGGTGAGGCTCCCAGATTGTACTGAGACACTCCACAGCACCCAATCCCCCAAATAAAAATAAACAGACCTCGACATTGCATTTGGGCCCCAAACCTAGACCTTCAAATTATGACCTTTACACTTAGGTCTTCAAACCCAGGACGCCAGAGCTCAGACATCCAACCCCCAAAGTCAATACAAGACTCCCAGATTCAGGAGCCAGAGTGATGGTACAGTGGGTAGGGCACTTGCCTTGTATGTGGCTGACTCAGGTTCAATTCCTGGCATCCCCATAGGGTCTCCTGCGCACTGCCAGGAGTGAAGTGAGTGATCCCTGAGTGAAGAGCCAGGAGTAAACCCTGAGCACCACCAGGGTTTGGGTCACCAGGTGCCCCCAAAACAAAAACAAACAAACAAAAAGAATAATAATTTTTAAAAAAGACTCCCAAATACAGACCCGAAAGGATTCATTATTCCCAAGATACTCCCCACACAGGTGCTGGAGGCCAGACCCTAAATGCAGATCCAAAGATCAGAGCTTTGGTCTTGCAGCTGAGTCCTCAAAGTGCTGACCCCAAAGCCCACACTCAAACTCAGAGCCCCAACTTCCCTTTGGACCTCACCTTCCATCCACTATTGCATGCCTCCAAGTCCAATCTTCATCTCCCCTTTATCACTCAGATCCAGACCCAGGTGAAGACCTCAAATCATGAACCCCAAACTTTGGAGTCCCCCATCACACACATCCCAACTCTCCAATATCCCAAACCTGACCCAAGCTGAGGCTCAAAATTATGGACCCTGAAACTCAGACCCACAAATTCGTGATTCAGGGTTCAACATCTGAAAAATCAGACTCTAAATCTCAGACAGCAGCCTCAGAACCCTGAAAAGATACTCAAAAATCAGACCCTGAACTGAACCACCACACCTCAACCCAGACTCCCCAAAGCCAGCTCTGGAGCTCAGAACTCAGTATCAGGGAACCTTTATTATTATTTTATTTTATTTTTTGCTTTTTGGGTCACACCTGGTGATGTTCAGGGGTTACTCCTGGCTCTTCACTCAGGAATTACTTCTGGCAGTGCTTAGGGGACTATATGGGATACTGGGAATCAAAACCGGGTCAGCCATGTGCAAGGCAAATACCATACTTGCTGTGCTATCGCTCCAGCCACTAGTCTCAACATTTTTTTTTGTTTGTTTTTTGGGTCATACCCGGCGATGCACAGGAGCTATTCCTGGTTCATGCACTCAGGAATCAATCCTGGTGGTGCTCGGGGGACCATATGGGATGCTGGGAATCGAACCTGGGTCGGCTGCGTGCAAGGAAAGCGCCCTACCTGCTGTGCTATTGCTCCAGCCCCTAGTCTCAACTTTTAAATCCAAACCAACTCCCCCAATCTTAGACCCCACCACTCACACCCTACTTAAAACCTTCAAGTAGGGTCCAAATGTTTCATTACCATTCTGTTTCTTAAGACTCACCTCTCCCACTGCTGAACTCCCACTAGCCCCCTGACTAGCACAAAGAAGACATTGATTCCCCCCCACCCCCAACTCCATTTTGCTGCCTAGCCCTAACCTTCCCCTTTCCCGTTCAGGTTTTGTGACAGGGGGTCACGTCCTGCGCCTCTTTCATGGACATATGGATGAGTGTCTGACCATCTCCCCCTCTGACAGCGAGGACCAGCGCAGGTCTGAGCCAGGGCACAGTGTGGGCAAAGGTGGGCTGGGGGTCCCGGCTCTGGGTGACTGGAACTTGAACCCATGACCTCACTCTCTCCTGCACCCTCAGGGTGGTGTACTATGAAGGGGGAGCTGTGTGTACCCATGCCCGCTCCCTCTGGAGACTGGAACCACTAAGAATCAGGTGCGAGGGGAGCCAGGAGCTTGTTGGGGGGCTGGGAGGGCAGAACGGGCCCTGAGGGAACAACTGGGGAGGATTTGAAGGGAAAATATGGTGCTCAAGAGAACAATGAAGGTCATTCTAGGAATTGTAGTGTCCTGGGACAAATGGGGTGGGAGGTGACTCTTGAGGGAGGGAGCACATGATGGAGTGACTAAGGGCTCCAGAGTGAAGATATAGGGAGTGTAAGGAGAAAATGAGGGGTCTGAGGGAAATTGTTCCCTAGAGACATCTGGAAATCCCTGAGGGCCAAGGGCCAAGAGTCCTGAGAAAGAATAGAGGGCTTTATTTATTTATTTTTTTTTTAGTGAAGGTTTGGACCACACCTGGTGATGCTTAGGGGTCATCCTGGCTCTGTGCTCAGGAATTTCTCCTGACAGTGCTCCAGGGACCATATGGGATGCTGGGGATTGAACCCTGTTGACTGTGAACTGAGTTGGTTGCGTGCAGGACAAGCACCCTCCCCACTGTACTATTGCTCTGGACCCCATGTGCAGCTTTGATGGGAAGACCTGGCTTGGTCCCAGTCCTATGGTGCCCTGAACACTACTGGGTGTTCCCAGAGATAAGAGATCTGAGGCCCAAGAAAGGTTTGGGTCGTTTGAGAGCTGGGGTGTCCCTGGGAGGACTAAGGGGGTCCCCTGAGTCCTGAGTCTCTTGTTTTCCACCCCACCAGCTGGAGCGGGAGTCACCTGCGCTGGGGACAGCCACTGCGCCTCCGCCACGTCACCACTGGGCGCTACCTGGCGCTCACTGAGGACCAGGGCCTGGTGATGGTGGATGCCAGCAAGGCCCACACCAAGGCTACTTCCTTCTGCTTCCGTACCTCCAAGGTCAGTGGGTCAGAGTACCCGCCCCCCAAGTCTCACCCTAGACCCTGTGCTTCTACCTCTCAATGGGGAGCCCCTGTTAAATGTGCAGGTATAGAAGGCTGGCCTCTGACCTCTGACCTCTGCTCCTGCAGGAGAAGCTGGATGTGGCCCCCAAGCGTGATGTGGAGGGCATGGGCCCCCCTGAAATCAAGTATGGGGAGTCTCTGTGCTTCGTGCAGCATGTGGCCTCGGGCCTGTGGCTCACCTACGCAGCTCCGGACCCCAAGGCTCTGCGACTTGGAGTGCTCAAGAAGAAGGTGGGTGCCTGGCAGGGGAAGGGTGGGGTACAGACAGGAGGGGACTGGGGTGGTTACAAGTCTCTAACTTTGAGGGCAGGACTGAGAGAGAAACTGATGTTGAGAGGAAAGAAGGAATGTGGGAGCTGCAGAAATAGTACTGCAGGCACTTGCCTTACGGTTGACATGGGTTCAATCCCCTGAGCTCTGTCAGGAATGATCCCTGAGCGCAGAGCCAGGAGTGAGCCCTGAGCACTGCAGGGTGAGGCGCAAAACACAAACAAAAACAAGAAATAAAGAACATATATGTGAATATGTTCATGCAGATTGAGGCAGCAAGAGAGAGAAAAGGACAGCTAGTGACAAGCTGACTGAGAGTAATATTTAATAGTGTGGATCATTCATCATCGGGGGTGTGTGGAGGAAAATAGGTGAGGAGGCCTGGAAGCCAGCGTGGGGGTAACTGAGCACCTGCCTGGCAAGGATCTGGTCAAGCGTTTAAATCCCCAGTGTCCCACAGGAGCCGACTATGATTCTGGGCAGTCCTGCTGTGATTGCCACAAGCAATTTTGTTAGTTTTTTTTCCAATTCAAATTTATTATTTTTTAATTTTATTTATTTTTAAATTTTATTAGTGAAACACCATGAGGTGCAGTTGTAGACTTACAAATTTTTGTGCTTGGGTTTCCGTTGTACAATGATTGAGTACCCATCCCTCCACCAGTGCCCATTCTCCACCACCAATGATCCCAGTATCCCTCCCACCCCCCATCCCCCCATCCCACCCCGCCTCTGTGGCAAGGTTTTCCCTTTTGTTCTCTCTCTCCTTTGCCACAAGCAATTTTGGGCTAGCACAGTAGTACAAGGGTGCTTGCCTTATACGCATTTGATCTGGGTTTCATCCCTGACACCACACATGGTCCCCCGAGGCCCACCAGAAGTAAGCCCTGAGCACCACTGGGTGTGGGTCCCCCCTTCAAAAAGAGGGGTTCCTGGCAGAGAGATTGGGAAGTTGGGCTATTTTGGTGCTAGAGTCTGGGGAGCCCCACCTGACTTTTGTCCCCCATGGCCAGGCCATGCTGCACCAGGAGGGCCACATGGACGACGCGCTGTCTCTGACCCGCTGCCAGCAGGAGGAGTCGCAGGCTGCCCGCATGATCTACAGTACCGCCGGCCTGTACAATCAGTTCATAAAGTGAGCTTCGTTCCCCAGGGCTGGGCCACCCCGACCTGTTCATCTCCCAGCTGCTCCTCTCCGACTTCAGTCAGATCCCTCACCTCTAACCTCCTGACTTCTGGACACTTGACCCCTAATCTGACCTCAGGAGCATAATCTGATCTCATGGCCCTGATCAACATTCATTTTCACACCTTTTGCGTGAAGGGGGGTGGGTCCTTGCCCTGGTCCTGCCCTGGGAATCCTGGGCAAGAGCCAGCCCCGGCTCTGTGAGCTTGGGTCATGCCCTCGCCTGTCTTTCAGCGAGGGTCCCACGGCGGGGCTCAGGGTGGAACCGGAAAGTCACAGGCAGCGCGCTGATGCGGTGTAGGGGTGGGCTGGCTGACAAGGCGTGGTCCTCACAGGGGCCTGGACAGCTTCAGCGGGAAGCCGCGAGGTTCAGGGCCGCCGGCTGGCACAGCGCTGCCCATCGAGGGCGTCATCCTGAGCCTGCAGGACCTTATCGGCTACTTCGAGCCTCCCTCCGAGGAGCTGCAGCACGAGGAGAAGCAGAGCAAGCTACGAAGCCTGCGGAACCGCCAGAGCCTCTTCCAGGAGGAGGTGCGCCCGGGCGGGGGCGGGGCCAGGAAGAGGTGGGGCTGGGCTGGGCCTTGAGGGGCGGGGCCTTGAGGGCGGGGCCAACGGGGTAGGACGCCGGGAGACCCTGGGCAGGAAGGGCGGGGATAGGGGCGGGCCATTAGGAAGCAGGAGGCGAGGGGCGGAGCCACAGGGAGAGAGGGACCACAAGGGGGCGGGGCTTTGGAGGGCGGGGCCACCTGACGGCTGTGGACACTGGGAAGTTAGGGCCAGGAGGTGTGGGGCCACGAAGCCCAGCAGCGGGGTTGGTGGCTGAGGGGACTGGGGAAGTAGTGGTCTGGTATTGGGCGGGGTAGGGGCCAGATAATAGAACCTGGGCCAGTGAGAACAGGAAGATCAGGCCGGCTGGACCAGGTGAACACGCGAGGGGCGGGATCTCGAGGGGGCGGGGCGTATGCTGGTGCAGGGCGTGGGGCGGTCTGTTTTGAGAACACACGGGAAGGGATGCGGGTGGGGGGGGCTCCACTTAATTCCCCCCCTCTGCCTCCCCCTCGTCTGAATGCGGGGAGCTGAGTGGGGTGGGAAGAGGGAACTAAAGCCTGGGGCCTCTGAGGTCTCTGCAGGTGTTGGGGGTGTATGTTCATTCAAAGGCTTCCAGTTTAGCCCCACACCTCTCCAGGGACTCGCAGTCTGAGCCCGTAGGTCAGCTCAGAAATGAACACAGTAGTGGGGCTGGAGCAATAGCACAGCAGGTAGGGCATTTGCCTTGCACGCGGCCAACCCGGGTTCAATTCCCAGCATCCCATATGGTCCCCTGAGCACTGCCAGGGGTGATTCCTGAGTGCAGAGCCAGGAGTAACCTCTGTGCATCGCTGGGTGTGACCCAAAAAGCAAAAAAAAAAAAAAAAAGAAAGAAAGAAAAAAAGATCACAGTAGTAACAAAACCTAGTTTTTTATTGTTACTATCAGGATATTCAAAGCCCTTAGGAGATTGTAGTATATAGTAGATGCTTATGTAAATGTCAGTATTATTACCTTGACTTTAGCTCCATGTGACATCTTCACCCACAGTTTCCTCCTCCTGACCCCATGCATGGTCGTCATTATGGTGCAAATAGAGTTCAGGGAGGTTAAGGAACAGTCCTGAACCCACCCATAAGCATGCCAGGAGGCAGCTGTAAACAAACCCCTGTCTGTGGAGCTGACATGGGAGCTGGAGGACAGACCGACCACCCATGAACTAACATTAGACAGAAGGGCAGAGGGGGGTGAGCGCCAAAGGGGTAAAGAAAGCAGGGCATAGCTGAGTGCTGGGGTTGCTGCAGCTTTTCTGTTGCTGTTTGTTTGGGGGTCACTCCCAGTAGGGTGCAGGGGACTGTCCGGTGATGGAGATTGGGGATTGTGGGCCATGGAGCGTGTTCTGAACCTGAACCAGGAGTAGGGGGGCCTGGGGTTCTGGGGGGTCAGAGATGGAGAGGAGACACTAAGGGCAACTAGATACAGCAACTGTCACCAGTTAAATCACGAAATTCCAAAGTGAGCTCATTCCAGATCTGATGGGTTTTATGAAATGATTCGTGAGCCAGGCAGGCTCCAGCTAGCAAGAAAGGGCCTGAAAAGAAGCTGTCCAAAGGGAAAGGACGTTCTAGGCAGAAAGGGGGCAAGGAAAAGGGAGAGGAAAGGGGTTCAGGCGGAGGTCACCTCCTGGTGGCAAATGGAAAAAAGTCTTAGGGGAGATGATATTTCCATTCCTTGGGGAATGGAAAAGATGAGCTCATTGGTGTAAGCAGAAAGTTCCACACTGGCCAGTGAGCGCCACGTTCCTGCGGGAGGCTGATGCTACAGGGGGCTGGGCACTGCACCAAGCTTAGGTGGGAGGTCTGAGAGGGTGTGTAATGCACCCGCCTCCATTGGGGACCTGCCACTTCCTTTTTTAAACTATGATGTGGGGGTGTGGGGGCCACTTCCAGCAATGCTTGGGGAGTCACGTGGCACCAAGGACCCGACCCAGGGCCAGGGCCAGGCAAGGCATATGCGCCAGCGCTTGAGTCAAGGCTGGCCTCCTATCATTTCCTTTTCTTAACACATTGCAGCACTGCTTGTCAGAACTACAAACTAGAAACAGCCCAAATGTTCACCACTTCCAGGGTAGCTCCCAACAGTGCCACCGTCCTCCTGATGGCAGTGCCAGTGACAAGGCAGCTGTGGGCAACAGAGTCTTGAATCTTGGAGCAGAAGACTGAGTGAAAGATTCCATATTCAAGACTTGCTGTTATTCCCAATTTTGAAAATAAGCTAAACTGAATTATGTGTGTATTGGCTCACACGTTTCTCAGTTAAAGAAGCAGAGAAAGGATTTCTCTACCATTTAGGATGAAGGCTATCCCTGGAAGACAGGGTTGTGTGATTAGGATGAGTGGGAAGCTTGTCAGTTTTCTCATTCTTGATTTGATTCCCAAGATGATCTGAATTCTTTGTATTTATTTGTGAAGGCCTCAATATTTAATTTCTATCCTCAGCCTTTTGTTTGTTTCTGAGTCACCCACCTGGTGATGCTCAGGGGTTACTCTTGGTTCTGCTCTCAGAAATTACTCCTGGGGGCCGGAGTGATAGCACAGTGGGTAGGGCATTTTCCTTGCACGCGGCCGACCCGAAGTTCGATTACTAGCATCACATATGGTCCTCCAAGCACCACCAGGAATAATTCTTGAGTGCAGAGCCAGGGGTAACCCCTGTGCATCACCAGGTGTGACCCGAAAAGCAAAAAAAGAAAAAAAAAGGAAAAAGAAAAATTATTCCTGGTGGTGGCTGAGGGATCATGTGGGATGCGGAGGAACAAACTCTGGTGGGCCGCATGCAAGGTCAGACCCCTTAGCCTTCTTTCTTCCTCCCTTCTTGATTTTGCAACGGGAATACTTTCCTTCTTGCTGGAATTTAGTTGAAATTCCCAAATCAATACATGCTGTACATTAGAAGCCATGGGGGAACAGAGTGTAAAACCTCTGAGTCATTGGACCGGCCTCCCCCCTTGCAGAGGTTGACCAAGGCCACTTTGCCTTCTGGCTGCAGCCTGTAAACAAGTGTCCACGCTCGCCAGTCCAGCTTGTCCTCCAATAAGGCTGCTCAAAATAATTCTGTGGTAACATTGAGGAGGAGCAACACCAATCCTGGTCAAGTTGAAGGAAGGCACTGGACCTGTTTGGTTCCATCTTGTTTTCCTTAAAGTTACAGTTTCCAAGAATCTACCGAAAATCTTAAGTGAGGACATTCTGGGTCTTTTTAGTGCCACGTTTTTGTTGATTTTGCTGTTCAGAGAAGCCCCTAAATGTAGTCATGAAACCCTTTCCTGGGCACGAGAAAAGTGTGATGTGCCTTAGTGAATGTATGTTGGACAAGCTGTAACCTGGCAGAAGATACAGAACAGTTGGCCATGAGTTTGTTTTATTTTATTTATTTATTTATTTATTTTTGGAACCATACCTGGCAGTGCTCAGGGCTTAGTCCTGGCTCTGTGCTCAGGGATCACTTCTGGGGCTGGAGCAGTAGTACAGCGGGTAGGGCGTTTACCTTGCATACACCAATCTAGGTTTAATCTCCAGCATCCCAGATGGTCCCCTGAGCAAAGTCAGGAGTAACCCCTGAATATTGCCGGGAATGGCCCACAAAAAAAACAAAACAAAATTAAGGGATAAATCCTGGCAGTGCTCTGGGGACTATGTGCAGTGCCTGGGATTAAATGCTGGTTGACCATACACAAGGCAAGGCAACTGACTTCCCCACTGTATTCTCTCTCTGGCCCCTTGACTGTATATGTGTTTTCTTTTCCTTTTTGGGTCACACCTGGGAATGCACAGGGGTTACTCCTGGCTCTGCACTCAGGAATTACTCCTGGTGGTGCTCAGGGGACCATATGGGATGCTGGGAATCGAACCTGGGTCAGCTGCGTGCAATGCAAATGCCCTATCTGCTGTGCTATCGCTCCAGCCCCTCGACTATATATATTTTATGTGCCTCTCTGTGTGTTAGAGATTGCAATATAAAAAAAGGCAAAGACTAAAATGAAAAAAAAATTCTCTCTGTTGGTTGGCATGGAGTGTGACCTGGGCAACGGGGACCAGGAGCAGGGTGTTGGGGAAAGGATGGGAAGGAAACTGGGAAGGAGAAGCACAAGTTCAGTAGGGATGTTGGTGAGGATTAGGAGCAGAGGTTGAGGTGACAAGGATTTTTGGGGCAGGAGAGAAGGGTTGTGGGAGGGAGTGGAGCCATGGAGATAATGTTGCTGGTTTAGCTCTGGGAACACTCATTCACTCTTGTTGGAGCAAAAGAAATGAGAAAATAAAGGGCTGGAAAGATGGACAATGGGTAGGGCACTTGGCTTGCATGTGACCAGCCCAGGTTTGATCCCTGGTATCCCATATGGTCCTCCTGGGCACTGCCAGAAGTAATTCTTGAGTATAGAGCCAGGAGTAACCCCTGAGCATCACTGGGTAGTGTGCCCCAAAAACCAAAGAGGGGGAAACGGAAGTGAGAAAATCCAAGGAAGGCCAAGAAGGGGCCCGGGGATTCCTCTGGTGACACCTTTTTCCTCCATCCCAGGGGATGCTCACACTGGTCCTGAATTGCATTGACCGTCTAAATGTCTACACCACCGCTGCCCACTTTGCTGAATTCGCCGGGGAAGAGGCAGCTGAATCCTGGAAAGAGATTGTGAACCTGCTGTATGAACTCCTGGGTAAGCAGCCTGATCCTGACCCATTCGGGAGCTCCCGGGGCGCTGGGTCCCTTTGGCCTGACCCTCTTTCCACCCTTAGCCTCTCTGATCCGTGGCAACCGTACCAACTGCGCCCTCTTCTCCACCAACTTGGATTGGCTGGTCAGCAAGCTGGACCGGCTGGAGGCCTCGTCTGGTAGGAGAGCCCCCAGGGAACGGACGGGGCCTTACTGGAGGGAAGGGAGAGGCTCACCGCCACCTCTGCTCCCCGGACAGGGATCCTGGAGGTGCTGTACTGTGTCCTGATTGAGAGTCCCGAGGTCCTGAACATCATTCAGGAGAACCACATCAAGTCCATCATCTCTCTCTTGGACAAGCACGGCAGGAACCACAAGGTGGCCCCTAGTTCAGTGCTCTCTCTCTCTCTCTCTCTCTCTCTCTCTCTCTCTCTCTCTCTCTCTCTCTCCTCTCTCCTCTGTCTTTTGGTAATACCCAGCAGTGCTTGGGGGCTACTCCTGGCAGTGCTTGGGGGGGGGCCATGGTGGTGTGGGGCTGTGAACCTGGCCCCCTGCATGCAGAGTGTGCGCTCTGGCCTTTCGGGCTCTCTATCTGCCCAGCACTCGTGTCATCTCTCACCGGCTCTGCTGGCTCCTCACGGGCACTTCCGGCTCCACCCCTGGGTGGCCACAGAGATGCCTCATTAGAGTTCCAATATGTTCTGAGATTTCCACTTCTGCAGCCTGAGGTGTCCTGGCTTCACGGCGTGATTCTAATCATCTTATGTTTATAGGAGCCACTGGCCCCGGAGAGCCTAAAATCCTACTAACCTCAAATTTCCTCTTGGTCACTGTCTCACTGATGCAATAACCCTTTGTGCCCCTTGCCTGACCTTTGACCTCATGCTCTCCTTTCTGACCTTGTCAATGCCTTCTCCCAGCTCAGATGCTCCCAATCTCTCATCTGACTTCCCACGTACATCACCTCCTCTTAGACAGAATTTCCAGAACCTTTACCTCCTGCTTTCCATCCGGGGTCACCCCCCTGACCTCTGACCTTGACCTCCAGGTCCTGGAGGTGCTGTGTTCCCTGTGTGTGTGCAACGGAGTGGCCGTGCGCTCCAACCAGGATCTCATCACCGAGAATCTGCTCCCGGGCCGCGAGCTCCTGCTGCAGACCAACCTCATCAACTATGTCACCAGGTCTGGCCCCTGACCCCTTACCCCAGAACCCAGCAACTTCAGCCTTCTCCCTGGTGCAGCGGGCCTCCTCCCCGATGGCAGTGCCCCCTCATCTCCCACTCCTGGAGCCGTATCTGGTCCTCTTCTCTCTGCCTGTGCTATTCTGCCACTGTGGTCTCTCTTCCTCCATCTGTCTCTGTTTTTTTGTTTGTTTTTTGTTTTTGCGGGGGGAGGCACTCCTCGCCATGCTCATGCTCAGGGTTGCTCCTAGATCTGTGCTTAGGAATCATTCTTTTTTGGGGGGAGGGGTCACACTCGGCAATGCTCAGGGGTTACTCCTGGCTCATGTGCTCAGGAATCACTCCTGGCGGTGCTCGGGGGACAATATGGGTTGCTGGGAATTGAACCCGGGTTGGCTGCGTGCAAGGCAAATGCCTTACCTGCTGTGCTATTGCTCCAGCTCCCTTAGGAGTCATTGTTGGTGGAGCTCAGGGGACAATATGGGATGCTGGGGTTCGAACCCTGGTCGACTGAGTGCAAGGCAAAGGTTCTCCCCACTGTGCTATCACTCCGGCCCCGTTTCTACCTCTTTTCCGTCTTTCTTCACGGTCTCTCGCTGTCTCTGTCAGCTGCTCCCCCTGCCTTCCCTCTGTCACCCACCATGGCTTTGTGCTTTGCCTGGGTCCAGATCTTTCCTGCTCTCTCCCTGTCTCTGGCTGCCAGCACCCCACCCCCCTCACCCCAAACTCTTATCTCATCTCTCCTGCAGCATCCGCCCCAACATCTTCGTGGGCCGTGCTGAGGGCTCCACCCAGTATGGCAAATGGTACTTCGAGGTGATGGTGGATGAGGTGGCCCCATTTGTGACAGCTCAGGCCACGCACCTGCGGGTGGGCTGGGCCCTCACTGAGGGCTACAGCCCCTACCCCGGGGGTGGCGAGGGCTGGGGCGGCAACGGGGTCGGCGATGACCTTTACTCGTACGGCTTTGACGGGCTGCACCTCTGGACAGGTACCTTTCCCCACCCCCCCACCCATACCTTGGGATGCACAACCCTGGCCTTCACCCCCAGAGCTTCCCAGACACTCACATCTTGGGGTACTTGGGATTCTGACTCCGGAAATAGGTCACTACTGGACCTCTTACTCTCGTTTCCCAAGTTTTTAACAGGAAAACTTTCAGAGTTTTCCTGTCCTCACCCCAGAGCCTTCAGACCACTGACCCCAGCATCGCATGATCTCAGTTAGGGATTCCCGATAGCTTTTTGTTTTGGGGGCCACATCCAGCAGTGCTCAGGAGGAACTCCTAGTTCTGCGCTCAAGGATCACTCCTGGTAGGCTTGGGGGACCATATGGGGTGCCAGAGATCAAATCCAGGTTGACCGTGTGCAAGGCAAATGTGTGCTGTACTTTGGCCCCAGGGATCTCAGATTGTTATGACCTCTGACCTTAGACCTTAGACTTCTGACCCCAAAGGTTTTAGAAGCCCAACTCTGGAGGATTTCCATCTCTGATCCTACAGCTTTCAGGAACCTTGACCTAAGGTCATCTAGGATCAACCCCCATAGGGTCATCTACTCTGCCTGGTCTCTGGGTCTCTGACCTCTGATCCTCCCTACTGACCCTGGCACACAGGTCACGTGCCGCGCCTGGTGACCTCCCCGGGGCAGCACCTCTTGGCTGCTGAGGACGTGGTCAGCTGCTGCCTGGACCTCAGCGTGCCATCCATCTCCTTCCGCATCAATGGCTGCCCGGTGCAGGGGGTCTTCGAGGCCTTCAACCTCGATGGGCTCTTCTTCCCTGTCGTCAGCTTCTCGGCCGGTGTCAAGTGAGGACTCACCCTGCCCCCTCCTGGCCACCAAACCAGGAACTGTCCCTACACAGCTTCCCAGGCACCCCGCAGCCTCCTGAGAGGCTAGGACTCAGCTGCCCAACCCCCAGGACTACTGACTGGCCACATCCCGCTTGCCACATTCCCAACATGACCGTGATGTGACCCCGGACCCTCTCAGTGTCCTCCCGCTAACCTCAGCATCTCCCAGCCCTATTTCCTATCAAGGGTTCTGGAGATTTCACAACCTCTCCCAGCCCCAGACCCTTCCAGCCGCCTTCCTGGTGACCTCAGGCTCTCGTGATGGTTCTTGCCCATCCCATGATGTCACCAGGGCTGTGATCTCAGGCAGTGTTGGCTAATGACCCCAGCCCTCCCAAGGCCCTCAGTGATTGTGGGGTCACCACTGACTCTGTATTCTTGCTTTGGTGGCTTTGGGGAGGGAACCAGGCTCACCCATGCCAGGCTTCATCCACCTCGTCTCATTCCCAGCCCCTGTGCCATCTTGCTTCCTCTCTGTTTTAGCTTTTCAGGGGGACACACCTGGTGGTGCTTAGGGGACCATGTAAAGTCTGGGATTCAGGCAGGGGCTCCCGTGTGCAGAGGTGGGCTCTGCCCACAGAGCCTCCCGGCCCTGACTCTGAGCTCTTAACAGCCCCTCGGTGACCCCAGTGTTTGCAAACGTCCTCGGTGGCTCTAGAATGTCCCAGGGACCCTCACCAACCTTGTCTATCCAGTGCTGTTATCCAGCGGTGGCTGATGGTGTCAGAGTGACCCCAACACTCAGGGCTGTCCCCCCAGACACTCAGGTCCATCCCCCCAGACCTTGAGTCTCCTCCAAAGCAGCTTCCCAGAGCCCTGCTCAGACTCACCAGTGGCCCCCATTTTCCTATTTTTTTTGGATTCTCCAGTGATTCCTATCAGCCTCATATCTCTCCTTTCATCTTAGACTAAATGACCTTCATGACCCTGTGAATCCCAGGCCTCCCCAGAGCCCCCATCCATCCTGTGACCCCCCAGGTCTCCCCAGAGCCCCATCACCCTATGACCCTCTGACCCCAGGGTTTCTCTGTTTCTCCTGCTGCGTTCAGACTCCCCACCAGCGACCCTCTTCTTTCCAGGGTTCGGTTTCTCCTAGGGGGTCGCCATGGTGAATTCAAGTTCCTGCCACCACCTGGCTACGCCCCGTGCCACGAGGCCGTGCTCCCGCGAGAGCGACTCCACCTAGAGCCCATCAAGGAGTACCGGCGGGAGGGGCCGCGGGGGCCGCACCTGGTGGGCCCCAGCCGCTGCCTCTCACACACCGACTTCGTGCCGTGCCCGGTGGACACTGTGCAGGTGCTGCCCGCTATGGCAGTGTGGACTCCTACAGGAGCAGGGCTGGGAGCTTGCAGCTGGGCAGATAGGGAAACCGAGGCAGAAAGCATGCAAGGGGCTGGAGCAATAGTACAGTGGGGAGGGCATTTACTAGTGCGCGGCTGACCCGGGTTCAACCTCTGGCGTCCCACCTGGTCTCCTGAGCACCACCAGGAGTAACTCCTGAGAGCTGAAACAGGAGTAGCCCCTGAGCATCACCAGGTGTGGGCCCAAAACCAGTTCCTGCACAAAAAATAGAAAAGAAAAATCAGGCAAAGGCCTCTCTCAAGACAGAATCCTAGTCAGGGGTCCTGACTGTAGCCCCTGAAGAAAGGAGGGTGACTGATCCTCCACTTACTTCTGAGGAAGGAGGCCGAGAGGTTGAGTGACCACTGCTAGTCACACAGCTGACTTTGACCCGGGCCTGGGGATCGCCACTCCTGGCACCTTGTCCCCCATGCTTGGTGGGGATCTGGCCTCCTCCTCCTCCCGTCCCAACCTCAGCCACCCCCTGCCTGGGAGCATTTCCTGACAGGAGGAAATAGGTCACGGGGACGGGAGCCTCACCTCTCTGGGCCCCAGATTCCTCCTTCCAGAGAAAAAGGGGGAAAAGGGGAGTCCACCTTGTGGCCTTGTGGTGAGATGAAATAATGTGGGTAAAGTGCCTCACAAGATGCTGCCAGTTACTGTTTGAATTGAGTGACATCGTTACAGGGGTGAGTAGTGACATCACTCAGGGATAAGTAGTGACATGGTTGCAGGGGTGAGTAGTGACACTTTCAATGGTGAGTAGTGACACTGTTGCAGGGGTGAGTAGTGACGCCATTGCAGGGGTAAGTAGTGATAGTCTTGCAGGGGTGATTGCAGGGATGAGTAGTGACGCCATTGCCGGGGTAAATAGTGACAGTATTGCAGGGGTGAAGTAAACTCTCCCCACTCCCCTGCCTGTCAGTCTCATGAGCTGTCTTGTCTTACTGGACACCCCTCCCTTCTCCCTCTCCTCCCCAATGCCGGCCCCACTCTGACTGTCAGTATATCTAGTCTGCAGATTACTGACAATATAAATACTTATTAGGTGCCCACTGTATGCTGGGCACTTAGATAAACTCTACAGCAGACACGTATAGAAATGATTTCACTGAGTCCCGGGCTACTCCCAGGTATGCAGTTCTCATGATCTTTACTTGGAGAAGGAACAAGCAGCAGCCATTCACATGGCAAGCATTGGCCACCCTGTACGGGCTGGGTCAGTCAGGAGCCGGGACAGTGGAAAGTGACCACACCTCCCCCCACATGCCCTTGCCCCTTCCCTTCTCTTTGTGGCTGTCACAGCAGCTGGGCCCCCACACCTGGGTCGTGCTCGCAGGCTTGTGGTGCTCATAAGCGAGGGTTCCGGTACTCACTGGGAAGTCTCACACTCGGGGTGGTGGCAGGGATCCCGCACAGCAGTGCTGCTGATGGAGCACAGTTTAGCATGGGGGTTGGTGACAGGGATCGAACTCAGGGCCTCATGCCTGCAAGGCAGGTGCTCCAGCCCTGGCCTCCAGGCTAGAACATTTCTTAGCTCCAACATATCCTTAGTTGGGCTTCGTAGCAGGAGCTGGGGGTGGGGTGGGGAGGTGGTCAAGGGTGGCCCCGGAAGAGCAGGAAGTGCAGGAGATTGAACCGGGCTTCACAGTTATTTGGGGCTTTTAGAAGAACATCCCAGGGGACTCAGAATCCTCACGAATGTCCCCTCCCTCCAGATTGTCCTGCCTCCCCATCTGGAGCGTATTCGGGAGAAACTGGCGGAGAACATTCATGAACTCTGGGCGCTGACCCGCATTGAGCAGGGCTGGACTTATGGCCCGGTGAGAGCCCACGGCGTGGGTGCATGGGAGCTACCCTGCTCACAGGGGCCTGTGCTGCGGGAAGGGACTTCAGGGCACCACAGGGTCCCTGGGGGTTGGGTGGCAGAACTAACATGGGGGGTGGCAGTGGGCATAGGCCGGGAGAGTGGGGGGTGCTGACCCCAGGGATCTGACCGGCACCTCTCTAGGTTCGGGACGACAACAAGAGGCTGCACCCGTGCCTGGTGGATTTCCACAGCCTGCCCGAGCCCGAGAGGAACTACAACCTGCAGATGTCGGGGGAGACACTCAAGTGAGGGCCATGGGGGGGTGGGCAGAGGGCTGAGACAGGGACTGAGGAAGGGAAGGACGGCAGCGACAGAGACAAAAGAGAAACGGAAAGGGAGAGAAGGAAATGGGGCAAAAACTAAGTCACCACGTGTGAGAGGCTCAGAGAGAGAGAGAGAGACAGACAGACAGACAGACAGAGAAAAGGGGAGAGGCAGACAGACAGACAGACAGATGGACAGACAAAGGCTGGGGACATCCCCGAGATGAAGCACAGTGAGTCCAAGAGAGCATGACAGGGACAGACACAGCAGAGTCTGAGTCAGAGCTGGAGAACTGGGGACAGAGGGGACAGCAGGGGGCAGCAGAGGCAGGGTGGCAGGGAGGCTGTGTAGGTGGGACCCTGTCCTCACCGGCCCCGGTCCCCACCCCAGGACTCTGCTGGCGCTGGGCTGCCACGTGGGCATGGCGGACGAGAAGGCAGAGGAGAACCTCAAGAAGACGAAGCTCCCAAAGACGTGAGTGTGGGGTCAGATTCCCACCTGGGGAGCATGTTAGGGGCTGGGGGTCCGAGGATGAGGGCGGGGGCATGGGGGAGACAGAGGCAGAGACAAGGGGGTGGTGGGTTAGGGCGAAGTTGTGGGGATCTGTGTGGTGCCAAAAACTAAACCCAGGCTGCAAAGGCTGCCCAGAGGCCACCTCCCCAGTCACCTCCCCCAGTCGTGGGAATTGCAGAGACAGTGGGAGTGACGGGATGGAGCCATAATATAGCGGGGAGGGAATTTGCCTTGGACGCAGCTGACCCGGGTTCGGTCCCGAGGTCCTCCAAGCACCACTAGGAGTAATTCCTGAGTGTAGAGCCAGGAGTAAGCCTTGAGTATCACCAGGTTTGGCCCTAAGAAGAAAGAAGAGAGAGTTGGAGTGGTCAGTCAGTTGGGGTCTGCCCGTAGTTGGGGTCATTAAAGAGCCCGCAGTGGGAAGTGAGAAGTGGTTGAGGATATCAGTAAGGGATCCCAAAGTTATAGAGGGACCAGCAGTCCTGGAGCGAGACGCCACGGTTAGAGATCAGTCTCCAAGGCCAGATGTTTAGAATGAGGGATTCTGGGGCCAGAGACTAGAAACCTCCAGGTCATAGGTGAGAGGTCAGGCGTGAGGCTCCTGGGAGGAAAGACCCATCAAAGGGCTGATCACATGCTTTGCACCTGTGAGGCAGCACGTGGTCCCCTCAGGCACTGCCAGGAGCGACCCCTGAGCACCTGCAGGGGTGGGGGTGGGGGAAGGAGGCTGAGGCTCCCAAGGTCAAGATGAGAGGGTCACAGAGGGCAGAGGTCATAGATCAGCAAAGATAAAGGCCTCTTTGGGGTCCCTACAGGGTCCTGGAGTCAGAAGTCAGGCATCTCAATTTATTCTGGAGTCAGGGAACTTGACGCCAGAAGTCAGAGGTCAGAGGTCAGAGTTCTGCAGCTTGAGGTATGGCTCAGGGTCCAGGCACTCCTGGCCGGAGCCCCGAGCGGACTGAGCGTCTCCTCCTCTGCCCCAGGTACATGATGAACAACGGGTACAAGCCGGCACCACTGGACCTGAGCCATGTGCGCCTGACGCCCGCGCAGACCACGCTGGTGGACCGGCTGGCCGAGAACGGGCACAATGTGTGGGCCCGGGACCGCGTGGGCCAGGGCTGGAGTTACAGCGCCGTGCAGGACATTGTGGCACGCCGGAACCCGCGCCTTGTGCCCTACCGCCTGCTGGACGAGGCCACCAAGCGCAGTAACCGGGACAGCCTGTGCCAGGCCGTGCGCACGCTGCTGGGCTATGGCTACAACATCGAGCCCCCGGACCAGGAGCCCAGTGAGTGCGGCCCCCTGGGTGGGCTCCAGACCTCAGACCGATGCTAGGCCCACTGGCCCTCACCTCTTGGCTCTGGGTTCCCGCTGCTGCTGCCCGGAGGACACAGAGTGTTAGCGTTGCCCTAATGCTGGCTGTTGTCCCCAAACTCTGGTTTCTCTGGGCGGGAGGGAAAATACAGCGGGGAGGGTGCTGGCCTTGCACGCAACTGACCCAGGTTCAATCCCTAGCACCCGCACATAGTTGTGTCTGGGGACGCCCTTCCTGCCCAGCCTCTGACTTCTGCTGCCCCTGTCCAGGCCAGGAGGACAGCCGGTCTCGCTGGGACCGCGTGCGCATCTTTAGAGCCGAGAAATCCTACGCGGTGCAGAGCGGCCGCTGGTATTTCGAGTTCGAGGCTGTCACCACGGGCGGCGAGATGCGTGTGGGCTGGGCACGGCCCGAGCTGCGGCCCGACGTGGAGCTGGGAGCTGATGAACTGGCCTATGTCTTCAATGGGCACCGGGTGGGTACCCCGGCTTCACTCCCCCTGGTCACAGCCACGTACGACAGCCCTGCTCTCTCTGCCGCCTCTGGACACCATCCTCCTTCTTCCTCCTGCCCTTCCTTCCCTCTCTTCTTCCTCCCTTCTTTCTTCCCTCCCTTTTTTCTCTCTGTCTATGCATGCACTCACTTATCACCCATTTCTCTCTGCAACCAAACATCTACCCACAAATCAACCCCTCTACCCATCTATCCAATAATCACCAACTATTAGTCAAAGTTTATTAATTTATTCTTGGGTCAGTCTTTACCTGTTTAATTTGTGATTCAATTTATCTATTAGTATACTAATTTAATGTGTTCACCCACAAATTCATCCGCCCACCCATCCATCCACCCATCCATCCATCCATCCATCCATCCATCCATCCATCCACGTGTCTATTATATGTCTTCCTTCTCTGCATCAATCCTGGCACACTTTCTTTCGTCTTACCTGTTCGTTTGGCTACCCCTGCTTCCCATCCATCATCCCATCGTCCATTCCTCTATTCTGGGATGGACAGGATCTGAGGGCCATTCAGAAGGTCATCTTCCCCTTCCGTCTCTCTCATTGCCTCCTTGCTGCTACTCCGTCCCACTCTGGCGGTCTGTGTTGCCACAGCAGCCCCCCCCGCCCCCGAACTCCCCCCCCCCCCCCCGCCCCTAGCTACGGAAACTACAAACCTGTGCAGGAGGCAGGAGTGAGGGGTGGGGAGAAACAATGAGTCACAGGAGGGAAGGCCTCTGGGCACCTCTCAGAATCAGGGATGCTTTGGGGGAGTGTTGGGGAGGGGGACTGTGGGAATGACCCCTCTTCTGTCACCTGCCCTGCACCGGACCCCCTGCATCCACGTCTTCCGTGTGCCACCCGTTTCCTCTCTCTGGCTGACTCGCCCATGTCTGCATCCCCCATCCCAACTCCACACAGGGCCAGCGCTGGCACCTGGGAAGTGAGCCATTTGGGCGCCCCTGGCAGTCGGGTGATGTGGTGGGCTGCATGATCGACCTCACCGAGAACAATATCATCTTCACCCTCAATGGCGAGATCCTGATGTCCGACTCGGGCTCTGAAATGGCCTTCCGGGACATCGAGATCGGGGATGGTAAGGGCTCGGGGTTCGCCGCCTGGCCCCAGTCCCCTTCATGGGGTTCCTTCCTGGCTCTCCTCCCGCCCAGTCGCCCCCTGCCCGATGGCACCCCTTGCTCCCCTGTTTCCCCTCCCTACCATCTGGGACCTCCTCCCTGCGGCTGCCACCACCCTGTCCCCAACCTGGCCTCACCCTGGTTTCTCTCCCCACTGCTCCCCAGGTTTCCTACCCGTGTGCAGCCTGGGACCCGGCCAGGTGGGGCACCTGAACTTGGGCCAGGACGTCAGCTCCCTGCGCTTCTTTGCCATCTGTGGCCTCCAGGAAGGCTTCGAGCCGTTCGCCATCAACATGCAGCGCCCGGTCACCACGTGGTTCAGCAAAAGCCTCCCTCAGTTTGAGGCAATGCCCCCAGATCACCCCCACTATGAGGTGAGGACTGAGCCCGCCCAGGGCCCCCTTCCTTCCCACTGTCTCTTCCCTTCCTTCTCTTGCAAACTGTGTGCGGCTGGACCCCAGGGCTGCCTTGCGGGGTCAGATCTAGACAGCCAACAACCCTTGTGGGTTTCTGGTTGACCAATGGGTGAAAGGTGGGTGGGAAGAGTTGCTGGATGAAGTGATCCCAAGGGCAATTTCCGGTCCCTCTAACTTTTTCAGTTTAAACAAGGTTTAGAGAATAGAATCCCTCTCACACCTCTTTTTTCCTAATCATTCTGTACGTGGGTTTAAAAAACAATTATGTGCTCTCAGCAGCTCTTCATCAGTCTGAGTAACCTACAGTTGAGACATGAGTCTTTGCCAAAGTTGGGCTCAGGGTTCCTATCCTGATCATAAAGTTCGTGGAGTCCTGTACTCTGAGACCATCTGTACCCCAACTATGGGTGTGTGACCACAGATTAACTTCCAGCACATCCCTTTGGGTGCTATCTCCCTTATCTCTAGCCTTTCCTATATCAATCTTATTTCTTTTCTCTCTCTTTCTCCAGAAAGATAACTTATTTTCCCTAGAATTACGGTATCTCCAGAAAACAACTCATTTCCCCTCAAATTATGGTATCTCCAGAAAACAACTCACTTCCCCTCAAATTATGATATCTCCAGAAAACAACTCATTTTCTCTCGAATTATGATATCCCCAGAAAATAACCAATTTTCCCTAAAATTACAATCTCCCTCTTGATAAAATTATTTTCTTTCACACACACAAAAATTAAATTGGGGCCAGGAAGATAGCACAGTGAGTAAAGCACTTGCCTTGTGGGAAAAATAATCCAGTTCACTCTCCAACAATGCACAGGGTGCATGTATGTATATGTGCATGTAGATATTTAGATATGTGTATATGTATGTATTTGTGATGGACGACTGGGTGACCATGTGGATTGATGGCTGGATCAGTGGGTGGACAGTGCATGAGTAGATATATGTGTGTGTGGTGTGATGGATGGGTGGTGGTGCTTGGATGATGCATGGATCAGTACATGGATGGATGATGGATGGATGGTTGAGTGGTGCATGGGTAAGTAAGTGGATTATGGAGATAGATTGGGTAAACCACCGGACAGGTGGACGGATGGTGCATGGGAAGGTGTATGTATGTGATAGATGGGTGAGAAAGGGCGTGAATGAATAATGGGTCAGTGGGCAGATAGATGTATGGGTCGATGGATGGTCGGATGCATGGATAAATGGGTGGATTATGGAGCTTTGAGTGGATAGGAGCTTGGCAGAGCTAAAAGCACCCTCAGTCAAACTGTGTCCATGTGGCTTTTTTCTGTTCAGAGGAGTTTGGGTGCATCTTCCTACGGGTGCTCTCAGGCCATAAGGTGGTTTGGTTGTGACCAGGCCTAGTCCATCCGCCTGGCTCAGTGCTCCCTGCCCCCCTCTCCCCCAACAGGTGTCTCGGGTGGACGGCACCGTGGATACGCCCCCCTGTCTGCGCCTGACCCACCGCACCTGGGGCTCCCAGAACAGCCTGGTGGAGATGATCTTCCTCCGACTCAGCCTCCCTGTCCAGTTTCACCAGCACTTCCGCTGCACTGCAGGGGCCACCCCCTTGGCTCCCCCTGGCCTGCAGCCCCCCGCTGAGGATGAGGCCAGGGCAGCAGAACCCGACTCGGACTATGAAAACCTGCGCCGCTCCGCTGGACGCTGGGGAGAGGCTGAGGGGGGCAAAGAGGGGAGTGCCAAGGAGGGGGGCCCTGGGGGCGCTGCCCAGCCAGGCACAGAGGCCCAGCCCTCGAGGGCGGAGAATGAGAAGGACACCGCCACGGAGAAGAGCAAGAAGAGAGGGTGAGTCAGGGCGAGCACTTCCTGGGACCCCCAGTTACACAGCCCCAACAGCTTGGGAAAGCCCCCCTCCCACCCAAAGCTGCCACTTGGAGTTAGGTGGGTTCAGAATATGGACGAATCTGGGCAGGCTTCATGTGAACTCACTATTTTCCTGGGATGCTCTAAATTCCCTGAAAATGTAAAATTTGGAGTGTCCCACAATAACCGTGGGGGACTCCAATATTTTGGGGGTACCTGCTCGACCCCAGAGTATTTCAACCCATGGACTTGATTAGCCACAGGCACTAGTGGGGACCTCAGTACAATGGCAGGGGGACTGGTCCCCTAGTGAGCACAGTTGGAATTCTGTTTCCTCTTTTTGCTTTTTGGGCCACACCTGGCAATGTACAGGGGTTACTCCTGGCTCTGCACTCAGGAATTACTCCTGGCAGTGCTCGGGGATATGGGATGCTGGGAATCGAACCTGGGTTGTCTGCATGCAAGGCAAACGCCCTACCCACTGTACTGTCCCTCCATCCCCCCGACGGTTGGAATTCTAAATCAGGGTATCTCTTCATCTCAAACATATCCCCCCTAAAAAAGACCTGTCTTGAAGGGAAACCCTCAAAGGGTTTTACATTTGAATTGAAACCAAACCTACGTTTCCCTCCAGTGGAAGTGGTTTTCCAGAGTATGTGTCTGAGTCCCCCAGGTTGTTTGGAAATGATGAAATAGTTTTGTTCATCACAACTTGGTGGGGGGTGTAACTGCTTCTCCTGGGGTGTTCAGGAGATCCTACATGCCTTTAGTGTACAAGACAAGGCGACACAAGGATCCTTTCCAAAATGGCTGTGAAATGCAGAGGAGAAAGGCTGACTCAGGGGCCCACTGTACACCCCAAAGACTGACTCAGGCCACTGTCCACCCTCAAAGAGCCACCCTGGGGTGACCTGGCCTCAGCGCAGCACCTGCACATGGACCAGCCAGTGCCGTGAGGGTCCTGTTCTGCTAGGCTGGATGACAGGGGCAGGGATGTGGGGGTGGGCCGAGCCACAGGGCTGTTCTCACGTGGCCCCCCCTTCCTCACCACCAGGTTCCTGTTCAAGGCTAAGAAAGTCGCCATGATGACCCAGCCACCGACCACCCCTTCTCTGCCGCGACTCCCGCGGGAAGTGGTCCCTGCTGACGACCGTGATGACCCCGAGATCATCCTCAACACCACCACGGTGTGAACCGGGGAACTCCAGCTTCAGGGCCCCTCTGATGCTCAGGGCTGCTCACACCTAGGGACACCCACCACTGTCTCCTGAAGCCCCCCAGTACAGCACAAACTTGGATCCCCTAAATCCATGGAGTAGGCGAGGACAAAAACAATTTTTTTCTTTGCCTTTTGGGTCACACCTAGCGATGCTCAGGGGTTACTCCTGGCTCTACACTCAGGAATCACTCCTGGCAGTGCTCAGGGGACTACATGGGAATTGAACCCGGGTCAGCTGCATGCAAGGCAAATGCCTTAACCACAGGGGCCGAATCTCGTAGGGACTGGAAGATTTGGTGAGGTTAAAGGTCATGTCAAGGCATTCCCAAAATCTCCAAATCTAGGGAATGGATCAGTAGACTAGGGACCCCGATATTTGGGTTCATCCATGTAAAGACAAAGAAGAGTCCCCACTTAATAGTAATTCTAGTATATTCCTGGGAACCAACATTCAGAGTCATCCCAGGGTAGTTCTGGGACTCCCTGAATTTGGAGACAAGTAGCTTAATGGTTAGGGTTTCAGGCCGCCAGTGGCTGTGGGCCGGGCCCCTCTACCACTCGCACCTGCCTTTCTGTGGAAGCTCTATGGTCTCCCACAGAGATCAGAATGGGTCTGACGAGATAGCACAGGGAAGGGAAGACAGTGGACTCACAGATGGCTGGCCCCTGTTCTGTCCCTAGCACTACCTATGGTCCTTCCCCTCCTCCCCCATTAAGCACCTTCAGAAATGATCCCTGAGATCAGAACCAGGAGCAAGCCCTGAGCACTGCTGGATGGGGTCCTCTCCAAAAAAAAAAAAAGAAATTATATCCAGGGACTGGGGACCTAGCCTCAGGGCACAAGGCTCTGGATTCAGTCTCTGGGGTCTCCCACCCCCATCTTAAGTGGTACTTACTATGAGAACCAAACTACTCCACCTCTCAGCTAATTTGTGAGCTCTTGTTAGCTCTTATTAAGCTAAAACCTTGTAACCCTGGGAAGGACACAGCTTGAGGGTATCCCAAAAATAATCCCTGAAGATGACCCAATTAGGGGTATCCCAAAAATAGTCCCCAAAGATGAGTCAATTTAGAGTTTGATCAGTATTCACAGAAGGAAAGGGTCTGAAGAGTGATGGTACAATCTCCGGCACCCCAGAGGGCCCCTCGAGCACTGCCAGGAGTAATTCCTGAGTGTAGAGCCAGGAGTAAGCCCTGAACAACTGGCCAGTTGTGGCCCTCAAACAAAAAGAACAAAAAGGGATTGAATCTTCGGGGTGGGGGAGCGGTGGGGGGAAGGGGGAGGGGGTGGGGCATCCGGCCTGGCAGTTTCTTGACTTAGAGGACACTGAGATGCAGAGGACCCAGTTTTGACACCTGAGACCCCCGACTTCCCGCCTGACCCCTGGCCCTGCTCTGTTCCCGCCAGTACTACTACTCTGTGCGGATCTTCGCCGGCCAGGAGCCCAGCTGTGTGTGGGTGGGCTGGGTCACCCCCGACTACCACCAGCACGACATGAACTTCGACCTCACCAAGGTTCGGGCGGTGACGGTGACCATGGGGGATGAGCAAGGCAACATCCACAGCAGGTGCGGCAGGCTGGGGGGGTGCCAGGAGCGGGAGGCGCTGGGGACCTGGCAGAGCTGCCTCCCTTCCTGTTTGTGGTCCTGTTCCCTCCGCTGTGTCCTCTTTCTGCTCCGCTTCTCTGTCCTACCTGGGCCTCCTCTGCCATCACCACCTTCCTCTGCCTGCTCCGTGCTGTCCTCCAGCACCCCACCAGCACCCCGGGGTTCTCGCTCCCAGGGGCTCAGGGCCATGGCCCAGGGCTTCCAGCGCTCTGCGTGCAGGTGGTGGGGTTTAGGGGAAGGGGTTCTGGGAGCTCGGGGAGGGTGTGGTTCAGAGCTCCCAGACCAAGAACCCCATCCCACCTCCTTCCCTGCAGCCTCAAGTGTAGCAACTGCTACATGGTGTGGGGCGGGGACTTCGTGAGCCCTGGGCAGCAGGGCCGGATCAGCCACACGGACCTGGTCATTGGTTGCCTGGTGGACTTGGCCACTGGCCTGATGAACTTCACTGCCAACGGCAAAGAAAGCAACACCTTCTTCCAGGCAAGTTCATGCTCAGGGCCTGCCTTCACCATCGTGTGCTCACACCCTGGCACTCTGAGACAGTGCTCCCAGGCAGCCCCGAGACAGTAATCCAGGTAGCCTCCAGACAGTGCTCACAGGCATCCCTGAGACAGTGCTCCCAGGCAGCCCCGAGACAGTGCTCGCAGGCAGCTCTGAGACAGTGCTCACAGGCATCCCTGAGACAATGCTCCAGGCAGCCCTGAGACAGTGATCCAAGCAGCCTTCAGACAGTGCTCCCAAGCAGCTCTGAGACAGTGCTCCCAGGCAGCCCCAAGATAGTGCTCCAGGAAGCCCTCAGACAGTGCTCCAGGCAGCCTGGGAGCCAGACCTTATAGCCTCAGGGAACAACACCAGCTCATGGTCTGTCCAGGTCAGGTGGAGGGGGATCCCTGGGAGACCAGCCTAGTGTTGGCCAGCGGTGAGGGCATGTCCTTGCATGCTCTAGGGCCTGAGTTTGAGCTCAGTCCCCATGTACCCTCACACTGCCAGCTGCCGAGCACAGGTCCCAAGCATCGCTGGGTCCAACCATTGAATCTCCAGCCCAGTTGGTCAGATACTGCTGGGATTGGCCTTCAAAAGAACATGGAGGGCTGAAGCAATAGCACAGCGAGTCGGGCATTTGCCTCGCATGTGGCTGACTCGGGTTCGATTCCCAGCATCCCCTGAGCACCGCCAGGGGTAATTCCTGAGTGCAGAACCAGGAGTAACCCCTGTGCATTGCTGGGTGTGACCCAAAAAAGCAAAAAAGCAAAAAAAGAAGAACATGGAATCTGACCTTGGTGAGAGGGCTGAGTCAGGTCAGAGGTGGTACAGCCAGGGCAAGGAGAGAGTTTAAAGGGCAGAGTGCAGGGCTCAGGCCCATTCCCAGCACCTCTGAGCCTGGGTGTGGTCCTGGAGGCCCTTATTACTGTTTTGGAGCCCCCAGAACAAATTAACAAAATGCCAGGGGTGTGGCATGGCCACCACAGAGCCTCCTGCTCCCTGTAGGATCAGGTTGGGACACAGCCTGGACTCGTGATCTGCTGTCCACGCTGCCTCCAGCTCACCCTCTCCTCCTGCTAGGTGGAACCCAACACAAAGCTGTTTCCTGCCATCTTTGTCTTGCCCACGAACCAGAACGTCGTCCAGTTTGAACTGGGCAAGCAGAAGGTGAGCATGTACTGTTGGGGCACTTAGTGCAGGAGGTGATGGGTACAGGAAGACAGGATGGCTCAGCAGCCAACATGGGGGTGGAGAGGGGGAGGCAGTCCTGGAGGTCTCCCTGGAAGAAGTGTGGTAAGATGGGGAATCCTGACCTATGTACCCCTCTCCGCCTCCCCAGAACATCATGCCTCTATCTGCTGCCATGTTCATGAGTGAGCGCAAGAACCCGGCGCCACAGTGCCCGCCGCGGCTGGAGGTGCAGATGCTGATGCCCGTGTCCTGGAGCCGAATGCCCAACCGCTTCCTGCACGTGGAGACGCGGCGCTCAGGCGACCGGCTGGGCTGGGCGGTGCAGTGCCAGGAGCCGCTGACCATGATGGCGCTGCACATCCCAGAGGAGAACCGGTCAGAGCCAGCCCAGGCCCCCGAGGGGGTGGTGGGGGCTCCAGAAATCACCCCAGGAACCCAGCCCCAGCCCAGGGCTCCAGCCCCATCTCAGGGATCCAGGACCCCTGGGGGAGCCCAGCCAGCCACTCAGGGGTATGATGTACTTGTCAAGTGGCCTGGGGGGTTCCCTGGGTCACGGGTACGGCTTGGGCAAGCCCAGAGAGGCTTTCATGGAGCTCATGGAGGCGTCGGTCTCCTGCCAGGAGGCCCAGAGAGAACGGGGTGGGGGTGTGTGAGGGGGGGGTGTGACCACATGGAAAGCAAGGAATCTCCCAGGACTCCAAGCCTAGGGGATCACTGGGGGGCACTTAGCACCCCTTATCCCCAGGAGGCCTCAGCATACTGCATCTCTCCTTTGTTCAGTTGACAAGTGACTCTAAGTGCCGTTGTGACTTGGCCCTTTTTGGACACACCCCACCCCCATGCTCACCTCTCACTCTCAGGGGCTCAGGGTCTTGCACCAAGGACCCCAGACACACCCACTTCTGCACATAGCCAACCATGTGCTAAGTGCGAGGAAAATTCAGGAGCAGGAGATAATGCAGTGGTAAGGCTCTCACCTTGCATGTGACCGACCCAGGTTCTTTCCTTGGCACCGCATATGGTGCCTGAGCCCCTCTGGCAATGATCCCTGAGCGCAGAGCCAGAAATAAGCCCTGAGTGTCACCAGGGGTAGCCTCCACTGTATACAGGCAGACACAGACTTCAGGTAGACTTCACACGCTAGCAACACTCAAACATAACCAGGTGCTCAGACCTGCCAGAGGGGGCTCAGGCCTCATCAGGGGGTCTCAGAGACTTCTCAGGGTCTCCAGATCTTCTCTGTGGACCCTCAGCTTTCTAGGGTGACTCCAGACTGCCCCTGTAATAGATAGATCTCAGGCCCCTCCTCCCCCCACTCCACTCCCCAGCACCCTGCCCCTGACAGCTCTCCCCTTGCTCACCCCCACCACCCCAGGCCCTTCAAGAACTTCCAGGCTCCGGGGCTGAAGCAGGTAGGGCGTTTGCCTTGCACTCAACGACCTGGGTTCGATTCCCAGATCCCATATGGTCCCCTGAGCACCACCAGGAGTAATTCCTGAGTGCAGAGCCAGTAGTAATCCCTGTGCATCACCGGGTGCAAGGAGCAAAAATAAATAAGTAAATAAAAAAGAACTTCCAGGCTTCAGACTGGGAAAAGCCGCTGGACCCAGCACGAACCCAGAGTTCCCAGCCGGAGAGGCTGTGCTCACGTGAGCGCCTCTTTGCCTTTTGGTGCAGGTGCATGGACATCCTGGAGCTGTCGGAGCGTCTAGACCTGCAGCGCTTCCACTCGCACACGCTCAGCCTGTACCGCGCTGTGTGCGCCCTGGGAAACAACCGCGTGGCGCACGCGCTGTGCAGCCACGTGGACCAGGCGCAGCTGCTGCACACGCTGGAGGACGCGCACCTGCCGGGTCCGCTGCGTGCCGGCTACTACGACCTGCTCATCAGCATCCACCTGGAGAGCTGCTGCCGCAGCCGCCGCTCCATGCTGTCCGAGTACATCGTGCCCCTGACGCCCGAGACCCGCGCGCTCACCCTCTTCCCACCGGGAAAAGGCGGGGACGACGAAGACGGGCCCCGCCGCCACGGCCTGCCGGGCGTGGGCACCACCACCTCACTGCGGCCGCCGCACCATTTCTCGCCGCCCTGCTTCGTGGCCGCGCTGCCCCCAGCCGGAGTGGCCGAAGCGCCCGTGCGCCTCAGCCCCAGCATCCCCCTGGAAGCCCTGCGCGACAAGGCGCTGCGCATGCTCGGTGAGGCCGTGCGGGACGGCGGGCAGCACGCGCGCGACCCTGTCGGGGGCTCCGTGGAGTTCCAGTTTGTGCCTGTGCTCAAGCTCGTGTCCACCCTGTTGGTAAGGGCCTGTGCCCCTGCTCATTTATATATATATATATATATATATATATATATATATTTTTTTTTTTTTTTTCTTTTTACTTCTTGGGTCACACCCAGCTCTGCATTCAGGAATTACTCCTGGCGGTGCTCAGGGTACCATATGGGATGCGGGGGATCGAACCCCGGACAGCCGCGTGCAGAGCAAATGCCCTCCCCGCTATACTATTGTTCCGTCCCCCGCCCTCCCCTTCTGCTCGTTTCTTGTTTAGCCTGACAGCTTGCCCATCCCTCTATCTACAGGCGACCTTCTCTCCTGTTTGTCTTTCCATCCGTATTGGCTCCCTAAGTGTTTTTGGTTTGTTTGTTTTTGTTTTGTTTTGGGACCACACCGGTGTTACTCCTATTTCTGCACTCAGGAGTTACCCTGGCAGCCCTGGCAGTGTTCGGGGGACCATATAGGATGCTGGGGATAGAACCCAGGTCGGCAGTGTGCAAGCAAAAGCCCTCCCCACTGTACCATTGCTCTGCCCCCCTGGGCTGCCTAGTTCTCTCATCTCCTAACCTTTCATTCACATTTCCTTCCTTCTGCTCATGTTTGTTATGTCTTTTTCCTTCTTTCCACTCATCATCCCAACCATTATCCATCCACTCACCCACAGATTCATTCCTCCTCTACCCACCATTTCTGAATGAATCCACCCATTCATTCAGACACCCCAACCTCTCATTGATAGACCCATATGTCCATTCATCCATCTATGAGTCCATCTCTCTGAATCTAATCTTCCCACCATCCCGTCTTCCACTCTTTCACACATGAGTCTCTCCAGCATTCCTTCTATTTATCTACTCATTTGTCATTGTGGGTTAACTTAGACATTTATTTATTTATTTTTGGGTTTTGGACCACACCTAGCAGTGCTCAGGGGTTACTTTTTTTTTTTTAAATAATGTAGGAGTACTGCTATTTGTTCAGCCATTGATTAAGCTGATTGAATTGGGCATGAACTCCACATCATTTTTTAAAATTGTATCACTGTGAGATAGAGTTACAAAGCTTTCATGTTTGAGATTCAGCCATGCAATGATAAAACACCCATGCCTCCACCAGTGCACATTTTCACCACCCACTTCCCAGTCCTCACCCTGCCTCTATGACAGACAATTTCCCAATACTCGCTATGTAATTTTGGGCATTATGCTTTGCTCGAAATTTCCCACCACCATTCAAGCCTACCTGCCAGGGGCAGATGCTAGATAATTTATTTTCCACTGCTCATTTTGAATATCATGAGAGCTCACATAGCAGCAACTATAAATGTAAATTTCTAGATTGTAAGTGGTTGGTTTCCAGATACACCTCTGTTTGGCACTAATCCATTTTGGGATTCAATTTGGAGTCTCTGGGCCAAGGCTGTTGCAGAGGTTACTTCTGGCTCTGTACTTAGGATTGACTTCTGGCAATCCTTGGGGGACCATATAGGGTGCCAGGGGTCAAACCCTGGTCAGTTGCATGCAAGGCAATAGCCCTACCAACTGCACTATTGCTCTGTCCCCAACATTTATTAACCTAGCTCCCCTCTCAGATACCCAGTCCTCTGTGGCCTGCTCCTTCCTACATCCATCCACTCATTCACTGGTCCACCTTCCCTCTTCTGTCTGCTAACCCATCCCTTCATCTCTCCATCCATTTATATGTATACCCTCTCACCTACCCACAGATCCATACAACTGTCTCTACCATCAGTCCATTCTCCATTCTTTCCATCTTTTATATCATGTGCCCTTTTATTCATACACCCACCTCTTGACATGCATGCATCCGTCCAACTTTTCATGCACAAACCCCTCTCCCATCCTTCCCACGCATTCCTGTTTGTTCAATTCCCTGTTCATCTATTAACTCGTTTGTGTACCCATTAAACTACCCACTCACCCACCCACTGTTCATACACCATTTATTTTCTGCCATCCACCCACTCATGCATCCGTCCATCCATCTTCCCTTCAGACCTCTTCCATTGCAACCATGAATCCATCCTCCCAGTCTGCCCCCATTCATTTCTCTGTTCCCCGCTATTCTTCCCTGTTCTCTCCCTGCTGGCCTCCATCCTCACTCCATTGTCTGAGCATGGGCAGAGACCAGCAGCTAGCTCTGAGGGCCTCCCTGAGATGTAGGGTGTGTTCTGCGCCATGCACATATGGTCAGACTTGGGAGCAAAGATTTTTTTTTGTTGTGAAGAGAGAAGCGGTCATGTTTGACTCTGGGGTCTGGGTTCATGTGGGTGGGAGTCGTGGGAGTCTTGGAGGGGGGTCTTGAAGATGGATGGTGGGGCAGAGGGGTGGTCATTCCTTCAGGAGGGGACTTCAGCATGGACTTTGGCAGGTCTGGGAGGTGACACCAGGACTGGCTGGTGGGTCTGAGCCTCTTCAGGCCACAGTAAGAGACTGGCTTTACCCTGTAGGTGATGGGCATCTTTGGCGATGAAGATGTGAAGCAGATACTGAAGATGATCGAGCCTGAAGTGTTCACTGAGGAGGAGGAAGAGGAGGAAGAGGAAGATGAGGAGGAGAAGGAAGAGGATGAGGAAGAAGAGGCACAGGAGAAGGAAGAGGAGGAAAAGGAGGAGGAAGTGGAGGAGGAGACGGCAGAAGAGGAGAAAAAAGAGGGCTTGGAGGAGGGGCTCCTGCAGATGAAGTTGCCGGAGTCTGTCAAGCTACAGGTGGGCTGGTTCTTCCTTCTCGCCAGCCTTCATGCATCTAGGCTGGGCATGCGGACTCAGTCTCCAGGCAGAGGAACACGGGGGAAGGGCATGCTTTCTAGGACTTCTACTCTCTTTGTTTTGGGGCCACACCTGGTGATGCTCGGGGGCTACTCCTGGCTCCGATCTCTGGAATTATTCCTGGTGGTGCTCAGGGGACCATAAAGGATGCTGGGGATTGAACCCGGGACAGCTGTGTGCAAGGCAAGCACCCTTCATGCTGTGCTATCTCTCTGGGCCCTCTAGGATTTCTTTCCCTGGGTTCCAGGTGGAAAGTAAATTTGAAGGATGAGACCTGGAAAAAGTCTGGCTCTAGGGTCTGGGCAGGAGAGAATGGTGGTGGGCATAAGGATGAGCCAGGGAGAGGGGAGAGAATGCAAGAAACACTTTGAGGCGATCCTGAGGATCTTTCCACTCTCCCTCCTCCTTCCTGGCTGTCCTCCCACAGATGTGTCACCTGCTGGAGTACTTCTGTGACCAAGAACTGCAGCACCGCGTGGAGTCCCTGGCGGCCTTCGCTGAGCGCTATGTGGACAAACTCCAGGGCAACCAGCGGGGCCGCTACGGTCTCCTCATGAAAGCCTTCACCATGTCCGCTGCTGAGACCGCCCGCCGCACCCGCGAGTTCCGCTCCCCGCCCCAGGAGCAGGTGCTCTGAGCCCCCGACCCAGCCTGCTCTCCCTGTTTGGGCCCCAAGCTCAGCCACGCCCCCACTCCGACCACCAGCCTCTGAGCCCATGCCAGATGCCAAGGAGAGACTCCCTTCCCCTCCCACTCACTGCCCACCCCTGCCCGCCTCATAGACCGGCGTGCACCCCTTTTGGATATTGTCCACTAACCCACACTTAGTTGGGGACCCCTCAGCTGGGTCTTTGAGCCTTGCCTCGCTTTCTCTGCTTGGTCGCCAACCTTCGTCCTTTGATCACGTCCCCTAGATCAACATGCTGTTGCACTTCAAGGATGGAGCAAACGAGGAGGATTGCCCGCTCCCGGAAGAGGTGCGAGAGGAGCTGGTGAAGTTCCACCAGGACCTGCTGGCTCACTGTGGTAAGCAGAGCACCCACTCACCCTCTGCTCCGGCTCTTTCCTGAGGCATCTCCTCGTGTTTCCTGGAACTGACCTGAGCTTCCGGTGCTATGCAGCGATGGAGGGAATGAATGAAGGAATGAATGATTTTGGGTAACTTGGTGTCTTAGTGAATAGAAAAATGATGGGAACAAGGCCCAGAGCGATAGTACAGTGGGAGGGCGCTTGCCTTGCATGCGACCGACCCAGGTTCAATCCCTGCTATCCCATATGGCTCCCTGAGCACTGCCAGAAGTACTTCCTGAGCACAGAGCCAGGAGTAAGCCCTGAGTACCAACAGGGTGTGGCTTCCCCAACCCCCAAAAGCAAATGAGAGGAACAATTCATTTTTTTCTGTTATTGTTTTCTTTGTTTTTGTTGGGGGAGCCACACCCAGTGATCCTCAGGGTTTACTCCTGACTCTGTGCTCAGGTATCACTCCTTATGGGCTCAGGAAGCCATATTGGTTCTGGGAATAGAACCCAGGTTGACCACTTGCAAGACAAATGCCCCCCTCACTGTATTATCGCTACAGTCCTGGGAAGGATTAGTTCTATATGGTTTTAGATGGATGGATGAATGTGTGAATTTATGAGTAGAAGAATAATTAATGAAATGAAGAGATGCATGAATGAAGAGTAGAATGGATGGGTAGATACACTGATGACTTAGAGTTGTGGGAAGAGGTGGCTGGCAGACTGGGGGTGTCTGTGGATGACTCCCCCTGTTTTTCAGAGAATTCATTATTCAGAGAATAATGATCCTACTGAGATTCCCTTATGTGTAAGATCTTGGTTTTCTCTGGTAGGAGTTCAAGGTTTTCCCATGGCCTTTTAACAGAGAAGCTCTTTGAAGTTAGGTTGGCATTTGTTGAATTTGTTCTTTTCTTTCTTTTTTTTTGGGGGGGGTCAAACCTGTTAGTGCTCAGGGGTTACTCCTGGCTCTGCACTCAGAAATCACTTCTGGAGATGCTTGGGGTACCATATGGGATGCTGGGATTGAACCCAGGGCAGTCACGTGTGAGGCAAGTGCCTTACCTGCTATACTACTGCTCCAGCCCCTCTTGAGTTTCTTGACGTTAGGTTAACTTTTTAAAAAGTTAACCTAATTTTTAAAATCAAATTTGAAGAAAGTTGATCATAGACTCTCCAGTTTTTTCCTGCTTTCCTTTCTCTCCAAGTATCCCCATATGCATAGACTGGGACATTTGATGGTGTCAGTGTGTGCCTCAGAGGATGGCCTCCCAGTCTAGTGGTTTTCCTTCCTTCTTTTATTTTTCTTCTTTTTCCACTGGGATAATATCTACTGGCCAATATTCAAGTACACTGATTCCCGTACCATCTCCAAGATGCTCTTTTTCCCCTCTAGTGAGTTTTACATCTCAGTTATTGGGCACAGAGGGACAGTGTAGGAGTTAAGGTGCTTCCCTTGCATGTGGCAGAACCCAGTTTGATCCCTGGCACCACACATGATTTCCTGAGCACAGAACCAGGAGTAGCCCCTGAGGACTACTGGACATGGCCCCCAAACCAAAAATATAAATGATTTCAATCCTTGTACTTTTCAGTGCCAGAATTCCTATCTGGTTATTTTTATTTTATTTTATTTTTTTGATTTTTGGGTCATACCTGGCGATGCACAGGGGTTATTCCTGGCTCTGCACTCAGGAATTACTCTTGGCGGTGCTCGGAGGACCATATGGGATGCTGGGAATCGAACCCAGGTCGGCCACGTGCAAGGCAAATATCTTACCTGCTGTGCTATTGCTCCAGCCCACCTATCTGGTTATTTTTATATGGTCTCCTTTCTTCTCTGTCCTGTGAGTCATCCGACTTCTCACACTTCTTAAAAACTTTTTATTTCACACCATTACATTTCTTTCCTCTCCCTTCTCTTCCCTTTAAGGCTGTGGTGAGGGCCAGGGGGTCCACATGCTCGTTTGTGGTGCCTGCAGGGAGTCACACAGGAGTGGTTGTGGTCTTAGTGCTCACACATTCTTCCACGTGCTCATCAGGGGTCACATATTTAGTGGTGGCACATGCACCCAGCCTTGCTGGGGGATGCTCTCATTTCGACCTGCTGCTCACAGTATTCTGGCCACATAGCTCACCAAGGAGCACTGTGAGCCTCACACAGTGCTCACCAGGGGGCACACTACTGGTGCTTGGTGAAAGTGGCACACTTTAGTTGTGGTGCTCGCACCCACCTGACTGTGCTGTGTTCTAGGTAGTCTACAGTCTCTTGCAGCATCAGGGGTCCCAGGAAGCAGAATTTCGGGCCCTGGGTCAAGGTACATGGGCGGCATCAGGGATCAAACTCATGGCCTCATTCTTGGAAATCAGATAGTTTGAGATACCCAGGCATCTTCCCAGGCCCTCACGTGTTTCTTTAAGAATCCAGAATGGTTCCTATCATTTTTTTCTTTTGTGTGTGTGTGTTTTGGGTCACACCTGGCAGTGTTCAGGTACTGCTCCCAGTTGGGTGCTCAGAATCCACGTCTGGGCAATGCCTAAGGAGCTGTGTAGTACCAGGGATTAAACCAGGGCCTTCTTCATGCAGAGCATGTGCTCGGCCCCTGGAGCTCTCTCCGGCCTGACTTCCTTGAGTGCTTGGAACATGTCGATGGATTTTCTGTTTGCAGACTACACCCAGCAATGCTCACAGCTTACTCCTGGCCCTAAGCTCAGGAGTAGCTCTTGGCGGGATCAGGGAACCACATGGGGTGGTGAGGATCAAACCCGGGTCAGGCAAGTGCATGTCAAGAGCCTTACCCATGTTCGTGTCTCTCCAGCCCATGTTTATTGATTTAAATACAAATACTGGAGCTGGAGCGATAGGACAGCAGGGAGGCTATTTGCCTTGCACGTGGCCAACCCAATTTTGGTCCCCAGTACCCCATATGGTCCCGCTAGCCCTCCAGGAGTGATTTCCTGAGCATAGAGCCAGGGGCAAACCCTGGTGAGGCCCCCTAGTCCCCAAACAAATAATAAATAAAAGACAAATACTTCACCGAACGAATAACTGGACAAATGTATGAACATCAAAAGAAATGAGAAATCTCCTGAAAGCACGGCTGAATGAGAATTGAATGCCGGCATAGGTGGAGGAGGGTGAGTGGGGAGCAGACAAGTATCAATGACAACCAAGCCCTGAGTGACAGTCCTGCCTGCGGGCCCTGCAGGAATCCAGCTGGTGGAGGAGGAGGAGGAGCCCGAGGAAGAAGTCACCCTGGGCAGCCGCCTGATGAGCCTGCTGGAGAAGGTGCGGCTGGTCAAGAAGAAAGAGGAGAAGGTGGAGGAGGAGCCGCCCGCAGAGGAGAGCAAACCCAGTGAGGACCGGGGCCACCTGGGGGCGTGGGGGGCACCTCAGGGTGCAAGACAGGCCCCAAGGGGCTGGCACAAGAAGGGGCAGATGAGTCTTTCGTTTAAGTGCCACACCCCGTGGTGCTCAGAGCTTACTCCTGGCTCTGTGCTCAGAGATCACCGCTGGTGGGGCTCAGGGGACCCTGTGGGATGCCCGGTCAGCCGCAGGCAAGGCAAGCGTCCTACCCACTGAACTATCTCTCCGGCCTCACTGAGGCAGAGTGGCAGGTGGGTGGGGGTGAAGGCAAGCTGGAATACCCTACCCCCCACTGTGGGGCTGCACTGTGTACCTGTCAGAGTGAGTAGGGGCCAGACCCACACAGGCAGCGCTGGGAGGGGTGGCAGGTGCACCCCAGGGCTCCTGGGCCCTGGCAGCTTGGCTTAGCTTTGTTGATGGACTAGTTACTGTGCTGAGGGCTGAGAAGAGCAGCCCTTGGGGGCCAGTGAGATCTTCTGCAAGTTCTACATCCAACCAGGACAGGCTTTATTCTACAGCATTCGAGTAACCTCCCTTGGGCCCATTCTGGCAAGGATGGGGAATTGCGCGGGGGAGGAGCACTGTGATGCTGGGGAAGTCACAATTCCCTGACCTGACCCCCGGGGAGTTTAAGAAACTCCAGTGGAGCTGAATCCACATCTATCATGCCAGGGGTGCGACAAAACAAAACAGGGCTGGAGAAACAGTGGAGTGGTAGAACGCTTGCCCTGCGTGTGTGAGGCTTAATTTCTGGCACCGCAAAAAAATTAAAATAAAGGTGAATGAGAGGAGAGAGAAGGGCTAAGATGAGAGGGTGAGTGAGGATGGGGGAGGGATGTAAAGATCTGGGAAAGACAGTGATGAGGGGAAACAGCCAATGCAAAGGGCCAGAGGCAGGTGCTTCCCTGGTGGACTTTCCGCTGTGCTTTTTAGCCACTGTGCAGACATCAGGGGAGCGGGGCTGCTGGAAGACAGGCAGGGGACTGACAGGGTGATATGGTGCAGGCTGTGAATGGATGCCCTGGTTATGTCAGTGTGTGGGGGGCTGAGACAGCACAGGAATTGGGGCTCATCTCTCTCCTCTCTGAGGAATCTTGGGAAGGAAATAGGGGAGGGGGTATTGGAAAGAGGAGAGGTAAGTCCTGGGAGTGGGGGCGGGGGCGGCCAGGGAGAATAAAGCCAGCCTGGTTTTGACCTCATTTTCCCAAATGATGCCCTAGTTCTCACCACTCTCTTGTTTTCCTTGAGGAGAAATTGGTGGTATAGGGGCCAGAGTCATAGTAGAGCAGGTTTGGGTATTTGCCTTGCATGTTGCTGACCCGGGTTCTTCCCCCAGCATCCCATATGGTCCCATGAGCACCACCGGGAGTGATTCCTGAACATGTGGGAGGAACCCCTGAGCATCGCTGGGTGTGATCCCCCAAACAAACCATCTAAAACTGACCATGTGTATTTCCGGAAGGAGGGGAACTGCACCTTGCATTTTCGATGCCCCATGGAGTTTCTTAGTGATACTATTTCGGTTCCCTCTGGAAAGTTGTAGGGGGCCCCTGATGGCTGGGGAATTGGATGAGGAAGAGAACTGGAAGAAAAACTGCCCAAGCCGCCCCTCCGGGCCCGGGAAGGGTTGGGAGGTTGGTAACTGCGGTCTTCGGGGGAGGGTAAGACTCTGGTCGCAAGCTTTCAGCGACCCCGTGTCCCCTCCCCAGAGTCGCTGCAGGAGCTGGTGTCCCACACGGTGGTGCGCTGGGCCCAGGAGGACTTTGTGCAGAGCCCCGAGCTGGTGCGGGCCATGTTCAGTCTCCTGCACCGGCAGTACGACGGCCTCGGCGAGCTGCTGCGTGCCCTGCCCAAGGCCTACACCATCTCGCCGTCCTCAATGGAGGACACCATGAGCCTGCTCGAGTGCCTGGGCCAGATCCGCTCGCTGCTCATTGTGCAGATGGGGCCCCAGGAGGAGAACCTCATGATCCAGAGCATCGGGTGAGGCACCAACCCCCCCACCCCCCCCCACCCCACCCCCCGCCAGGAGGAGGGCGGGTTTCCGGTCTAGGTTTCCGGCCCCTCCTCTCTAAATGAGAGCAGGTGGGCCCACGCTTCGCACTCAGACTCACGCGAGGCCACCGTGAGCGCGTGGCTGCTGTGCGGTAGCAATGGGCCAGGGAACTGGTTTCATAGCAGAGCACAGGATTGCTAGGAGTGAGGTCCTGGGTTTGATAACCCCGCATTGCCCACGTGCGTGAGCGCATGCGCTCACGCTCGCACGCCTGCCTACCTGCACGCACTCACACACACGCAATTTATCAAGCAGGCGCTGCATGCCAGGCCCCTTTGATGCGCTTGGGGTTACAAAAGACACCTTAAGGGGCTGGAGCAATAGCACAGCGGGTAGGGCATTTGCCTTGCACGCGGCTGACCTGGGTTCAATTCCCAGCGTCCCATATGGTCCCCCGAGCACCACCAGGAGTAATTTTTGAGTGCATGAGCCAGGAGTAACCCTTGTGCATCACCAGGTGTGACCCAAAATGCAATAAATAAATAAATAAAAATAAAAACAAAAGACACCTTAATATGCCGCCTTGAATAAGGGCCTGTGTCCTGAGCCCTGAAATCGGGGCAATCCCAGTTCCTGTCCCTGTGCATGGCCAGAAGGTCAGGTGAGCTCAATTGTGTGTGAGGCAGTGCTGGGCACTGACGAAGAACCTCAAGAGTGTTGCAGTTATAGCAGCAAGAGTCTGAGGGGGCTCCCAGCGCTCACACCCCTGGTGACCCCCATGCATCTCCTTCCGCCCCCAGGAACATCATGAACAACAAGGTCTTCTACCAACACCCGAACCTGATGCGGGCGTTGGGCATGCACGAAACGGTCATGGAGGTCATGGTGAATGTCCTCGGGGGTGGCGAGTCAAAGGTGAGGTCCCAGGATGGTGAGGGTGTGCGGGAGGGGTCCCGGACAGTGACAGTGATGCCGGCACCCTCTTCCCCAGGAGATCCGCTTCCCCAAGATGGTGACGAGCTGCTGCCGCTTCCTCTGTTACTTCTGCCGCATCAGCCGCCAGAACCAGCGCTCCATGTTCGACCACCTGAGCTACCTGCTGGAGAACAGCGGCATCGGCCTGGGTGAGAGCCTGTCCCGCCCCTGCTTCTTGCTTGCTCCCTCAAGCACTCACTCAACAAACTCCTCAAGACCGGGCCTGAATCTGAGCCTGAGAGGGACAGGGCTAGGGTCTCCCTCATAGACTCTCCTGGGACCCCAGGAACAATGGGGAGGACAGACCTATCCCAGACTGATGGCCTGGGATGGGAAAGTCTTGGTCTGGGGAGTCAGCTGTCTCAGGTAAGAAAAGGGGGATTTAGGGGCCGGAGCTATAGCACAGTGGGTAGGATGTTTGCATCTCATGCAGACGACCCGGGTTTGATCCTGACACCCCATATAGTCGCCTGAGCACTGACAGAGGTGATTCCTGAGCTCAGAGCCAGAAGTAAATCCTAAACATTGCCAGGTGTAGCCCCCAAACAAACAAAAACAAACAAACAAAAAGAAAGAAAGAAAACAATCTGGGAGGGCTTCCTAGCAGAGGTGAGTCTAGCAGGAGTGAGAACCGGAAGAGCATCTCATGGCCTCATGCTCTCACAGGCATGCAGGGCTCCACACCTCTGGACGTGGCAGCCGCATCGGTCATCGACAACAATGAGCTGGCCTTGGCCTTGCAGGAGCAGGACCTGGAGAAGGTATGCCACAGGTGCCAAGCCCCTTGGGGTGCCTGCTGGTCGGGGCCCACATGAAAGGGGAGAAGTGGATGTGCAGGATTGAGTCAGAAGGGGAATGGGGGTACAGAATAGTCCTGTTACTTGGGGGGCGGGGCTGAGAGCAAACCCACGTTTCTCCCTCCCTGGCCTCCCCCACGTGATCTCTGCCCTCCACTTCTGTGTGCAGCATGAAGTGGCATCCCCACTGCCTTGGTGGGTGGCCTAGGACAAGTGACTTCCATTTTCCGAACCAGAACATGTATATATCTGTGTGATATGTCCGCATGTGGGCCTGAGAGATAGTATAGGGGTTAAGGCATTCCCCCAGCACGAAGCTGACCTGTTTCGAATCCCTAGCACCTTCGATGGTCTTCTGAGCACAGAGCTAGGAGTAAGCCCTGAGCACCCCACAGGTGTGTCTCTCCAAACCAAAAGTCCAAAGTCCAGTCTATCTACGCGCATCTGTGTTATGTCACCTGTGAATGCATTTAGGCAGTATGTTCTCAGGGCTGAGGAGGTGGCTGGTGATAAAGTGCGTGCCTTCCCTGGCATGTACGAGGGCTGGGTTTGATCCCAGGCACCGCAAAACCAAACCCAGCCCATAAAATCTGTAGTTTTTCATGAGACAGGGAAGACGGCTCAGAGTGTAGGAGTCCCAGGCTCTGTTCCCTGCGGGGCACTGCAAGGTCTGCTGATCATCACAGGGAGTAGCCTCCCCCAAGTACCACCAGGTGGCGTCAACACCCAAGAAATAAAAAAGGAAAGCATGTAGGCTCAGTGACCACTACCGTCCTGTTCCTGTAAAGACTATTGAGCGCCTACTGTGTGTCAGGACAGCTATGGGACGCCCCTGTTCTTACAGAGCTCAGGTTTCGGTCGGGAGGATGGGGAACAGATGAGCCATACACACCGATCAGCAGATGAGGCACTAAGGGGTGGGGGGAATGGGAGCTGGGAGAGGTCGGTGGGGAGAGGTGGGTACTGCCAGCTTGTTTGGGCTATGAAAGCTTCCCTGAGAAAGTGGCATTGAGGTCGGGCTCTGGAGGAGGTAGGGGCTCTGGATTGCTCAGGGGGGAGCCACGGAGGATGGGTGGATCCCATGGCCTGGGGTGTGCAGACACCCGTGTGGTGGGTGCAGAGGGAGAGAGGGCTGGGTGGGGGCAGGCGAGGGCAGTTCCTGGGGGGCTCTGGCTTTTCTCTCAGGCTGCAGGAGATCCTGGGTACCCGACCAGGTGTCTAGAGAGCCCCCCTGACTGTGAGGGACTGAGGTGGGGTGGGGGAGCCCCAGAGCATTCTTGTTTGCTCAGGGCTCCAGGGAGGCAGGATTGTGGGTCTGGCTGAGCCCCCTTCTGCCCCCCAGGTGGTGTCCTACCTGGCAGGCTGTGGCCTCCAGAGCTGCCCCATGCTCCTGGCCAAGGGGTACCCCGATATCGGCTGGAACCCCAGTGGCGGGGAACACTATCTGGATTTCCTGCGCTTTGCTGTCTTTGTCAACGGTGAGGTGGGAGGTGTTGGGGTGCCCCCCCCCAAGCCTCCCCTAGGGTGTGGGCCACATCCTCCAGCCCTCAACTGGGGGGAACCCTCCACGTGGGCCCAGAGGCGACTGGAGGAGTCACCCCTTGAGGTTCCCTGGGGTACACGCCTGGTGGATACTCACGAGCCCCCTGCCCCCCATTCCCCCATGCCCGGCCAGGCGAGAGCGTGGAGGAAAACGCCAACGTGGTGGTGCGGTTGCTCATCCGTAAGCCCGAGTGCTTCGGGCCGGCGCTGCGCGGGGAGGGCGGCTCGGGGCTGCTGGCCGCAGTGGAGGAGGCCATCCGCATCTCCGAGGACCCGGCGCGCGACGGCCCAGGGGTGCGCAGGGACCGGAGGCGCGAGCAGTGAGTGTCCCACCTCTTGGCCCGGCCCGCCCGCCCCCGCGGGACCCCGCCGCCGCGCCCGCTCCAGCCCCACCCACCACCCCCCTGTCTTCCCGCAGCTTCGGTGAAGATCACCCCGAGGAAAACCGGGTGCACCTGGGACACGCCATCATGTCCTTCTACGCTGCCTTGATCGACCTGCTGGGCCGCTGTGCGCCCGAGATGCACGTGAGAGTCCAGGGACAGGGACTGGGCTGGGGTCCTGGTGCGCGTGCGCACTGCCGAGCTCTGGGGTCGTGGGGGGCCAGCAGTGCTGGGGACTCACAGTATCCCCGGGGAAACCGGGCACTGCCGGGGGCTTCGAGTGGGGGGGGCGGCAAGAATGCAGTGAAACATAGGTGGGAGCGAGCCTAGAGTTAGCCCGCAAGAAGGGTCCAGTTCCGCCTGCCACTGTCTGGGAGGGCACGGAGCAAGGGCCAGAGGGGTTCTGTGAGCCATGCTACGCCCCCTCTCCCCTCCAGCTGATTCAAACTGGCAAGGGCGAGGCCCTGCGGATTCGTGCCATCCTGCGCTCCCTCGTGCCCCTGGATGACCTCGTGGGCATCATCAGCCTCCCCCTGCAGATTCCCACCCTGGGCAAAGGTGAGGAGAGGGCATGGGGATGGGAGTGGGGTTCCCTGCCCCGGGCACCCCTGACGCCCTGCCCTGCCCGCCCACAGATGGGACCTTGATCCAGCCCAAGATGTCAGCCTCCTTTGTGCCGGACCACAAGGCATCCATGGTGCTCTTCCTGGACCGCGTGTACGGCATTGAGAACCAGGACTTCCTGCTGCACGTGCTGGATGTGGGCTTCCTGCCTGACATGCGCGCCGCAGCCTCACTGGACACGGTGAGGAGCGGTGCCTGGCCTGCCACCCTCCCTGCTGGGGAGGGAGCTCATGGGAGAAGCCCCAGCCTGCCCGAAAGTTGCCTGGGCTCACCTCCCTCACCGTGTAGGCGGCAGGCAGGGCAGGAGAACAGAACAGGGGCTAAGCATATGCCATACATGCTGTGGACAGGTGTGGAACCACGTGGTCCCCCAGGTGTGACCATGTGCAACCCAGATGACCCCCAAGACCTCTTGACCGGAGGAATTGACTGGGCACCTGTCCCAGTCAGTTGGCTGGGAATTGCCAAGAGGGTCCCCCAGGTCTCTTGGGCCAGGCTTGGGAGTCCCTGCATCCACATGAAGACAGCAAACATATAATTCCCGTGTCAGTTTCCATTTATGATGAGATGACACAGTGGTCTTCGAACAAAGAAACCTGTTCTACAAATCAATCTTGTAGTCAGGGGAGATATACTGCAGGGGGTTAGAAAGCCCATGCCTTGAATGCCTCCACCTGGGTTCCATGCCTGGCACCCCATGACCTCCTGAACACTGCCCTGGTGGTGTACTTCCAGGTGTATCCCGTGGAGATCCCTGAACATCACCAGTGGTGGTCCCAGTGGTCCCTGTCTCTGGCAGCCAGTCCCCCTCTGAAAGAACTGTCCCTGGTTCTGTGGTCAGTTGGTGCAGCATGATGGGTCAAGGACCGGGTTTGGGAGTGGCCAGATGTGCCTGAGTAGTCCTTATACTTGATCTGTGTGATCCTGATCCAGAAAGTTTCATTAGCCTCACAGGACAGAGATAGTACAGCGGGGTAAGGCAATGTACATTCTGCTGTGCTAAAATTAAAAAAAAAACCATAAAACACATTAACCTTAGCTTTCCCATGTACACAGTGGGATAAAGAACAATCCCTGCCTCATATGGTCATTGACAAAGGAAGGATTACCAGGGCGGGCTATGGGGCGAGTTCTAAGTCCTGGCATCTGATTCCCATTCATGTTGGTTATTGTTAGCAATACTATGATTTAAAGTGCTTTTTAGGAGCTGGAGCAGGTAGGGTCTTGCGTGTGTCCAACCAGGGTTCAATCCCCAACATCCCTTATGGTCCCGAGTAACACCAGGAGTGATCCCTGAGTTCAAGGCCAGGAGTAAACCCTGAGCATCACCAGGTATAGCCCAAAAAGAGAAAAAAAGAAGGTGTTTTTTAGGGACGCTGGAGAGACAGTAACTGGGTAGGGGTAAGGTGGCTGCCTTGCATGTAGCCAACCTGGGTTTGATCCCCAGCACCCCATATCATCCCCCAAGCCTGCCAGGAATGATCCCTGAGCACAGAGTCAGGAGGAAGCTCTAAAGTACCACTGGGTGTTGATCCCCAAAATAAATAAATAAATAAATAAAATTACATTTAGGGCCCAGAGCTAGTACAGGGATTGAGATGTTTGCCTTGCACGTGCTGACCCTGGTGCAGTCCCCAGGGTCTGCATGTGGTTCCCCTGAACCCCATCAGAAGGGATCTTTGGGAGCAGAACCAGGGGAGCCTCTGGGTGTGCCCCCAAAAATATATAACAGGAAAGAGGGGACAGGCTAGAGAGTAATAAAGCAGGGAAGAGGAAAAATTTGGTTTGGGTAGATCACAGGTTAGGGGCATTTGTCCAGAGTTATTCAGCCTAGGTGTGGCAACTCGGGAGCATACAGAGGTCCTGAGCGCCCCACCACCCTCTCCTCCGCACCCCAGGCCACCTTCAGCACCACGGAGATGGCACTGGCGCTTAACCGCTACCTGTGCCTGGCCGTGCTGCCGCTCATCACCAAGTGCGCACCGCTGTTCGCGGGCACAGAGCACCGCGCCATCATGGTGGACTCGATGCTGCACACCGTGTACCGCCTGTCCCGTGGCCGCTCACTCACCAAGGCACAGCGCGACGTTATCGAGGACTGCCTCATGGCGCTCTGCAGGTGGGGCACCACCAGGGAGGGGCGGTGTAGTTTACGGGCAGGGGGCATGCGCCTGTGCATGAGATCCCACCGCCCCGCCCGGCGCTTGTGTCCGCAGGTACATCCGCCCATCCATGCTGCAGCACCTGCTACGGCGCCTGGTGTTCGATGTGCCCATCCTGAACGAGTTCGCCAAGATGCCACTCAAGGTTAGCTCGCCAGCGGGAGCATGCTAATTTGCATGCCCCATCTCTGGGGGGGGGGGGCGGTCCACTGTTCTGGGGAGCCCCGCCCCCTAGTTTGGTTGGTTATATCCTACTGTCCAATTCAGAGAAGCAGCCAATAGAATAGCGTCCCTATAGAAGCCTCTTTAGCATATTCATTTGCATACTTGGCTTCCCCAAGCGTTCACCCTGTCACTGGTGCAGCTAACACTCGTTGACTGGCGTTTTATTGGCCCGACTGTGAGCCAGCCACACCTAATTATCATACACTTGCTCGGGCCACACCGTTTTTCCTGATCAGCATGTTCCTTTCATGCCCAGACCACCAGTCACCCGCTGTTCAAACAAGTGCATGTATTTGTATAAACAGTACCACAGCTAGTCTGAATATTTGCAGTCTCTCCTATTATCTTTTCATTTGCATGCTAGTTTCTCTAAGGAGAAACCTCCCACACAGTTATCTTGGCTTAGTCCCTGTTTCAAATTGGCATATTAAATGGTGAAGGCCCTCTTCCCAGTGACCATTCATTTGCCTGGGGTGCTGCCAGCCTTCCTGTTTGGCATGGCAATCCATACTGGTATGATCACTCTGGCAGTGTGTCCAATTGCACGTGACCCTCCCCAGAGATTAATATAGCATGCTGTTTTGTGTAAAGCCACGCCAGACAAATCCAGCCCATCCTGACTCTAAATTAGAATACTGAAATTGCAAAATAAATGATCTTGGTATCAGTTCCAAAGAATGGCCAGGCCTTTATAGCATGCCATCTACGTAACCCCGCCTTCCCTGTCATTTAAAAGCTTGGCAGCCAGAAGCATTTGGCCTTTCATCTGCCTTCCACTTGCTTGTATTCTCGCCTTCATTTGGGTGTCCCCCTCTTCCTGCTCTCCCCCAGCTCCTCACCAACCACTACGAACGATGCTGGAAGTACTACTGCCTCCCCACAGGCTGGGCCAGCTTCGGGGTCACCTCCGAGGAAGAACTGCACCTCACACGGAAACTCTTCTGGGGAATCTTTGACTCGCTGGCCCATAAGGTCTGGGAGACCTGAAGGGACCCCTGAAAGAAGTCTGTGTGGATGGCTTGGAAGCAAAGTTGGGGATCCAGAATCAAGTCCCCACTATTTGAGGGTTCAAAGAGAGTGGAAGTTGTACAGGTTTGGGTCTGGGGACTCTGACAGAGCTTCTGTTTGGATTCTCCAGTTTGGAGGCCAGGAAAGTGGAAATATAATGGTGTACTGGGGGTTCCAAAGGACAGGGAATATGATGTATGTTTTGGGGCTCAGGGAGGAGGGTTGATGGTTAGTTCTGAGGTTTCAGGGCTCCATGATTTCCACATTCAGTCAGGCCTGCAGTGACCCCTCTGCCTCTTGACCCTCCCAGAAATACGACGCAGAGCTATACCGCATGGCCATGCCCTGTCTGTGCGCCATCGCTGGGGCCCTGCCCCCTGACTATGTTGATGCCTCATACTCCTCGAAGGCCGAGAAGAAGGCCACAGTGGACGCAGAGGGCAACTTTGATCCTCGGCCAGTGGAGACCCTCAAGTGAGCCTTGGGGACCGAAGGGTGTAGGGGTGGGGAGCTGAAAGAAAGGTAAGGAGGGCCGGGCCCCTAGGTCTGCTGACTTGACCTTTCTGCCCCCAACAGCGTGATCATTCCCGAGAAGCTCGACTCCTTCATTAATAAGTTCTCCGAGTACACGCATGAGAAGTGGGCCTTCGACAAGGTAAGCAGGCTCTCCCGCCAGGAGCTGCACCCCTGCCCACCTCCCTCAGAACCCCAGCCTATGCCAGTTTACCTCACGGCCTCCCCTGGAGCCCTCTGCTGCTCAGGACTCCTCTCTGGGTCCTCCAAACTGCTGTCTGCCCCCCATCCTACCCCTGCCCCCTCCAGTTCCATGTGGCACTACCTCCACCTGTCCCCTCCTCACCACCAGATCCAGAACAACTGGTCCTATGGGGAAAACATCGATGAGGAGCTGAAGACACACCCCATGCTGAGACCTTACAAGACCTTCTCCGAGAAGGTGACTAAGCCTTGGGGTTCCCTGTTGGGGGATCCACAAGATGACCCCCACATTGCAGAGTTCAAGAAGGAATAAGCAGCTGGGGAGATAGTTCAAAAGGCAGAGTATGCTGTATGCTGGAGGCCTAGGTTTGATCCCCTGTACTGCCTGGTCCCCAAAGCACCACCAGGAGTGACTCCTGAGCCAGGTTGGGTGTGGTTCCAAACCCCAGTTTTTTTTTTTTTCAAAAAGGAGTTGGGGCTGGAGCGATAGTACAGCAGGTAGGGCATACTACCCTTTGCCTTGCACATGGCCGACCTGGGTTTGATACCCAGCATCCCATATGGTCCCCCGAGCACCGTCAGGAGTAATTCCTGAGTGCAAAACCAGGAGTAACACCTGTGCATCGCGGGGTGTGACCTGAAAAGCTTAACAAAAAAAAAAAAAAAAAAGAGGAGTTAGTTACAGCATCACTGGCTTGGATCTAAAGGATCTGTGGGTTAGCTTCCCTGTCCATGGACTTGACTTGCCCTTCAGCCACTTTGGTGCCTCCCCTCCCCTGGACTCTACATTCATGTTCCTTCTCCTAGGGAGTGAGGCTGAGTGTCATGTCCCGATTTTACACGTTCTCTGAGCCTCCTCTCTAAACAGGATCATGAGAGATAGTTTGGGAGGGTTCTGTCACCAAGCAGGTAAGAGACCAGGAGTTCCAAGAGCACGTGGGCCCCTGCCTAGTCACGTGGTCTCCGCTTTCCCTTTCTAGGAAGGCAGTGAAGCTCCACCACCCTCTTACCTTCCACTCCACTAACTCCCTTTCCTCCTGTCCATCCAGGACAAAGAGATTTACCGCTGGCCCATCAAGGAGTCCTTGAAGGCTATGATCGCCTGGGAGTGGACGATAGAGAAGGCCCGGGAGGGTGAGGAGGAGAAGAGTGAGAAGAAGAAAACCAGGAAGATTTCCCAAAGCGCCCAGGTGGAAGCGGGCTTAGGGAGGGGCGGGGTCGCTGGGTGATTGGTTAGAATAAGGGGGTCGGGGGGCGGGAGGCGGGGCCAGAAGTGAGGAGGCGAGAAGCAAGGTGCATAAGGTCTGGGAAAGGGTGGTTGGAAAAATTGGCGGAGAAGAAGGGGATGGTTGGCTGGCTGAGACACAGCCCTTAAGGAAGGGGCGCAAGGGAGGGGTCTGGGGTCTTGGTGAGTGGGGGGTGTGACCTGGGTTGGGGTCTGGGTATCCTGCTAACTCATCAGGCTCCCCATCTCTCCCTTGCCCTACCAGACCTATGACCCCCGAGAAGGCTACAACCCTCAACCCCCTGATCTCAGTGGAGTCACCCTGTCTCGGGAGTTGCAGGTGAGACCTCCCTCACCCCATCCTTTCACCGGGGGTGGTGGCTGGGAGGGGTTGGGCACCCTCTGAAGATGCACCTGAACCTTCCACACCCCCCTCCCCCGTACATCTCAGGCTATGGCTGAGCAGCTGGCGGAAAATTACCACAACACGTGGGGGCGCAAGAAGAAGCAGGAGCTGGAGGCCAAGGGTGAGGGCGCCCGTCCCAGGCCAGACTACACCCCACCCCAGTCCCCTAGTGACAGTCTAAGGACTTAGGTCAGAGTTGTGTGACTCGGGGGGATTCCAGCTTTTCAACAGTAGGGGTGAACTGTTGGAAAGCGTTCGGCTATTCTTATCCCCCCTCTGTATAAACGTCTAGTTACTGTAATTATGCACGCCCTCAAGGGCAGAACCCACATAAAAAGAGTGTTCTGGCTCCAACCCCCCTCCCCACCCCACCCCACCCCGCCACGCCAGTGCCCATTCCCGATTTTCTCTGGCCCAGGTGGTGGGACCCACCCCCTACTGGTCCCCTATGACACACTCACGGCCAAGGAGAAGGCACGAGACCGAGAGAAGGCCCAGGAGCTGCTCAAGTTTCTGCAGATGAACGGCTACGCGGTCACCAGGTACGCGGGCTGGTTTTTGGGGATAGGGACACAACCCAGGCGGCAAAAGCCTGAGAACCTTGGGCGGGCAGCAGAGGCGGGGCCAGGGAGGGGCGGAGCCTGAGAGGGAGGGGCTGGGCCAGAGGCGGGGCCAGGGAGGGGCGGAGACCGCGAGGGGAGGAGCTTGGGGCGAGAGGTGGGGCCAGAGAGGGGCGGAGACTGCAAGGGGAGGGGTCTGGGGCAGAGGCATGGTCATGGAGGGGCGGTAGCTGAGGGGCGGGGCCTGGGGTTAGAGGCGGGGCCGGAGGGGCGGAGACTACAAAAGCTGGGGCCTGAGGCCAGAGGCGGGGCCAGGGAGGGGCGAGGTTTAGGGGCAGGGCCAGGGAGAGGGGCGGAGACCAAGGGGCGGGGCCAGAGATCAGAGGCAGGGGTCAGGTAAAGTAGATTAAGAGGCTAGGTGATTGGGGATCGGAGGGGGCCAAGGAGGGGAGGGCCATAAGGGATTGGGCCTGGGGTTGAAGGTGGTGTCAGGGAAGGGAGAAACTAAGAGGGGTCGGGCCAGAGAAGGAGAAGGAGGCGAAGCAGGTTGGGGCTAGAGGGGAGGGGCCAGTCAAGAAGGAGCACAGCGGGGGGGACACAGGGATGGGAGGTGTGTCCAGGGAGGGATCTGGACTCAAAGATCCCGTAGTGAGGCAGGCTGGAGCTGGTGGAGACAGAGGCAGAAGAGGCAGAGCTGGAGCCAGGCGGGCTGCCGGGAGGGGGGGGGGCGGGCGGGGCGGAGCGCAGTGTGGGCTGAAGGCCTCCTTTTTCCTGTCCTGCAGAGGCCTGAAGGACATGGAGCTTGACACATCTTCCATTGAGAAGCGGTTTGCTTTCGGCTTCCTGCAGCAGCTGCTGCGTTGGATGGACATTTCCCAGGAGTTTATTGCCCACCTGGGTACAGAGAGTTTCCCACCCCCCACTTGCCCTTTCTGCAGCTCAGGCTTTCTCCTTGCCACCCTCTCCTCACCTGACAGTTATGCTGGGTGTTGTCCTCAGCTGGGGAACACAGGATCGAGCTAGACACACACTGTCCTGCAGTTCATGCTCCAGCAGTGGGTCCAGCAGTGGGCACGGATCTCCCAGTCTCAGTGCAGGGGGAGGCCTTTTTCTGTGTGTGGCCCTCAAAAAAAAGTCAGAATGGGGTCTCACATCATCTTAGAGAGGCCTGAGAGAGAGCCAGAGTCCCCCAGAGGTCTGGCAGGGCAGCTTTCTGACCACACACCTCATCTCAGATGGCTCCAGGCAGGCTTCTCTCCAAGCTGCCTTCCTGCTTGCAATGGGAGCTTCTGTTCACCAAAACTGGCCGGGGTCCCAAGTGTTATTTCACCTCAGTTTCCTCATCTGTGTGATGTGGGAGAGGACAAGGGAGAAGTTTGCAGGAGGCTGCTCCTCAGTGCCAGGGACATAACAACTGTCAATAAGTGTTCAGATAGGGAGCTGGTGGGATTACTTTAATAGCGTTGATCACTAATTGCTGTAACTGTTAACCCCAAATTTCCATTTATGTACTGGGGGAGAGAGGGGGGACCCACAACTTTTAGTACTCGGGCTGCTCCTGACTCTGCTCAGAAATATTTCTGACTCCTTCGGCAGTGCTCAGGGGAACTATATGCTATGCCAGGAACTGAACTGGCATCCATAGCGTTGCAAGTTAAATGCTGTAACAAGCCCTGTACTATCTCCTGGCCCTAATATTTACATTTTAACTCAAATTCTGATCTGTCTACAGTGACTCCTTGTTTTATTCCATTCATTCCATATTTATTCAGCGTCTCAAGCTCAAGAATAAAAGGGTATGTGATCGGAGAGGACAGGGATGGCGTAATCTCATGCCTCTTTGTCCTCATCCTGATTTCAGCATCAGGAAGGGTTTGATCAAGGAGTCAGGGCCATCAGATGAAAGATAAGGGAGGGCTGGAGAGATAGCACAGTGGACAAGGCTATCTCTTGCATGTGTCCGACCTGGGTTTGATTCCTGGCACTGCATAGGGGTCCCTAAGCACTACCAGGGTTGAGCTTGAGCCAGGAGCAAGCTCTGAGCACAGCAAGGTGTGTACAATGCCTCCCCTCCTTCCCCCGTAAGAAAGACGAGGGCAGATGGCTTCTAAAGCCATCAGAGGTGACACCTTAGGAAAAAAATGTATCTCTTGTCAACCCCTAACTCTGTCCCCCGAGTCCTTCCCTGTCAGAAAGCCCTGACTCCCTCAGCCTTGAGTCCTCTGTGACCCTCATCTGCCCTCCCCCGACAGAGGCTGTGGTCAGCAGTGGACGGGTGGAAAAGTCCCCCCATGAACAGGAAATTAAATTCTTTGCCAAGGTGAGCGTTGGGCTCTGGAATTGGGGGTGCCAGGGGCAGGGGAGCTCCATCCTTCTCCCAGCTCCTCTCACTTCTTCCTTTGGCTCCAGATCCTGCTACCTTTGATCAATCAGTACTTCACCAACCATTGCCTCTACTTCCTGTCTACACCTGCCAAAGTACTGGGCAGTGGTGGCCACGCCTCCAACAAGGAGAAGGAAATGATCACCAGGTGGGCCATCCTGTCACCCCGGCCCATTGCCCTGCCATCCTGGGCCCATGAGCTTGAGGCACGGAGGCTTGAGTCTGGACACTGAATGCTGGGCCCCTGGTGGTGATTGGAGGTTTAAGGGACAGTGGACTTGTCATGCTCGGGTCTGAGGCATTTCCTTGCAAAGGGGACTCTTAGGAGCTCAGTGTCCTCAAACCTCAGTTCCTACCAGTGCCCTTCATTCAGCTAGACCGTCTCCTCTGTCACCTCACCCTGCCTGCCCCCACACCCCCCGTGTTGCTCCTCCAAGCTCTATCTCCGTCCCCTCTCTCTCCCTGCCTCCTCCTATCCTGTCCCCCATCTTCTTGGTCCTCGCTGCCTCCTCGCTCCCTATTTCCTGGTCTTCCTTCCTTCTCTCTCTTCAGCCTCTTTTGCAAACTAGCTGCCCTTGTCCGCCATCGCGTCTGTCTCTTCGGTAAGTACCCTGGCCTGACCCCTGTACCTCTCTCTCGGCCCCTCATCAACTGGCCACCCCAAAGATCCCAGCCCAGGGTCTTGCCTGGGTTTGGACAACCTCATTCTTCCACTGGACCTGGACACAGTCTGAGCAGCCTTGTGGATAGGGCAGGGAGGGGACAGCCTGGGTCCAGCCCTCCTGGTGCCTCCAGACAGACTCACCACAGTGTCAGCAGAGGCTGAGAGGAGGAACCCAGGGGCCAGGGCAGCGGGTGCGGGCCTGTGTGGGATGATGCCAAGGGAGGGTCTGTCCACAAACCCTTCCTCCGTCTGAGCCCCTCCTCTCCCAGGCACGGATGCACCAGCTGTGGTCAACTGTCTCCACATCCTGGCCCGCTCCCTGGATGCCAGGTGAGGCCCTGGGCCGTCATGCCCGCTCTCTGCCCCACCCCACGCCTCTCCTCCCCCCATCAGAGTGTATCATGTGTCCTGACCCCCTGCTAGGACCGTGATGAAGTCGGGCCCTGAGATTGTCAAGGCCGGCCTGCGCTCCTTCTTTGAGAGTGCCTCGGAGGATATTGAGAAGATGGTAGAGAACCTGCGTCTGGGCAAGGTGTCGCAGGCGCGCACGCAGGTGAAGGGCGTGGGCCAGAACATCACCTACACCACCGTCGCCCTGCTGCCCGTCCTCACCACCCTCTTCCAGCACATCGCCCAGCACCAGTTTGGAGACGACGTCATCCGTAAGGCCCCTGGCGGCTGGACTTGGGGGGGGGTGTATGGCATGTGGTGTGTGTGTGTGTGTGTGTGTGTTCCTAGGGATGGAACTCAGGGCCTCATGCATGCAAGGCCACTGCTCAACCACTGAACCAAACTCCTGCCCCTTGGTGGGCCCTCCTTTGGGGAGCACATGGTGTGCATTTTTCCAGAGAGAGTGTGGGTCACACTCTTGCCCAAGAGCCACACTCCTCCCCAGGGGAGACCCACCTGCTGCACAGGGAGCCATGGTGTGCCCGTGTGTGCCTGTGTGTGCCCGAGTATGCCTGTGTGTATCCACGTGTGCCCATGCGTGCCCACTGCACAGGGAGCCGCATGTGCCCATATGTACCCGTGTGTGCCTCTGTGTGCTCGTTCTCATACCCTCTGTGGGTGGATCCTTACGATCCTCACAGCAGCCTGCCAGGACCTGCCTAGTCACACCCATTCACAGAGAGGAAAACTGAGACTAGAGCGTTAGGGGGCTTCTCCTGGGGGCGGGGCCAGGAGGAGCGTGCTGGTGGCTGAGCTTCCCCGCTCTTACCCTCAGTGGATGACGTCCAGGTCTCTTGCTACCGAACGCTGTGCAGCATCTACTCTCTGGGGACCACCAGGAACCCCTACGTGGAGAAGTAAGAAGAGAGCAATGGAGGGGGGGGCGGGCAGGGCTGGCACTTTGGGGGCTCAGGCAGGGGAGGGAGCAGAAGAAGTGGTGGGTGGAAATCAGGGAAAATAACACACACACACCTACAGTACATATACACACACTCCTACAGTGCGCGCGTGCACACACACACGCACATACACACACCTACACACCTGCAGTTCCTCACTGTGGCCACATGAGGGCACTCAGAGAAAAGCCAGGCAGGTGTGTGGGGGCGGGGGGAGGGGGGGAAATGGCTAGATACCAAGTTGCTCCAAGCAACAACACAAAGTGAAGGTGGCTCCAGGCCCAGAAGTCACTGCATGCCGGGAGCACTGGGGACTGCTCCCGCACCAGGTCAGAGGCAGCTGGAATACCCTCAGGAAGTCCAGGGAGGTACCAGTGGTGCCCTGCCAGGGGCACATCTGTGTGGGTGGTGGCTGGAACCAGGAGGGCCCAGGGGAGCTCAGCACAGCTGCCTCCTACAGGCTTCGGCCAGCTCTGGGCGAGTGTCTGGCCTGCCTGGCAGCGGCTATGCCGGTGGCTTTCCTGGAGCCTCAGCTGAATGAGTACAACGCCTGCTCCGTCTACACCACCAAGTCTCCCCGGGAGCGAGCCAGTAAGTGTGGGGGACTGGGGTGCATTCCAGCAGCACAGGGCCTAGGTTTCCCTGGGGGAGCCAGTGAGGTCTGCCGTGGGCTCAGGGACTGAGCTCCTGAACCCAGGGTGGGGGGGCTCCCAGAATTCCTTGGGGGGGAGGTGCACTGGCACAGCCTGACACCCCCGTACCCCAGTCCTGGGGCTCCCCAGCAGCGTGGAGGAGATGTGCCCCGACATCCCGGTGCTGGAGCGGCTCATGGCAGAAATCGGGGGACTGGCTGAGTCTGGCGCCCGCTACACGGAGATGCCACACGTCATCGAGATCACACTGCCCATGCTGTGCAGCTACCTACCCCGCTGGTGGGAGCGGGGCCCTGAGGCACCCCCGCCCAGCATCCCCGGTGGTGCTCCACCACCCTGCACGGCCGTCACCTCTGGCCACCTCAACTCCCTGCTGGGGGACATCCTTCGCATCATTGTCAACAACTTGGGCATCGATGAGGCCTCGTGGATGAAGCGACTGGCAGGTGGGCCCGCGGTGGGGCCTGCTGGGAGCATGGGCGGGCCTGCAGGCCAGGACGCAGGGCGCAGGGTTTGAGTCGCGGGCTCAGGAGGCTGGGGCTTGACTCCTGGGAGCCCCACGGGCGCAGCCTGGGAATCGGGGGGCCTTGGGGGTTAGGTCACAGGCTCGCCAGAACAGAGACCCAGGTCAGGGGCCAGGGTGACGGCGCAAAGGGCTGGAGCACATAGCTTGCATGATCGAGACTCAACTTCAGAGCACATGGCACCGCTCGACCCCTCTGTACCCCCGGATCAGGCCCCGGGGGACTCCAGGCCACGGGGCCTCAGCACAGGTCGAGATCTGGATCAGAGCCCAGCAAGAGATCGGGACTCACAGGCCAGGATTAGGATCAGAGGCTGGTGAACAAAGCCAGGGGTCAGGGTCTGGGGTCATGTGGTGAGACAAGTGTGGACATCCAGGCCAGAAGCTAGAGAGGGGTGAGAGGTCACCTCTGGGATTAGATTCAGTTGTTGGCATCAGAGGTCAGGGACTTGGCATCAAGGCTGGGTCACAGGTTCAGGTCAAGGATTACAGCTGGCTGAGTCCTGTGAGAGGTCACGACTTCAGGTCACGAGCGAAATCAGAGGTCAGGTTTGGAGTTGGGGTCAGAGGCCAGAGGTCAGAGGCCGCAGGTGGCTCCCCATTTGCCTCGGCAGTGTTTGCACAGCCCATCGTGAGCCGGGCACGGCCCGAGCTGCTGCACACGCACTTCATCCCCACCATCGGGCGCCTGCGCAAGCGGGCGGGGAAGGTGGTGGCCGAGGAGGAGCAGCTGCGGCTGGAGGCCAAGGCGGAGGCCGAGGAGGGCGAGCTCCTGGTGCGCGACGAGTTCTCCGTGCTCTGCCGGGACCTGTACGCCCTCTACCCGCTGCTCATCCGCTACGTGGACAACAACAGGTGACCTGGCCGGTGGCCGCCCGCCCACTCCACCTGTCCCCACCTCTGCCTTCCGGCCGCTGTGGACTTCCCTCCTCCCTTGACGCCATCCGCCGCCCCCCACCCCCCCTCCCCACGGGGCCCCTTTCCCACCCAGATCCAGCCTGCTGCCATTTGTCCCCATGCTGCCCCCGTTATACCCCGGTTCTGAGTTCCACCGGGGGCTGCGGTGCCAGCCAGAGGAGCCCCGCTGCCCGCTCTGCCCTGTGTTCAGGCTGGGGTGGACGGGGCCGTGGAGTCAAATACATGGTCAGACGTTTCCCATCACTGAGACAAGAAAAGAAGATGGTCTAGATCTTCTCCTGCACCCCAGTGTTCCCCCAAAACTAGGGGATTTAGCTAAAGGGCAAGCACAGGTATCAGCCCCTTGCTAGCATCTCCCTAAATCTTTTCTTTTTTCTTTCTGCTTTTGGGTATTCACACCCGGCAGTGCTCAGCGTTTCTCCTGGCTCTGCACTCAGGAATTACTCCTGGCAGTGCTCAGGGGACCATATAGGAAGCTGGGGGTCCAGCCCAGGCTGGCTAGCACCCTCCCTGCTGTACTATGGTTCCAGTCCCTGCTCCAGAAACTTCCTGGTGCAGCCTCATCCCAGGATAGGATAGTTTCAATTCTAAGCTCCAGCCTGGGTAGAAAAGACTTTGGGGCTCACTAGGACTTCAGAAGCTGTGTCCGCTGAGGGCACAGAGAGGGAAACAGTGGCTCCGCGCAGCTGCTAGCTTACCCCTCCAGGGAAACTGCACAGCCCTCAGCTGCATAGAAAACTATGCTCCAGGGGCTGGAGCAATAGCACAGTGGGTAGGGCGTTTGCCTTGCACGCAACCAACCTGGGCTCGATTCCCAGCTCCTATATGGTCCCCTGAGCACCGCCAGGGGTAATTCCTGAGTGCAGAGCCAGGAGTAACCCCTGTGCATTGCTGGGTGTGACCCAAAAAGAAAAAAAAAAGTGAACTATGCTCCAGTAACTGTTGGCTTGCCCTGGCCACATACCTTGGGTTAGATACTTTCTGGAACTCTTTTTTTTTCTTTTCCTTTTTTTTTCTTTTAAATTTTGGGCTACACCAGCAGCTCTCAGGGATTATTTCTGGCTCTGTGCTCAAGAATCACTCCTGGAGGTGCTCAGGAGACCATATGGGATGCTGGGAATCGAACCCTAGTCAGCTGTATGAAAGGCAAATGCCTTCCCTGCTGTATTATTGCTCATATTTGATTTATTTTTATGTTTTACATGCAATATTGTCTGGGGGGAATCTTCGTTTCCTTCTAGCCCTATGAACTTCATTGTTTCTCCTTTTTGATGGAAGCAGGTGGCCCGAAACACAACCCCCCCCAAAAAAACAACAGAAATCTCTGTGGTGTCCTGTTTACAGACCCAAAGAGTTGGTGATCTGGCAGTCAGGAGGAGGGGGGCCAGGAATTCTCAGGAGAACCCAACATTCTTTTCTTTAGTTTTATTTTTAGACCACACCCAGCAGTGCTCAAGGATCACTCCTGGAGGGGCCCGGGAGACCATAAGGGATGCAGGGAATGGAGCCTGGGTTGGCCGCATGCCAGAAAAATGTCCAGCCCACTGTACTCTGGCTTCGACTCTGGAAGCCTGATTCTTTTAGGAGTGGGGTGGGGTTACCCAGATGTGGCTGCTGGTGACAGCCATCTCTGCATACCACACCTCCTCCTGCAGGTTGGGGGAGCAGAAAGAAAGCAGCATTCTAACCATGGCATCATGGGGGTGGCCGGGTCACCTCAGAAATCTCCCTTCCACTGGCATCTCCCGGTGCCCTTGATGTCTCCTGCTCAGAGAGCGCTCGCAGGGGCCCGTCTTCTGGAGTCCCCAGCCCTCACCAGCCCCTCTGCCACCACCCAGGGCACACTGGCTGACAGAGCCCAACCCCAATGCTGAGGAGCTGTTCAGGACGGTGGGAGAGATCTTCATCTACTGGTCCAAGTCCCATGTGAGTGCCGCCCCTCCTCCAGTGCCCAGCCGCCCTTTCTCCGACCCTGCTTGACCCCCTCGACCCTGCTCCCTGCAGAACTTCAAGCGCGAGGAGCAGAACTTTGTGGTGCAGAACGAGATCAACAATATGTCATTCCTGACAGCTGACAACAAGAGCAAGATGGCCAAGGTGGGCATTTTGTCCTGCACTGGGGCGGCAGGGGGGCAATCTTGGGCTCCCCCTGGCCCCAGTGGCCTCTTCCTTCCCCCAAGTCCTCCCTGCTGGGTCCCTCCTCCCTTTCCCCTTCCTTGCTGCAGCTTCCTTGTTCCCCCACGTCCTCACCCTCCTCCCCTAACTGTCCTCCCCGCCACCATTTCTCCCCTATGCCCTGTACTAGCCCTGGTCCCTCTTTTCCTCTCCCCTAACCATCCTCAGAAACTCCCTCTGCAGGGACCCTCTGACCCCATGAGGGGATGTCTACTGGGGTGGGGGAGTGAGGCGCGGGGGTTCTCGGAGGTCTGGGGTAACCCTTCTTGTCTCTGTCTGCAACCCGGCGAAGCAGGCGGGAGACGTACAGGTCAGCCCCATGCCTGGAACCTTCCGCATGGCTCTTGGCTCGAACCCTCTTCTCCCTCAAACCCAGAAAATTCCCACCCCCTGCCCCTTCCCATCTCGAGTTCCCATCCTCTTTCTCTTCCTCACTGACCCCCCCTGCCCCACCATCCCATTTCCTTCCTGACCCTCAGCTTTGAGGAATTTTAATTTTTTTTTAACTGTTGTTAAAAAAAAAAGAAAAAAAAAGACCTCTGGACTCTCCCAGCATCGAGCTTCTGGGTGTCCCCGTGGCGCATGGTTGGGTTCTGGAATCAGTCTTGAGTTTGAGTCCTGACCCTTGGCAGCTGGCCTGTGACCTTGGCCAAGTGTCTTGTCCTCTTGAACCTCAGTGGGCGCTGGGCTGCGGCCGATACACTCAGCGGTGCTGCATGCGTGACCTCAGCGTGCCTGGCACCCAGGGTGTGCCCCAGCCTGTGTGCCCGCGTGGTGTGGCTCTGGCCGAAGCTTGTCACCGGGGCTTGTCAAGGCATGGCAGGGGTGGCCCTGGCCAGGGGGTCTGCACCGCCAAGCTCCAGAGTACGGCTGTGGGACTCTGTGCCCCGTGTTTCTGCTGCCAGATCTTTCTGGAACTCTCTTGCCTCTTCTGTCTCCTCGACCATCTCCGTCTCTCAGTTTCTCTTTTTCTTTCAATCACTCTTGACTCTTGGGAAACCTTTCCGGCTCTGCCTCTGTACTTCTTTCTTGGGGTCTTGGTCTTGGAATATGAAGTGTGGGTTTGTGCATGGCATGGGGGTTGTAGGGACATGGGGGTGGGTGGCGGGGCTGCTGGGAGAAGATCTTTGGGATCGGAGAAGAGCCTGGAATTTGGACCCATTCAGAAGAGTTTGAGGGTCTAAGCTGGGCCTTTGGGACCAGGAGTGGCTGGGGCCCAGGTTGGGAGTGGAAGCTGAGGCGGGGGCGGGGTGGGGGACATCCGGATGGGGCTGGGGTGTGGGCAGTGGCTGCAGGCTGAGCCCTCTGTCCCCGCAGTCGGGTGGCTCGGACCAGGAACGCACCAAGAAGAAGCGCCGTGGCGACCGCTACTCCGTGCAGACGTCACTGATCGTGGCCACGCTCAAGAAGATGCTGCCCATTGGCCTCAACATGTGTGCGCCCACCGACCAGGAGCTTATCACCATGGCCAAGACCCGCTACGCCCTGGTGCTGTCTTGCCCCCTCGAGCCTCGGGCACCCCACTCAACTCCCAGGACCCCAAGGCCTTGCTGGGCCCCCTAAGACTCCTTGAGCTTTTCCCCAGGATTCCCAGGACCTCATGCAAGATGCTGCTAGACCCCTTGCCCCCCTCCAGACCCCACAGTGAACTCTCAGGGACCTACTGAACATCCTCCCCCCAAAACTACGACAAACCCCCCATGACCTGAGAGTCATCTCTGAACCTCCACCAGGACCTCCCCCAAGTCCCCAGGACTCCCCTGTGTTCCTCACAGTCTCACTGGCCTTCCTCTGGTCTCCACAGAGCCAAGACACTATTGCCTTCCCCACCCGCCTGCTCTGTGGACACCAAACGGAGCCCCAAAGACTCTCAGTGATGCATTGAGCACCCTGGGGCCCCCAGGAGCTCTGCCCTGCCCAGGACCACACACAAAACTCAGCTCTCTCGGATCCTGGGGCTCCACTGACAATGCCCCGAGCCTTTCACCCCCTGGGGAGCCCCATGGCAACATCCCAGGAACCTGCTTACCCCAGTAGAGGGAATAGCCTTCCCCTGATTCTCAGCAGCCTCAGGGGCCAGGCAGCCATCCCAGAGTCCTGCCCGGGGGGTTCTGTACCACCGGGATCTTGGCATCCCAAACCTCAGTGGCTTTCTCCTGCAGGACTTCAAGCTCCTCCTAGGACCTAGCAAGTGATCTCCCCCAGGGCACCTCAGACCCCTCAACCTCATCCTCAATAATCCTTCCCCTGGGACCCTAAGGAGCACCCCCTGAAGACTCCCTCTCTTGGGCCTACACATAACCCTCACCCATAACCTGAAGGGCCTGAATCCTCCAGATGACCCCTTCACCAGTTCCGAATTTCACCCCCCTGCTTATTTCCAGCCCCAGCTGGACCCCACAGCCCCCTCTGACCTATGGGGATCTCTCCTCACACTCCCCCCCCCCCAAGTTCTCCCTGTCTCCAGCAGGACGCGTCCTCATCAGCAGAACTCACACCAGCTTAGGGGGTGGGGTTGGTACTTGGAGGGAGCACCCAGAAGGAAGGGGTTGTGAGCCCAGAGGACACGGGCCTCGGGTGACCCTGCCTGGCCCTGTCCCCCCAGAAAGACACGGATGAGGAGGTCCGGGAGTTCCTGCACAACAACCTCCACTGTCAGGCAAAGGTATGTGCTCACATCTGCATGGAAGCTGCCGTTTGAGCCCTGTTACCTGGCGTGGAACCACAGACCCAGGGACCTGAGTGGTAGCCTAGTGAGGAGGTTATCTGCCTTGCATGTGGCTGACCCGGGTTCGATCCTCAGCATCCCATCCCATCCTCTGAGCCTGCCAGGAGTGATTCCAGAGCACAGAGCCAGGAGTGAGCTCTGACTCTCTCTGGGTGTGGCCCGAAAGAAAGACAAACCTAGACTTAACCCCCCACCACACCCTTCCCAAAAAATATCCAGCACCCTGGAAGTGGGGGCTGGCAGGACAGGGGCCCTCCAAGAAACCCCACCGAGGGACTGGAAGGTGGCAGCGTGGAGCCCTGAGCCCCTGTGTCCATGCAGGTCGAGGGCTCGCCGTCTCTGCGCTGGCAGATGGCACTATACCGGGGTGTCCCGGGCCGGGAGGAAGACGCTGACGATCCTGAGAAGATCGTGCGCAGAGTCCAGGAAGTGTCTGCGGTGCTTTATCATCTGGAGCAGGTGCGTGGGACCGGACAGGGCTCAGAGTGGCAGGGGCTGATCTGGTGGCAATGCCTTGAGTCTGGGGCCAGGGTCTTGGGAGAGTTTGAGGATTGGCCTGGTAGAGAACTTAAGCCTGAAAACCGAGCCCAGTTAGAGAAAAGGCCATGTCCACCCTGGGAGTCGAGCCTGAACTTGAACCTGGTCCCGGATGGGCGGAGGATGGGATTCAGGCCAGGCCCAGAGTCTGGGGGCATGAGCGACTGTCTCGCCAACAGACTGAGCACCCTTACAAGTCCAAGAAGGCCGTGTGGCATAAGCTCCTGTCCAAGCAGCGTCGGAGGGCCGTGGTTGCGTGTTTCCGCATGACACCCCTGTACAACCTGCCCACGTAAGTCCCCCAGGAGGGAGGAGGGGAGCCAGACACAGGCAAGGGGCGGCTGGGGAGGAGGGAAGGGGGAGGACCCACACATGTGGACAGCTTAAGAGTGGGGGGAGGTCGCCCGGGGGGGTGGTGAGGAGCCAGAGAGACAGCCCATGCCTTTGCCTGGCAGGCACCGGGCATGCAACATGTTTCTGGAGAGCTACAAGGCTTCGTGGATTCTGACCGAAGACCACGGCTTTGAGGACCGCATGATAGATGATCTCTCTGTGAGCTGGGGCAGGCACGGGGCGGGCGGGTAGCCACGGTGGGGAGCCCCCTTCACACCCAGGACCAAGGCTCGGGCAGAAGCAGGCAGGGATGCAGAGTGGGGGGTGGGGGTGGGGTGGGGAGGAAAGGAAACCTCACCAGCTCTGGGGTCACAAACAGGAGGGGATTCTGGAACCCCTCCCCAAGGCCTCATCTCTCTCCCCCAACCCCCGCCCCTGCAGAAAGCCGGGGAGAAGGAGGAGGAGGAGGAGGAGGTAGAGGAGAAGAAGAAGCCAGACCCCCTGCACCAGCTGGTTCTGCACTTCAGCCGCACCGCCCTGACGGAAAAGAGGTGAGGGCACTTCCTCTGCTCCCCTCTCCAGGGACACCCCCCTGCCCCCACTGTGGGCCCTTTATTGGCGCAGGTTCCCGGCCCCTCTGTGGGTGAAGCACTTTGTCAGGGCAATGCCTGTGCTAGGGGAGATGGACTCCGGCTGGCCTGGAAAGCGGGAGAAGCTGGCTCAGACAAAGCCAGTCTGATTCGAGGGTAATGAGGCTATTAAGATTACTTTCCAACAAGTGGCCGTGAGAAAGGGAGCTTTCCCCTCAGTCACACACAGGCGCCACAGAGCTAATGACACGCTGAGGGATAAATACCAGTAATAAGGCTGCGCTGTGGGCCCTGAGAACAGGCGCCCCTTTACAACCGCTTATTATGTGCATGGCACCTGCTGGGCTCTTGACCTCCACATTCTCTCACTGGATCTCTGGGCTGCACACCAGATACTGTGCCCACCCCGTCTGGGGCCCGGGAGAAGAGGCACCGGGGTTTCCATTGCTCCAGTGGCCTGACGTCAGCCAGCTGGGCACATGGCTGGGCACACACAGGCTCTGCCAGGGCCTCTGACTCATCTCGCTTTCTACACAGCCCTTTGGAACTGTGTCTTGTGGGCACAGGATGGGAACTGACCACCCAGATGCAACCTCGTGGCAGGCAGAAAGGTGCAAAGATGGCCCCTGTCTCTATCCTGGGAGGAAACGGTCCCTAGTGGCTTCGGCCTATGTCCCATTAGCCAGAATTCTAACCACAGGCCCAGGGGCTGCAGGGACATGGGGGAAGTTGATTCTCCAGATTTCCCAGCCCCCGACTCTGAGTGAGACTGCCCAGGATTGAGTCCCAGTGCAGGCTGTGTGACCCTGGCTGAGGAGGGTCACTGTGCCTCCCTCTTCTCTGTAAAACAGGGCTGGGAATGAATACTAGCATTACTAAATACTAGTGTTACTGTGAGGATGTTGGTTGAGTCACATAAAGCACTTCAACCACTGCCTATCTGCTGTTGTGAAAAGGTGGAAAACCACAAGTCTGCGGCCTTGGTCATAGCTGCTGGTCAGCCAGCTGGTGTGCAGATGGGAAAAAGGTTTTGAGGAACGCTGAGAAAACAGACCCAACAGGTTAAACACTCAGCGGGCGTGGGCCACCCCTCCTTCGGGTCTGACTGGCGTTGTCATTACTGGTGACTGTTGTCGAGAGAGCCAGCAGGCAGCAAGATGGCCCCAGTGTTCCCTCAGGGCTGTTTAGCGAGAGGAAAGGCAGCCCCCTGTGGCAGGAGATGGGGCAGAACTCCCACAATAAACTTCACGGGGCCCATGTGGTCACATGACCTTTTCCAACCTAATCTTTGGTCAAGTAAATAGTTCTTATTGGTTCAGCCTTGATCACCTGCCACTCAGGCACCGGACATTTGGCCCCCATCTGAAACACGCCGTTGTTAGTGGCCAGCTGGGAAGGGGCAGGGGAGGCCCTTGGTCCAGTCTTGGTCCTGACTGTCTTCCCCACTTCCTTCCTCAGCAAACTGGAAGAGGATTACTTGTACATGGCTTATGCCGATATCATGGCGAAGGTAAGACCCTGCCTTGGTCCCCGATGGGTTCTCTAGCACACCCTGCTGTTCCGGTTTGCTCCAAGGACTTGGCGTGAATGGGTGTCCCCCCCCCCCCCCCCCCCCGTTCACCTACATTCCTAACCTGTGTCATTCTCAGAGCTGCCACATGGAGGAAGGAGGGGAAAGTGTGGAGGCTGAAGAGGAGGAGTCTGAGGTTTCCTTCGAGGTAAGTGGGACCATCCCTACCACCCAGCATGGGATCGCAGAGCAGTGCTCTGGGCTGGCCTGGCACTGGGGACACAGCCTTCCCCTCCCAGTCAGTCCCAGGGGTAGATGATCCATCAGCTGCAGTAGCAGCACTGAGCACTCATGGTCAGTAGGATGGAGGCCACTTAGGCAGAGGAACTGGGGAGCCAAGCAGAGCACCAGCCTGCAGGGAGAGGAGTCAGGGAGGGCGTCTCAGAAGAAGGGGTGCCAGAACGGATAGATGAAAGAAGTGGGTACCACTTGAAGAAGGGGCGAAAGAAGTTCCATGTGGAAGGAATAGTACAAACAAAGACAGTTAGAAAGAGCTGGCTATTCACTCTTTAGAGCTAACAGAAAGCCTGACATTCTCCCCACCCCCACCCCAGTGTTGGGGATTGAACCCAGGTCTCTTGTATCCCAGGCTTGTGCTGTATCAGTTAGCTACATCTCTGGTTGATCATCTCCCTGAGTTTTTCTTCCTTTTTTTTCTTTTTGGGTCATACCCAGCAATGCACAGGGGTTACTCCTGGCTCTGCACTCAGGAATTACTTCTGGTGGTGCTCAGGGGACCATATGGGATGCTAGGAATTGAAGCCGGGTCGGCCGCGTACAAGGCAAATGCCCTCCCTGCTGTGCTATCACTCCAGCCCCTCTGAGTTTTTATTTAGGGGAGATGAGGCTTATACCTAGAAGTTCTCAGACCCAAGGTGTACTCCTGCCTCTGAGCTCAGTGGTCACTCCTGGCAGAGTTCTGGAGGCCAAATGCAGTGCTAGGGGTCAAACACAGCTTGGCTGCGTGCTAGGCAAGTGCCTTACTGTACTTTCCCTGGATTTCTTCATCTTTTTGGTGCCAGGTCCCCTTTTAGCATCTTCTGAAGCCTTCTCAGAATCATGTAAATTTTTATTGGTTTTATTTGGAGCCGTACCCAGTGGGGCCTGGGGGTAACTCCTAGCTCTGTCCTCAGGTCACTTCCCAAGTGCTGAAGGATCAAGTGGTGACAGAATCACCCCTGGGTCTCCCACATGCTCTGTGCATGGAGCGATCTCTCTAGTCCCGAATCATGTTTTTAAATGTCTAAACTGAATTCCCAGAGCAGGAAGCATCGTATTGAAGTAACGCTATTGTTTCAGGAAGTTGTGGTGGTGATATCTGTACTTTATGAATCTACTGTGGGCTCTTAACTAAGGTAGTAGATAAACAATGATGAGCTGTGGATTGTCCTCAGATGTGACTGTGTGGGGCTTTGGTCCACAATGAAGGAAATACTCTTTTCAATGAAGTGAATGGGACACATACATATAGAACTTTCTTCCGCCCTACCCCAACCTCCTGGATTTTCTTCTGTGACCCCTTGGAGGTCCATGGGCTCCAGATCATACCACACCATGCTCCACATGAGGGGAAAGGAGGAAATTGGGTCTCAGTGGCTGGCAGGAGCTGGAAGCAGCAGATGTGTCTGCAGTGGGAAGGGCATGGCTGGGCGATGAGAGGCCGTGGGGGCGAAGGCAGGCAGCGGGGGCCTGGATTCACTTGCCCCTCGTGCCTGGCTCTGGCAGGAGAAGGAGATGGAGAAGCAGAGGCTCCTGTACCAGCAGGCACGGCTGCACAACCGCGGGGCAGCCGAGATGGTGCTCCAGATGATCAGTGCCTGCAAAGGTGGGCTGGTTTCCGGGGTCTTGCCCTCTCCTCCCCTCACCCTTACCGTCCATACCCCTTCTGGCTTGGTGGGGGGCTCTCCCACACCCCATGTGCCTATGCGTTGCCCTCTTCCCCCGCCCCCACCCTCCCTCCCATGCTTGCCTTGCAGCTTCACCCGTGTTCATGCTTGCCATGGTAGCCGACCCCTGACCCCCACGCATGGTGGGTAGAGAACACCGCAGATTTGCTGTCTAATCTAACATCTAACGCCTCTTCCAGGAGAGACAGGCGCCATGGTGTCCTCCACCCTGAAGCTGGGGATCTCCATCCTAAATGGGGGCAATGCGGAGGTGCAGCAGGTAACAGACAGACAGAGGGACTTGGAAGAAGGGCGGGGTGGGGCAGCACGGGGGTTCAGTTCCTGTGTGACTCGAGATCCCCCCCCCCGCCCTCTGCAGAAAATGTTGGATTATCTGAAGGACAAGAAGGAGGTGGGCTTCTTCCAGAGCATCCAGGCGCTGATGCAGACATGCAGGTGGGTGATGGTCTATGTGCCTGGGGCTGTGCCCCTCTGCGGGGACCACTTCTACTTCCGGGTCTGCACTCTTGGTGCCGGGGAACCAGAGGCCGGCTCAGCCCCGCCCCTGAAGCAGGGACCGTACTGCTGCTCACATGCAGTCATGCGATGGCACGGGGGAGGCAGACAGTACCCCAGGCTCTCAGGAGGAAGATTCAGATAGCTGCGACTGGAAGGGTCACCTGGGTTGGGGACGTCACCGAACCCCTGTTTCTGTCACTTCTCCTCCCATCTCCTTTGTTCTTGAAGCCTCTGGAGCATCGACAGCTTCCTGGTTCTGATTCTCCCTCTTGTGCACATTTCTCGTCCCAGCCCTGCCTTTCTTCCTCAGTGCTGTCTCACCTCCTGCTGTTGCTCCTTTTGCCTCCTCTTCATGTCAGCTCCCTCCTGCATCTCCCCTGGCCCCCACCCTACCTCCAGATGGGGACGCAGACCCTAGAAGAGAGGAGGGCCGATGCCTAATTACACCTCCTCCCCACCTCCACTTTTTTTTTTCCTCCATGATTTTAGTTTGGGAGCTATACCTGGCTGTGCTCAGGACTTACTCCTGGCTCTGTGCTCAGGGATCACTCCTGGATGTGATCAGGGGACCTTGTGGGGTGCTGGGGATAGAGTCTGAGTCAGCAGGAGCTTTACCCACTGTGCTATTCTCTCTGGCACCAATTTCTTCTTTTATTTTTTTTAATCATTATTTGTGTTTTTTTCTGGGGCCACCTGTAGCAGTGTTCAGGGCTTACTCCTGGCTCTTCACTCAGGGATTACTCCTGGCAGGTTTGGGGGACTGGATGGGTTGCTGGCGATTGAACCTAAATTGGCTACATGCGAGGCAAGTGCCTTTACTCACCACACTGTTGCTTCAGTATTTCCTTTTTTTTTTTTTTTCCATTTGTGGGTCACACTAAGCAGTGCTTAGGGCTTACTCCTGGGTCTGTGCTCAGGGATCACTTCTAGTGGTGTTCAAGGGCCATCTGGGATGCTGGGGATGGAACCCAGGCCAGCAGCATGCAAGGCCAGCCCCTTACCTTCTGTACTATCTCTCCGGCCCCACTCCCTCTTTTCTTTCACTCAGCGTCCTGGATCTCAATGCCTTCGAGAGACAGAACAAGGCAGAGGGGCTGGGCATGGTGAACGAGGATGGAACTGGTGAGCCCTGTCTTGGGCTTCCCTCTCCTGGGGCCATCCTCTTCCTGCAGGATCCCCCCCCCACCCTCACCCCTACCCCCGCAAACATTGCCCTTGCCTTCAAGATCTCCCTTCTCCCTGAGGACGTCCAGAGCACCCTCCCCCACTCAGTGGTCCCCAGTCCAGCCCCTTGCTCCAGTCCTGTTCCTGTGGTTCCTACCAGGGGTGGGGGTGGGGGTGTCTGTAGTCCTGTTCTCTTCAGCCTCCCCACGTAGACCGCCCCCCTCCCCCCCCCACATGCCCAAGTATCCCCATCCTCCACCCTGCCCCGGTTGCTGTTCTCTTATTAATGTGCCTAATCCGGATTAATGGAGTCTCCTCTTTGCCGTGTTGTGACGTGTCTAACCCTTCTGCCCTCATCCTTGCCTCTTGCCTCTCCACCTCCTTCTGTCCATCTCTCTGTTCCTCCTCCCGCTGGACTCTCCTTCCCTATTCTCTTCCTTCTGTGTCCCTTCCCCTGTGGCCGTCTTTCTCTCTCACTGTGGGTTGTCTCTGCGTCTGTCTTTGTCCCCGACCCTGTCATTGTGTGTTTCCTGTCTGTCTCCTTCTGTCTCTCTTTCTCCCTCTTTTTCTCCTGCTTCCTCCTCCCATCCTGTTGGCTGCCCCAGTCATCAACCGCCAGAACGGTAATTCCCCCAGCCCATCCTCTTTGCTTTGCAACTTCCCCTTCCCTCTAACCCCCAACCGCCCCTCCTCCTGTGGGCTGAGGATCTGGGACATCCAGGGGAGGGAGGAACTCTCAGGTGGGTGCATCATACCCACAGGAGCTCAGGGTTCCAGAGACCAAGATTCGGTCGGGACTGTGAATAAACTTCAGTTTCCCCATGTGGATAGTTGTAGCATCCATAGAAGATGCCAGAGACCTCTCTCCACCGGGATGTTCTTGGGCTTCCAGACCCAGATTCGCAGTCTTGGGATTGGGTGATCCCCACTCTCCTACCCTGCCCACTGCGCCTGGACCTCTGATTGGCCGGGCCTGTGGCTCCCATCCAACCGGATTGGCTGCCTCCAGCATCCACTCTGATTGGTGTGCCTGCCTCCTCCTTGCCTGCTCTGATTGGCCCATTCACTGTCTAGCTTCCCTTTCCTTTCCCACCCCTCCCTTCCCACCCAACAGGATTGGCTTCTTTCAGATGCCTGCTCTGGTTGGCCCATGTTCAGGGGCCTCCCTCTGCTGCTTCAGGGTTGGCTGCTTTCAGGGCATCTGAGCCAATCAGCTGGCGTCCTGTTCCTTTTCCCAGCCCAATCTCCCTGCTCAAAGCCTTTGTGTGGAAGTGACCCCACAACCCAGTAATTCATTAACCCTGCGGCCGGGGAGGGGAGCTGTATGAGGTACCAGTTGCCGTATCCTTTGCTGGGTCTGCAGACCCCTGGACATCACATGAATGAGAACATCAGAGGAACACTGATGTAAAGACACTTGAGGACCAGCTCCTGACTCAGGGCCCTTCAGAGCCCCATCTGCTTCTGTCAAGGACAGAAGTCAGGACCCCCTGTTGGCTTGGATGCCGGTGGTCCTCACAGTGTCTTGGAAGTGGCGGCTGCCCCTCCCCGCGCCCCTCTCCCTTGCGCATGCGTGTGCCGTGTGCATGGGCAGGGTGCATGTGTGGGCTGTGTCCTGGCGCGTCTCATCCCTTCTGGGCCCTGTCCCCATCTTCCACCCAGGAGAGAAGGTGATGGCAGATGATGAATTCACCCAAGACTTGTTCCGATTCCTGCAGTTGCTCTGTGAGGGGCACAATAATGGTGAGGAGGAGGGGTGCGCTGGGCGGAAATGAGGTCGAGGCTTGGGGTAGGTGGTCGGGTGTTCCACTCCCCGGATCATTGTCCTTGACCCTCGTGTCTCCGTCCTTGACTTGAGCCAGTGTCAAGCGTGTCAGCCTCCTTCCTGCACCTCTCCCCGTGTCTAGAATCTATCCACTTTGCTTCACTTTCACCTTCTCTTAGCACATGTTCTCAAAAGCAATCTGACAAAAAATAATTTGGCCCCAAATCACTTTGCCCAAACAACCTGTTAGCCCCTGTAATTTTCTACGACCATTCTGCAAAGACTACCGAAGTTTGGTAAAATGTGGTGTATTCCTGGACCCAGAGAGATAGTTCAGTGGGTAGGATATTTTCCTTGCACAGGGATTGATCCCCAGCACTCCGTATGGTCCCCTGAGCCCCCAGCAGGGGTAATTCTTGTGTACAGAGCCAGGAGTAACCCCTGAGCATCACCTGGTGTGACTCAAAAACTTAAAAAACAAAAACTGTGGTGAATTACTTTACTTTGGGTCTAGGGAGGTAATCTTCATCATCATCATCATCATTATTTCTTTGGGGGGGAGGAGCCCCCGAGTCCTGTTCAGGAGGCCTAGGGTCCCCATCAGAGATTCTCAGCCAAGAGGCCGGGATTTCCATGCAAATGCCTGAGAATGTGGTGCTGCTTCTGCTTAGGCCCTGCAGAGCTGGGGACACCCAGGTCTTCCTGCCATTTTTCTGAGACCTCTAGGTCACGCCCAGTAGTGTTTGGGGATCAGACCCACGCTACGCATGCGCCCTAACAGCAGCACTATCTCCCCTGCCAGTTCTGCATTGCAGAGTAGGCAGAAGGGAAATGGTCCAGGGTGGGTTGGAGCATGTGCAGGAGCCCCAGGTTCAGTCCCCTGCCCATTGGGAGCACCCCTGAGCTCTATGAGTGCAGCCCCAAAGCTAAAATTGCTTAACACTGGAAAAGGAATCTTTGAAAACTCCATCTTAAAGTTTGCTTATGAACTACTTTGCTAGGGCCAGCGAAACTGAAAGGATGCATGTGCATGTTTTGCACGTGGAAGATTAGGTTTGATCTCAGCACCAGTTGGTCTCTGAGTCAAGTGCAGTCCCCAAGAACTGCCAGCTGTGTCCCCTAAACAGGCCAGCCCTGAAATCCAACCCATGTTGGCCTCAGGAAGGCCGGCAGACTCCTTCAGAGTTCAAACCCGAGTTTCCCCAGCTTTGGTCGGGTTGAGACCATTTCCCCAAAGCCCGAGTGACACAGCGACTTCAGCTCACCTCGAGGGAGAAAGTGTAACCTCTGGTAGCACACAGAGTGCTGACATGAAAGGGACAGAGCTTGCACCTCCAACACTCATCCCGTTGTCGGCATCATTTTCTACAGCAAACAGGTAGTCTATGGCTTGTGGTTTTAGTGCTCAGCAGGTGATTATAAAACCACAATGAGCATTCATTGTGTTGCCCAGAAATGAACATTCATGACAAGAATTGGCGTTCTAGCCTTTGAACTTTCTTAACCTCTTTGTCAGTGTTCTCTCTCTCTCTCTCTCGCTCTCTCTCTCGCTCTCTCTCGCTCTTGTTTTTTAAAAATTTTTTATTGAATCACCATGAAATATTCAGTTAGAAAGTTGTTCGTGATTAAGTTTAGTCATACAATGTTCTAACACCCAGCCCTTCACCAGTGCACATTTCCCACCACCAGGCCAGTGTTTTTTTTTTTTTTTTTTTGCTTTTTGGGTCACACCTGGCAATGCACAGGGGTTACTCCTGGCTCTGCACTCAGGAATTACCCCTGGCGGTGCTCAGGGAACCATATGGGATGCTGGGAATCGAACCCGGGTCAGCCACGTGCAAGGCAAACACCCTACCGGCTGTGCTATTGCTCCAGCTCCAGGCTAGTGTTTTCTAAGGTAACAAATAGGTGAATATCTTTTCACCTCACTCTTAAAAGAGCTTATATAACCTATTGCTTTGCATTAGCAAAAGCTTTTGTGTCCTAGTTCTGGAGTCCACCTGCTTAGGTACCCTGGTGCCAGGTAACGAAGGTTTGCTTTCTTGAATTTTATCTCAGGTGGAATCTGTCTTGGAGGGTTTTATTGGGGGGGGGGCAGGGATCCACATTTGGTGGTTCTCAGGAGCTACTCCTTGCTTGATGCTCATGGACAATTCCTGATAGTGCTCAGAGGACCATATGCAGTGCCAGAAATTCAACCAGGGCCGGCCACATGCAAACAAGTGTCTTAATCCAAGTGCTTTAATCCTTATACTGTTTCTCCAGACAACAACTGGGGGATTTTTTTTTATGTAGGATTACTGCTATTTATTCAGCCACTGATTAGCTGATTGAATTGGGCATGAACTCCACCTTAATTTTATTTTTCTTCATAATTTTATTTATTTTTCTTCTTATATTTATTTACTGAATCACTGTGGGAAAAGTTACTAAGCTTTCAGGTTTAAGTCTCCATCATACCATGATCAAACACCTTTCCCTTCACCAGTACTCATTTTTCACCACCAAGAACCTCAATATACTCCCCCTCCCAATGCCTGTGAGGCAGATGATTTCTACTTAACTCTTTTCTACATTGATTACATTCATTACTTCGACAAAAGATGCACCATTATTGTTTAGAATCCCCCCCCCCCCCCAACAATCAGAATTGCTGAAAAGGCATTGTGAAATACTTTGTTTTCTATAGCTGGTTATGAGAATCATATAATGTCACACAGCCGTAATTTTTGATTTCTGCAAAGAGCCAGATAATTACGAGATTGGTTTCTGTGCGTCTGGTGTTATGGCTGTGCCAGAGAGCCGCTCGTGAGGGGCATCTTGTGACCTCGATAGAGCGTGAAGGATGAGCCGGTACTGCCCCACTTCCCATGAGACTGCAGTTGCCCCGTCATTGCCAGCTCATACCTGGCTTTCTTATAAGCTCTGAGGCGGCAGCCACCTTGCTGCTGGGGGGGGGGGGGCGGGGGGGGGGGGAAGGCGGAAGGAAGCAACACCCTTTCCCTCCTGGGGAGGCATGGCGCCATAGTTTAACGCATGGTCCATTCACTTTTCTGCCGCAAGCTTCTGGGCTCTGGACTAAGTTCTTTTGCCTCTGAGCCATGGCCGTGCCAGAGAGCCACTCGTGGGGGGCCACTCGTGACCTCGGTAGGGTGTGAAGAACGAGCTGGTACTGTCCCCCTTCCCATGAGACTGCAACAACTGGGGGATTTTTAATGAACTTTTGTTTCTTGAGCCTTTGAATTTTGAGAAATGAGATTGATCTTACAAGGGGGGAATTTTTTTCTCTTTCACCAAAATTGTCAGCAAATTTTCTGCCCAAATTCATGAATTCATTAGCTAACCCAATCACATAAATTTTTTTGGTGGGGAGATCACATCCAGTGGTGCTTAGGACTTACTCCTGGCAGGGCTCTGGGGACCATATGGGATGCCAAGGACTAAACTCAGGTTGGTTGCGTGCAAGGCAAACGCCCTACCTATTATACTACCACTCTGTCCTGGCAATCACATACTATTTGACGTACCTTTCCAATCTTAGATTTAACGTAGACCCATTTTCAGTGTAGGCCCTGTGATTTCCAGCACTGTTGATAATAGTTTCATGCACCCAGTGTTCCAATTCCAAACCCACCACCAGTGTCAGTGTTCCCCAAACTCCTTCCCTTCCTGGCCCACCTCCTTATCAAGTGATTTTTTTTAAATTTAATTATTGTATTTTGGATCACATGTTTACCATAGTGTTGGCTTTTAATTTTTTTTTACATAGTGCTGGAGCAATAGCACAGTGGGTAAGGCGTTTGCCTTGCACGCGGCTGACATGGCCAACCTGGGTTCGATTCCTCTGCCCCTCTCAGAGAGCCCAGCGAGCTACCAAGAGTATCTTGCCCACACAGCAAAGCCTATCAAGCTCCCTATGACAGTATTCAGTATTCCAAAAACAGTAACAACAAGTATCACAATTTGTTGTGAGACGTTACTGGTGCCCGCTCGAGGAAATCGATGAATAATGGGAGGACAGTGCTGCAGTGCAGTTACCACACTTCTCCACCAGCCACGTGTCCAGAGCTCCTCAGACTTTGTACATCTTGAGTACTCAGTTATATTTGAAAGAGGCAAAATGATGCTGTTTTAGCTGCGAATTCTTTTCAGAGGAGCAAGCTATCTAGTTAGCCATTTAGGCCCATAGATGGTCTGGTTTAAGTTAGTGCAAAGGAAGTAGAAAATAGGGTTGATGAAGAAGTCTATCCATTTGCTAATAAAATCTTAACTATTGGGGTATCATCTTCATTTATTTTGTTTTTTTGTTTGGGGTCCACATATAATGTGCTGAAGGCTTTCTTCTGGCTCTGTGCTGAGGATCACTCCTGATGGAGCTTGAGGGACCATATGGGATGCTGGGGATCAAACCTGTGTTAGGCACATGCAAGGCAAGTGCCTTACCTGCTGTAATATGTTTCTGGCTCTATAATCTTCATTTATAACATGAAACCAGGTAAAAATGGGTATTTAGCAATGGTCTTGAGATGGGGGAAGAGGAGTTCAGGTGGGAAGAGAAATTGAAAGAGGAAAAACCTTCCAAGGTTTGCAGAAGCCATCCTGTGCAAGTAGACAGCTTCTAAACGTTAGAACGATTTCCCTGAAGGCTTCTTTCATTGTCTTGATTTGAAGAATTGTGTCATTTAGCAAATGGGCCTACAGCCAGACACTGAAGGATGCCTGAAAACTGTGAAGAGATCTTCTTCAAATGCTGACTTCTGGGCCCACCCCAGTTTCATATGCGGGAGTTCAGGGCTGGTGTCCAGACCCTGCATTTCTAGCACAATCCTAGGAGTTGCAGATGCAACTCTGGAGAATTATTGCTCCAAAGTACAATCCCATAACCTCTGCACTGCTTTCAAGGCTTTTACAAACAGCTAAGGAGGGTCTGGGAAGATAGTACAGCAGGTAAGGTACTTGCGTTGCACACAGCCAACTCAGCTTCTGTCTCCTGATTGCATCTGGTTCTCCCCAAGATCTGCCATGAATGGTCCCTGAGCATAGAGCAAGGAGTAAGCCCTGAGCAACACTGGGTGTGACAAGAAAAAGAAAAAGGTGCTGGAGTGATAGTATGACAGGGAGGGCATTTGCCTTATACATGGCTGGCGGGAGTTCAATCCCCAGCATCCCATATGGTCCCTTGAACACCACCAGGAGTAATACCTGAGTACAGTGCCAGGAGTAACCTCTAGCATTGCTGGGGGAAGGGAAAGGAAGGAAGGAAGGAGCGAGCTAGCTAGCAAGCTAAGGCATCCTAAGCACGTCTTCAACCAGGAAGCCCTAATGTATGTGAAAGCATCACAACTTCACATCAGGGCCTGACTGCAGGGCCCATGGGGGACACTTAGTTACAGAGTGTGTGGGGTGGGGATACAGGTTATCTGCCACCTGGGTTCAATAACAGGCCTGAAGTTAGTATCAGGAATGTGTGCAGCTAACTCCTGCTTCTCTTTCAGATTTAGTTCAGAAGTCCCTCCTCCAGGGAGCCTTCCCTGACCACCCAGATTAGGTCAGGCTTCTCCTCTAGAGTCTTCCAGGCCCCTGGGTATCCCATATTATACCCTAAGCATTCTGCCAGGATCTCCCAGCATCATGCACCAACCGCGAATAATGCTTACTCTTTACTGCATTCTCACCATGGAACTCCCCAGTCAAACATTGAAGCAGAGAATGGCCTAATAAACCCCCAAGTGCCTGTGACTCAGTGCCCACAGCTATCAGCCTCTGCCACAGCGCATGTTCTTCAAACAGGAAACCAACTCTCCCAAAGGGGTTTATTACATAGTTCTCATCTGAATTGCCTGGTGGTTGGTCCAGGGAACATTAAAAGAAGCTAAAGCCCAGGTTTTGTTAATTAAAGTAAGGTTCTAAGTCACTTAGTCTGGAGGATCCTGTGTAATGGAATTACTAAAATATCCTTCCAGGTGATGGACCAGAGAGAATACAGAGAAAATACAGGGATTAAGGTGCTTGCCTTGCTTGCAGCTGACCCTGGTTTGAGTACCTAGAACCACCTGTGGTCCCCTCTGCACTGCCAAGAGTGACTCCTGAACACTTCCAGATGTGGCCCCAGAGCACAAAAACAAAATGTTTCAGGGGCTGGAGTGACAGTACAGCGGGTAGAGCGTTTGCCTTGCACGCAGCCAACCTGGGTTTGAATCCCAGCATCCCATATGGTTTCCCGAGAACTTCCAGGAGTAATTCTTGAGTGCATAAGCCAGGAGTAACCCCTGTGCATTGCTGGGTGTGACCCAAAAAGCAAAAAAAAAAAAAAAGTTCCAAATGATTCTAATGTGCAGCTAAGACTGTGATGCCGAGAACAAGTTTAGTGGGCAAGTTCTCCAACTCTTTAAACCCGTGTAGGGCAGAAAACCCCAGGAAATAAAGCCCATGATAAGGGTATAGCAGTTTCACTGCTTGACAAAATTACTAAAGAAATTCAGAATTAGAGGCAGGACCATAGTAAGCATGGTGTTTGCCTTGCATGGGCTGATCCAGGTTTGATCCCCAGAACTGCATATGGTCACCTGAGCTCACCAAGAGTAATTCCTGAGCATAGAGCTGGGAGCAAACCCTGAACATTACCAAGTGAGCTCCACCCCCACAAAAAAAAAAAGAAAGAAAAAGAAAAGTAAAAGAATGAGATGCCCTCTGGCAGAAGCTGGGCAGTAAGTGCTGTCTCCATGAATGGACATCCCATCAGCCACTTCCTCTCACACCTGGACATGCTCAGTGAACCCTGGTTCATCTCTCTAGATTTCCAAAACTACCTGAGGACACAGACCGGGAACACGACCACTATTAACATTATTATCTGCACGGTGGATTACCTCCTGCGGCTGCAGGTAAGGTTGACTGTGCCAGGTGTTGATCTGGGTTGGCCCCATAGTTGGCCCCAGTCCCCTCATCACCGGTCACACCCACCCCTAGGAATCCATCAGCGATTTCTACTGGTATTACTCTGGCAAGGAGGTCATCGAGGAACAAGGCAAGAGGAACTTTTCCAAGGCCATGTCGGTGGCCAAGCAGGTGTTCAACAGCCTCACGGAGTATATCCAGGTAGGACCCGCCTGTTGGGGCGGAAGGGCTGTCCCTCACCCCTGCTCCAGTCCGATCAGGCGCTCCAGCAGCCCTCTCCCTGCCCCGCAGGGCCCCTGCACCGGGAACCAGCAGAGCCTGGCACACAGTCGCCTCTGGGACGCCGTGGTGGGATTCCTGCACGTGTTTGCCCACATGATGATGAAGCTTGCTCAGGTTAGCGCCCCTCAGTACCTCCAGCTACTTCTGGGCATCACCCCTATTCTAGGCCCAGGGTTGTTTGAATCTGAGCGGGCCAGCGGGGCAAGAACATCAACCAATCGGGAGAGGTTGCGAGGCTAGCGGGCTGAACGTCCAGCCAATGAGAGTGTGTCTAAGGAACCAGCCAATGGAGATTGGCGAGGGGGTCTAGCAGAGAGCCAATCAGGAAGGAAACTAGATTTGGCCGCCAGGTGGGAACCAGTCTGGAAGATGCTGGCCCTCTCAGATTCAGACAACCTGGGCGTAGAATGGGGGTTATCTCACCTAGAGCCGAGAACCTCGGCTGAAGGTGTGCTTTGTTTCTTTATTCTGCCTGCGGCAGATGAGACCCATCTCAGTCATCCATGATGTAAGGTCCCTTTTGAACCCATCTTCCAGTTGCAGAACCTTGGTGCTCTCCTTTGCCCCACCATCCCACCCCTTTTGCTGCCTGGCCAATGTTTCACGAACACCTTCTTTGTTTTGCTTCTCTGGCTAACGAATTCCAGGTTTACCATATACATTTTACCAGCGCTTAGCGTTTAAGGGGCACCATTCACATCCAAAACATCTTAAATGTCACGGTCATGGTCACGGTCCTCCCCTTGTTCATCGATTTGCTCGAGCGGGCCCAGTAACGTCTCCATCGTGAGACTTGTTACTGTGTTTGGCATATTGAATACGTCACAGGTAGCTTGGCAGGCTTTGCTGTGCAGGGGAATAACTTGCCGGGCTCTCCCAGAGAGGCGGAGGAATGTATCTGTGTTTATTACAGGAAGTTTTTTTTTTTTTTTTTTTTAAAAGAAAAGAGTAATCCAGCAGAGGGCAGTAAAGTATTCTGGATATTATAATTCCCCAGCAAGAAGAATGTTGAGGGAGACAGTTTTTTCCCCAACTCCTGGGAGTCCCTATACATACAAGGCTTACACTCTACCATCGAGCTACCTCTCTGGCAAAGGAGGTTTTTTGGGTTTTTTTCTACTTTATTCTGTCAGGGGTTGATAGTAACTCTGTCATTTGGCAACTGACTTGAAAGCAGTTGATCTTCGACTGTGTTTCCTGTGCCCATGCCCTTGAAGAAGGACTGTTGGAGTAATCATAAGATTCTAGAAAATGTTAGTGTTTTAATGTGTAGAATTACACATGCTGTCATTTCTAATCCAGTTAATTCATGGTCCAGGGCTAGAAATTCAATGCAGAGTGGTGGCTTAGGGGCGTAAGACCTGTAACAGTTCACATAGCAGATACATGGCCTAGAGTGATGTCAGCAGAATTCTATCTTCACTCGTCTTCAGTCTCAAACAGGCCTTCCCCCAGGGTCTGGGAAAATGATGCTTTTGGCTTCCCTCAACCGCAAAGAAAACCCCTCTTTCCTCAGAGTTTCAAAAATAACTCTTGAGTCTCTCTGTTTGGACTGTTGAGTCACATGCCCAGCGTTGGACCAATCCCAGCGGGGGTGGGTGGGGACAAAATTCTGATTGGGCAGATCTCGTTTTAAATCCACCTACTCAGGAAGCAGGGGTGGGAGGCTGGAAGATTGGTCAGTCCCGTCTCCCCAGAGTGAACTGTTAGGAACTGAATCGTGGGCAAACACTTGCAGGCACCCACCATTCATATTCCGAATGCTGAATTCTTAGACTATGAACGCAGAGCTCTGGACCTGTAGGAACTCTAGAACTTAGTGGATCTTGGATGAGTGAGGGGGCTCAGAGGAGCCTTCCTCCAGCCAGTTTACTTGGTGTGTATATATATATATATATATATTTTTTTTCTTTTTGGGTCTCATCCAGCGATACTCAAGGGTTACTCCTGGCTTTGCACTCAGGAATTACTCCTGGCGGTGCTTGGGGGACCATATGGGATGCCGGGAATTGAACCTGGGAAGGCTGTGTGCAAGGCAAATGCCCTACCCACTGTACTACGCTCTAGCCCCTACTTGGTATCTTTTCACCGCCTTTAGTTTCTTTGGTTGAACCATATGAAGTCACAACTCTGCGGATCCAGAATGGCCGAATATTGCCAATTTGATGTGGCACGGTCTGACACAAACAGGAAATGAGATGTTTTGCATGAGACCTAGGGCTCCATTCATAGCACCAAGCAAAGATTGGGGAGGGAGGGCACCTGGGGCAGAAATTTGACTTTCAGTGACCTTACACAAGGCACTGTGACAGAGGAGGCAGTGTGCTCAGAGTCTCCCCAAGTGACTTACCAGAAAGCCCATGGCTTCCTCCTTGGGCTGCCTCCTGGCTCACGTTTTCCATTGCTCATTTCATTCTGCAAACATGTGGAGCACCAGCCAGAGGTCCAGCACTGAGCTCTCACCCCTTCCCAAGTCTGGATTTCTCTCTCCAGCACCATTGCTGTCTCTCTGCCCTAAGTGCCTGCTCCCCAAGCCCCGATCTCCTCCCAGTCATCCTTGTCTGCCAGCCCTGTTCCTACACATCACCTATCTGCCTTGCTTGGCCCCCCAAGTGCTAGTCCACCCCCACAATCTTGTCTCTCTGCTCCTTACCCTGCTTCCGAGGAACATGTGTGGACTCAGTTCCCCTCGGAGGTAAGAAGGGAGTGAAAGGGCCCCGCAGGGTGGGTGAGGAGGGTCCACAACTGCTGGGTGTGGGGGAAGCATCTCAGCAGACATCCGCCTTCACATAGCCGGGCTGGACCTTCCTAGGACTCCAGCCAGATCGAGCTGTTGAAGGAGCTGCTGGATCTCCAGAAGGACATGGTGGTGATGTTGCTGTCACTTCTAGAAGGTAAGGGACTGGTGGGCAGGGGCCAGGGGAGAACACTACTGAAGTTCAGACAAGGCTGGAATATAGCTCAGTGATAGAGCACTTGCCTTGTATGTGTGGGGTGCTCGGGGTTTGCTTTCTGGCCCCACAAAACAAAAGAAACAAAATAAGGCAAATCATTTGGTTGGAGACATGGTTCAAAGGGCTGAACGCACAGTTTATATAGAGGAGTCCTGAACTCAATTCCTTGAGACACACAGTCCCCCAGGCATGGTGGGGAGCAATCTCCTGAGGGCTTGGCCCCTTAGGTGCCAAACAAGAGCTGAGAGTAGCCCACAGATATTAGCGATTTTGCCCACACACACACCAGGATAAGGAAAGCCTCAGAAGCGCCATCTGAGACCCAGAAGTCCCCAAACTTTGACCCCCATCTGATATCATGTCAGAGCCAATAGTTTCTGGAGAAACTCAGCAAACAGTTATTGAATATTTGATATGGGGCAGACCCTGACTGTGATCTATCAGCTTGGTTTCCTGAGAAATCTTAATGAGGTGGGTAACTTGGCTACTTTTATTTTTGTGTGTACTTTATAGTTATTTGCTAAATATATCACCTAGCTCTTACTGCCTAACAAATATTCCCCAAACACAATTATCTTCAGACAATCATAATATATTGCTAATTGTCACTGTGCTCCCGTTATTCATCGATTTGCTCAAGCTGGCCCAGTAATGTCTCTGTTGTGAGGCTTTGTTGTTACTGTGTTTGGCATATTGAATATGTCACAGGGAGCTTGCCAGGCTTTGCCGTGCAGGCGAGATACTCTCGGTAGCTTGCCGGGCTCTTCGAGAAAGGCGGAGGAATCGAACTCGGGTCTGCCATGTTGACTGCTTGCAAGGCAAACGCCCTACTCGCAGTGCTATCGCTTCAGCCCATATTGCTAATTAGTCAGTTTAATCAATGAGGACTTTTTATACAGATGTTTGTATAGAGTGACAGTGGTAGGGCATTTGCCTTGCATGTGGCGGACCCAACCGACCCGGGTTCAATTCCTCTGCCCCTCTTGGAGAGCCCGGCAAGCTACCGAGAGCATCTTGCCCGCAGGGCTAAGCCTGGCAAGCTACTCATGACATATTCGATATGCCAAACACAGTAACAACAAGTCTCACAATGGAGACATTACTAGGCCTGCTCGAGCAAATCAATGAACAACGGGAGGACAGTGACAGTGACAGTGACAGCCTTCATCTTTACATGGCTGCATAGGGCTTCCATTGTGTGGCTGAACTGGGGGTCTTTTAACCACACCTTATTCTGTTCAAAGATTTTGCTTTAAAATTCTTTTTATTATAAAAAAACATTACAATGACTAATTCTCCCGCAGCATCTCCACACTTTGGTAACTAGTCATTGCCAAAAAGGTTCCCTCGAAACATCAGATTTCTAGCTTTTCTTGAAAGTGGGACAGTGGGTGACCACATTCTCCCATGATAAAAACCAATGGGACTGGATTAAGTAGCTGAATCAAAGCATATGAAACCTCTTGCTTCTGATACCCTCACTAGGGTTGTGTATGACTTGTCCTTGTCTTCTGATGTTTTTTTTTTCTTTTTAGGTCACACCCAGCGATGCTCAGGGGTTACTCTTGGCTCTGCACTCAGGAATTACTCCTGGCAGTGCTTGGGGGGGGGGGGGGGACCATATGGGATACCAGGGATTGAACTTGGGTTGGCTGTATGCAAGGCAAACACCCTACCCACTTTACTATCACTCTGGCCCTGTCCTTGTCTTCTGAGACACATCTAATGAAATATTTAAGAGCAAGGGGCCTCCTGGCTATATTTTGCTCTCAAATGATTTCATGGGAAATCTGTGTAGGTGGTACTGGAGCGATAATATGGGGTTAACCTTTTGGCTTTTGGCCTCTGTGCCTGCAACCCCAGTTCAATTCCCCAGCACCATGCATTCTCCCAAGCAGAGTGGGAGTAGTCTTGAGCACTGCTGGGTGTAGAGAAAATATATGTGTGTGGGGTGAGGGGGTAGGGATTAAAACACATGTGGCAAAATGTAGGTAATTGGTAAATTTCAAATGTCTGGGACTCCTTGCAGTATTCTTAGACTGTTTTTCTAATGGGGGCAGGGGGGGAGGCAGGCATTCAGCAATGCTCAGGGCTTACTCCTGGCTAAGGAGTCACTCCTGGCAGGGTTCAGGGAACCGTATGGGGTGCTGGGGATCTAACCTAGGTTAGCCACATACATGGCAGTGTGCTTCACCTACTGTAAAATTGCTCCAGCCCCTATTCTTGCAACTTTTATGTTAATTTAAAATCATATTAAACAGCTTAACAATAAATAACTCACATCCTTTGAACCAACTTTAAAATCATATTAAAATATGTATGGAAAAAGCTGGAGCAAGCTTCACCTGCCTTTGTTATTTAACTTCTTAATTAAAATTTAAATTAGGGGCTAGAGTGAAATTAAATTAAAACTTTAAAATTTTAAAGTAGAGGCCAGAGTGATAGTACAGTGGCATTTGCACGGAGCCGACACAGGTTCAATCCCCAGCAGCCCATATGGTTTCCTGAACACTGCCAGGAATAATTCCTGAGTGCAGATCCAGGAGTAACCCCTGAGCAATCACTAGGTGTTACCACCCCCCTAAGTTTTTTCTAATTAAAGAATTTAATTTTTTCTGGTTTTGGGTCACACAAAATAGCGTTCAGCCTTACTTCTGGCTCTGTGCTCAGGGATCACTCCTGGCAGGACTCAGAGGACTCTCTAGGGCGACAGGAATCAAACCCATGTGCAAGGCAAACACCTTAACATCTCTCCAGCCCTAACTGTATGAGATCCCATTTGCGCAGTCCCCACCTCTCCCTGCTGCCTCCCTTGGGGGCCTTCCTCCACCCTTCAGGTGGGCATATTCTGGCTTCTAGTGGACTTGCGAGAGGCTGGTGTGAGCTGTGAGGTCCTGCAGCCCCTGGGTTCCAATCCTCCCTGTCCCCTTGGTGGTGAGATCACCCTGCATGAGTCTGGGCCTCCATTTACATCAGATACTCACACACCTGTTATAAGAGTGAGATTGTACCAGCACCATATTGGTCATGACCAGGGTACCTGCCCATCCCTCCTCCAGCCTCATCTCAAGTAGTGAACTCCCCCATCTATTTGGGGAGGTAGACGAAGATGGGGTCAGCCAGTTCACGCAGGAGGGGACTTGCCCCCAGTGAGCACAGGGTGTGGGGCGGCGGCTGGGGAGCAGCAGGCAGCACAGTGGGTCCTGGGGAGTTCGGCTTGGCTCCTGGCCACAGAGCAGGGCCAGCCCCATGGGGGTCTGTGACAGAGGAGCTGATGTGAGGTTTCCCGCAGGGAACGTGGTGAATGGCATGATCGCCCGGCAGATGGTGGACATGCTTGTGGAGTCCTCGTCCAACGTGGAGATGATCCTCAAGTTCTTCGACATGTTCCTGAAACTCAAGGACATTGTGGGGTCTGAGGCATTTCAGGACTACGTCACTGATCCCCGGGGCCTCATCTCCAAGAAGGATTTCCAGAAGGTACCTAGAGTGGGGTGGATGGAGAGGCCAAGTGCCTGCTCTTCCCTTCCTGGATGCCTCCCTTGGGCAAGAGACTTCTGAGGGCAGGGTTCAATTTCCATATCCATCTGGCAAGGAGGGCAGGGAGGGTCCAGCCCTTGGGATTGTATTTTTCTTTTTCTTTTATTTTTTTGGCTTTTATTTTGGGACCTCACCAGGTAGTGCTCAGGGCCTCTACCTGACTCTCAATTCAGGGATCACTCCTGTTAGGGTTCAGGAGATCATATGGGGTGCTGGGGATTGAACCTAGGTGGGCAAGTGCAAGGCAAACACCCTCCCCACTGTACTATCTCTCCAGTCCAGAGTATTTGAGTTTTGATTTTGCTCTTGGTTGCTTTCTCTTTTGTGTGATGCAAAAGTTAATTTTTATGTAGAAAATTACTAAACCTAAAAAAGTTTCACGGTCACGGTCACGGTCCTCCCGTTGTTCATCGATTTTCTCGAGCGGACCCAGTAACGTCTCCATCGTGAGACTTATTACTGTGTTTGGCATATTGAATACATCACGGGTAGCTTGCCAGGCTCTGCCGTGCAGGCGAGATACTCTCAGTAGCTTGCCGGGCTCTCCAAGAGGGGCGGAGGAATCGAACTCGGGTCGGCCATGTTGGCTGCGTGCAAAGCAAACGCCCTACCCGCTGTGCTATCGCTCCAGCCCAAAAAAGTTTAAAAAGAAAATAATTAAAAATATTTTTGTTGCTTTGAAGCTGCATGAAGCAGTGCTTGGGGTTACCCTCCAGCATGGTGCTTGGTTGTAGGCAACGCTGGGGATCAAACCCAGGGCCCCAACATGCATAGCTTGTGTTTCGGACCTTTGGACCATCTCCCGAGCCCTATTGAAAATGTTTTAGGGCCGGAGCAATAGTACAGCAGGTAGGGCATTTGCCTTGTTTGTGGCTGACCCAAGTTTGATCCCCGGCATTCCATATGGTCCCCCAAGCAGCACCAGGAGTAATTCCTGAGCACAGAGCCAGAAGTAACCCCTGAGCATCGCTGGGTGTGTTTTAGTAGGGTCTGGAGAGATAGTACAGCAGATAAGATGCTTGCCTTGCGTGTGACTGAACCAGGTTCAATCCCTGGCACCCCATATGGTCTCCTGAGCCTGCCAAGAGTGATCCCTGAGTGCAGAGCCAGAAGTAAACCCTGTGCACCACTGGGTATAACTCAAAACAACAACAAACCAACAAAAATAGTTTTGTTAGATAGGAAGTATAAGGATGCAGTTGTCCTGTAAAGAAATTCAGAATGGGGCTGGAGAGATAGCACAGCGGGGAGGGTGCTTGCCTTACATGCAGCCAACCCTGCTTCGCTCCCCAGCATCCCAGATGGTCCCCTGAGCATCACCAGGATTGATTCCTGAGCACTGAGCCAGGAGTAAACCTGCTGGGTGTGGCCCCAAAATAATAAGAAAAAGAAATTCAGAATGTTGAGGGGGCCCCAGAAAGATTGTACAGCAAGTGGAGCGCATTCAAACACAGTCAACCTGTATTTGAATCCCCAGTACTATTATATATATGGTCCCCCGAGCCCACCAGGAGTGATCTCTGACTGCAGAACCAGAAGATAAGTCCTGAACACCACTGGGTGTCACCCTAAAACCAAAAGAAAAGAAAGGAAAAGAAAAAAATTTCAAAGGACACCTGTGGCCTCAGTATCCTCATCCCTCCTCTGCAAAGGTGCCACCATTATGCATGTAATATGTGTCTCTCCACTGTTATGTTTGTTTTGGGACTATACCCAGCTATGGTTAAGGCTTACTCCTGGTAGGGCTCAGGAAACCATATGGGGTACTGGGGATTGGACCAGGGTTGGCCTCATGCAAGGTAAGCACCGTACCCACTGTACTATCTCTCCAGGCCCTGCTGGTTTATTTTTGCATTTCCCTACCTCCATAAATATGCCCTGAAAAAAAATATAACATGGCTTTGTGGTTTCAAGTTCCTCGTGGTTGACAAAGAGTTCTCAACAGTTTGCAAAGCACATTCCACTGGTAACCACTTTGCAGATCCCCAAACCTCTTCCACCCTTCAGAAACCCCTTTTTTCTGATTGAAAACACATCTCGGGCTGCTAATTTATTCTTGGTTAGTATGTGTTATTTTGGGACCGCGCCTAGCAGTGCTCATGTTTCCCAGAGCTCTGGGGACCATATGTGGTGTCAGGGATTGAACTTTTGTTGGCTGTGTGCAAGACAAGCGTCTTACCTGCTGCACTAAGCCCATCTCCCTGTACCTTTGTAAGATGGCTTTCTTACTTTGCTTCCCTTCCTTCCTTCCCACTTCCCCTCCCTTTTTAATTTTTTTTTTTGTCCACATCAGCAATGCTCAGATGTTACTCCTGGCTCTGCTCTACTCCTGGAAATACTCAGGCAACCATATGGGATGCTGGGATCAAACTTGGGTAGTAGCATGCAAGGCAAGTGTACTCTTCAGGCCCTTCCTTCCTTCCTTCCTTCCTTCCTTCCTTCCTTCCTTCCTTTCTTCCTTCCTTCCTTCGATTCCCCTTCCTTCCTTCCTTCCTTCCTTAGCTTTTCCTTCCTTCCTTCCTTCCTTCCTTCCTTCCTTCCTTCCTTCCTTTCTTCCTTCCTTCCTTCGATTCCCCTTCCTTCCTTCCTTCCTTCCTTCCTTAGCTTTTCCTTCCTTCCTTCCTTCCTTCCTTCCTTCCTTCCTCAGAGCTCATGTGTGCCTGGCCTGGGTCTAATACTATCTCTTCCTTCCTTCCTTCCTTCCTTCCTTCCTTCCTTCCTTCCTCCCTCCCTCCCTCCTTCCTTCCTTCCTCCTTCCTTCCTTCCTTCCTTTCTTCCTTTCTTCCTTCGATTCCCCTTCCTTCCTTCCTTCCTTAGCTTCTCCTTCCTTCCTTCCTTCCTTCCTTCCTTCCTTCCTTCCTTCCTTCCTTCCTTCCTCAGAGCTCATGTGTGCCTGGCCTGGGTCTAATACTATCTCTTCCTTCCTTCCTTCCTTCCTTCCTTCCTTCCTTCCTTCCTCCTTCCTTCCTTCCTTTGCTTCCCCTTCCTTCCTTCCTTCCTTCCTTCCTTCCTTCCTTCCTTCCTTCCTTCCTCCTTCCTTCCTTCCTTCGCTTCCCCTTCCTTCCTTCCTTCCTTCCTTCCTTCCTTCCTTCCTTCCTTCCTTCCCTTCTCCCATCCTTCCTTCACTCCTCCCTCCCTCCTTCCCTTCCTCTTTCCTTCCTTCCCTTCCTCTCTCTCTCCTTCCCTCAGTCCCTCTCTTCCTTCTCCCCTCCCTCCCTTCTTCCTACCCAACTCCCTCTCTCCCTCCCTCCTTCCTTCCTGTTTTTGGCCCATCCTGGCAGTGATGTCCCCAGCTCTGTGCTGGAGGATGGCTCCCAGTAATGCCAGCGGACACTGGGGTGACAAGGCCTGTTGAGCTTCTCTCTGATCCCACACAAGGTTTTTCTTAAAAATCTATTTCACTGACCCTCGCCATTCCAAGCCAGCTTCCCAACTCGCTGTACTCATCATTGTCAGAGTGAATGGTGTTTGCTCACGCTGAGGCTTGCGTCCCTCCTGACTCAGCCTGAGCTTGTCAGGCCCCTTTGTACTCTGCCCCAGACGCCCTGGGGCTCGGCTGCCTGCCGCAGCCGTCTGAAGTGCTTCTGCTCCCTGCGCTTGGCTCCCTCCCAGCCTGGGTCTGGCTGGTGCCACCTTGTGGTGTCTTTTCTGGAGTCCACTGTCCCCTGTGCTTCCTGTAATCTGGGACTGAGATCAAGAAGTGCCCTCACCCTGGGCTTTCTGGAACTTCTCTTTGGGAGGCTGCATCCACCTCCAGAGGCCACCTCCTGACATGCAGCAGCATTGAGGTCACATTGGCAGCACTGAGGTCCCATTTCAGTCACAGTATTCATGCCCTAGATGTTACAAAGCGATAATACTCTCATTTCTAAGTGTCCTTTCATCCACCCAGCCTCCTACAGTTTCCAAACACCACACATCACGGAATTTCTCAATTTTGCAAGGCTTCGCATTTTAGAAATTGCTTCCGTGCATTTTGGTTTTTTGTTTGTTGTTTTGGGGTCACACCCAGCAGTGCTTAGGGATCAGTTCTGGCATGGCTCAGCAGGGGGCTCATGCAGTGCCAGGATGGAGCCTCGGTCAGTGATAGGCCAGGAAAGCGCCTTAACCCCTGCACTGTCTCTCCGGCCACTTCTGTATCTGTTTGTGGTTTCAGAGCTGGGCTCAGGGCCAAGGAGCCTCAGCAGGCAGGGATCACCCTGAACACAGAGCCACAGACACCAGCAGGTGTGGCCCTGGAGGGCCCATGCCCTGCTGGGGTGACCACATTGCTGGGCCCCAGCATTGGGCTGTCCTTGGTGGAGTTTCACCAGCTGTGGTTCACTGCTCACAAACCGCCCCCCCCAAAAAAAAGTTGCAATAAGCTTACAAATTCAGATTTCAAGATTCTTCATTCACTCAGCCAGTATGTGCTGAGCACCTCCTGTGTGTGTCTCTGCACCGAACAGATGCCACTCTGAGCTGACCGGCAAGGAGGATGGAGCAGGCTAAAATAATAAATAAGGGGTCTGTGAGCACAGAGCCAGGAGTAAGCCCTGAGCACAGCTGGGAGGGGCCCCAACACTGGGGAGGAGGGGAGAAGAGAGGCGGATAGGTGGGGGAGGTGAGGGGAGAGGAGAGGTGGGACAGGGAGGGGAGAGGCAGGAAGGGGAGAGGCAAGGAGGGGAGAGGAGGGAAGGGGAGAGGAGGAGAGGGGAGGGGAGGCAGGTAGTTATAAATAATTCCCAAAGACAGCAGAAACAAGGAAGCTTGCCACAAGTTGTGGAAGAGAGCAGTTAGGACAGAGAAGGGAGCATTATGACAATGATAGTTTGAAATGATCACAAGAACTGTGTGCTGGAAGGAGATAAAGTGATATACATGATAACCTTTCAGAAACAGTATTGCAAACCACAGAGAGAGAGAGAGAGAGAGAGAGAGAGAGAGAGAGAGAGAGAGAGAGAGATTGGCCATAGAGGCAGGCAGGATGGGGGGAACAGGAGGGAATCTGGGGACATTGGTGGCAGGAACTGTACATTGGTCAAGGGATGGGTCCTAGAACATTGTATGATTGAAACTCAATCATAAACAGCTTTGTAACTGTGTATCTCACGGTGATGCAGTTGGAGGGTTCTCTCTTGGCAGCTGGGTGCTTCCTGGCATGTGTGAGACTCTGGGTTTAATCCTGGCACCATCAGAAATCAAATAAGCAAATAATGAACAGCCCCCACCTTTCAGGCTGTGGCCTGGGTTCTGGAGGAAAGGAACAGGTGTGAGGGTGTGAGTGGGGGAGAGGGGCCCTATTAATGGGGTGTCGGGAAGGCCTCTCCAGTGCATGGAAGCTGAGGGGCACCTCGGAAGGTAGGGGTGTCAAAATGCACGGGGCAGAAACTCAGAGTTGGGAAGCAAGAAGTCGGGGCTGTCTGAAAGTGCGGAAGAGGGCTGTGGAGGGTGAAAGGGCAAGAGAGCAACTGTGTGAACTGGGACTGTGCAGACAACACGCAGACCCCGGGGCTGCCCAGGGAACTTTGACCTTCAGTCTACAGGAGTGGGAGCCCAGAGAAGACCCTTTAAAATATTTTCTATTGTATCACCAAATTATAAAGGTATTTGTGATTGAGTTTCAGGAGTACAATGTTGCAACATCACTCCCTACACCAGTGTGTGTGGAGGAGGGGATGAACCTGACTTGGGGCTCTAGCACCCTGAAGTGGGACTGGGGTTATCGGACAGCAGGAAGGGCGCTTGCCTTGCACACAGCTGACCCAAGTTCAATCCCCAGCACCCCATATGGGTCCCCAAGCCCACCAGGGGTGGTCCCTGAGCGCAGAGCCAGGAGTAATGCCTGAGTGCTGCAGCATGTGGCCCCCAAATAAACCAAAAAACCTTAGAAACCCCTGGAGTGAGTGTGGAACTGCCAGGGAGCCAGTGGGGGGTTCAAACCAGGTGGGGTTCCCAGGGGAGCCTGTGAACGCCCCCATGTTGACAGCACTGGTTCCTGCCTCCGGTGTGGGTGGGGAGAGAGGAACGAAATTGACTCAAATATCCAGACTTAAGCATGGGTGGGTGGGGACGTTTTCCCTGAGAGGGCTCAGACAGGGGTGGGGAGCTCTGGCTGTCCCTTGGGGCCCTTTCCAGTTTGGGGGGGAAGAACCACAGTGACACCCAGTCTTGGACTCTGGGGAGTCGAGGGGGCTGGCATGTCGCTCGAGGGCATGGGCCAGCCTTGGTGTGCCCCCTTTTGCCATTGCGGGTGGTTTAGGATGGAGGTGATAGTCCTAAACTGGGCCAATGACCCAAGGATACAGAGTAGCAAATCTCAAGAGCAGAGCCCAGGGCCAAGGGGAAGGGATGGATTTCTGGAGCCCAGTGGACGGGGTTGGCTTTAAGAGGGGCAGTGGCCCATCTGCATCTTAAGGGGGGAGGCAGATTCAGGAGGCCGCTGCCTCCGGGGTTCCCGTGCACTTCTGTCTCCACATTCTGTGGTTTCCAGAGCGTCTTACTCATTTAGAAAGCATTTTTTGCAAAGGTCTGGGCTACAAAGCACTTCGGGGAGCCAGAAATGCTCGCTTCTGCTCAAACTCCACAGCAGCATTTCTCGGCTCTTGCAACCCAGCTGTGGGCCGTGCAGTTAAGTCATGACTAGCATCTTTGAAAATTACAACAGGATATTGTGCAGTGCCTTGTGTGGGAAAAAAATCGGGGGTGTCATGAAGGTGCCAACCCCCCACGCATTGAGGGGAAGGATATATTGTAAAATGCATTCCCACTGGTGTTAGCCAAAATGCCAAACTGCCCTAGAGGGCTTCATGCAAAGGTGCGGTGGAGCTGAGCAGGGCACCAGTGAAGTGTTTCCTTAAGGAAGAAAACCAGGGGATGAGGGGAGCATTTTTCTCGAGCAGGAGGGCACAGAGGTGGACAGAGGAACCCTCTGGGCCTGTATTGGTCGATGTACATGGGCTGAGTTTGCAAACTTTCAGCTGAATGGAGAAAAGTGAGTTTCTGACTATGTTGTTATTATGATATTCCTTGATATTTGAAAATCTCAGGATGATTGTGTGTGTTGTGTGTCTGTGTGGGGTGTGTGTGTGTGTGTTTGAGAAAGAGAGATCAAGGACATATCAAATTAAGCACCTGGGTGGGTGGTTAAAGGGAAACAATGAGAAATTTCGAAAATTGAAGAATCTAGGTGACAGACGTATCTGGAAGGATACACCAACTCCTCTCCACGACAGTGGTTATCTGGAGGAGGGGAAGGATAGAGCACGAGATGGGAACACTAAGGGCCCTGAGGGGGTCTGGGATGTTTTATTTATTTGCTTATGTATTGACTGATTTATTGATTGGGTTCAGAGGGTGTCATATTTGGCAGGGGTCACCCCTGGTGGTGCTCAGGGGACCATATGTGGTACTTGGGGGTCAAACTGGGGTCATCCCTGTTAAGGCGAGGCAAGCGCCTTAAGCCCTGTACTTGCTCTTTCTCTGGCCCTGTAATGTTTTACTTCTTACAAACTATAGTTTGTGACCAGAAAGGGGGGTACTGGAGAGATAGTATAGCAGGTTGGCCTTGCACCCTGTCAACCTGGGTTTAATCCACAGTATCCCATATGGTCCCCCAAGCACTGGCAGGAATAATTTGAGTGCAGAGGCAGGAGTAAGCCCTGAGCACCAATAGGTTACTTGCCCTGAAACAAAACAAATAAACAAAAATGTATGGAATTTAGGTGGGGATGACTGTACAGCAGGTAGGGCACTTGTCTTGAACCCCGCCAACCTGGGTTGTATCCCTGACAACTCATATAATCCACCAAGCCCTGCCCAAAGTGATCCCTGAGTAAGCCTTACCAGGAGTAATCCTTGAGCACCACCAGGTTTGACCCCAAACCAAATTAAATCAAGCAAAACAAAAACACAGAGTTTGGGGGGTCAGAGACATGGCTCAAAGGGCTGAATATGTGCTTTGCATGTGGAAGCCCCTGGTTTGGATCCCAACACTGCATGGGCCCCGAGTACTGTCAGGTGTAGTCTCCAAACAGAGAATGAGGGCCAGGGAGGTGGCTCAGTGGTAGCTCACACTTGCATGCTGAGACCTCTGGATTCCACCCCTGGCTCCTGTGGCCCCCAGGCACCACTCCGTGGAGTCCTGGTTGCACACAAACATTGCCACGTATGGGGCTCCAGGTCCGAGCGACAGTACAGCGAGGAGGGCATTTGCCTTGCATGTGGCCAACCTGGGTTAGATCTCAGGTACCCCCATATCCCCAAGCCCCAGCAGGAGTGATCCCTGAGCAGAGTCAGGAGTCAGCCCTGAACATCCCTGGTGTGGTCCCCCCAAGAAAATCAGCATGGAGCCTTCCTCTAGATTCCCTGCCTCTGACCGCCCCTGCCCTCCCCCAGGCCATGGACAGCCAGAAGCAGTTCAGTGGTCCCGAGATCCAGTTCCTGCTCTCGTGCTCTGAAGCTGACGAGAATGAGATGATCAACTGTGAGGAGTTCGCCAACCGCTTCCAGGAGCCAGCCCGTGACATCGGCTTCAACGTGGCGGTGCTGCTGACCAACCTGTCAGAGCACGTGCCACATGACCCGCGCCTGCGCACCTTCCTGGAGCTGGCCGAGAGCATCCTCGAGTACTTCCGGCCCTACTTGGGCCGCATCGAGATCATGGGCGCCTCGCGCCGCATCGAACGCATCTACTTCGAGATCTCAGAGACCAACCGGGCTCAGTGGGAGATGCCCCAGGTGGGGACCTGCCTGCGCGCCCGTGGCCTCATGCCCCACGCATCCTCATGCCCCCTCTGAGGGCTGTGCATGCTCTGCAACTCTGCCCTGCAAGCTGTGGGGGCCCTTGCCCAGCTAGTGCCAGCCCCTACCTGCCCTTCCGCACATTTTATGCCCCTGCCCACCACTTCACGGATGTGTCACCCCTGGGTTGCACACCAGGTGCTTGCAGACCATGCTGGCACACGCCAGGCCTTCAGGTCCTAGATGCAACCACACCCACATGCTGTCCACCAGCAGCCCCGATATGCACTCTTAGTCCTGGACTACCTAGATGCCCACTTTTTGGCAAACTTCCTTAGGAGGAATGTGCTGGGGAGTTGGCCCACTCCTGAGCCACCTAATGCCCCTACATGCCTATATCTGAAGGCCTGATGTAGAGCAGGGTGCCCCTCCCACTCGTTCAGTGCCCACATGTGGGTGCACATGCCCCCTGAGAATGCCATTGTGCCTGCCTGCAGTCCTGGCACACCACACGGATCTCCCCCCCTCACTTCACCCCCAACCCTACTGTCTAGGATCTCCCAAGCCCCTCCCACAGAGTTTCTGTGTGGTTTTGGTGGCCAGCCCTGTTCTTTGATGTGCCCAGCCTTAGCCTCTTAGACGCCCAACATCACTCACCCAGAGATAATCTGTGAAGTGTCTAGTACTGGCTCTGCGCTTACAAGAGCACAGGGCTATGGAAATGGGCTTGCCACCCACAAGCCACGGGCCAGATAGGGGTTGGCTCATGAGAACACAAGCCCGGGGTCAGTTTGTGGTTCGTGATCTGACCTGAGCGCTGCGACGGTTTGGGGTTCACGATAATCTGAGCGCTGGGTCAGTTTGGGGTTCATGATCTGGCCTGAGCGCTGCGTTGGTTTGGGGTTCACGATAATCTGAACGCTGGTCAGTTTGGGGATCATGGCAATCTAAACGCTGGGTCAGCTTGGGGCTCATGATCTGACCTGAGCGCTGGGTGGGTTTGGGTTTCCCTATAACCAGAGTGCTGGGTGGGTTCGGACTGCATGCCGATCTGAGCCCCTGGATCACGCGGCGCGCGCTCCGCGCCCCTCCCCGCTCCCTCGCAGGTGAAGGAGTCCAAGCGCCAGTTCATCTTCGACGTGGTGAACGAGGGCGGCGAGTCGGAGAAGATGGAGATGTTCGTGAGCTTCTGCGAGGACACCATCTTCGAGATGCAGATCGCCGCGCAGATCTCGGAGCCCGAGGGCGAGCCGGAGGAGGACGACGACGAGGGCGCGGAGGCGGGCGCCGAAGGCGCGGACGAGGGCGCGGCGGGGCCCGAGGGCGCGGCGGGGCCGGCGGGGGTGTCCGCGCGGCTGGCGGCGGCGGCGGGCCGGGCGCTGCGCGGGCTCAGCTACCGCAGCCTGCGGCGGCGCGTGCGGCGCCTGCGGCGGCTCACGGCGCGGGAGGCGGCGGCCGCGCTGGTCGCGCTGCTCTGGGCCGCGGTGACTCGCTCGGGGGCCGCGGGCGCCGGGGCGGCGGCGGGCGCGCTGCGCCTGCTCTGGGGCTCGCTCTTCGGGGGCGGCCTGGTGGAGGGTGCCAAGAAAGTGACGGTCACCGAACTGCTGGCCGGCATGCCCGACCCCACGGGCGACGAGGTGCACGGCGAGCAGCTGCCCGGACAGGGCACCGACGCGGACGGCGAGGACGCGGGCGAGGGCGCGGACGACGCGGCGCAGGGCGCGGGCGACGAGGATGCGGCGGCGCACGAGGCGGGGCCTGGGGGAGCCCCGGGGCCCGTGGCCACTACCGACGGGGCCCCCTTCCGGCCCGAAGGTGCCGGCGGCCTCGGGGACATGGGGGACACTGCGTCGGTGGAGCCGCCCACGCCCGAGGGCTCCCCGATCTTCAAGAGGAAGCTGGGGGTGAGCGCGCGGGGGATGAGGTTCCGGGGGGGGGTTGGGGCTGGGGGACTGGGGAGGAAAGAGGAAAGATTCAGAGAGGCGCGGGGGTGGCTGAGCACTGAGAAGAGAGAAGCAGGGGCCTGGAGAGGGGGAAGGCTGAGGGAGTGTAGAGCAAGGAGAATCCCCAGAGACACCCGGAGGGAAGGGCGGGAGAGAGGCACCTGGAGAAAGGGCTGGGAGGATGGCGAGAAGGGTTGCTGGGGCCTGGGACCGCTGAACAGCTTAGAGGAAAGTGGATGGAGGGCCCCAAGAGAGGTCAGACCTGGGGCCGCAGCAGTAGTACAGCGGGTGGGGCATTTGCCTGGCAGGAAGCCGACCTGGGTTCGATCCTTGGAAACCCATATAGTCCCCCAGCACCGCCAGGAGTAATTCCTGAGTGCAGAGCCAAGAGTGGCCCCTGAGCCTTGATGGGTGTGACCCAAAAAGGAAAAAAAAAAGTCAGAGCCTCACCAACAACCCTCAGAGGAGTGTAGGGAGCCAAGTAGCTCAGGGGATAGTTAGCACCTCGCCCCTGACTCTGCGCAGGGCTTTCTCGCTGGGGTGGCAGAGAGGGACGTGAGAAACAGGAGACAGGGAGGGGTGCAATAAGCCCCGATGCTCCCCTCCCGGCCAGGTGGATGTAGAAGAAGAGGAGCTGCCCCCAGAGCCTGAGCCAGAGCCGGAGCCTGAGCCTGAACCCGAGAAAGCAGAGTGAGTGGCCTTGGGGTACAGTGGGGGCTCCCACCCTACACCCTCCTGGCGGTTCTCCTGGCCTGGGACCCACCATTGTGCCCTTAGAATGCACTGGCCCAGAGGAGGGCTTGAAGAAGGGGCTGGAGCAGAGCATCCCAAACCCATGTGGCCCACAGCCCCCTTTTCAGGAAAAAAAAAATCACTCAGCACCAGCCCTAGAAATCTACCTTTAAGTGAACAAACAAAAATCACCCCCTCCTAACTGCACCACAACTACTACTGCACCCCTAAATGTTTTCAGCACCACTTGGGGAATAGCAGTATTGCCCGCTTTGGGAAACATTGGGTGAGAGGGGGAAAAAAATCTTTCCACTTGGGCTCTTGTGTCACCTCCAGGAAGCCTACCTTGATTAGCCCCCACTCTCAAATGGAAGAAGGTGCCCTTACCTCTCTGTGCTCCTCCCTCCCCCAGCCCTGACCACCCTGGATGCCACCATGGGGTGAGAGATCTGTCTACACCATGGGGCCTGGAGTTCCCTGAGGACAGGACTTGAGGTGTCTCATCACTCGTGTCCCCAGAACCATCTAAACTTAAGCCAGGCCAGGGTGGCTTCCAGCACATGGTTCTGAATGAATGAGTGAATGAATGGGTGAACAAATGAATGAACGGAGGGCCCAGGCAGCTCCTTCCTCTGCCCTTCCCTGCAGTGCTGAGAACGGGGAGAAGGAAGAAATCCCGGAGCCCCCACCAGAGCCCCCGAAGAAAGCGGAACCTCCGCCCCCTCCTCCGAAGAAAGAGGGGGTCAAAGGTGCAGGCCTGGAACTCTGGGAGGAGCTGGAAGTCCAGAGGGTGAAGTTCCTGGTGAGAACCTAACAAGGGCCCTCCGAGATGTTCCTCCCCCACCCCCAGGAAGACCCCAGCCCAGGGCAGCATCTCCTGGCCGCTCCCTTTGCTGCCTCCACACCTCTGCTCAGTTGGGGTGTCCACTCCTCTCCAGAGCTGACGTGGGGAGATGGCCACTCTGTTCCCGGTCCCCACTCTCTGCTTATAAACACCAAAACCAGGACCCTGGAGGGACAAGGGGCAGCTGAGTGGCCATGTTGCCAGGGAAGATTTCAATTTCTCATCCAGGCCCAGAAAAGAGACCTTCTGTGGGCGGGTGGGGTGGGGGGACGACTCGGGGCTCCCTCATCCTGTCTCCACACCCAACCAGAAATGGGGGGCCTTCAGGGAGAATGCGGGACAGAAGGCAGGTCAGGGCTGGGGAGAGAGCGCCAAGGGCCAGCATATGAGCAGCCCCAGATCTGTCCAAGCACCACCAGGGAGAGAGCATTGAGCCAGGAGCAACCCCTGAGCACTGTCAGGTGTACCACCTCACCAAAAAAAAAAAAAAGGCAGAGTGAGTAGGGCATTTGCCTTGCATATAGCCAACCCAGGTTAGATCCCCGGCAAACCCTTTGATCCCCTGAGCACCACCGGGAGTGATTCCTGAGTGCTAAGCCAGGAGTCAGCCCTGAGCAATGCTGGATGTAGCCCTTCCCCCCTCCCCCCCAAAAATAAGGTAATTGAATAGAGTCCACGGGGAGGATGAGGGATGGAGAGAAGGTAGAGATGGATGGGATGGGCTGTCCTGTCAGGGATTAAGCTGGTAGGGTAATGTCCCGCAGGAAGTGGCAGAGCTCGGCCATGGACTTCAAAGCCCACTTCTGCCTCCTCTTGCCTCTGCAGTGCACCTCACCTTCCCCAGCCTCGGTTTCTCCATCTGTACCCATTTCACAGGGCTGTGGGAAAAATGGGGATAGACAAGTGTAGGCTGGGTAAACTCTTAGCCTACATGTTTGTGTGCTGGAAACACTTGCTTGATTGGTAGGAAAGGTGGTGGGAGCAGGGGGCTGGTAGGGGGCCCAGGGTGGGCCCAGGGGAGGTCCTGGGTGGCTGGTTTGGGGCTGAATGTCGGGCTGGAATCCCCTTGCGAGCTCTCTCTCTGTCTGTCTCTGTCTCTCTCTCCCTCAGAACTACCTCTCCCGGAACTTCTACACCTTGCGCTTCCTCGCCCTCTTCTTGGCTTTTGCCATCAACTTCATCTTGCTGTTTTATAAGGTGCCGGTCTTGAGGAGCCACGGGGTGGGGGCATGGGGGGAGGGAGCCTCAGCCAGGAACAGAACCCAGGTCCCTGCAGTGAGGGAGACCAGGGGTGGGGCTCAGGATTCCCGGGAGGGTTCAGGCTGTGATCCCCAAGTGAGCATGGCAGTTTGGGTCCAGCTGGCACCAATACCCATGTGTCTGTGGGAGCCGGGGGAGGGAACCAGGTGTGGGGCCCAGGCTCAGCTCTGCCCTTGCCAGCCTGGGTTTGGGTGGCAGTTCAGCTTCCCTGCTTTCAGGCAAGCCAAGGAGAAATTTGTGGGGTGGAGGAATGGGCCAGCTTGTGGGGCGAAGGAAAAGGCCAAGAAGCGGCGTCCCAAAGGCTACAGGGACTCTTGGGGTCTTGTCGAGGATCTAAATAATAAGACAGGTCTGGCGATGTGGCTCAGTGACAGGCGACATGCAGGCATGAGGTTCGGGCTTTGGTCTCTGATACAGCTTCTATAAAAAGACAGGAAGAAAAGATAGTACATAGGGTAGGGCGCTTGTCTTGCACATGGATGATCTCAATTTGGTCCCTGGTACTGCATAATAGTCCCCCCAACATCAACATGCGTGATCCCTAAACATAAAGTAAAAACTGAGCCCTAAGCGTTATGGGGTGTGTCTCCCACCCCCCAAAAAGGGAAGATAAAAGAATAAAATATAAAGATAAAAAGGACAGGGACACAGTTGGCCAAGTTATCAGAGCATGGCCTGTTTGGAAGCAAATCCTGATGGTCCACTTAGTGCTGTGTGATGTTAGAAAAGGTGTTTTAATCTCTCTGTGCCTTAATTTTCTCATCAATAAGATAGAATGATAACAAAATATACACTTTGGAGCGTATACACTTTGTGAGGATTCAGAGAGGATGAGGCAGGGTAGAGAGATGGGTACAATGAGTAAGCCACTTGCTTTGTATGCAGCTGACCCCAATATGCTCTCCCGCAATGCATATGGTCCCCAGGATCATATGATCAGAGGACACCTAGTGTGATCTCTGTGCAGGGCCAGGAGTAGTCCCTGAACACAGGTGACAGTGCTCCACACACACGAGAGGGAGGGGCGGGAGATTAGTGGCTAGGGATGTAACTCCGTTGTGGAACAACTTTGAATATAGAGATTCCCTGAGTTCATTCCCAGAACCCTGCACAACAAAAATAAAGAATTATATACATAATGCCCTGGAAACAGTAATTTGCCACATAGGTCTTAGCTACCAATCGAAGTGCAAGTGCCACACTATTCATAGTCAGTGTCCCCTAATGCTTCAGGGCTCCACTATCAAGATGAGTCAACTTTATTTTCGGCCTTCCTGTCTGTCCATCACTTCAAGAGTCAAATTCCCAGGAGAGTCTCATTTACTAGCTAGGGTCCTGGGCCCACCCCCTTGATCTTGATTGACAGTCCCTCCAAGACTGCATCTGTGTGTGCCCAGTCCAACCTCAGGAACAGAAGCTATTGATTACTGGGATGGGATTGGGTGAGGGTGCTGTGTTCTGGTGTACCAGGCACCAGAGGCACCTGAGTGCCCACCCTGTCCCCTTATTCAGGTCTCAGACTCTCCACCAGGGGAAGAGGACATGGAGGGCTCTGCTGCAGGGGACCTGTCTGGCGCAGGGTCTGGTGGTGGCTCAGGCTGGGGATCAGGGGCCGGTGAGGAAGCGGAGGGCGACGAGGATGAGAACATGGTATACTACTTCCTGGAAGAGAGCACTGGCTACATGGAGCCGGCCTTGCGGTGCCTGAGCCTACTGCACACACTCGTGGCCTTTCTCTGCATCATCGGTTACAACTGCCTCAAGGTTGGTAGGGGTGTAGGAGAGATTCACATTGTGGTGGGGGTAGAGGTGGCTAGGGTCTGTGTCTTCAGCCAGGAGAACTCAGATGCAGTGAGGATGCTGATTTCCGGTGCAAGGGGCTTATTTCCTGTAGGTTGATCAGTTGGAGAATTGAGATCTGTGTGGAGGTATGTAGGGTCTCAGACATAACAAGCATGGGAGCGGAGGAGGTGGGTTCCGACATTCGTTCTGGCCTCTATGGTGGGGTAGGTTTGGGATGGAAGAACTCAAGGCTCCTTCAGATCTGTCCATTGTGGCAAAATCTCTGCTTTCCCAGGAGATGAACAGAGTTCTTTTGCCTTCAAACTTTTGCCTGTGCTGTTCCCTCTGTCAGGAATGCTTTGCTCTGCTCCCACCTCCCTTCACCTGCCTGTTTTATCCAACGCTCCATCCCCGAGAGCCCCAGACTGCATTAGGCAGCACCGTGGTGCTTCACTTGGGGTAACTTCTCATGGAAGTACCCCAAGACCTGGCCCCTGCCAAAGCTGGAGTCCCACTGGGGCTGGCATCCTGCTGAGATTGGGGGTCCTCCTGCTCAGGTGTCTGACATTCCCTCGCGGTCTCCTCACCCGGCTAGGTGCCCCTGGTGATCTTTAAGCGGGAGAAGGAGCTGGCCCGGAAGCTGGAGTTTGATGGCCTCTACATTACGGAGCAGCCCGAGGACGACGATGTGAAGGGACAGTGGGACCGGCTGGTGCTCAATACGCCGTAAGGGCCCAGACCCTGGGGACAGGTCACCAGGGCATGGGGGTAGAGCCAGGGCCAGAATCAGTAAATCAGAATGAATGTAGTTGGGGGGATGGTACAGCAGGTAGGGTGCTTGCCTTGCATGCAGCCTACCTGGGTTCAATCCCCAGCACCTCAGTTCCCAGGAGTGATCCCTGAGCACAGAGCTAGGTGAGTCAGTCCTGAGTACCCCAATGTTTGATCCCAAAATCAAATAAAGGAAGAATCTAGTTGGGAGTGTTATCCCCAGAGCTAAGCAGGGGCAGATGCTGCTTCTCTTCCCTTCACCATTGCAGGAGCCCCTGCACCCCCCCACCCCCATGCCCATTCTGTGCTGTTTCCTCACCCCAGCACAGAACACTGAGCCCCAACATTAATGCCACTGGGACTGCACTTGGGGAGCTTCAGTGACAAAGGGGGTCTTTGGAGCCCGAGTCCAAGGAAGATGGGACCCTAGGTTCCAGATCCCCAGTGAAAGCGGTGACATTTCAAATGGCCCTGGCTTGTGATTGCAAGTCACCCCTGCACTAATGCCCTAATGTCTCTTGTTCTCTCTCCCTCTCTTTTTCTCTTTCTCTCTCTTTCTGTCTGTCTGTCTGTCTGTCTCTCTCTCTCATTCCAGATCTTTCCCCAGCAACTACTGGGACAAGTTTGTCAAGCGAAAGGTGAGCAGGGATGGGAGGTGACAGATGACAAGCCTCCTTCAGGCTGGATTGGTGACTGCCCCCAGCCTTACCAAGCTCTTTCTTCCGGTGCCACCTCGGAGACAGGGCTGTTCCTCCCTGGGAGTTGCCTCAGTTTGCAAACGGGCTCTGTCATCTGGGCCATCTCGCCTCCTTCTCTCCTGGAGGTGGTCCTTGTCAGAGCTCCTCCCAGGGCTAGCTCGGGAATACTCAGTACTTGTGAAACCTGAGGTTGGAGGTGAGGCCACGCTGGGGCCATCAGCCAGAGTATTCAGCCTGTCCGTGCCTGCTCCCCTCACAGCCAAGTGAGGGCACAGAGTCAGCTGCCACCACGGCGGTTGAAATGGGGCCAAAGAGAGTACAGGGGCTAAGTCCCATGCATGCATGCAGTCCCCGCCCCCGCCCTTGCTTGATCCTCAGCACCACTTGGTCCCCTGAGCTGCCTTGAGGATCCCCAAGAGCAGCTGGAGAGATGCTCTCCCACAGGCCTGAAAGCTCCCCAGGCCTCAGGCCTCACACTGAGCAGCTAGCCTGGTGGGATGAGAAGTGGGGAGCACCAGGGCATCCTGAGGACTGTTTATGACACTCTTTCCCCCAAAAAGAATTTGATCATTTGGGGTTGGGAGGTGGCTCAGTAGTAGAGCACTTTCCTTGTGTGTGTGAGGCCCTGGGTTCAATTCCCAGCACTGCCAAAAATAAAAGCAAAGGAGTTGTACAGGGGGTAAGGTGCTTGCCTTGCACGCGTCTGACCCAGGTTCAATCTCCAGCACCCCATATGGTCCCTGAGTCCCACCAGGAACGATCTCTGAGCCAGGAGTAAGCCCTGAGCACCACTGGGTGTGCCCCACTCCCCCAAAAAGGAGAAGAATTAAATGATGAATTTCGGGCTGGAGCAATAGTACAGTGGGTAGGACATTTGCCTTGCACACAGCCGACCTGGGTTCAATTCCCAAGATCATATATAGTCCCCTGAGAACTGCCAGGAGTGGTTCCTGAGTGCAGAGCCAAGAGTAACCCCAGTATATCACTGGGTATGACACAAAAAATAAATCATAAATAAATAAATAATGAATTTCATGTCAGAAGTATAGGAGAACTCTAGCTAAGTGTTGGCTGTTAACATGAATCACTCCTCCGTGCTTCCTAATCACCTGTGCAGGTCAGGAACAGGCCTAGGGGCCTGCAGGCAGTGCACAGGGCAGTGGCTGTGGCTGTCCATGATGGAGCCGAAGTCAACACAGCCCTGGCCAGGCATATGTGTGCGCAGGGTGGCTGGAGAGAGCGGGTTGAGGGAGAGAGCCAGGTGAAAATGTGCGGAAAGGGCTGGAGCCATAGTACAGTGCATAAAGTGCTTGCGTTGCGCATGGCAGACCCAGGTTCGATCCCCAGCACCTGATATGGTCTCCAGAGCTGAGCCAGGACTAAGCCTTGAGCCAGGCCTAAGTTCTGAGAACTAAGTTCCAGGCACTGGGTGTGCCCCCTCCCCAATAATAATAAATTACTCCACTTTAGCTAATGAATCACCTGAAACACTCACTTTTTTTAGGCGGGGGAGGGGCACACACAACAGTGCTCAGGAATTACTCCTGGTGGTGCTTGGGGAACCATATGGAACACTGGGAATCAACCGGGGCTTGCTGCACACAAGGCAAGATCCTACTCAACTGTACTATCTCTCGGCCCCTGAAACAATCACTTTTCTTTTTCTTTCTCTTGTTGGGTTACACCCGGCAATGCTCAGGGGTTATTGCTGGCTCTGCACTCAGGAATTATTCCTTGCAGTGCTTGGGGGACCATATGGGGTGCTGGGGGGTCGAACCTGGGGCCGGTTGCATGTAAGGCAAATGCCCTACCTGCTGTACTATCACTCCACCCCCCAGAACAATCACTTTTGAACACACACACAGACACACACACTGACACACACACTCCTCCCTCACCCTGAGGATCTGGAAAAAGTTCTGATCCTTCTCCCTGGAGGATGTCCGGGTGTCTTACTCAAAGTTCAGAGTGGCCCCAATCTCCTCCCTCTTGCCCCCACGCCCCTCAGACTCCTGCTGCTGCTGAGTCTGCAGCACCCTTGCTCTTTGGCACAGGTCCTGGACAAGCATGGGGACATCTATGGGCGGGAGCGGATCGCAGAGCTGCTGGGCATGGACCTGGCCTCGCTGGAGATCACTGCCCAACATGAGCGCAAGCCGGAGCCCCCGCCGGGGCTGCTGACCTGGTGAGGGAGATGCCCTGTGGCCAGGCAGGTGGGGAGGGCTGGGATTGACCTTCAAGACATCTCTCTCCCCCCGCCCCACAGGATCATGTCTATTGACGTCAAGTACCAGATCTGGAAGTTTGGGGTCATCTTCACGGACAATGTGAGGAGGGGCCTGTAGGCACAGGAGGAGGGTATTGGTAGAATTGCCCCCCAGACATGATAAGACTGACCCCTAAGTCCAGAGCACCCCAATCCCAGGGTGCCCTCTTGGGATCACCAAGTTCTTTGTCCCCAGAACATTCTTTGGCTCCCCCAGAGCACTGTTGAATTCCCAGACGGTGTCTGTCTCCGCTGAGGGTTCCAGCTACCCCCCCGGATGGCTGCTCACCCAGAGCTCTCAATACTCCCAAGCCAGAGCGGCACTGCCTCCCCCAGAGGACCCCAGCACTCTGGAACATTCTCTGACCCTGCCTGTGTGTGCCCGCAGTCTTTCCTGTACCTGGGCTGGTACATGGTCATGTCGCTCCTGGGCCACTACAACAACTTCTTCTTTGCCGCCCACCTCCTGGACATCGCCATGGGAGTCAAGACACTGCGCACCATCCTGTCCTCCGTCACCCACAACGGGAAACAGGTGTGGAGGGCCCTGGCCACGCCCCTGGGGGCGGAGCATGAGTCTATGGGCGGGGCACTGGTCTTGGGTGGGGCATGCGACAGTGGGCGGGGCGTGATCCTGGCTTGCCTGAGTGAGGACGAGCTAGGGAGGGTGCTGGCTGTAAGCCTTCGGGTCCTGTCCAGCTGATCCCAGTTGGAGTGGGGCATGTGGTGACCACTGACCCCTCCCCGCCGTCCCCAGCTGGTGATGACCGTGGGGCTCCTGGCGGTGGTGGTGTATCTGTACACTGTGGTGGCCTTCAACTTCTTCCGCAAGTTCTACAACAAGAGCGAGGATGAGGACGAGCCGGACATGAAGTGTGATGACATGATGACGGTGGGCTCCCCCCCGCTGGTGCTCAGGCTCCTGGCCCGCCCCCAGCCCCCCGTGCCTGCCCCCGCCCTGTCTCTAAAGCGAATGGGCAGCTCTCTCATGAGGCACTTGAACCAGTGCCAGGCGTGTCAGCCCTGCCACCTGTCCAGGGCTATTATTTGAGCTTTCATTTCTTTTTTTAATGCTCTTATTTTGTAGTGCCGGGGGTGGAAGCCGGAACCTCACACCTGCATGACGAGCGCTCTGTGGTGGGGCCACATCCTTCTTCAGAGCTGCTGCTCTGGGAAAAGTGCTCAGGCCCGGTGCTCCTACCATTCACGAGCCATGTGATCAGGGCCAACTGCTCCTATTCCCCTGGCACTGGGGTTCTTGGCTAGAAAACAAGGAGGTAGCTCCAAGGTAGAGCGACTGCTTTGAGGTGTGAGGCTGTGAGTTCAATCCTGGGAACCACCCCATATGCAGAGTCTGAGTTCCTAAGGGAGCACTGGCGGTGTGAGTTTCAGCACTGAAGCAGATGCTCATACCCCAGACATTGCAAGCACTACCGCAAAGGGAAGTGGGGACACGGGGTAACAGCAGTGCTGTCATGACATTACATCATGCCTTGAGGACCAGGGTGCTAAGGTCTGCAAGGACTTAATAGCCTAGTGCCAGGAAGAGGAGGCCCGTCCAGATGTCAGCTACAATCACAGTTAGTGCTGATGAAAGGCTTTACCCCAGGCACCCACAGGCCAGGCATATGTGTCTCCTCTCCTTGTCACGAGTTAATCTCCTGGGCCCTGGCTGAAGGAACCAGCTCAGGGCTTCTCTCTGCAGATGTCACCAGCCTGGCCACAGCGCAGCTCCTCTGCCTCACCTGGGGCCCCGCCCTGCCTCTCAAGCCACCAGAGACTCCTCCCCCCCATCACTGGCCTTAGCTTTGACCCAGGACTTAAGGAGTCTCTCTTTTGAGGGGTGGGGACGCAGAACAAGTGTGAAATCTTTCCCAAGTGCCAAGCCAATACTTGGGCTCTGCAGCTGGCCTTTTGTGATTCCCCAGGGCCACGTGGATGAAATGAAAGCCACTCACCATGGCTTGGGGGAGTTGGCGAGAGTGAGCCTCGCCCTATTCTAACCACAGTTCTTGCTCCGTGCTCTCTGGCTGGCTGGTCCTGTTTCAGTTCCCCTCTGGCTGTGTGTTTCCTTCTGTTGCAGCTGCCATTCTCACTGCCCCACCCCACCTGAACCCCTACAAAATATCACGGCTTCTTTGCTCATCTTCCAGCTTAGATGCTGCCTTCTACAGGAAGCCCTCCTGGGCTACTGCCTGAGCCAGGGCCCGCCTCATCTCTCTGTACTTGCTCAAAGAAGCTGTCTCCCAGTCAAAGAACCTCTTTCAGTTCCCACTGGTGTGAGAGCACATGTGCCTTTCTCTGCGGGGAGTGGAGGAGTAGGTGGGGGGGGGGGCAGAGAGGGGTCAACTTTCTCCCACTTAACACTTCCAAGCCCCAGCGCACACAAGTCCCCTCTTCTAGGAAGGCGCCCCTGATCACCAGGCTGGGTCAGGCTTGCAAAGCTTCAGAGCTTCCTGTCCTTCCTCAGCTGCATCTCACCCCAAATCTAATCACACCGCTCCTCCCCTAACTTGGGTCTTTATCTCTCCCACTGTCCCTCTTCCTCCCCACCCTCACTCATCCTGCCTGCTTTACTGGCCCTGACCATTTCTGGGCTGCCTCATTGTTTGTCATCTCACAGGGTAGCACCCCGAGTTGTCTCTGTCATCATTGTTTGCTGTGTCTCCTGCATCAGCGCCCTTGCCCGCCCCACTTCGCACCCAGGGCCTGGGGAAGGGACGTGGTAAATGTCAGATGATTGAGCGTGTGACTAATATGCTCCTCACCCTCTCTCCTCAGTGCTACTTGTTTCACATGTATGTGGGTGTCCGAGCTGGTGGGGGCATTGGAGATGAGATCGAGGACCCAGCGGGTGATGAATACGAGCTGTACCGGGTGGTCTTTGACATCACCTTCTTCTTCTTTGTCATCGTCATCCTGCTGGCCATCATCCAGGGTCAGTACTGCAGCAGGGGTGGGGGCAGGGTGGGAGGGGCCTCAGTACCCAGAGGCTGAGTCAGGACCAGTGTCTGGTGGGCCTGAATCCTTGGTTCTGCCTCTCCCTCTTTTCCTTCCCGGGGCCTCAGTTTCTCCTTCTATAAAATCCATGAAATGAGACCCATATGAGAATTAGGTCAGTGCATAATGTCAGCTCATACCAAGTGCCCAGTAAACTCCGAGTGTTATTTTTAGGGAGATGGAGGGAGGGAAGACAGCTAAAAAGAGTCAGAGCTGGAACAGAGGTCGGCAACTGACCTGTGTGCCCTTGTCACCCCAGGTCTGATCATTGATGCTTTTGGCGAGCTCCGAGACCAACAAGAACAAGTGAAGGAAGACATGGAGGTAGGTCATGTCCAGAGGCAGACCCCAGGAATTTAGGGACCTGGGGCAAGAGATCACCGTTCTGATGTTTCTCATCCCAGACCAAGTGCTTCATCTGTGGCATCGGCAGTGACTACTTCGATACTACACCTCACGGGTTTGAGACGCACACTCTGGAGGAGCACAACCTGGCCAATTATATGTAAGTATGGCCCCGTGGGTGAATCAGGAAGTGAGGATGTGGCCACTGATGCCAAGCAAGTGGTGTGCCCCATCGGTCAGTTGGTAAGGGGGTGTGGCATCCCTAGAAGAATTCCCAGCCAGTCAAGATATGCTAAGAGTGGGTTGGCCTTCTCTCTGCTGTTCTGTCCTAGGTTTTTCCTGATGTATCTAATTAACAAGGATGAGACAGAACACACAGGCCAGGTAAGTTGGTGTTCATGAAGAGAAGTAGACAGGGACATGGTGTTTTAATACCAGATAAATCAGCAGGTGGCAGTGAAAAGCTCCTGTCACTCTGTGACTGATCTATGAATTCTTATGTCCCAACCTTAGGAGGTGGTTTTGGTATGTGTGGGGGCTGGGACACATCCCATGATACTCAGGGCTTACTCCTGGCTCTGCGTTCAGGGATCATTCCTGGTGGACTCTGGAAGGGTGGGGTGGAGTGTGGTGGGGGTACCATATGGGGTGCTGGGATCCCACATAGGTTGGTCGCGTGCAAGACAAGCACCTGACCTGCTGTACTGTCTCCCCGGCCCCAACTCTAGGAATCTTATGTCTGGAAGATGTACCAAGAGAGATGTTGGGATTTCTTCCCAGCTGGAGATTGCTTCCGCAAGCAATATGAGGACCAGCTTAACTGAGACCCACATCCCACAAACTGGCCCGCCACCCTACCTCAAGTGCCTTATTCTCCCAGCAAGCCCCAAACACCTCCCCCTCTGGGGAAGAGGTGACATTGTACTGGAGAAATAAAGTCTGTGCTATGCTCCTGGGTCATTGTGTTGAATTGTTGATGTTCAGCGTGTAGGTGGGGACCCAGAAATAGTGCATGCACCCACAAATAAGATGACAGCAGAGACTGAAATCATGTTTATTAGGAGACAAAGGTAGATCATGGCCTCTAGTGTAAGTCTATTGTGGAGGGAGGTGCAACATCTGGCTCCTAGAACCCTGCTGCCCAGGGACTTATTCCTGGATGTAGAGGTTGCTGGGGGCAGTAGGATCGCCTACTGGGCGAGTCTCCACCACCACAGGCCTAGGGAAGAAAGAGAGAAGCAGTTGAGAAGTTCATCTCTTCAGGAGCTGGAGAGATAGTATAGCGGGTAGGGTGCTTGCCTTGCAATATGGCTGACCCAGGTTTGATACCAGCATTGCATATGGTCAGTCCCGGGAGCACCACCAGGAGTGGTATCCTGAGTGCAGAGCCAGGCGTAACCTCTGAGCATTGGGGTGTGGCCCCAAACAAAAAAAAGGGGGGTGGGAAGGAAAAACTCATTCACCCATAGACTCTACTGGTATTTGGCCAGAAGAGTGAAGATAAGACCGGCTTCTGATCTTGAGGAGCTCTTAGGAATCAGTGAATTACAGGAGTGCAAAGCAGCAGGGGTCACCTAAGCAGGAAACTTAGCCCAGGAGGTTAACCAAGGTATCCCAACCCCACTCGAAGTATAGGATGGTAAAATTTGAAGAGAACTCAGGAGGAAGCTTGGTGAGTGGGCAGGGAAGAGTGTATTGGGAGGGAAGAGTGTACTGGGCACAGGACAGCCTACGCAAAAGCATTAAAGAGCCTGCCAGTGGCTGCAGATATCGTGGTCTTTCAGCCTTTGACAGGGTATCTTCAGATCAGAAGAGTGAAAAATAGGGAGCCAGTGACACAGATGGATTTCCAAAGGTCACTCTGAGGGTTGGAGAGATAGTACAGCAGGTACTTTGCCTTGCATGTGGCCAACCCTGGTTTCATCCCCAGCTCTGCAGTGATCACCCAAGCCCCGCCAGGAGTGAGCACAAAGCTTTAAGTAAGTCCTAAGCTCCACTGGGTATTGCCCCCAACTCCAAAAATAAACAAAAAGGCTCTGGCTTTTCAAAAGGGCATGGAGGTTACCAGAATAGGCTGTCACCAGCTAAACTGAGTAGTATTTGTTGTACCTCAGATTAAGGACAAATAGTAAGTGGATCCATAGAATACAATAGAAATTCCCAAAACCAAACAAGCTTGGATCTCTTAAACTCTTTTTGCTTCAATTCCTTTTAACTTTTGGGGACACACGTGACATTACTCAGAGCTTATTCCTGACTCTGAGCTCAGGGATCACTCCTGGCGGGGCTCAGGGAACCATATGAGGTGCTGAGGATTGAACCCTGGTTGGCCGCAAGCAAGGCAAAGGCTTTAATCCCTGTACCATCTTTTCAGCCCTGTAAATGTGGCTTAAAATCTAGGAAAATCTGCTTCCACTGTACCCAGGGCTTCATCATTCATCTTTTTCTGGGGTGGGAAGTGAAGTGGTCAAAGCCTTAGGCCCTACCGAAAGGTGCTCATGGACTATTCCTGATTCTGTGCTCAGATGTGATCCCTGGAGGTACTTGGGGCACTATGTGTGTTCCCCAGGATCCAAACCAGGGTCAGTGGGATGAAAGACATGTAGCTTCACCCCTGTATTCTCCAGCCCAGCAAATGTGGTTTTTAAAAAGTTACCGCTGGGCAGGGTGAGGGTAGGGGTGCTAGAGAGATAGTATAGCAGGTAGGACACTTGCTTGCACTTGGCTGACCTGGGTTTGATCATATAGGATCCCCTAAGCTCCTCCAGGAGTAATACGTGAGTGCAAAGCCATCAATTACCCCTGAGCATCACCAGGTGTGATCCAAAAGAAAAAATAACGTTACCACTAGGGCTGAAGAGATAATACAGTGGAGAGGTTCTGTGCCTTGCATATGGCTGACCCTGGTTTGATTCCCAGCACCACATACGGTCCCCCATGCCCCGCCAAGAGTGATCCTGGAGTGCAGAGCCAGAAGTGAGCCCTGAGCACTGCCAGCTGTAAGAAAGGAGAGAAGCCAGTCGCTATGGCTGCTGCAGAGCCTCCTGGGGCAGAGTTGGAAGAGGAAGACCAGCTGGGAGTGTGTTCAGGCTGGAGATGCAGCAGCTGAGTACCCCTCTAGATGCTCCCTCCACATCAGAAGCCCCATCCCCCCAAGTCCTCTCTCCCCTTCCCCCAGACCATACCTGGGGGAGCCAAGCAGACGGAAGGTGAGGGTGGGATCTCTCAGCTCCTGTAGCAGCTGGGGGGAGGGGTGTGGAGGAACAGGCATCAGCATAGACAAGACTCCTCCCACTCTTACAGGGAGCAGGTATGGGTGTCTAAACATCTAGCCTTAGGTCTTGGAAGTGTCATTTTTGTGAAAGCCTTCACCCACTGTGGCCTGTGAGGGTCACCTACCCTCTCGGGGATTACTAGTTCCTGAAAGTGCAGTAGCTAGCTGACGGGTGACTGCAAAAACTGACTACAGTACAGGCATTTCCAGGCAGTGCAGCCCATAGTGTCCTGCCAGCTGAGTGCAGGGTTTACTCTCTGGATGAGAAGAGTAGGGCACAAGAAGGGGAAAATCATTTGTTGGAATCCAACCCAGGTGGTCTGGTCCATGGCTGCTCAACCCCCATAGATCTCCCTAGAGACCCCCTTTTTGTAGCTGGGACACTGATTCTGGACAGAAGCCAAGCCCCCTCATGCACAGTGATCTGGGGGAACGCTGGGCCCCAGAGATCCATTGCAGAGATGACTTATCTGAGAAGACAGGGGGCAGCCTCTTGCCCTCCAGGCTTCACCCCCTGACTCAGTCCTGAGGCAGGAGGGCTAGGGTGTGGCCTCAGGATGGGAGCAGCTTACCTGGTCAGAGCCCAGAGCCCACACCTGTACTCCGTGTTTCCAGAAGGCCTGGAGCCGGCCCCCCACCATAGCTGGAAGGAAAGCGTGTGTCACCCTGTGAAGGTGCCTGCCTTGCACTCAGGCCCAGGGGTGCTCCCAGCCCTGCACCTACCCACAGCCTCCACTGCTTCAGTCATGGGGATCTCTGGAGCTCGAAGGCCCGGGACTGGGGCCCCCTCTGGGGTCACCAGTTTCAGAGACCCTAGAAAGTCCAGAGAGAGGGGTCTGAGAGCAATGTGTAGCTTTGAGGATGGTGGAGAAAATGGACAGTATATCCAGGGTGAGAAACAGAGTGGGACAGGGGCAAGGTTGGGAGGGGCTGGTTGTTTCTGAGACCAGGGATTGGCACCTAGAAACAGTGTGTGTGTGTGTGTGTGTGCCTTACCATCCATCAACACCATCACCTTGTCTTCCTCAACCTGGGTCACCTGTACTGGTGCCTTGTGCTCTGTTTGAGAAGATGGGGTTCAAGGATTAATTTCGACTCCTTCCACATTCCTGGGCTAGGCACCCTCTGGGTTCCCAAGCAAGCAGGCTAAGTTCCTGCCCCTCACTATCTAGGCGCCCCCCTGCTGAGCCATCACGCACAGTAATTATAGAACCCACCTTTTCCGCTGGGGGCCCTTCCCCTCCCCCGGTCTCCCCACCTGAACCCCTTTACCAATTAGGTTTCAGGCTAAGCCCCGCCCAGCCATCCCGCCCCACCTTGCGAGCCTCGCTCCCACGCACCTGTACTGGTCTCGCCCAGCCAGCAGGAGAGCTCCCCGAACCGCACTGTGTGGAAGAGCACTGACTTCGCCGGCCGCCCGGGGCTCACGCCGATGCACACGGCGGGCAAGTCGGAGCCGGGCCGCGTTAGCAGCGCGAACACGGGTAGAGGCGTGGGGAGCGGGAACAGCACCTGCTGCGGGTGGGCAGGGGGAAAGGCGCGCTCAGAGGAGGCATGGGCGTGTCCGAGGGGCGTGGCCTTACAGAGGGGCGTGTCTGATGGGCGGTGCTTGTTTGGGGGCGTGGTCTGGTGTGGGGGTGTGTCATAGGGCGGGGCCGGGTGGGGTATTGCAAGACACTTGAGACTTCCCAAATACTTCTGGGACTCTCTACTGTATAGGTGCTATCTAGAAATTTCAGGTGCTGATACCTCAGATGGCTTAGGTATTGGAGCGTGTGATCTCGAGTGGACGTGCCTTCTATGGGGGGTCAGGGGGCAGACGTGTCGCCTTGGTAACAGGAAGGCGGTGGGTCCCCGCCCGTAGTGCTGGCCGCAGCCTTGTCTCCTTTTATGAGCTAAGGGCTACTGACTGGCCTCTCCATTCTTCTAAGGGTCAGGTATAACTCATTAAATTCAGCCCATAAACAAACTTTTCCACTTCCAGCAGCACTACTCCCCGACCGACCCCCCAATTGTGATTTTCCCCCATAACTGCAAGCCAACTGTTCTCCAAGACAAAGGCCAGCTTAACCATGAACTAGTTTATTTTGCTTCTACTGGTTACAGATCACTTGCACTGCTGATCACAGCTCCCGCAGCTCCACTGTAACCATTGTCTGACTAGAATGTGATTTTTACCATTATAAATGCATCCCTGACTGTCCTCAGGGCCCTGATTTCTTTATTTTTGTTTGGTTTTTTCTTTGTTTTTAGGCTGCACCCAGCAATGTTCAGGACTTTCTCCTGGTTCTGTATTCAGGACTTATTCCTCGCGGTACTCATACTGGTGGCCCATATGGGACGCCGGCGATTGAACCAGAGTCAGCCACGTGCAAGGCAAGCACCCTACCCGTTATACTATTGCACTGACCACAGCTGCGAGTTCCTTTGGACACTAGTCCACTTGTGGTCACGGACTTCTATAATGCGATTGGGCCTCTTCGAGTGGTGCCAATCTGTGTCTTGTGAACCTCTCTTATAATGCACAGAGGCTCAAAAGAACTGAATGAGGCGACTGGAGAGAGTCCAGCGGGGAGGGCGCTTGCCTTGCACACGGTAGGTCCAGGTGCAATCCCCAGCATCCCATATGGTCCCCCAAACCCCACCAGGAGTGATTTCTGAGCCTAGAGCCGCGAGTAAGC